ATCCATTATTTCAGAATTTAGGTAGATCTTTCCTAATTTTCCTGCCTTTGTCTTGTTTTTCAATGTTAAGATTTAAATCATGGTTACCGTGACTGAATTGGTCACCATGGTTACCATGACTCCATTAGTCACCATATGATGTTTTTAAATAATCATGAAGTGTGGCTGAACCTGTTTTTATTTAAGTGCAGTTAAGTTCTGCCAATTACATGAGGAAATATATGACCCTTCTTATGTTCATATAATTTGATGAATTAGATTTTTCTTGAGATTTTAGTTTTCTGATGTTTATGGGACACTTACAGATGATAACGGAAACTGTTTATCTGTCTACTGAAAGAGCCTATTTCCTTTTGTGAATGTATAACATTGCAGATACCCTTGAAATTTCCTTCCAAATTAATTTTTCCTTCCGCAAATTTCTCCTCCCCCTAGTGCTAGCTGATTGTTTTACTAAAGTTTCTAATTTTCTGATTTAGTACTTCCTTTTTGGGGAAAAAATAATGAAAGTGTAGGAAATGAGATTTCTTTAAGGGCTACATATCAGGAATTGAAGTCTTAATTCATCACATTGTTGCTAAAAGAAGATGTGATCACAATTACTGTAAAGGATATAAGAGAAACGAATGACACAAAGTCACTGTGACAAATGTATTCGGATGATTTCATTAGGGATAGCGAGTGTTTTGTTGGATGTAAATGACAGAATACAAATCAGAAACAAGATGCTATACTATTAATCCTAATGATATGAGGGGATGTCACCAATGTCACTTCTTAAAGCCATCTTGAAACCTTTATTTCCTGCACTTGTTAACAAAAAGGTTGTTTCCAGAAAAATGTGATTCATAAATTTTAGTTGTCCAGGTTATAAAAACATGGTAATTCATTTATATTTCATTTCATCATATACATCATATAGCGCTAATGCAAAAGAAAATTTATTCAAAAATCAGATGTCTTTTGGTTGTCCTTATTTCCTGAAAAATGACAGAGTCCAGCCCCTTTGGTTGGATGCAAAATGTTTAAGTATTGAGATACAGGCTCGTGAAAATAACAAGAGTCCAGCTAGTCTGGTTATGAGAAATGACTAAGTGTTGCCTATATGATGAGTGAAAAGAACAGAGTTGTGGCTTTTGGCTTCAATGATTCTGTTAAGTCTTGATGCACAGCTATGCTGCCATCCTTATGCAAGAATTGAAACCTGGCATGACTTAGAAAACCCCAACAATACAGTGCTCATGAATGATAAGATGTTTTAATAAACAGACGAAATAGATCTATCTCTCTCTGCAAAAGATTGATGACTTTTTTATTAGCTTGTATTCATCCTCCAAATAAGCTTCATATTATCAGAATTTCCACTTATGGATGCATTCCAGAGTCCTGCATTTGGGGTATGGCTCATATTATACGGAGCACTCTTAATAAATCAAATGGTGATCTAATAATATTCATCAATAGCCTCAAATTGAAGTAAAGGGGCTGTAATACAAGGATTTGATTCTACTTATATGAGCTAAAGGACAGTTAACCTAAATCAAAATAATAACTGAATTTGAGTCAGAGTCGAGCTGTTATTAAATAAAAAATGAAACAAGAGAATTTGAATCATTTTCGTTCGAGAAGCATCTATTAAGTCAATTATAGTGAGATCAAGTGATCTATAGATGGCATCCTGGTATTGGATTTTTGAAATTCATTATAAATAAGTTATATGGCATAGAATCAATGCGAGTAGGTAGTTACAAGTATCACCACCAGGTGGCTTGTTCGGGCCAGATAGCATGGCAGGTATAGTAGAAAGAAGTAGAAGTCACATTTTCAAAAATATTAAATTTTCAAAGTTGATAAACAAATTCGGAAAACATTTTTCTAGATGTACTTTTGCATGTAGATTTCAAATATGACATCACTTTGACTGATTATTTGAATATTTAATGACATAAATTTAGATTATTTCTACTCGCATCTAGTCATTTTTTTCATCACTCTAAGCCCCAATGAGTGAAAATAATATTGTTCATTTAAAGGGTATCACAATATTAATGTAGCATGTCTCCTTTCTATTAAATCTTGATACAAGGAGCTCTAAAACCCACAATGTTATTTCTCTGGTCTCCCAAACTATTATCCCATTGAACGAAGTTCGGGGGATTCAGAGAACAGCTCAGGTACATTTGGCCCAATATTGTTTACATTTTATGCGTATATGCCTCATGTGATTACAAGTTCTGCTTGAAAGCCAATTTTCAAAATGGCCTCCATTTTCAAAATGGCTGCCATTTTAGTGTTAATTTAACTGTATTTAATGGTACAACATAGGTAGAACTCTCCTTATTTTTTGTACCATTAGGATGCATGTTAAATTGACAAAGTTCAAATTAGAATTTCTCAAATCGCAGCCCATTGATTTTCAAAGAATTTCAGAGAAATACAGCAACACATCTCACCTTCATGTCATCAATTTCAACAAAATATCCCACGAAAATGATAAGTTCTGCTCTCTTACATAGTTTGAGTACCAAAACGTCATCATATTTATGTACATTGACCAATTCACCACTATCAAGGTCATCCATTAGCCTTGCCCAAGTCGGTATTTTTTACTTATCTGATCTTGAATTATTACCGCCTTGTACAATCCAATACATCTCCGCTGCTATTATGCTGAGATATTCAACGGTTTCGAGATTTCCATAATACCTACGCTATCAGGGGTATCGCGAAACCTTATTGATTAACAGATATACGCGTGGACACGACGTGTGACTTCAGGATGATTGACCAATCAAAACGTTATCAGGTTTAGCTGCACAGCAAAGCAATCTTCCCGTCTACGACTTGAAATTCAATGATCTGATCAATCGTTTCTTTAGAGTTACAATATATTATGTAATTAAATGTACATAGGGAATGTAAGAGTCATTAATATAAATTAAATCATGCAAAAGATTTAAAACTGATCTCGCGATGAAAATGCAAGACCTAGTCCAATGTAGCGGGTCATGTAGTCGTCGATCAGTGATTGAATCTCAGCCTACATGTTCATTTGAATTCAGCGATCGTTTCAACGTTTATTGTTGAAATCTTCTAACCTCCGGTTACCGATCGATGTCTACCATCCACTTAACTCTGATTGATATTTATCTGATAAAATATTTAAACTATATGATGAATTCATGCAAGATTTGTTGGTGAAAAGTCCCGACGAAAAGTGTACTTGTTTTTGACCGTGCATAATAATGAGCTAACGCTGCAGGGCCGTCGTTGATTGGTCAAATTTTACCGACATAAACATTGAGTCGGTAAAGCATGTGGCTTTCTCTTTTGTACAAGGTGGTCATAATAGAAATCAGATAGTAAAAGAGACCGACTTGGGCAAGGCTAGTCATCCATTTGCAGAAAGTAATCTCTAAGATTTTACCGTTCACTGTTATGCTCACATGTTTCCCAGTTATTCTGAGCATTATTTGCCTGCAAATTAGAGTATTATCCAAAGATGGTGCTGTAGTATACCATTGAAGTCCCCAAACAGATTTTTAATAGAACTAATTTCCTCATACCACGAAATAAACAAATGAGTAAGGATAGTACACTCATATAAAACTGTTTTATTATCCCATCGAACGAAGTTCGAAGGGATATAGGGAACGCCTCCGTCCGTCCATCCGTACGTACGTATGCACATACGTGTGTCCAGGCATAAACTCAAATACCGCTGGCCCGATTTTGTTCATATTTTGTACACATATACCCAATGGGGGTAGAAGTTCTGCTCGAAAACAGATTTTCAAAATGGCCGCTCATTTAAAAATGGCGGCCATTTTAGTGCCTATTTTACAGTTATTTAGGTTCTGCCTATAAAACTGTAAAAGCAATATGTTTTAAATGTAAAAAAGTTATATAGGACATTGATTAAGCTAGAAATGTAAATATAGAAAAAATACATGGCAGCCATCTTGAAAGATGGCTGCCTCTGCACTTCAATTTACGATTTTTGCTGTAACTTGAAAAGTAGTGGAGCGATTTTGTTCATATTTTGTATGTGAATACTTTAAGCATGGCATAATGTCTAATGACATTTTGGGTAGCAGGCGGACATTTTGAAAAATGGCCGCCATTTTTACGTGTGCTATTTTACATTTTTTACTATAACTCAAAAAGTAGTAGAGCGATTTTGTTCATATTTTATATGTGAATACTATAAGCATGGCACACTGTCTATTGACACTTTTGGTAGTAGGCAGCCATTTTGAGATATGGCCACCATTTTTTACTATCACTTGAAAAGTAGTGGAGCGATTTTGTTCATATTTGATATGTGGATACTCATGAGCCTTGCACACTGTCTCATGACACTTCGCGTAGTAGGCGACCATTTTAAAACATGGCTGTCATTTTTACATTTTTTTATTTTACTATAACTCAAAAAGTATTGGAGCGATTTTGTTCATATTTAATATGTGAATACTTTAAGCATGGTACATTGTCTCATAAAACTTTGGGGAGTAGTCGGCCATTTTGAAAAATGGCCACCATTTTTATGTGTGTTATTTTACATTTTTTATTATCTTACATCTTACATCTATCCTAGGGGAAGAAGGTTGGATCCTGTAACTCAAAAAGTAATAGAGTGATTTTGTTCATATTCGATATGTAATTACACGTAAGGATTGCAAACTGTCTTATGGCATTTTGGGTAGTAGGCGGCCATTTTAAAAAATGGCCACCATTTACATGTACGTCTGTGCAATTTTTAGAAATTTTATATGTGGCTTCTTAAAAGCGTATTACTTCTTCTGATGACAACTTGGCTAGTGAGCAACCATTTTGAAAATGGTGGCCTTTCTTATGTGTGTTATTTTATGATATTTACTATATATTTCGTTTGTAAAAATACCAGCCATTTCTGTTAGATGGAATTTGCTACGCTTTGGCGTTGCCGTTGTTCTGGTGAATATGTTTTAAATGCAAGAAATTAATTAAAGGAGCGATGGCTGTTGGATTGGATTTGCTACGCTTTGGCGTTTGTTGTTATCTAGCTTTAATGGACAAATTATTAGATTTTTTGCCAGATACAAGTAAACAATAGAATAACTTTTGCATTTGCATAATGTTTATTTACTTAAAGCAATGTGTTAAACATTAATATTAGAACTGATATGCTACTGCATTGTTATTTGTATACTGTTAATACAACATTATTTATATAACTTTATAGAGATCACAAAATGTTGAAAAAACTGCGTTGGACTGTAGGTTTCATATTTTTGATATTATGCATAATATTGTTACGGCAATATATTTTTGATAACAATCATCCAACAAGATTAACAAAAATGAGCTACAAATTGAAGGATACTGAATGGAAAATCCGGAACAAACATCCTGACTCTGAATTGGATAAAAAAATCTCATTGGATAAACTTCGATATTGTCGACATTTTCCCTGCAAGAATAAAACTGCATCAAAAAATAACAATTTACCTTTGAAAAGAAAGAAAACCATTTTACTGTACAATTCATTCTGGGAAATGAAAGGATGGCAATTTGGTGTAGGTTCAGAACCTTTCAAGAAGAAAAAATGTCATTATGATCAATGTAGGGTAACACATAATCGGAGTCTTCTAGAATCTAGTGATGCTGTTTTATTTCACATTACACAGTTAGGGCAGGACAAACCAAAAATCCGATTCCCTCACCAGCGTTGGGTGTTTTTCCAAATGGAAAGCCCAGTCTTGAATGCTAACGAGTATAAAAACTGGAATGGACTGTTTAACTGGACAATGACATATAGGAGAGATTCTGATATTCACATCAGATATGGTGCAGTCTTGCCAACATCTGAGACGAAGGACATGTATTTCTATCACAGCTCAAATGCTATAAAACTGAATGCTACCAAAAAGACCAAACCACTTGCATGGCTGGTTAGCCATTGTTACACCCAAGGTAAAAGAGAGAAACTGATGAAACAGTTACAGAAATACACGCCAGTTGACATATATGGGGGATGTAGCAACAAGAATTTAAGATGTGCAAGAAACACTAGTGCACATGATGCACAGTATGATTGCTTTATGATGCTAGGACAGAAATATAAGTTTCACTTTGCAGCAGAGAACTCGATGTGTAAGAGCTATGTTACTGAGAAACTGTTCAACACTTTGGCATATGGCATGGTTCCTCTTGTCTATGGCCATGAAGACTATTCAGAAATTCTCCCGCCACACTCCTATATTGACATTACCAAGTTTAAAAATGCAGAATCTTTAGCAACACTCCTGACAGATCTGCATAATGATGATCAACGTTATGACGAGTATTTTGCTTGGAAGAAGAACTACACTGCATTTGGTTACACTGACAGTTACCACCTCTCCTGGTGTGATCTCTGTGAAAAACTCCATACAGACACAACACCCAAAGTATACGACCACATAGACCAATGGTGGAATGAAGACACCGATTGTATTGACCCAAGTGATTTAATGAAATCATGGAACATTTAATTCACCTTATTGGTAAAGGCAATTGTTGCATACTATTTAAAAACATTATTTTGTAAATGATATATTTAGAGGTTATGTCCCTTATACGTGAGATATGCCTGAGTTCTGCCAATATATGCCAACGTTTGGAGGCTCAATATTTGAGCAAGAGCAAAGGCATATTTCATGTCAAAGTGACAAAACTGATCTAGCTTAAAGCTTATTTAACTTCTTAACATGGTTTGATTTTGATGTCATTCACTTTCAGTAAGAATAAATAATTTATCTAAATGAAAATCAAATGGAATACCTTTATTAGCTCACAAGGTGTTAGCTATTGTAATCACTCACTTGTGTTTGTCCATACATCCATCCATCTGTCTGTTTGTCAACACATGGGTGGCTTATCACTCACTTGTGTTTGTCTGTCCATACATCCATCCATCTGTTTGTCAACACATGGGTGGCTCAATCACTCGCTTGTGTTTGTCTGTCCATACATCCATCCATCTGTTTGTCAACACATGGGTGGCTTAATCACTCACTTGTGTTTGTCTGTCCATCCATTCATCCATCTGTCTGTTTGTCAACACATGTGTGGCTTAATCATTCACTTGTGTTTGTCTGTCCATCTGTCCATCCATCTGTCTGTTTGTCAACACATGTGTGGCTTAATCACTCACTTGTGTTTGTCTGTCCATACGTCCATCCATCTGTCTGTTTGTCAACACATGGGTGTGGCTTAATCACTCACTTGTGTTTGTCTGTCCATACGTCCATCCATCTGTCTGTTTGTCAACACATGGGTGGCTTAATCACTCACTTGTGTTTGTCTGTCCATCTGCCCATCCATCTGTCTGTTTGTCAACACATGGGTGGCTTAATCACTCACTTTTGTTTGTCCAGTGGTTTCAGTAACTTTGTGTACAAGAGGCAGATGAAAAATACAAGAGGCGGCATTCAAAATAACCAATTTTACGCTCCCGACAACGCAAATTCTTGTTATTTTAGAGTCCATGGACTGAAACAAAGATGTCCAAGGTTTGTCAAAGTCATTTCAACGTGTGATGTGGCAAGACATGGGCTCCACAAAATAACTCCTGGAACTGTGGAATGACTTGGGCAACTTATATAGAATGTCATTTACCTTTTATAAGATAACTTACCCTTACACACGTTGCATTTCACAAATCCAAATGCACTTGTTGAATTGAGCACTTTTGATATAAATCAAAATCTAGAATTGTCATTATTAAAATGAGAGTGATGTATTAATAGATGATTCACTTGTGATTATGTGTATATCAGATTCATTTTAGTTTTTTACCACCTCCAGAGGGTACAGGGTGTTCCAAAAGTAACAGGACTGGTGCTGGTATTTTGTTAAATATACACCAATTGTCTTCAAAATTTTACATAATTTTTGTCGAAATTGATTTAGAAATCGGTAGTCATCGGCCGGCGCCCGGCGCATATGTGGCCTAGGCATTAGAGAGAGACCGAGGTGGGAGATATCCCCCTCCCCTCTACACCAAACTTGTTCTCACTACGTTTTCGAAAATTGCCTGAAAGGCCTCCTCACACATTATTAAGGAAAACATATCTACACATTTTGCGCATTTAACCATTTGATAACATATTGTGGATCTTATCTTAATTTGTTAATGTGAATTCGCACCTCAATTTGCATGGAAGACTTGTATGTGATTCTACTTGCATGTAGCTACAAGTATTTAATTTCAATAGATGATAAACTTCTCAATATAAGAAATTTCCCTCATAAGACATTGTTGCAAGGTGTGTTGCAATGAATGTGACATCCCACATTCTCAGGCACGCATTATGTATTCTCGAAGAAAGCCATCATGATAAACCATGACATCTCATTTCTTCTCAGCCCTGAGATGATTCAGGTGAAACAGAAAGATGCTATGAGTATCAGAATGGAAGAAAGCATATATTTGCATTGATGGTGTATAGATAGTTATTTTATATAGTGTTTTTACTTGTACGTGGAAACCTATTCTAACCAGGAAGGATATTGCAACTTTTTTCAAGATCCTAAAGTTGCAATTTTCGTTATTGTGTTTCATTGTAAAGACACACAGGTCTGTGAAAGTGTGTCGCTGGTACAAAGGCGTAGTTCTAAATACATTTAAGATTTTTAAACTTGTATGTGAACATGTAGAATTATGGACCTGATGGATTTTTTCTCCCTTTATTTGTACTGTTAATACTTGGCCTGTTGAGTATATAAAGGCATACATGTATACAAGTGGAGGTTCAAACCTCCCCCATCCACACATACACTTTTTATCATGCTTAAGTAACTTCGCATTGTAATTACAAGGGCATTATAAACGAGACACCAGGATGATAAGGTAGGGGTACAATATAGGGCGCAAATCTTGAGAAAGAGTCGAAGGCATGCAAGGCAAATCCTGGAAACTCGGGTTCGGGAAAGCGGGGTTCACTGTTTGGTTCCGTTGACACCTGTGCGAAAGATGACATGGTGACATGAGATGAGATGACAAAAACACATGGGTGGCTTAATCACTCACTTGTGTTTGTCTGTCCATCCATTCATCCATCTCTCTGTTTGTCAACACATGGGTGGCTTAATCACTCACTTGTGTTTGTCTGTCCATCTGTCCATCCATCTGTCTGTTTGTCAACACATGGGTGGCTTAATCACTCACTTGTGTTTGTCTGTTCATCCATTCATCCATCTGTCTGTTTGTCAACACATGTGTGGTTTAATCACTCACTTATGTTTGTCTGTCCATCTGTCCATCCATCTGTCTGTTTGTCAACACATGGGTGGCTTAATCACTCACTTGTGTTTGTCTGTCCATACGTCCATCCATCTGTCTGTTTGTCAACACATGGGTGGCTTAATCACTCACTTGTGTTTGTCTGTCCATTCATCCATCTGTCTGTTTGTCAACACATGGGTGGCTTAATCATTCACTTGTGTCCGTCTGTCCATACGTCCATCCATCTGTCTGTTTGTCAACACATGGGTGGCTTAATCACTCACTTGTGTTTGTCTGTCCATTCATCCATCTGTCTGTTTGTCTGTCCATTCATCCATCTGTCTGTTTGTCAACACATGGGTGGCTTAATCACTCACTTGTGTCCGTCTGTCCATACGTCCATCCATCTGTCTGTTTGTCAACACATGGGTGGCTTAATCACTCACTTGTGTTTGTCTGTCCATACGTCTATCCATCTGTCTGTTTGTCAACACATGGGTGGCTTAATCACTCACTTGTGTTTGTCTGTCCATACGTCCATCCATCTGTCTGTTTGTCAACACATGGGTGGCTTAATCACTCACTTATGTTTGTCTATCCATCTGTCTGTTTGTCAACACATGTGTGGCTTAATCACTCACTTATGTTTGTCTATCCATCTGTCTGTTTGTCAACACATGGGTGGCTTAATCACTCACTTATGTTTGTCTATCCATCTGTCTGTTTGTCAACACATGGGTGGCTTAATCACTCACTTATGTTTGTCTATCCATCTGTCTGTTTGTCAACACATGGGTGGCTTAATCACTCACTTATGTTTGTCTATCCATCTGTCTGTTTGTCAACACATGGGTGGCTTAATCACTTACTTGTGTTTGTCTATCCATCTGTCTGTTTGTCAACACATGTGTGGCTTAATCACTCACTTGTGTTTGTCTGTCCATACGTCCATCCATCTGTCTGTTTGTCAACACATGTGTGGCTTAATCACTCACTTGTGTCCGTCTGTCCATACGTCCATCCATCTGTCTGTTTGTCAACACATGTGTGGCTTAATCACTCACTTGTGTTTGTCTGTCCATACGTCCATCTATCTGTCTGTCAGTCAACAAATGGGTGGCTTAATCACTCACTTGTGTTTGTCTGTCCAAACGTCCATCTATCTGTCTGTTTGTCAACACATGGGTGGCTTAATCACTCACTTGTGTTTGTCTGTCCATACGTCCATCTATCTGTCTGTCAGTCAACAAATGGGTGGCTTAATCACTCACTTGTGTTTGTCTGTCCAAACGTCCATCTATCTGTCTGTTTGTCAACACATGGGTGGCTTAATCACTCACTTGTGTTTCTCTGTCCATACGTCCATCTATCTGTCTGTTTGTCAACACATGGGTGGCTTAATCACTCACTTGTGTTTCTCTGTCCATACGTCCATCCATCTGTCTGTTTGTCAACACATGTGTGGCTTAATCACTCACTTGTGTTTGTCTGTCCATACATCCATCCATCTGTCTGTTTGTCAACACATGGGTGGCTTAATCGCCCCATACACTCATGTATATCACTATTTTCTGATTTATGCAGATATATCAATATATAAACCAACAGACCCAAATGAAGCCTTTTCATTTACATTAGCCCTTGTAATGTCATTTCTATGAGAGACCTTAAGAGGGCATCTGATTAAAAAGACATTGGAGTTATAAGGGGGCATGAGAATAAATGAGGGCATCAGAGTTAAAGAGGGCAAAAGGACTTGAAAGTTTGATACTCCAAGCTGATATCATGGAAGGAGTCTTAGTGAGAGAGGATTGTTTAGGATGTGTGAATGAAAGATTAGTTGAAGATTTCAAGATTTTATCTGCTATGATAATATCAATATATATTTTTATAAATGATTAAATAATTTTCGTTTATATTTTGTATTATTTGCATTGTATTGGCTGCTTCTGTAGTTTACACATGGTAGTAGTTCTTTGAATATATTTGTGCTGTGTGAAATATATTTTGGTAGAAAAAGAATGAATGAATAGTAGATATAAATAATAAATGTCTTATTAATTGGCTGACTGAAAATCTGTATAACTTTGTACGCGGAGTGTTCATAATGTATTTGACTTAAAATCGTGTTTAATCTTCATGAGTATAGTACAAATTGAACTCTCCGTGTAGAATATAATCAAATATTGTAGTATGTAGTAGGAGCTGGGTCAACATTGAATATCAGGGGATCATTTTATTTAAATCTAGATTCATCAGAGCTGTGTATATGACATATCAGTCAGTTCTCTACCTTCATTCAAGGGGGAACACCTTATGTTGACTGACTTGAGTAGAAAACAATGGGTGCGGATAGTATGAGCGTGTGGTGCGGAACCAACACTAATTTTTTAAGCACTCATTTATCTGCACCGACTGCTTTCTCTGTGTCCAGTCTGCATAGGGAGGGAGAAATCAAAGGTGGCTTTAATTGCAAATTCAACATTTCATATATTCATTAAGTTGACCCAGGGCCTCATATATTGTAATGCATTGATCAGAGAGGTTTGTGGAGTTGTCCTTGACATAGAGAGAAGACAAAATATGAGCCAGAGTCTATTATCCTATACTCTTCATTCTAATATGCTTATAAATTTACACAAAGATAATGAACACATATAACTGTAATATACTCATATAGTTACATCCTTTGTTACACATAAGGTTCTATCGTACACATAAAACACCTATATCTTCTGTAAAGGTACACACTATCCTACATTACACATTTAGGGAATCAATTCGGAAATTCTCCCTTATATGCCTTATGAGAATTTGGATTACACATACATTCATACTTACTAATTACCAGTTTGATTTTCAATCATATGAAAACTTCATACCTTTTTAATTCAAGATACATACATTCAATTACATAAATATTTGAAACTTTATACTAAAATATTGACTTATTAAACATAAAAATCTATCTGTCATATGATAAAATATTTGGCTGTCACATATAAAAATCTCCTGTTTATTGAAACAATCCTCCATTGCATAAATACAGTAAAACCTGTATATCCAAACACCTATGAACACAAAATCTGAACACCTCATATCCAAACACCTTTTTTCTTGGTACCAATTTTTTTTATCTTCCACCCACTCTCATATAAAATCCTTGAAATGTGAACACCTGCTTTTTGAACACTTTTGGCCAGTCCTAGTTATATTCCGATTAGACAGGTTTTACTGTATGTCCTATTTTGCCCACATATTTTGTTGTCTCTCTATGTAACACGGAAGTTTGGCTGTAATATTGCATCTGATGACTGTTTTTCTGCTTTGATATTTAGGTAGGCCTAGCACGCCTAAAAAAGCTTCTTCTGGCTCAAAAGGTTGGTATGGTATTCTTAATACTTTAAGCATCCTCCAAACACAGGACTTCAGAATTTGTACCTCCTACCAGAGTAAGAAGATATCCTTGATCTTGAAGACCTGAGTTTGGAGGATATTCTTTCAGTTAATGAGGGTTTTTTGAGTGCTGGGGGGCTTTGAGAGATTGCTTTATTAAAATATATAACAATATATACTTCCTATTGACTTAACATGCAAATCAAGAAGGTTTTTTAGGGGAAAGTCTTTTAGGGGACAGATATATACACTCAAACCCCCTCATTGACTCTAGTATAATGCCACAGACTGTTGATAGTCACTTTCCCTCAAAAGAAACTGTTTGTATTGTCTGGAATTTTTCGTATTTCAAAATCATTCAACATATCAATTGAAATCTTAAGAGCTTGATGACGTTCATTTTTTCGAGAATTCCATTAATAATTTGAATTTTGTTGAAAGTCTAATTGCAGACCATGTTGAGAAAATGATCAAAAGAAGTCAGGAATTGCAATTGATACATAGATCAGCAATTGAATTTTAGCCTTTGTGTAAAATGTTGAAGTTCAAATGTCCGATGCTTGTTTCTTGAAAATAATTTGAATTAAGATTCATGAATTTCACTTGTCTTTTGCGATATTGCCAAAATTATACCATGAAAGACCATTCGATGCCATTAATCGAGAAATGGTCTCATCCACATAATTGATGCTCATAGATCTTTCCGATAAATCCTGCCACCTTTTGATACATCAGAGAAACTTTGATATATTGGCTAGCTTGATGATGTCATAGGTTGTATCTTTTGAAATTGGCAAGTTCATCCTGTTTTTGCATGGTCAGATTTCTACCTACAGCCAATGACATCATCAATTTAGCCAATATACCAGTTTTTCTAATGTACTAAAAGGTGGCAGGATTTATCAGAAAGATCTATAAGCTCAACTTGAGTTGAACTTTTTATCACATCTAAAATCTCCACATTTTGTCTCGGGAAAGTGTCTAATGACCTACAGTGGCTCCCTCTATTACTTAGATTAAATTCAGCATGAACAATGCAAGAATATGATTTATCTAATAAATAAATTCATGAATGAAATTAAAGTTGTATGCTTTCTTGTTAATCTCATTTAGTAATTATAATATGCATGTCGATGTGAACTAGTTAATTGGTGAGAGGTCGGATCAAAATATCAGCGCCTATCAAAAACTTAAATTGTTTTTTTTGCTCAACCTCCCTGCATTAAATGAAACCACATATACTTGAACAAAGGATTTATATCCCCTCCACCACAAATATAACATTATATTAGGTTTTTTGATGGACACTGATTTTTGGACCTGGCTTTTTGAGAAGTTATTATAGATATGATGTGAACTTCCTAACAGGTTTGCATATAATTTTAGAAAATTAATTAATGCCTTATCAGATTTGCAGTTGAGAAATGTGAAAAAGCTGAAATATTCAAAATATTCTCCCCTAAAGAATCTGATGAATGCTTTGCTTTAGTTTATGGAGGTCAATCATTTAACCATGAAAAATAACAACTTTCTATTCTTATTCTCACTCACTAGTATCAATTCTCCACATTCTACCGAAAGACCTTTACCTTACAAAAGTAAAGAAATTAGAATTGAAAAAAATGAACTTTCACCCTGGATCATCCTTTGTTAAAAGGCCAGTTTCTATAAAGCTGATCCTAAATTACCCTGATATGTTTTGTAACTTATGGTATGCTGGTTGTTGAATGAACACAGAATGAAATCCTGCACTAAGGGCTGATGTAAAAAGTCAGCCCACCCCAGAAGGGATCGAATCCAAGACCCCTGGCTATCTTGATAAGTGCACATTGCATATTCAATAGAATTGTACAAATCTACCTTTTACAAAGTCAATAATTCACTTTCTATATGAACAATTTTTCGAGCTTTCAAGAAAAGAATGGTTATATCAAAATCTGTTCATGGTACAACTCACATATCATTTTGAAGTATTTTGCAATCATTTCGGATGAAGATTCAGATTATTACCCTCTCTTTAATAGGGCACAGTATCCCCGATAAGGACATAGTGTATAGTCCTTAAAAACTGACAATCTCTATTGTTTAGTATCCTTGTTTGCAGGTAAAGCCCCAGAGTTCAACTGCCTTCCCAACAACTTCAGGTGTCCTGGCACGGAGACTTGTATTCTCATAGAGAAATTATGTGATGGTCATATTGACTGTAAGATAGACCGTGCAGATGAGGGCTCTCAGTGTGGTATGTTTTATAGTCTATTGCATTTATATATGCATTTAGTTGATCTAATCTGAATAGCTCTAAATGTGAACATTTCCTTTTGTCCCATTTTTCAAATCTTCCACAAACTTCCATGTCATAAAACTTGAAATATGAACACCTGCCAATCTGAACACTTTTAGCTAGTCTCAGTGGTGTTCAGATAGGACAGGTTTTACTGTAATATACATGTGATGTTTTATTTTATAGCTAATAGAGACTGCTTGAGGAAGAACTGTATTCATGGGTGCAAGAGCAGCATCAATGGTCCACTGTGCTACTGCGAACAGGGGAAGTTCTACAATGATTCTGCTCAAACGTGTGAAGGTATGAATTGGAACAAAATTTATACCTGTATTCCACTCAACTAATATTTTTCAAAAGAGCTACAGGGTGTTCCATATGTTTCAGGAATGATGCTGTGTTTTATTGGTTTTCTTTTCAATCTAACTGAATTTTTGACAGAATGTGTCTACACATGTTTTGAACAAGTTAGGAAAGTTTCATATCGTGAAGTTCAGTAGTCTTAATTATATGGTTGCTATAGTAACCTAGGGGTAGGGTAGGTGGAGCAGGTGTAACAACGCGCAAAGTATATGAAATATTTGTAAAAATAGGTTTTTTTGTACGAAGTGCGACTAAGTATTAGGTTGTCAGAGTATGATCAAACTTGTCAGTAATTAAACAAGAATGAATGTGGATTCCAAGAAAGTAAAAAATGTCATCACCCTTGATCACATCACAATTTAAACACCTGTCATGTCATGAGTCACAAAGGAGAATAAACACAGGTCATTTTGGACGAGCGGCCATCTTGAAAAGTGAAAAAGTCATTAGCAAAGGAAAACTTTCGACTAAGGCAACACACAACAATCTGTGACAAGACATGACATGTGTGAATAACAGTTTTCTGCAGCAGACATAATTAAACTCCTGACGAATGCACATGGGGAGTCAATGATGGTAACCTCTAGAGTGTATGAGTGGTACACGCAGTTCAAATCTGGAAGGGAAACTGAGACCGATTATCCAAAATGTGGATTTCTGAGAAAAGTGAGAGCGCTAACTAATGCGGAAGGGATAGATGCTGAAATAATGATGATGGCTAATAAAGGGTGTGATAACATTTTTAATTTCCAGGAATCCACCTTTATTCTTTTTAATTTCCAACAAGTTTGATGCGACTATGACAAATTAATACTTTGAACACTTTATACAAAACCTACTATTTTTACAAAAATGTCATGTTTTGCGTGTTGTTACACCTGCTCCACCTACCCTACCCCGAGGTTACTATAGCAACCATATTGTTCAGTCTACTGAGCTTCATGATATGAAACTTTTCCAACTTATTCACAACATATTTGGACACATTTTGTTAAAATATCAGCTAGATTGAAAAGAAAACCAATAAAATACAGCATCATTCCTGAAACATATGGAACACCCTGTATATTGCAATTGTCTTGTGCTGCTTGGCTTGATAATTTGTATGTTGAATAATCTTTTTGGAACAACTATACACAGATGAAAAAAGTAGTTTGTTATATGAAAATAGCTTAGCAATAAATAACCCCTAGATTGCACATTTAGGTATTAGATAAAAGTCACTTATTGTATAGGATTCTACTGTTTGGGTGTGAAATCCAAATAAGAATCATGTTTATTTCAAACTGACCTCAAATATACATTAACATATGGTTGTCTGTTACCTTTGATAAGTATCTATAAACCGTTACTTGACTTTTATTTTTCAGATTTCGATGAATGTTCACTAGATGGGTTCTGTGACCAGCATTGTGTGAATACAGTAGGGAGCTATAATTGTACCTGTGCAGATGGCTATAGACTTATTAAAGACAAACTCACTAATAAAACTTCTTGCAAAGGTAAGCTTGCTGATGTTGTAGAATCAAAACCTCTTATTGTCATAACTGTCGTATAAGTCCTAAAGATCTGAAGAGTTCAATTAATATCACACTGGAAAGGTGTTATAGTGTTGTCCTTGTGTGGTGCTGGGGCGATTAGCACCACATAATTCCGGGCATCAAAATTCAAGGAAAATTGATTATCAATTGAATTTTTACAGATGCAAGAGTAGACTAGTGCTAGTTAAATCTGATTAGGTTTTCAGCATAAATAAAGCAAGTAATTCTTTTTAGGAGGTCAATACCAATTGCACTTTCTATGATACATGTATATCCAGGAATGTATTGCCCTCGCTTTACTGGCTGCGGCCATATGAACAGGTATTGGCCTTCATAGAATGAAATATTTGCTTAATAACCTCTTGTTATTTCAGTGACTGGCAATGAAGAACCCAGACTTTTATATTCAACTACAAAAGAGGTGCTGCTCTACAATACTACAGGGAAAACTAAAACTAAATTATATACAAGTAACACTTCACGTCATACAGCAAATATGCTCATCTTCAACCATAGAAATGCCACAGCATGCTGGGTAAGGATCTCCTTTGTTTCTATGATATGAAAATGTCAATGTTTGTAATAACATAACAAAGACTGGGTCCTCATTCCCTTGTCATCAAACCTTGTCCAACTCCAACATTGGAAGTATATTATCATCCATTAAATGTTCAGTTATGGGTTAGAATAGAATTGGTTTTGTGAAAAAATGACACTTTTATATGTGACCCAGCTCTATATTAAATGACATAGGATTTTTAATTCTATATGATTCCAATATTGACTTGCTTTTATTGTTGATTAATACTGTGATAGACATTGCCAAATAAACAGGGCTGACCTTAAACAATTGGTGTCTGGATCTTTCTCGGGAAGGTTGTAGCCTTCATTTCAAAGTATAATATAACTGTCTTAAATATGTTTTCTTTTATTGATATATTTTCAGGTTACAAAAGTAATGAAGACCACCCTGGTCCAATGCTCAACTATACCTGATAAAACAACTACAACAACAACTACAACAACAACAACAAATACAACATTATCTACCTGGACACTTAACATGTCTTATGATTTATCAAGTATGTATTTCTCTTTATCACATTCAGGCAAAATACTTTTTAAGTTTAAAACAAGTCACCTTTTGACCATTAAACACTAGTATTTAGACTTACTATTGATACAAATCATATTTTCTATAAATCAAAATGTAATAAGAATTGCTGTCCTACTTAACAGATTTTTTCTACGGCCACTTTAAAGTGAGACTTACAATTTCCATTCAGGTACAACTGATATGGCCATAGATTGGTCGACTGGTAATATCTACTTCACGGATGACACACGTCAAATTATCTTCCTGTGCAATACCAAATCTATGTGTGTAACCTTGCTTTGGACTGAATTATCAAGGGTAAAAAGTATTGATGTGGACCCCTTAGCAAGGTTAGTAATTTTTATCCCACCTAACAAAGTTCGTGGGGGATATAGGAAAGCTGTCCGTCCGTCCGTTAGTTCATTCGTCTGTCGGGGTGATAACTCAAATACTTGACGGATTTGATTCAAATTTTATAGGCTTATGCCTTATAGGTGTAGGACCTCTGCTCGAGGGAATTTTCAATATGGTCGCTCAATTCTAAATGGCCACCATGTTTTGTAAAAAATGTAATCTTTGATAACTCCAATACTAGTGGATGGATTTAGTTCAAATTTTATATGATGATGCCTAAAGACAATGGAGCTTTGCTCAAGAAGAGATTTTCAAGATGGTCGCTGAATTTAAAAATGGCTGCCATTTTTTTGTAAAAAATGTAATCTTTGATAACTCAGATACCAGTAAACGGATTTGGGTCAAATTTTCAAGATGGCGGCTGGATTTCAAAATGGCTGCCATTTTTTGTAAAAAACCTAATCTTTGATAACTGAAATATTAGTAAACGAATTTCCTTCAAATTATATATGCTGATGCCTAAGGACAAAGTAGCTCTGTTTGAGAAAGAATTTTCAAGATGGCGGCTGAATTTCAAAATGGCAACCATTTTTCGTAAAAGAACGTAATCTTTGTTAATTAAAATGCCAATTGACAGATTTGGTTCAAATTTTATATGTTGATGACTAGTGACAAATGAGCTCTGCTCAAGAAGAAATTTTCAAGATGGCGATTAAATTTTAAAATGGCCACTATTTTTCGTTATCCACCAAACAAAGAAATTTTGAATTGAATAATCAGATATTATCAGAATTATTGTAACTGTGTGTATGCTGTTAGTACAATAACGTCATTTCGAAGGGCAATATAGTGAAATATTGAACCGAGGGCCGAAGGCAGAAATGCAGAAATGACGTTGTAATATTACCACAGTTGATGACCAGGGCTCAAATAGCAAGAAAATCTTACACACTGAACAATATCTAATTTCCCGGGGAAAATTGCCAGTCGTTAATTGAAAAAATTAAATAAATGCCTTTTAAACTAGCACTTATACCCCTAGAACAGGCCTGGTAAGGTGGTAATAATGCAAATTGCTTTTTTCAGACTTATGTTTTTCACTGATTGGGGTGAACATGGAGAATTCCCAAGACTTGAGCGAACAGATTTAGATGGAGGTCATAGGCAAGCCATTCTCTTCAAGAAGTCAGGCAGTATTGCACTGGATTATGTCAACCGACATATCTACTTGGTGGATACCACATTTAAGAGACTAGAGAGGGTTGATTATGATGGCCAGAACTCAAAGACCATATTACAGGGGAGACTGGTATGTCTTTACAATGTACCATTTCACATGTAATTACCGTTAAGCTAAGGTTGGGTCTATAATGAATACCGATCTATTTCGGAGAACTAAGGAAACTATGTTATATTAGCCTGAATTATAATGCCATATTTAACAAAATACCCTAGAAATACTCCAGAATTCATAAATGTAAATACATGTATGAACGTCTTGACCTACATAGAGATAGATTCAGCTACGAATTCTTGGGTATTCCCCCCTCTTATTCCTGCCCTTAAATTGGGAGAATCACATTACAACCAATAGGTGGTATGATTTATTATTGAATAGAAAACTCATTAAACATTCAATATGTATCTTATATGTTTTCTTAAATGCACACTGCTCCAGTTTTTAGATTAAGACTAAATTTTCCACTTATTATTATGCAATTGCCATTCAGAGTACTGTACGCTCTCTTTCAGATGGAACATGTGTTTGGTATCTCTGTGTTTGAGAATTACATCTACCTTGCCAGTCAGAGAGATAAGTCTGTTACCAAAGTGCATCGCTTCAACAGTTCAGATGTCACAACTGGACTTTGTAAGATGACAGATATGCCCTGGACGCTGCATATATACCACAGGCAGAGGCAACCAGAGTGTAGGTTTCTTATGTCTTCTTATTTCATGAACAGTAACACCTGGTTAGTCTGAACACCACTGGGACTGCCAAAAGTGTTCAGATCGGGATGGAGTAGGGGGTCAAGCAAGGGTTTCAAAATTAAGGTCATAATATCTTGGATGGAGGACCCGCCAAAACCCAACGCTCGCTTGGGCTTCTTATCCATTCCATTTTCAAATTTGAAATTTTTGCTTTAAGCCATGATTAGTCGATGGCAGATAAAAAAGGTTTTCAGATACACAGGTTTTACTGAAGTTGATATTGCTTCAAATCTCTGCCCTCCCTTGGTTTGAAGCAAGATTACATTTGGTTTATAGGAGTTTCCATGTACATATGCTTTCATATTTTCCCCTTTGGGCTTTCTGATAATTTAAGAAGGCTATAGTGTCAAGAATAACATGATTCCTCCTACATAGAATGAATTCTCTACTAAATTTATCCAGAATAAACTGATTCTAGTTTCCATTAACAAAATAAAAAAGGGTACTGTTTTTTCCATGGTGGCAAAGGATATTGTAAATGCTACAGAAATTGTTATTAATTGCTATGGATACCCCATTTACATTGATTAATTTACATTGTAGCCGCTGACAAGCCATGCAGTAATCTGACATGTGACCATCTTTGTGTACCATATTTGGATGACACAACGCAGACAACCAAAGCCAGATGTCTCTGTCAGGCTGGATATATACTACAACCAGATGGCACCACATGTCAATGTAAGTCATGAATTCTATCATTTCATTCCAGACAAAATTCATAACACAAAAAAGTTCATGAATATCATGATTAGTGATTCACTGGTGTAATTTGTTCGATTTTTGTGCAAGCATATTAAAGCAGAGCTGTGTATGTCAAGGAATTTCACAATAAGTTGTTTTAATGTTCTTAGTTCTTTTAGAATATCTATATATTATTCAAATGATTATAAAAAATTCAAATGAATTGATGTGCTTTTGCGAGATCATCTCCAGATTTTCTCAAAATCTTTCTAAACATACTATTTAATTTTGATTTTTATTAATTTTGTTGCAGCACCTTTGGGTGAGAGGAATACTAGTTTCCTGATTTATTGTAACGGTCCCCAGGGTCGGGTAATGGGCATAAGCTCCAGTGTGCAGAACCAGGTCCAGGAGGTCATGGTGCCCATAGACAACCTTCAGCGCCCTCTGGCTTTAGATTATGACATAAATGAACAGTTTATTTACTACTCTGATGTGGAAAAGGGAAGAATAGGAAGAGCCAGAGTGAATGGATCTGACAGAAATGATGGATTTATATCTAAAGGTAAAGGAAAAGCGGCATTTCAATTTCAGTTGATTTAACACATTACATAAAAAATATTTATATTTAAAATATAATATCACATAAAAAATATTTTTTATATTGTCATGTTCCATGCTTTTATGGAAATTAATGAAATTAAGTGCAATATACGAGGAGTGAAAGTAAAGGATACTTTTACATGGATGCTTTTTGTGGAGAGAAGAGCTCTCATTTGAAGGGTTCTTTATTATGAACTCAACAAAAAAGTGGCATAACGTCTAGATTACTCTAGAGTATGGTTTGTTGTTTGATTTACATCACATTTATGCATTGTATTAAGACATATTGAGAAATGAAGCTCTGTTTCCAGGTATTAACAATGTGGAGGGCATAGCCATTGATTGGTTGGGTAAGAACATATATTGGACAGATGATGGATATAAGAGTATAAGTGTCGCACCCCTGTCTGATCCCACCAAGAGGAAAACTCTTATTAGTTTTAACCTAGAGCACCCAAGGGCCATTGTCGTTGACCCGAAAGCAGGGTAAGATGTCTTCTCTTCTTGTAAATTTCACATAAATTCTACACATCATCACTTGCATTTTCTTTATGTATTGTAAAATACTATTTTGTTTACTACATTGTGTGATGATGAATCTTTGTATAAGAGTATTTGTTATTAATTTTTAATTATGCTATTCATAAAGTTCTTTATATTCACAAAACAATCTTGCTTTATATGTTTACTGTTTATATTGCAATAACCTAGTTTTATAGCAAATCATGTGCTTCTCTGTTTCTAGTTTAATATGTTTAGCATTATCATTACAGTTTGTTTTATTTTATTATTACTTGCTTCTAGACTATATTTATGTTAAAGCGACCTGTAATGCCAAATGGCGATTGGTCTTGCTTTCTTGTACTTTGTAAATTACTATGATTTAAGAATAATAAAAACATTAATAATAATAATAATCATTACAGTTATGTGACTTTCATGAAATCCTTGAAATGAAGAGTGGGATTATATTTTACAGCCTTATGTTTTGGAGTGATTGGGTCCAGAGCCCATCAACCATAAATCAGGCGAAAATAGAGCGTGCTAATATGGATGGCTCCGATCGTCAAATCATAGTAAATCACAGCAGTTCTGAGCCGCTGCAATGGCCTAACAGTCTCTCATTGGACACAGCACAGAAGACACTTTACTGGTGTGACGCACATACTAATAGAATTGAGATGATTTACTACAATGGAACTCACAGAAATGTATGTTTTGTTTTAATTTTTGATAAATAAGGATATATTTTGAACATGTAGAACATCTAGATTGCATTTGAATATGAGCATCTATTTTTGCTATATAATATAATTTATACAAAATTGATAATTCTCAATGATTACATTTACATCTTGTAATTTGACCTACTTTCGCAATTTGACCTACTTTTGCAATTTGATCTATTTTTGCAACTTGACCTATTTTTAAAGAAATTTCCATGCAAGAGGACTGAAAGTGGTGTCATTTATCTATGAAATCACTAGCCTGATCGATGATGCATGGTATTGAATTAATTTTTTTCATTTTTATTGAATTAATTTTTGTTTCATAGACAATATTAACAGCTGACAGCAAGTCCCTGAAGCATCCTTACGGCCTTGCCCACGAAAGACATGTGACACCTGAGCCCCAGGAGGATGGGATCTACTTCTATTGGACCGAATACACGGACGGCTTAGTGAAGAGATTCGACACAGTCTCCAATAAGACTATAGAGCTGAGACACGATAGCTCTCCTATTTTCCAGATAAAACTCTTTGATAACAGCTCACAGCTTGGTAAGTTTAATGTATTACCCAAACCAGAAATCAGTAAGTGGAATGAAGTTGCCAAATTTTAAAATTATCAATAGACAGGTGTATCATCAAGAACAAACCAGACATCACATCTTAAATATGACAGCAAAAAAGTGCATTACCTGCTTCATACATTTTTGGGATAAAGAAACTTGGAATTTAATTGGAAAAACATAACTATTTCCATTTACTATTGTAGCTGCCAGTAAAGTTCTCAGAAACCCATGTGACCTCTCTCGCTGTGAGGAGTTATGCCTGATAGTGCCTGGTGGTTATAAATGTGCCTGTAAAGACAACCATCATGTCATTAATGGAACTGCCTGCTTGAGTAAGTATTATATATGATAATAGATGTATCCTTAAAAGAGCATTTTGTGAATCGAATCTTAGATAATCCATTACATTTATTAATGTATGCACATATATTCATAAACCAATAGTATGTACCTATACATTTATATTACAACCATTCATATTATTTCCCATTAAGGTACAGCAATAAGTCCACCTGATGGTCCCCATGTATGTAATAAAGACAGTTTCCAATGTGATAACAAACTACAGTGCATAAACAAAGAGTGGCTCTGTGACGGGGATGACGACTGTTCTGATAAGTCAGATGAAAACGCAACACGCTGTTGTAAGTTGACAAACCCAAAAGTTGCTTATTAAAAATATCATGTCTTACAATTCCTGAAATTCATTTGTTTTTATGAAATTACAAATGTCAAACTTAAGAATTGTCAACACAAGAAAATAACAGATCTTTAAAAAACTTCCTCTCTTCATTATTCTTTAATTCTACCTTGATTTACTCTGTATACCATATACATTTCAGTTAATCAGACTTGTAAGGATGATAATATGTGGGCATGCCCTCACCCAGATAGTAACCCTCAATGTGTATATTCACTGTATATAATATACATTTCAGTCAACCAGACATGTAAGGATGATAATATGTGGGCCTGCCCTCACCCAGATAGTAACCCTCAATGTGTATATTCACTGTATATCATATACATTTCAGTCAACCAGACATGTAAGGATGATAATATGTGGGCCTGCCCTCACCCAGATAGTAATCCTCAATGTGTATATTCACTGTATATCATATACATTTCAGTCAACCAGACATGTAAGGATGATAATATGTGGGCCTGCCCTCACCCAGATAGTAATCCTCAATGTGTATATTCACTGTATACCATATACATTTCAGTCAACCAGACTTGTAAGGATGATAATATGTGGGCCTGCCCTCACCCAGATAGTAATCCTCAATGTGTATATATACGTTGGATGTGTGATGGAGAACCTGACTGTAAACACAATGAGGACGAAGACCCCGCAAACTGTGCAAGTAAGCATAGAATTTGTAGTCCCACATACATGACAGTTAAGGGTCATTAACTTGCACATTTAAGCTTCATTTAGATAGATACATTTTCTCTTTAATAATAGATATCATCGACAAAATATTCAGAAATAAACAAGACAATGGTTTGATGAACCATTTATTAGACGCATCACACAACAAACTATGAAAAAATAATATATAAACCTTGATAGGGGATCAAACAGGATTAAACTTTCTTCCCCTAGGAGAGATGTAAGATTATTAGGACAATTAATTGTACATCTTGCTTGCAAATTTGTCACCCCTCTAGCTCTGATTCACCTCCCCATTATTTATGATTGGAAAATGTTATTTCTAGATATGACATGTCCAGAAAACTACACGCGATGTCCAGACACTAATAGATGTATCTTAAAAAGCTGGTTCTGCGATCATGAGTCAGATTGTGCAGATGGATTTGATGAACTGAACTGCAGTAAGTCTAATGTGTTGCTTAGAGAGAACATTAACTTTGCAATTTTCACAAATAATAAACATGTACATACTTATTGAATCAAGTATTGTTTTTGGTCATCAAATTACCAAAAGAATCGTGAGAACTTGAGAGTCTCAAGTATTTGATAAATTGCAAGTATATACTCGTACATCTTGAGTCATCTTGCAATGATGCTTTTCAGACTACACAGATTGCGAGCCACACCAGTTCAAGTGTGATAACGGGAGATGTATTCTGAGGTCCTATGTTTGTGATAGAGATAATGACTGCAAAGATGGATCTGATGAAGTGAGTAGTTGTCAGCATTTCGACTCACAGCTACCTGACAGCCAATCACAAATCGCAACCTGTTTTCGCTCTGGCAATGAACTTAGAAACTGTTTGCGACTGATCTCCTTTTACATCCTCAGGGATCGTTAGAATTTAAATCACATTTTGAATTTACATTTGTTATTTTTTGACAATATCATTTGTTCTTTAATTGTTTAATTAATGTATTGAGCCAACTTAACTATTAAAGTTTCAAAATTATTTATTGACCCTTAAAATGTTGTCTTATAATTGTAGAGGTTTTGTCAATACAAGTGTGACAACCTCACAGAGTTCAGGTGTGACAATGGGCGGTGTATCTCTAAGATGTTTAAGTGTGACGGAGATGACAATTGTGGCGATCATTCGGATGAACATGCTTGTGGTAGGTGCCCCCATCTGTGATTATGCTTTGACCACTTTGATCAAATTGAAAACATATTTAATATCTACTTATTTCTAATTGCTATTATATATACTCAGTATAATTATCAGTGCACAGAATTATGCATTTGTGGAGTTCTCAAAGAATTAGTTTGACCCATAAAATGTCTACATAATTTTTCTGAATTTTGTGTTCTGCTGATTATGACAAATTGTGCTATATTGTTTGAATGTGAGGTCATTTATGTTTTGTGTCTGAAAATTTAAGAGTGTTTTGCTTCATAACATGTCAGTTGATCGATCATAATTGGGAATTTGTAAAGCAAAGCTAATTTGTATTTTGTTTAAAGTCCTTATGTCTGTGAGCCTGGTCATATATTGAAATATTTGGAATGTGTTTAGATGAACGCCCCAATGTTTGTGAGCCAAGTGAGATCCAGTGTGATAATGGGGACTGTGTTCCAAGGAAGTGGTGTCATGATGGAGATGACGATTGCGGAGATGGTACGGATGAGAGATCCGACACAAACTGTAGTGATGGTACGTGGAAATACTTCGTAAAAGCTTCTACATCTGCAGTTGCTTTGTAATTTCATTTATCTCCGAAGGTTATGGGAAATTTGCACTTGAAACACAGGCTTAAAGGGTTTAATTTAGACCAATTTAATCATTAAGTTTATACAAATTCACAATAACAACTCTATAAATTCAGGGTCATAGTCAGGATAAATTTAAGAAGGCGAAGTAATTTCATGCTTAATGGGGTATATTACTTCAATTGAACTTCTTTTTCAGTTTTAGTTTAAAAAAAATGTCGGAATAAAAGTAGTATTTTGGTGAGGCAGTTGCCTCGCCTGAATCATGCCTGGCTATGACCACATAATTAAAGTGCTAACTACACACCCATGATAAATGAAAACCTTATTACGCAACCAATTATCGCTATTTGCAGCCACGTCTAAACATGATAAACTCGAGTGTCTCTCCACTGAGTTTCTCTGCGCTGGAGAACTTCCCAACAAGGGTCAACATTGTATACCTAAGGCCTGGATATGTGATGGCCACAACGACTGCTCTGATAACTCTGATGAGGGAAACTGTACAGGTATAAGGGTTTATTTAAACATACTACTGTAAAATGTGTCTAATTGATACACCAATGGAACCAGCTAAAAGTGTTTGGATTGACAGGTGTTTACATTTCAAGTTTTTTAACAAGGTAATCCATGACAGAGTATAAGATGGAACTGAAAAAAGTGTTCACATTGATAAGTGTTAGTTTTACTGTCATACTACTGATTTAACACATCCAGTTCAACACTAATATATTTTTATTTATATCATTGAGCAATGAAGTTAGTGTTGCTCATTCCATGGTTCAAAATTAACATATAACTCATTACCAATGATTATCACTTTTCAATCTTGGCAACTGGTTGGCTATTGCACATTCGAAACCTAATTGGAGCTTGTGTCTTGGAGTGTGTGTGTTGGAGCCATGATTTGTTTTCAAACGAGTGATGATACTTCGATGAAAATTCTGAATCCCATGGAGCGTTTTACTGTAATGTCTTCACTGGACAATATCCACATTTCCATGATTTTCATCAATGTTTGATTTTGATAATAATTTACATTCTCTATTTCCGACTCCAGTCCCATGCCCAGTGCCCAGTAGACCCTGTGATAAAGACCCCAGTATCTGCATCAGTGCTGAAAAGCTTTGTGATAACTTTGAAGACTGTGAGGATGGCTCTGATGAAGGCTTGTTATGTGGTAAGGTATTTTTCAGTCAACCATTAGATCAATTCATTTTTAAGTATGCTTTTCGTCATCTAGAACAACCAAAAATAAAGAAATAAATGAGTTGTAAGTGAGAGAAATATTTATTGATCAAATGTTTTTGTGTGTTCAAGCTTAAATCAAGCTTTATGTAGAAATATTATAATCTCAAAAACAGTATGCTGAATTCTATTGAAATATGCTATTTCAGGGATAGAGTCATGTGCTACTGCAGGCCATGTGTGTAGTCATTATTGTCAGAATTCCCCTGATGGTTTTGTATGTACATGCCCCAAAGGCCTTAAGATTGACCCATTGAACACTACGGAGTGTGTCCGTAAGTACACTAAGACAATAAATATTTATGGGTCACGAAAATTGAAATTAGTTTTTCATTAAAAGCTGCAAAAACTATTTGCCCAGCAACTTTATATTTGAAATAGAACCCAATTGATCCATTATTTACTCTGAAATCTGAACTGAACTTAAGATATAAATTTCAGATCAGAGTCCAGATTGTGGAGAGTGGGGTGTCTGTAGCCAAAAGTGTCACCAAGGAAAACATAGAGCTATTTGCAAGTGTCTCCATGGCTACGAACTAATGCCAGATCAGTTTACTTGTGTTCCTATAGGTGAGTACAAAAGATGCTACCATTACACAAACACAACATTACACAAACAAACATGTGGCTTGTCATGAGTGTGTATCATTGTCATTAATCTTCACTTAAGATCCATATCAATTGCCAATTTTTGAAAAAAATAAAGCTTTCTTAATGCAATATAGCGAAAGGTTAAATTAAAAATAGATTATGACTATTAACACTATTGATATGAAAAAGGTTTTAAATTAGTTTTTCAAAATTGGATGTGATTGTAACTACCGTATTTAAATTACATACTTTAAGAAATATGAGAACTTTGTATATGCTACTTTCCACTTTACAACATACCTCTAGGGTGTCATGTGAAATTGATTTGATTTGAATTGAAATTGTATTTTTCAGACAATGATGATGTCCCATTGTACGTCATATTCTCCAACCGACATGAGATTCGGAGATTAGACATCAAAGGGGAGACATATGTCCCTCTCGTGACTGGTTTAAGGAACACAATCGCAGTTGACTTTCTATATAGCAACTCCAGCGTTTTCTGGACTGATGTTGTTGATGATAAAATATACAGAGGAACAATGATGGCAAATGGTAAGTTCATAGAATATGTATTCCTATTTTGAACTTCCACTTTCACATAATTAGGGGCCAACTCATAGGTCTGATATGGAACTTACATTTTTATATCTTCATCTATTGAGAATCATTGGTAGGTTATCAATTATTAAAGTACCCTATTCATCAAATTGCAGTAACAAACTTTTTTCTTTATGTGTGAAGAATTAGTATATCACTTTTGAGATGACCCCTTAAATACATATTATATTATATGTGTCAATACCTCCATTAGAGAGGTATAGGAATATTCAGTTGGTGGAGCTTTTTAAAGAAAAGTTGCTTAGCAAAGTTATACACTTCAAAATCCTTTTTATATCTCTTATTTAAGTAATCCATTGTTTTATTTGAAGGTTTTGGATTTATATGTCCAGTCCATTGAACTGCCGTGTTTTGTTTCTCTATTATTGTATTAGATGGAAAGAATGTTGGTAACAGCTTTGCTAAAGCTTGGAGGGTCTCCGCATAATATTCTGTTATCCCAACTAGGAGGTACTCTTCCTCAATAGTTCTCTTTACAGTCGCCAATGTGCATTTTTTCTCCTTTTGGGTCCTTATATCGCAGAATGATAACAGCATTTTGTTTGGTGTTTGAAGTGAACAGTCCATGCCTTTCTCAATACATTCATCTAAAGGAAGACCCTTGTGTTTGCCATAGTAATAATCCAGCCAGTGATAAGATGATATCGCCCTAGCAACTGGATCCCTCATCAGTTGAATATAGATAGGTTGTTGGTATCCATAGTAACTGAAATTCACAAATGACATATGCCTGACATGAAACACGGGTGGTGGTTTTGAGGAGACATATTTTGCGATATCACCCTCGTTGAAGTCCATCGTTTCTGGTACTTTGTGATCATACAAAAATGTAAGGTTGTTTACCAGTGCATACTTTTTGACTACAGTGAATAGAGTAGTGCTTCCACATTTTGCGATCCGGTTGTAGACTACAATCTGTTTCCCCAAATCCTTTACTTTGTAATCACCTTGTATGTTTAAATGCACATAAGTCTGACTGTACAGTATTATATTGAGAGAAATTACTGTGAATATAATTGGGATGAAAAGAAGCATAACATTACCAATTGTCAATTTCATTTTTCTGTTTAACATTGTGTTGAGTGACTGTTTTGTATTTTGACTGTCCCAATTTGCTTTAAAACTTTGGATCATTAATCAAAGTAATTGTTTTAAAAGTTGGAAAACCTGATGATTAATTATGGTAAAGTTGTTATAGTAAAAAATAACAGTAAAGTCGTTAAAGTAAAAATTATATTTTTAACATCTAAACAAGCGACAATATGGACCTCTTTATAACATATAACTGTCTGGCTTTGAGTTCAGTTTTAGCCAAATAATAAGTTTATTGACCTATATTGATATATCATCCTCGTACTAATGTAGAGTGTTCTCTTGCAGTGGTCACCAATATTGAGGCAGTGGTGAATGTAGGTCTAGCCACAGCTGAGGGTTTGGCCATAGATTGGATTGGGCATAACATATATATATATCATCCTCATACTAATGTAGAGTGTTCTCTTGCAGTGGTCACCAATATTGAGGCAGTGGTGAATGTAGGTCTAGCCACAGCTGAGGGTTTGGCCATAGATTGGATTGGGCATAACATATATATATATCATCCTCATACTAATGTAGAGTGTTCTCTTGCAGTGGTCACCAATATTGAGGCAGTGGTGAATGTAGGTCTAGCCACAGCTGGGGGTTTGGCCATAGATTGGATTGGGCATAGCATATATATATATATCATCCATGTTTCTAATGTAGAGTCTTCTCTTGCAGTGGTCACCAATATTGAGGCAGTGGTGAATGTAGGTCTAGCCACAGCTGGGGGTTTGGCCATAGATTGGATTGGGCATAACATATATATTTATCATCCATGTTTCTAATGTAGAGTGTTCTCTTGCAGTGGTCACCAATATTGAGGCAGTGGTGAATGTAGGTCTAGCCACAGCTGAGGGTTTGGCCATAGATTGGATTGAACATAACATATATACATGTATATATCATCCATGTTTCTAATATAGAGTGTTCTCTTGCAGTGGTCACCAATATTGAGGCAGTGGTGAATGTAGGTCTAGCCACAGCTGGGGGTTTGGCCATAGATTGGATTGGGCATAACATATATATATATCATCCTCGTACTAATGTAGAGTGTTCTCTTGCAGTGGTCACCAATATTGAGGCAGTGGTGAATGTAGGTCTAGCCACAGCTGAGGGTTTGGCCATAGATTGGATTGGGCATAACATATATATATATCATCCATGTTTCTAATGTAGAGTGTTCTCTTGCAGTGGTCACCAATATTGAGGCAGTGGTGAATGTAGGTCTAGCCACAGCTGAGGGTTTGGCCATAGATTGGATTGGGCATAACATATATATATATCATCCATGTTTCTAATGTAGAGTGTTCTCTTGCAGTGGTCACCAATATTGAGGCAGTGGTGAATGTAGGTCTAGCCACAGCTGAGGGTTTGGCCATAGATTGGATTGGGCATAACATATACTGGGTTGAGAGTAACCTTGATCAGATAGAGGTCGCTAGTATAGATGGAAAAAATCGCACTACATTGGTAGCTGGTGATATGCATAGTCCAAGGGCAATTGCACTGGATCCAAGATATGGGTAAGAGGCAGAAGTGAATTATAACTTTTTAGGCCCTTATGATTTAAATGTTTGTTTGGAATTGCATACCCGGTCATCCATTTTTGAATTTTTTTTAAAAACAAAGGAGATCTGGTAACCTGAATTTTGTTCAACTTTTTGTTTGCTTTCCAATAAATTGCCTGAATCTTAGAAGGGAGGTGACATGAAACATACATTAAACCTTGAATGGCCTTAGAGATATATTCAGCTAGGATGTGTCCATTTCAGAATGTTATTCTGGAGTGACTGGGATGCAAATAACCCAAGAATAGAGATGTGTTCCATGTCTGGGGATGGCAGGAAGACCATTATGAAAGTCAGTACCTTAGAGGGAGCAGGGTGGCCTAATGGTATCACAGTGGACTATGAGACAACACGAGTCTATTGGATTGATGCAAGGTATAACAGATTGTGGTGGATATGGCCAAATGTAGACACAATGCATAAAGCATGGATTAAATATTAACTCAAAACTTTTACTTTTGTAATGTACTGCATAATCTCCACATATCTGAACATCTCTATAATCTGAACACGTCCCAAAGTGTTTTTCTGGGTCCTATTAGACGGTCTGGCTTAGATTTCCTTGAATGAATTTGACCCAGTGGCGAGTGGTTTTACTGTATTTTTTTCTATTCTTACAGGTCTGATTCCATCCATACCATCAATTACACTGGTGGTGACCATCATGAAGTGTTGAGGGGACATGACTTCATTTCACATCCATTCTCCGTGTCAGTGTTTGGTAACCATGTATATTGGACAGACTGGAGAACCAATGCTCTTGTTAGGGTATGTAGGAATTAATGTATGGTAAAACTTGTATATGTTTATGATTTGTACCCATACAATATTTTGGGTTGAAAAAAATGTTTTCTTCCATATTTTGTCAAACATCAGTATTTGAATTATCAGTTTTTTGGGTTGTCAAGAATGGTTTTTAGAATGATATTATTTAAGTACATGGCGTCAGTTCTTGATGATCTTGAAGTTCATAAATTCTATTGTATTGTTTTATATTTACTACAGGCCAACAAGTGGAATGGATCAGATGTTGAAGTGATACAAAGGACTACAACTCAACCATTTGACCTACAGATCTACCACCCGAAACGACAGCCAAACTGTAAGAATCATTTATATTATATTTTGGTGTTTTAGAGGATCAAAATGGCAGACACTGCTCTTTTGATAATGAAACTATTTCGTTATTTGAATTTTGAACTTGAATTTATGATAACATGTGTTCAATTTTTCCCTATGTGTTACCTATCTTTCTGTTAAAATAATTGCTTTGTAACAGGTATAAAAACAGGCACAAAAATCATTTATTATGAAGCTTTTTGCCAAAACGCTTCATAACAAAGCAATTTAAGCCAGCTGTGTGACAGTTACCATAGATGAGCGACTAATTAGTGTTGGCTTCTTTCAGTCATAGATGCAGAAAGTGTAAAAAACCCATGCGCAGAAAACAATGGGAATTGTTCCCATCTTTGTCTGATTAGCTTCAACCAGCAGGCTGGCTGTAGATGTCCACATCTCATGAAACTTGACAAAGACAGCAAAACTTGTATTGGTAAGTACATATGTACTCTCATGCTGGAATATTATATTATCCTTTTTTTTAAGGATGGTCCCGATGTAACAACAGTATTCAAAATTACAAGTGAAAGGTTCTGACTAGATTTCTATCATATATCCCCTACCTTATCAAGAAAAGTTATATTTTACCATATTAAAAGCAGTATTTTTGACTCCTCTTATTTAATGAAATGACAGTTTGGATATGATTTTTCATCAACTGAGCAATTTTGTTCAGTGCTTTCAATTCTTGAGTCATGGATTGTTAAGAAATCAAAATGTTAGTTCTGATTTATTTCGCAATCAGACTTTGACATTTCCTGCTTCCAGTTGAGACAAAGTTCCTCGTTTATGTGAAGGATAACGAGATAAGAGGGGTGGATATGGAGAATATGTACTTCAATGTTATTCCCTCCCTAACTGTACCTCATGTTGAGAAACCTGCCACCATAGACTTCCATGCCAAGAATAAAAGGTAACTATTAAACATGACTAGACATTTTATTTAACTTATGTTATTTGCAAAATATGTTCATGTTTTCAATCCAGTGCAAATCTTCAATATATTGCTTGACTTGAGGATGTTTCTGAATATGTATGAGAAACTTATCGAAGTGACCAAGGGGTTGTTAGTTAGAGCTGCTCTATCAGAGATTGATACGAGGAAATATTATTGAACAACAATTTAATTTGGCTTTATATTTCTTATATTTAGATACATGTAATGCTTGTCTTGACTGTCACAATTATGATATTGTTTACCACATGTGTTAGTAATTATATTAATTATTATTATTGTGTGTTAAATATATTATTGTTTATCTTGTGTGTTGAAATTATAATATTGTTTACCTTGTGTGTTACAGGTTATATTGGACAGATAGTAGCTACATGTTTATAAAGAGTGCCTACCTAAATGGAACAGATATAGAGACAGTCATTGACTCAGGTATAAAAAGCAATTTGCATTTTCTTCACGAATGAAATGTTATATCAAATTCTGTCAATAGTGCAAGTTATAGGTTATTTTTTATTTATATTGATTTTGATTCTAGTGTATATTCACGCGGTCCTAACTTCGACCATTAATTTGAACTTTTGACCTACCAGGTGCTTGAAAATCAAGGATTGCGAGTCTCATACTGCACCGTTTTTCACCAAACTTATACCATTAAAAGGAGAACAAAATTGCATTTCTGTCGGTGCATTACTTTATTGTAAAGAGTCCCTCGTTCTAGCAGCATTTTGGTCCCTACCTGTTAGAAGGCCTTCTTACAGCTGGGGACCAAAATGCCGCTGGAAGTAGGGACTCTGTTGAAGAGAATAATGTACCACCAGAAAAGGATTTGTGTTATGCTTTGAATGGAACAAGTTTGAAGAAAAACGGTGCAGTATGAGACTCGTAATCCTTGATTTTCAAACATCCGGAAGGTCAAAAATTCAAATTAATGGTCGAAGTTAGGACCGCGTGATATTAAAATCAGAGTTAGGCACTAAACCATTTGAAAATCTTCATCTTCCTTAAGCAAAATTAAAGCCACTTGTCAGTCCAATAGCTTCAAATAGATAGAGCAAGTCATCAGAGTTCAAGTATCAAATCATGATGACTAAGAGTCTAATACTTCATCATGGTGTTAGTAGGTGATGGAAAATATGCTTATCAGACTTAATTTCAGATCTATTATCAAATACAATGGTAAGGGGAAAATATGTCAATTCCATTTCTTGATTTCTTGATATCTTTATTTCTAGGTATTCCTAATCCATTGGGTCTGGCAATTGACTGGATTTCAGAGAACATGTACTTCACGTCATACAGGAAGACAGATGGCTCTGCCAGTCTTTCCGTAGCCACGTTGAATGGTGCATTTAGGACAGTTCTAATCTCAGATAGCAGAGAATTGTTAAAACGTCCCAGTTCACTGGCCGTTCACCCAATGTCAGGGTAGGTTTCACATCTCAGACTACATTTTTCATTACTTTTAATAGACTTTAAATTCACTTATTTTATACAAAAATGCAACCCTCTTGATCTGAAATAACTTTCTTTATCATGGTGAAATGTCATAGAGTGTTTTCAGAGTGTTTATGTGTAATATATATATTTACATATTACTACATACATGTACTTCAGAGTGTTTATGTGTAATATATATTTACATATTACTACATACATGTACTTAATTGCTGAAATGCATCAATGACTGATTTTACTACGTAAATTAATATCACTTACCAATTATGTCATTACAATATGCTAAACGCTACCATAGTCACCTTTTATTGGAACAATTATTTTCTACTTTCACTTTCGGTTTCCCGGAAGCCCCGCCCACTCTACGTCATAGTTGCGCATGCGCACCATTCATTTTTCTACCATTTTGAAAGTCACACAAAATTTTCAAAAGTGCGATAAATTGGTACAAAAACGAGTGTTACAAGTCTACTATGTCGACGAATACAACGCAGTTAGATACAACAGAAGGGGTTAATACCCAGGGTGATCCACGAGTTAGCCCAGCGCGCTCGAACAAAGGTAAATCACCGGTTGTGAAGTCTAAAGTTCTAGAAAAAGACCGGCGTGGCCGTAGAGAAAGTCGAAGTACTTCAATTTCTAGTAGGTCAGACTCTGACACTTCGTTTAAAAGACGTAAAAAACATCGTCACAGAGATTCGGCTTCTCCTAAACGGCGACGTCACAGAACTAAATCTATTTCCTCAAGTCCGAGGGGTAGATACAGATCGAGATCCAGGTCTAGATCCAGGTCTAGATCAAGGAGATCACGTTCTCATTCCTCAAGTCCGAGGGTGAGATACAGATCTAAAGATAGACTTCACAATCGTAAAAGGTCTAGATCTAAGTCCAGGTCTAGATACAAGTACAAACATAGATCAAAGTCTAGGTCTAGATCAAAGTCTTTGTCCTCAAGTCCGAGGAAAAGACACAAATCTTCACATCATAGATCTGCTTATAGGTCTCATAGATCTCCTTCTTTAAGTCCAAAGAAGAGATACTATCGTAAACAATCTCCTTCTATAAGTCCTAAAAGGAGACGTTACAGAAATGATAAAGATTCACCAGTATCAATGGGAGAGAGATCAATTTATCAATCCGAGAATTGATCAGAGACAGGAAATGTTTCAGAATTTCTTGCAAGACCAGCAAGTTCTGAGAGCGATGTATGCAGAATCTGCATACAAACCTCAAAATATTTCCAAGAGAACACAGTCAAGGCCATGGTCTGTGAATGATGATCACACTCAAGTAAATGATGATAACACACAAGAAAAGGATGATCACATTCAAATAAATGATGATCATCAATTTAAATCACCTCCTTCTCTTACAAGAACCATTTCTCTCAATAGAGACGATGATTCAGTTACTATAGAGTTGGAGAATGATGGTGAACAGGAAGATCCTGATACTAAGCCATCAAATGAGGTGGCAAGAGCCAAATTAGAATTTTTGGCAGCCACTGAAGTCGTTAAAAAATCTTTCCCTGAGATAGCAGAGATGTCAACACCTAAGAATAAGGTCAAATCTTGGTCTCTAGTGAAAGATAAACCTTCAGTATTGACTAATTCTTTACAACTGCCACTTTGCCCAGGTGTAAAGAACAACTTGATCGAAGGAGTCAAAATCTTTAACGACTTACCCCAGGATGCCTTTTCCAAAGAGGAAGGAATGGATCCTTCTATATGTCAGAAAATAGAACAGGCTTTGACATTAATTAAAGCAGCTGGTCACTGCATTGAGGATGGGTATCGTCTTAATGCTTTTTTGCTCAATCAAATAGTAGCATGCAGGAGACATTCTTACCTTTCCATGAAGGCGGATAAAGATATCCCCTTTGCAGATCTCAAAGAACTTATGGCTCTTGAGCCTCAAACTGGCAAGTTGTTTCAAGACAACTTGGCCAAAGTGAAAGAAAATTTGAAGAAAGCTAAAAATGATATAGCGCAGAATCAAATTCTAGACTACACCTCTAAAAAGGAGGACAAAAACAAACCCAAAACTTCCAATAAGTTCCAGAACAAAGATAGTTCTTTTCATGGAAAAGGACGGGGTTCAAAGGGTTTTTCTCGAGGAAGAGGCAGAGGTAAATCTGTCGGTAGAGGAAAGTCCACTGATAAACAGTGACTTATTCCAGGTCGAAAATTACCTCCATACATCGTCAAACGACAAAGTAGGTGGGAGGTTGATGGAATTCTGGCAGGAATGGAGTCAAATAAATGCTTCAGCAAAAGTGATAAACCTTTTAAAAGAAGGCTATTATCTTCCATTCAAAGAAAAGTCAAAGATACAAAAGACTCCCCTTTGGTCAGAATTCCACAATCCTCTAAAAAGAGCGGCAGTTTTCGACCTAATAAACACTCTCCTAGAGGAGAATGCTATAGAACAAGTAGAAGACATTTCTTCCCCAGGGTTTTACAGTCGAATATTTCTGGTTCCAAAAAAGTCATCCCGACAAATGGAGACCCGTGACAGACCTGTCAACTCTAAATCTTTTTCTGAATGTCCCATCATTCAAGATGGACACTCCAGAAATCATCAAAAGAAATCTGGAGAAGGGAATGTACATGACTTCTATAGACCTTCGACAGGCCTATTTGCATGTCCCTATCGCCAGGTCTCACCAGAAATATCTGAGATTTGCCGTGAAAGGTCGGGGAGTCTTCCAATGGAAATGTCTTCCATTTGGTCTATCAACAGCTCCTTTAATTTTCACAGAGATAGTTTCTCAGATCAAAAAATTCCTTCATTCAATAAATATAAAGATTAATTTGTATTCCTTTCCTCAAATCACTAACCAAAATAACTTACTTTTTCGAGCTTTCGGTAGCAGCTACTACCTTTGTCAAGATGATATATTGGCGGGAAATGGGCTGACCCTTGACCTTGTTTGGGTTTTACTCCTGTGTAGTTCCAACAGTCCCGGGGAAACCTTAAATCCAGAGTCCCTGTTAAGTTGTGGCTTGCTTGTATGAATATGAAGTGCTTCCTTTACTTTCCGTTTAAAGTAATGGGGTTCTCTATCTAGAATTTTGTACTCCCAGTTAATCCTATGCGCTTTGGAAACTATATGTTCAGCGATGGCGGATTTATTGGGATTGTTCAGTCTAAAAGCGTCCTTGTGTTCCTTAACTCTTGTATCAATCGCTCTACTGGTTTCCCCTATGTAGAGTTCACTACAGTCCTTACATTCAATTTGGTATATTAATCCTGATGTCTCACCTGTGGGGGTGGGATCTTTGGGTGATACTAGCATTTGACGTAAGGTTTGAACAGACTTAAAACTAGTCTTAACTCCTGCTTCTTGAAAGATGCGTTGAAGTTTGGGAGCAATAGTACTAATATAAGGTAACACTACACTAATTTCCCTATCTACACTGTCACTAGGAGGTCTATCTCTAGGCGTAGCTGGTGCTTGGTTTAGAAGCCAAGATGGGTAGCCACAACGAGAGAGAGCTTGAGTGATATGGGCCTGCTCATCCTTAAGCTTAGTAGGGTTAGACACTATCTCTGTGGCTCGTTTATTTAACGTCCTAACTACCCCTCTTTTTGTTGTCAAGGGGTGATGGGAATCAAATCGTAAGTAAAGGTCCGTATGTGTTGGCTTACGATACACACTTATATCTAAAAATCTGTCTACACTATCCTTACATTTCACTAACTCTGTAACAGTGTCTAGAAAAGGCAACTTGTCGTCCTTAAGACTTTCACTGGTGAATTTGATATCGGGATCAATCTGGTTAATGAAATCAGTGAATTCATCTACATAGTCCTTGTCTAACAAAACCCACGTGTCGTCCACGTATCTTTTCCAGATGCGAGGGGGATGGGGTGCTAATCTAAGAATTCTAACTTCCAAATCCTCCATGTAAATGTTGGCGATAATGGGAGACACCGGGGATCCCATTGCAGCTCCAGTTAAGACTAGTTTTAAGTCTGTTCAAACCTTACGTCAAATGCTAGTATCACCCAAAGATCCCACCCCCACAGGTGAGACATCAGGATTAATATACCAAATTGAATGTAAGGACTGTAGTGAACTCTACATAGGGGAAACCGGTAGAGCGATTGATACAAGAGTTAAGGAACACAAGGACGCTTTTAGACTGAACAATCCCAATAAATCCGCCATCGCTGAACATATAGTTTCCAAAGCGCATAGGATTAACTGGGAGTACAAAATTCTAGATAGAGAACCCCATTACTTTAAACGGAAAGTAAAGGAAGCACTTCATATTCATACAAGCAAGCCACAACTTAACAGGGACTCTGGATTTAAGGTTTCCCCGGGACTGTTGGAACTACACAGGAGTAAAACCCAAACAAGGTCAAGGGTCAGCCCATTTCCCGCCAATATATCATCTTGACAAAGGTAGTAGCTGCTACCGAAAGCTCGAAAAAGTAAGTTATTTTGGTTAGTGATTTGAGGAAAGGAATACAAATTAATTATCTTTACCTAACCGATGAATACATTTGGACAAATATAAAGATGTTCCAATATCTCGACGATTGGATGATAATAGCATCATCACACCAAGTAAGTTCAGAGAACACGCAGACTGTGTGCAACTTAACGAAAAAGTTAGGCTTTCTCCTAAATCTGGAGAAGTCAGAGTTAAATCCAACTCAGCAACTTACTTACCTGGGCTCACTTTACAACCTAAAGAAAGGTCTGATTTTACCCACTCAATACAGAGTGGAGTTACTCGAAACAGAGATACAGCGTTTCCTAGCGAAACCTTTACAAACAGCAAAATTCTGGAAAAGAATTTTGGGTCTCCTAGCGGCAACAGAGAAAATTGTGCCATATTAGGGAGATTGTTCATGAGGGAGATGCAATACGATCTCCAGAGAAATTGGAATGCCTCAAAGGACATGAACATTTTGATTCCATGGTCCAAAATGACAAGACAAGACTTAGTCTGGTGGCTAAACAAGGACAATCTTGTGAAAGGTGTTCCGATTCAAATGCAGAATTCAGTAGATCTAAAACTGTTCACAGACATTTCAATGACAGCTTGGGGAGCACATTTAGAAAATCTAGAAGTTTCAAAGATGTGGTCCAAACAAGATCTGAACATGCACATCAACATGAAGGAGTTGATGGCAGTAGAGTTAAGTCTCAAACATTTTCAACCTCAAGTACAGGGGAAAAGGATACAAGTATCCTCAGACAATGCATCCACTGTGGCCTATTTGAAAAATCAAGGCGGCACACATTCTTACCAGTTATTCAAGGTAACAAAAAGAATTCTGCTATGGAATCAAGTCAACAATATAGAAATGACAATACGTCATATTCCAGGGAGATTGAACATTCTGGCAGATGCTCTGTCCAGAAAGTCTCAGATTCTGTCAACAGAGTGGAGTCTGAAAGATCAAATTTTCCATGCAATTTGCAGGAAATGGGGAAAACCTCTAGTAGACCTTTTTGCGACACGACACAACACGAAATTACCTCTGTTTGTGTCACCAGTCCCGGATATGCTAGCATGGGAGGTAGATGCTCTAAGTATGGATTGGAAAGGTCTGTGGGCTTATGCCTTTCCCCCGACACCATTAATCTCTCTTGTTCTGAACAAGATGTTGCAAACGACAAATGTGGAAATGATTCTCATTGCCCCATTATGGGAGAAACAAGCATGGTATCCCAGACTGTTAGAGTCTCTTGTAGAGAAACCTCTAAACATTCCAGTAGTTCCAAAAATGTTGAAACAGACAAGACAATGGGTATTTCATCAAAATCCCCAAATATTCAAGCTTCACGCTTGGAGGCTGTCAAACAATCCTTTAAAAACAAAGGCTATTCAAACAAGGTTTCAGAAAGAATTGCAAAACCTCAAAGAAACTCCTCGATCAAGGTATATGACTCGAAATGGAGAGTCTGGGCTGGTTGGTGTTCTGAACGGAATAGAGATCCATTCAGAACTTCTGTTACTGTAGTAGCCGATTTTCTGAATTGGTTATTTGAAGATAGAAAACTTCAACCAGTTACTATAGCAGGATACAGAACAGCCTTAGGTAATACTCTGAAAGAAACTTCGAATTTAGATATTGGTTCAGATCCTTTGATTTCTTGTTTGCTATCTAATTTCAAACAAGAAAGACCGAGGAATATCTCTAATAAAATTCCAAACTGGGATTTAAATGTGGTCCTACAAGGTCTTATGAGACCTCCTTTTGAACCTATCGAAATTGTTGATTTAAAATATGTCACGTGGAAAACAGTTTTTCTCACTCTGTTAGCTTCTGCAGCAAGACGCAGTGAGATACATGCCTTGGTGCTTAAAAAGGTGTCACATAGTATTGACTGGCAATCCATTTTTCTGGGATTCAAATCTGACTTTGTACCCAAGACCTTACTAAAGGCTGGAGGTACTGTCCTGAAGGACATTGAGATAAAAGCCTTAACAGGTTTTTTGACACCAGATCTTCAAGATGACAAACTTTTATGCCCTGTTAGAGCATTAAAAGTTTATATGAGAAGATCAAAGCCCATGAGAGATAAACAACAAAGATTGTTTATATCATACAAGAAAGGCTATAAAGAAGAGATACATGCTAACACAATAACTTCATGGGTGAAGAATTGTGTAGCAAAGGCATTACAGTCTTTTCCCAAGCATGCTGAGCAGGTTTATAACGTTAAAACTCACCAACTCAGAGCCTTATCAACTTCCATTGCTTTTGCGAAGAATTGCACTCTAGACGAGATTATTCAAGCTGGAAGATGGACTAACTTTAACACGTTCGCTTCATTCTACTTAAAGGAAGTGTCCTTGAAAGACTTCGAAGGCAACCACTTCATTGCTGCGAACAAAACTGTTTAAGTAAGTTTTAAAGTCTTATAGTTCATTATTCTACCAACAAAAGGTGGAAAGTTTTTGTTATTCATCTCCAATTATTTGTTATCAATAATTAAGATATGAATAACAAAGGAGTGTGCTTGGATAAATTATTTTCACTTGTTACTTTTAGTTTTGCGTTGCAAAATTATTTAACTTAATATCCTATGGTAAGGATAATGATTCAAGTATGAATTCTAATCAGTTAATGCTGTTTTTGGACTATTTTATTTTCTAAGCTAATATCCCTCCACCTGCTCTGGTGGGATTCAGCATATTGTAATGACATAATTGGTAAGTGATATTAATTTACGTAGTAAAATCCCAAAATTTTATGTAATTTTGGTTTTTATAAGTTAATTATACTTACCTATTATGTCATTACATCAAAAGCCCTCCCTTGCCACCCCGCTTATCAGCTTTAAAATAAGCGTTTCACCTAGTGAAAAATGAATGGTGCGCATGCGCAACTATGACGTAGAGTGGGCGGGGCTTCCGGGAAACCGAAAGTGAAAGTGAAAGTAGAAAATAATTGTTCCAATAAAAGGTGACTATGGTAGCTTTTAGCATATTGTAATGACATAATAGGTAAGTATAATTAACTTATAAAAACCAAAATTACATAAAATTTTGGGATTTATGGAAATAACATTTGCCATTGAGATCACATAGAATCATCCAAAAACATAAAGAAAAGCAATTTCATGGATTGCTTCCATACATATTAGTTCTGTGATGATTTCATCATTTTTTGAGCTATTCCAAGATTAGAAGGTTACATGTTTGTGTAACCAATTACATTTGTAATAGTAGTATCTCACATTATGCGCTATTTTCATGGTTTAATGATTTTATTTTCTAGGAAAATCTTTTGGGCAAATGATGGTGACACATTATATGGAGGAAGTAAGGGTGATATAAACTGTGCCAAAATGGATGGTACAAGTCGTCAGCTTCTATTCCCTAATGACCTGGTTCTGGCAGACGCAGTGAACAAACCAAGAAGTAAGCAACTTGTATTTAAGTTTAGTACAGTATGTAGATCTTGGGAGGTGTTCTATTTTAGCAACTCAATGTATTTAAGAACAGAACAGTATGTAGAACTTGCGAGGTGTTCTATTTTAGCAACTCAATGTATTTAATTTGAAGAACAGTATGTAGAACTTATGGTTATACATTAATCAAATTTTGGTGATACATGATCATTTCATTGTTTTGTCAATTCCATTTCAGGTCTTACAATTGACTATGAGAATGAGAAGCTCTATTGGATAAACAGTGGGGCGAATCTTCATAAATATATCACTAGATGCAACCTAGATGGCACTGATCCAGTATTTATACATCTTGGCATAGACAGCACAACTCATCTCAACTCACTCACTATATTCAGTAACCGGATTTATTTTGGCACAAATGCATCATTGAACTCCATTCATATCAGCCAGAGAAATGACACACTTAGGGTAGAACGAAGGAATACAGTAGGCATAATGGCAATGAAGGTGTACGACCAAACACTCAGGGATGACTGGGGAACTAATACTTGTGCAGTAAACAATGGGGGGTGTAACCAGTTATGTCTCCCAACAAGTGCCACAACGAGGGTTTGTAAATGCACAGCAGGGTACATATTAGATTCAAACAACAAATGCGTTGGCATAGAAACATTCCTGATCTACTCCAGGGATACAGAGATTAATGGCGTCTCATTGGTCGATACTGGGAAAGATGCACTGCCACCTATATCTAAGATTCATATGGCAACTGCTATTGATTTTGATGCAGGTATGAAATCATATTAAACCCAGGACTCAATGAATTGTAAGATGATTTTACATCAAATGTCTTGTTTCCAGACTTTGAATGAGTGTAGCAGCATGAGTTCAAAGTCCAGGATACAAGACATGAGTGGATTAAATCATCCACAATTCATTGATTCATGTGTTTAAACAACACATAATGTTAATATCAGATTTGGTCCAAATATTATAGGCTAATGTGAATGCTTTAAGCAATTAGGACTTCAACTGAAAAATGGAGTACTGGTGCGGTATCATGCCATGTTATGGGTGCAGGTTCTGCCAGAAGGAGACAATACTAAAGCCTGGTTATCCTGATTAATATGTTATATTCAGACTGATGGGTCATTTTGATTTACTGATTTACTGAATTTATCAAGATTATATAAAAGTTGCAGGACTAATATAATTCATGGATATTATTGGAGGCTTCAATCAGGCCTACATTAGGTTTGATTCAGGTCTACATTAGGTTTGATTCAGGTCTACATTTAGTTTGATTCAGGCCTACGCTAGGTTTAATTCAGGCTTACTTCAGCCTTGATATTGCTTAAATAACTACGATTGCTTGCAGAGTTGGACTATATATACTGGGTAGATACAACATCACGCAAAATCTCTCGCATCAAACGTGATCTTACAGAGAGACAAGTGATCGTCAGTAGTGGATTGAAAATGCCTGAGGGTATTGCGGTTGACTGGGTTGCAAGTAAGTGGTAACATTCTATACTCTTTACAAAAATTTGACTTCATTCTGCCTCTTTCAAAGAGAGATGATTCTTGGAATTAGTCAATATCTAATGATATTGGGGATCTGATCCTTATTGTTTGAGTCATCAATCAGACACTTTAAAGTCTTCAAAATGTTAATTTCTCATTTAAACTCTTGAATAAAGGCTTATGAGATCTTAAGATCCAAGTAAAACTAAAACTGTAAAATAACTACTTGTGAGTTTGTAACTGTATAGGTGACACCACTTGTGGTCACTTTGTATTCTTAACTGACAATAGATACCCCTGTATTCATTTAGATTTATCTCATTGTTTCAGAAAATGTCTATTGGACAGACTGGGGGCATGATGTCATAGAGGTGTCACGACTGAATGGTTCTTCTCGCTATGTAGTCTTAGCTGACAACATGGACAAACCTGGTGCAATTGTAGTGCATCCAAACAAAGGGTATGTGAATATAGAATAGTAAAGGATTTAAGCCCAGGACTCAATGAATTGTGAATGATATTAAGTGATGATTAATGAACACATATAGGGATGAACTTACCTTATAGATGTTCTAATTTTAGGCATATGTTCTAATTTTCAGGCATATGTTCTAATTTTCAGGCATATGTTCTAATTTTCAGGCATATGTTCTACATTTCAGGTATATGTTCTGGGTTGATTCAGGCAACCCAGGGAAGATAGAAAGAGCATTTCTAGATGGTTCTAATAGGACTGTTATTAAACAAGACACTGAATACAGAAAAATCCAACCAAAAGGTATGAATACATTCTACGCATTTTTATAAGGGCTGTTCAATAAATACTGATACAAGTGCTCTTTTCTTGTTTGTGAGGGAATCAAGATGAAATTTTCAGGAATGGTAAGCAATATTTATGTCATACATATTTTGACATATTGCCTTTAATCTATGAATTTTCTTTAATTCTTTTACAATTAAGATACAATTTAGCAGGTTTTCAATCTTATGCTGTCTCATTTTTATGTCACCATAAAGACATGGTGAAATATTGCTATGTTAAATTTTTACTGGTTACAACATTAGTAGTGGACACCTGTAATAAATTGTTACATTTTGTTACCATCCGACATGACTCACAAGGTGGTGACATTTTGCAAAGCTAATGCCTTGTTTATTCCTACTATAGTTTTCTTAAAATGTTGTGATGTCTTGTATTTCAGCTCACACTATTGATTATGAGAAAGACTTATTATATTGATGTGATGTCTTGTATTTCAGCTCACACTATTGATTATGAGAAAGACTTATTATATTGGTGTGATGTCTTGTATTTCAGCTCACACTATTGATTATGAGAAAGACTTATTATATTGGTGTGATGTCTTGTATTTCAGCTCTCACTATTGATTATGAGAAAGACTTATTATATTGGTGTGATGTCTTGTATTTCAGCTCACACTATTGATTATGAGAAAGACTTATTATATTGGTGTGATGTCTTTGTATTTCAGCTCTCACTATTGATTATGAGAGAGACTTATTATATTGGTGTGATGCCAAGGAAGACAAAATATATGAGATGGACCTAAATGGTGAGAACGAAGAAGTTGTGGTAGCTAACAATGGCCGTGGTCAAAATGCTCTAAATGACTGTTATGGACTTGCTACAAAGGGGGACTATTTATATTGGATTGACCCGTGAGTATATGAAATTTTATTGGACTATTTTCTTTAAAGGATCTGTACCTATTAGTGTACCTATAAGAACTTAGAAAATTATTGAAAAGGGTAAAATGGAATTCCAGAATTATTTTTATGCAATTTGAATCTTTATTAAGTATATTTTCAACAAATTACAAAAATAGTGTGGAAAAAGTGGTAAAAATGTGTTTTTTACAGTGATTCTTAACACATGTCATGTTGACTCTTCAAATGAGTAATTTTGACATATTTTCACAGAACCTTGATTAAAATCTGGAGTTTTGTTGATAGACTTAATTTCACTTTTCAATATAAGAACTACAATGTGTCCTAATCTACTAAGCTTCATTTCATGTACCATTCATGCATAAATTGTTAGTAATCCAATTGTATTGAAAGACACCCTATTGTGTTTTTGTTGTAAACAGTGAATGACCTTCTCCATTCATTGACAGATTGAGGTACTTCCACAAACCAGACCCCCTCTGAATTTACCTTTATTGTTTCGTATTGACACTATTTTATAATTCAAACATGAAATTAGAGAGGGTCCTAAGTGTGGAAGATACACAACATGAAAGTATAGCAAAAATTTTAGTTTCAAAAGGGAGGCCATATTGAAATTGCCATTATAGTCAAGAATCCATTCTGCCTTGAATGTATTGCTTAAGGTAGGTGCAACATAGAACCTTCTACAAAAATAGAAAATCTTATTTAGAAAGATATTCTTGACTGAACCTTCCAACAAACTCTGTCATTTACAATAACTATTGTGTCAATGTATCACGCCACAGAGACATCCAACCCGGATTCCCATAGATAATTCTGAGCACCATGTTCAAACCTCTAAACAGATTTGTATTCAATTTTCAATGATAACAAGATCAAAGAAAACGTGTCATTTGCAATAAAGCAATTAAATCACAGGTAACTTAAAATAATGTTTTTCAGAAATTTGTTCATGGGGTATACTATTACATGTATTAGAACGTGTGATATGTAAGCAATGAGCCTGATAATCGAAAAAATATGTTTCGGCTAGTCATTAGTTCAAATGAATATTGCTTGTTAAGTGTTCATGTGAAATACACTAAGACTATTATGTCATCTATCATTGTTTCAATTTCTTTGACAATGAAAATATAATGCAATGGAAAGTCGCAACTAGATTCAGCTTGAATTTAGGTTTTGTATTTTCAACTGTTGCTCTTTGTATTCTACCTTATCTTTAATGATGTTTTGACATAGTATCTAGGTTGAATACCTAGGTTAAAGCTGCAATAAGGGTGATCATGGTACTATTGTTCAGAACACATTTAACAAGGTTCGTTTTATCAAATGATAGATTATTTTTAGGGGTTATTTTATGATTTGTGTTTTCAGTATGTTGCCCTTTGTGTCCCACCTTAATGATATATTGATATACCCTCTAGGTTGAATGCCTACTGTTAAACAACTGAGATGATCATGGTACTATCGTTGAGAACACATTTATTAAGGTTCATTTTTTCAAAAGATGTATTAAGTTTTCGTTTTTTTATGATATGTGTTTTCAATATGTTGCTCTTTGTGTTCTACCTTAACGATGTTCTGATATATCGATTGAGGAATGGTCAACATAGTTAAAACGATCATAAATGAAGACTAACATACCCTTAAAATGATATTTAGAATGATTTGCGTAGTCAAACTTAAATGCACTGAATGACCTTAGTTTTAATCCAAATGACCTAATTTCAGTTTTGATGTGTTCATAATTGATAAAAGTAACTATTTTAATATTATTTTCAATGAAACCTTTGGGGGCACCTTCAGGTACATTAGGTAACGGATCCTTTACTGGCCATTACTTTTTATGAATTGAATTTTTTATACTTTATGTTTAAATCAGTTTCTCTTTTCCAAATATACAGGGTGTCTATAATTGTCATTTTACATGTTGCACAAGCTTTATATTGTAATTATAAAGATACTTAATGGAAACCCTGCACAAATTATCATCGATATAAGGTTTTGAGTGGTTGGGTTTCTAATATGGCTTACAATGTAGAATTTGCCAAAAGGAGTCAATACTACCACCTGTTTAAATGATGAGTGATGTGATAAAATATGTTTTGTTTGGTGGGATCTGCTACTACAAGGAGTTGCTGTTTGTTAATATTTGTTTTTAAAATAGACCTTTAGATTGGTACGTATTCTAAGTTTGGTTATCTCTGATTTTGCAGGAGCTATTTGGATGGGAGTATATCCAGAGTTAACAAGTCCAGTAGTAGAAACAGTGGTGATGTGGATATTAAGACCATTAAGGAGCATCTATCCCCTAAAGTCAGAGATATCAAACTCTTTGATAAGGAAAGACAGAAAGGTAAATATTAAACAAATATTTCATTCTATGGAGGGCAATACCTGTACTGATTTTTGCAGGGTGAGGGAAATAGATGCTGCAAAAATCATTGAAAGCGAAACCGAGGCCTAAGAACCGTGCAACACCACAGTTTCAGTTCACCATTAGACCCTTTATAAATACATACAAGTATCATTGTATACTACACTTTTATTTTTGTCCCTTCCATTTGTCAGAATCCACGGGCGAGCAATACACCATGCAATAGGTCTTTTATAATCAAATAATTCAGGAATCAGTGAAATACGCTATGGTCTTTTTGATCACATGATACTGAATCAGCCAATCAAATCGCACAATTTCTAGCAATGGTATTATAATATCAAATCTGTATAATCACTACGTAACATAATAATTATTGTTCCTATGCAAAATGCTACTTAATGATTTTTGTGAAATTTATTTTCTTCATCTTCTATTTTTGGCATACATGTATTTCATTCACTAATATTTAATGTTAATTGCTCAGTTGTACCAGATGGAAGTGCCTGTCAGAAAAACAATGGTGGCTGCCAACAGCTGTGTTTACGAAAAGGTCTTAATGAGTTCCCGTGTGCCTGTGCCCATGGGAAGGTACAGCCTGATGGCAAGTGTGGAAGTAAGTAGACTTGTCTACATTTAGATTGGAGATGGTTTAGGGGTCACTGATCAGGCAATTTATAAAAGGTCTGAGTTAATAAATTCCATCAATCAGTGATATGTACAGCCTGATGGCCAGTGTGAAAATAAGCTTGTCTTCATAATTAGTGTCAATATATTTTCACATTAAATAATTTTTGCAAGGTAAACAAATAAATCATATTGGGAAATGATAAAATATTTGTTTTAATTTTATATTTCAGACTACGAGGCTTTCTTGCTTTACTCCCAAGTCACAAGCCTCAATACTTTACACATGTTCAATGAGTTTGACAAAAATGACCCTCGACGCCCAATCCAAAAAGACACAATGAAGAATGTGATAGGCATGGCGTTCGATTACAGCAAAGAGACCATCTTTTACAGTGATATCCAGCAGGGAAATATACAGTCTGTCAAGTTTGATGGGTCAGATTGGAGGTCTATTAAAACAGGTGAGAGTGACAAGTAAACATTGGCAATGACTTATGATAATAATCATATTTGTATAAATATTAACATTTTTACATATCGCCATCATCTTGTTTTACTGTTGGCCATATTTGGACATGTGCATCCTAGTTAACCATATATGGATTTATTTGTCCCATGCCTTTTTATTTGCTATCTCTATCAAAGATGGCATTTATTGGTTCATGCTTTTTAATTGACCATATTTTGTATTTTAGGTGTGGGATCAGCAGAAGGTCTGGCATATGACCAGCGTTTCCAGGAGTTGTATTGGACCAGTTATACAGACTCCTCCATCACTAGGATCAACATCAGTCCACTTAGAAGGGATGCTGAAAGTGAGAAAGTTGTGAAACTTGGACCAGAGGACCACCCCAGATCTATTGTAATTGACAGCTGCAAATCGTGAGTTTTAATCTTACAATATTAAATTGTTTCACTCAGATTTCATGCCAAATTTTTACCTCAAATATGGTTGTGATACTTGTAATGAATGTGTGTAATACTTGTCATAATAAAAGTTGCTTATTATGAAGACAGTTTCCCCTTTTCCATTCTCTTATATTCTCTTGTACTTTCAGGCAAATGTTCTGGACAAACTGGAACGACCACGAGCCTAGTATTCAGAGATCATACCTTGGTGGCTGGGGCATCAGGTCAATCATCACAAGTGAAGTGAGAACCCCCAATGGCCTCACCATTGATCACAGGGCACAGAAACTATTCTGGTCTGATGCCAGGTTGGATAAAATTGAAAGATGTGAATTTGATGGTTCAAATAGAGTGGTGAGTGAAAATGGCCTTAATGTATGTATCATCAATGTGCCACATTTATTTGTTGATTATTCCATTGAACAAATTTTGAGCAGAAACGATGATATTAAGCAAAATTATCACTTTTCACTTAATTTTCACATTTTTTCAGGCTATTGTCACATTTCTTTCTTATTGTCACATTTCTTTCATTTTGTCACATTTTTCAGACTATTGTCACATTTCTTTCATATTGTCACATTTTTCATTCTATTGTCACATTTCTTTCAGGTTATTGTTGCCCAATCACCAGAGCATTCATTTGGTCTTGCTGTTTACGGTGACTACCTCTATTGGACAGATTGGGTACTAAGAGCAGTGTTGCGTGCGGATAAGTACACTGGGGGCGACATCACATGGCTTAAGAAAAACATCCATAAACAGCCAATGGGAATCATCGCTGTAGCTAATGATACAGAAGATTGTAAGTGATGTTTAATCATAAGGCACATAAGATATATATCTAGGTTATTTACTGGGAGGGATTGAATATGGGTTTTATAGTAGACTACTTCATAAATTGCTGCATGCAAAATATGAGAATTTTACCCTAGTTTCCTTGGTTGACCAAAACGGGTCAGGATATATTTAAAGGTCTTTTTCAGAATGAAATTTAATTACTGTAATGAATATATTTGTATTTCCAGGTACGCTAAACCCATGTGAGGTCCAGCATGGAGGCTGTGAATACAACTGCACCGTCAATGAATATGGGGCAGTGAACTGTACGTGCCCAGCTAATTTCAAACTCCAACCAGATGGAAAACGCTGCTCCACAGAGAACATCACATGTTTGGATAAAAATGCGTTTAGGTGCAGCGTTTCTGGGCTGTGTATAACATATGAGCTGACATGTGACGGAGTGCCACATTGTCCTGATGGAGGTGACGAGGACCCTGAATATTGCTGTAGGTCTATTTTTGGAATTTAACCATATATGGTGGTTAAATTCATTCCATGAGAACAAAAAAAGCAGACAATTTTTCTTCATTTTAATCACAACACATTATTTGATATTTTTTTGCATAATACTTAGTCACATATATTTCTCTCAAGGATTTGAAATTCATGATAAAACGAATGTATGTTGCTCTACACTAATTCCGTTTATTTCTGACAGTTACTTTATGTGTTGATTTTCTCAATATATTTATTCTCAACATATGTCTAAGGTATATAAGATATTATATGAGCAATTATAATGGGACATCACTGATAGTCCGGGGGAGAAACCAAGGCTACATTCTCCCTTTAACATGATTTTTATGAGAAAATCATATCTTTCGCAACAAAGGAAAACATTGTATAAGTGTGTACATTGGTTTTTACTTAAGTTATATGCAGGTCTCCAACCTTCGGCCTCATCAATCTACAAGTGTGACTAACAAGTGTTAGTTGTGTTTACTCAAACTGTTTTTCTATTGCCTTGGTAGTTTTTTAGAAAGTTTTTCAAGTATCTTCAATGAGGAAGTAAGCTTATGTACCTTGATATTTGTGTAAATGTATTTGAATATGAGATGATGTCATTTGATGAATATCAACAAAGAATTCTGCATTTTTAACACTTCTTTCTGCATTTTTTATTAATAGCTATGTTTGTCGGGTTAAGAACAGTCTATATTGATCTCCACAAAGAATATTATCTCAGTATATAAATGATTCCAACATGTAAAATCATTTCTCAAATTGGTTAAAGCTAAGAAAGTTAATCTCATTTTGCAAATTAGTTTTGCCTGTTGATACAGATTCAACCAGAGGCTTCTACATAAGTTATAATTTTCATATATAATATTGGTCCGTTATGCAGTAGCTACAAGAGGCCATAGCTGCTCTGTAAAGCTTTCAGAGGTAGCAGCCACACTAATGCAGTGGTCAAGGCCATAGCTGCCCTAAAGTGGTCCTTAAGTGGTATCACTTTCAGAGGTAGCAGCCACATTGAAGTAGTGGTCCAGAAGGATTACACTTAAAGAGGCTCATTTAAGAGGTTGATCTGAGGACCATTCAACTACATTGAATAAGTTGAAACAACAATGATAATCATAATCATTAAAAGTAGCCTAATATGGGTGCATATGACTCACTTGAAGGAGGTGTGTGATCAGTGCATGGGTCAAGGTCAAGGTCAAGGTCATGTCAAGGCAAGATCTCGACCATGTCACTAAACCTGACTGCTTGTTAAGACTGGTAAAGCTCCTAACCAGTCCCTGACAGGTAGTTCCATGGCGGTCAACCTTTTTTTTTATTATTTTAGTTAAATGATGTATTTGCAGTTCTTGGCAAACCACTTGATCGATTGATTTTTAGGGATGTTTCTTGGTATGAAAATGTAGTTTTTGGGCATGATGGGTTTTAACTAAACTCTAGGAATGATTAGTTTCTAGGTTTGCTTGGTAAATTCCATGGTGGTTAGCCACACATAAATCAAGTTGCCCAGAACTATGTACTATTGTAGTGTTCTCAGCCAATGATGAACTTCATAGGTTTCATTTTAACTACAATCATTTTTAAACTTTCAGCGATTCGTTCATGCCCTGCGGATATGTTTCCCTGCTGGAATAACCGCTGTATCGATAGCAAGTTGCAGTGTAACAATGTAAATGACTGCGGAGATGGTAGCGATGAGAGTCATTGTCACTGTCAGGATGGGGAATACCAGTGTAACAGCACGCGGGCTTGTATACAGGAGCAATACAAATGTGACTTTGACAATGACTGCACAGATGCATCTGATGAGAAAGATTGTCGTAAGTTGTTCTAAATTTTTTAACGCAAGTGCTATATTATCTTTTTGTGTTAATTCATGTGTTCAGGCATGTGCCACAACTAAACTTGTTTATAGTTCATTAATTATTTTCTCCAGAAGGTTTATCTTGCTCTCCTTATTTGGATAATAATGTCGTGTTTTTCATAACTTCAAATGATTTTGTTTGGGGGTGTTGTTTTCATTTGTTTTTTATTTACTATTGTCATGAATTCTAATTAAACCCTTAGATATAAAAAAATATGAAAATTGTATATTGCTACAACAAAATAGTCATTTGATATCTTCGTTTTTTTATATTTTAGCCACTGTTGGTAAAAGTTGTGCAGATTTTGCCAGCCATGTTTATCATGATGCCTCTAGGTTCAACACAACGCGTCTGATTCCATGTAACTTCACAACAGCATGTATTCTACCAGAGTGGAGGTGTGACGGAAACAATGACTGCTGGGACAATTCTGACGAGGAAGGCTGCACGAAACGTAAGTCACTGACTGGTTTTAGTATATCATCAGGCCAGTGGCCAGGGGTTCGAATGACCCCCCAGTCAAACATTTTTCAAGATCACGCTTTTTCACCATTTTGAGCACTTGAAGTGATTTTAGGTCAGAACTGTCAAATAAAATTGTCAAATTTTCTGTTATTATTGCAGAATCAGGTGCATGTGAAGAGAAAGAGTTTGCTTGTAGTGACAGCGGAGATTGTATCCCAGAATTCTGGAGATGCGATTATGATCGAGACTGTCTTGACGGAAGAGACGAGGCCAATTGCAGTAAGTCGATATAACCATAGTTTTCTCATTATTAATTGGATTTAATTTGACAGAGTAAGTTTGACATAGATACAATATACGTTTTTCAAATGCCTGAGAGAATTTTTACGTAACTTTATTTCATACTGGTTGAAAACAATATATATATGCGTTATGTTATACACTGGTATTCATTTATGTTTTGTATTTAAACATAATCATTGATGTTGAGATGGAATTCAACTCCTGAAGTTACAACACTCATATTTAGGGCTGTCTCTTTACTTTTTGGTTTAGCACCTCTTTGAATTCCTAGCACAGTTTGGGCACTGGGAATATAATACACCTCTAACAAAATAAAATGTTTCTCTCAAGCAGAACATGTCGTGTCTATTCTATACATTCAGTCTCCAGACTCATCAAAACAGGGCCAGTGAAGTCACTTGTTTCATGTATTTGATGATTAGTTTAAAGACTGTGCAAAAGAATGGAGGCTATTTATCAAAAATTTTGAAAATCACGATTCTTGATAATTTATTGTCTTTTGTGGTTTTGATATGGAAATACTGGTATCACAAAAGACCAATGAGTTTTTCAGTAAACATGACATAGAGGTGTTGTTTCTGAACTTTTGATTCCTTTATTTCCCGATTCCAGATCCCCTGACCACCACCCCCCCCCCCCCAACTAATGTGTACCAACTTGATTATATTTTCAATTTATTTATTTATTTTGAAGCATCATATATACTCTACAGAATGCAAAGTATAATTGATTGCAGATGACTTGATGACTCATGGAGGATGACTGGATCAGTTTAAGAAAAATACAGTCTCGTTTTTACAAATTCTATTTTTCAGAATAAAATTTAGCTGTAAAGAATGTTGGAGTTTCATTCATCTCCCTTTTGCTTTTTGTATATTATTTTTCAGAATCTGTTTAAAGCACCTGCTAACGCTAACATACACTCTCTCTCTCCTTCATATCTTCTCTCTGTTTAAAACATTAAATGATACATACTCTCTGTATGGTAATATTATAGTTATCACATAATATAACATAATTTGCATCACAATAACATTGCATATTTAATCATCATCCATATTTTGAGCACAATGATAGTACTAAATAGTTCACAACCCTCTAATTTGTCTAATATACAGTACATATAGGGTGTTTCATAATGACTGTCACCAATTTTAGATCCATGTCAATGATCAGTCATGCCAATATTTGGCCCATAAATTCTGAATTGAATAAGCTTTATTATGATACATGTATATAGATTATAAGGCCATTTGATGCAGGATTGCCTATTGGGGGATGGTCATTATTAACATGTGGAAACTTCCCAGGAAATCTGCGGCCATTTCATCATATCCAACAACTTCAAATGGCCTTTCTTTATGAAATTGAAAGTTGTGTTTCCACATTGACAATTTTAATCCATGCCAATATTAATTTTAAGTGAGTGAGCACATAGAAATTGCGACTTGAAAGATAACATCCTGACTCTCAATTAGGTCATATTGGACATATTGGTCATTTTTATCTCATATTGGACATATTTATCTTAAATTGGACATTTTTATCTTATATTGGACATATTTATCTCATATTGGACATTTTTATCTCATATTGGATATATTTATCTCATATTGGACATATTTATCTCATATTGGACATATTCTCATATTGGACATAAGTTATTCAAGCATTTGTAGTATCCTTAATTTACATCTTATTCACATAAAACAATTATGATATGTTTAGATTGAAATGAAGTTGATATAAATATACAACACCAAATATGATACAAAATTATCAGCCACCAGTTAATCGCCGTATGTCTATCCAATACCATTAGCATTAACATACAACTGTGATGGTGAGGATGAGGTCACAACTGAAACGTTATAATACTATGTAGTAACTATGTAGTTATATGTTAAGAGCAATACCATGGTAACACCAATGGTTACAAGCACAAATTGTATCAAATATTAACACAGAGTAGCCTCTTTTTAACATAGAATATTTTCTATTTAGAAATGGTTTGATAAGATGTTAAGAGTGAATACTTATTATGAATTACTAATTGGAGTTGTTAGGTAACATAGAAATGGAGTATTATATGGATAGGACGACAGTTAGTTACAGGGGCATGTTTGGTTATTCTTCTTTAATGAGAGCTTGGAAAACTCATTGCATAGTTAGTAGTAGTTTGGTGTTCACTTTTACACTTTCTGCATTCATGAGTTTTCCAAGCTTTGGTTATTCCAGTCTTTGATTGTGAAAGTAATATGTTGTAATGAATTTAAAATAATTTAGGATAAGAATTAAAGCTACAATCACATTAAAGGAATATACCTTGCCAAACCATCTCTCTCCTCATATGGTAGCTATAACCATATATATGCTTGCCATGTTTAGCAAAACACGCAAAAATGTTTTGATATGGTCAAATTTGATCACTTAGAAATGTGATGCTCAATTCCAGTAAGCTGCCATCTTTAAAATTTCACACAGGAAGTGATGTCATCGACTCTCAACTTTGCATATAGCATTTAGGTGAGGAGCTATTAAGAATTACAAAACCAGCTAAATATTCTTTTCAACATTGTATCTTATTTAATCCTTCTGAAAATCTCTTCTTTTATTCTAAGTTGACAAGCCCTGAAAATATTTTTGAACAGAAAGTAATGATCACTTGTCTAGAAGTGATTTTGTGCTACTTTCCTATACTGTTATGGGCAAGGTTATAGAAGTTGAGAGTTGATGACATCACTTCCTGCAAGAAATCTTAAAAGATGGCAGCTCACTGGAAATAAGCACTAGATTTTTAAATGATCAATATTGACCATATTAAAACATTTTCCCATTCTTTGCTAAATATGGAAACTATATATATGATTATAGCTACCATATCAAGAGAGAAAGGGTCTGGCAAGGAATATTCCTTTAAGAAAAAATGAATACCAATTACTAAAGTTAGAATACATTCATCCATATATCTATACTTACATGCATGTTTGATTATTAAAAAAACTACTCCTATACTTATAGGATATATAGTATAACTTCCGACTTGACATAATGATGTACACTAAGTTAGGTTTCCTTTGTTACGAATTGCATATTTATTTATATTTTATATTTTACTTACATGTATTTATGTAATCAGTGTCAATATAGTGAAAGAAGTGTTTAACTTGAAATGACCTTTGACATTACACTAAAACTGCCTATAAAGAATTATAGTCTGGTTTTTCATTATAAACAGTGGAAAACATCCCCCAATATCCCCTGTCCTTGCCCCTTGTACATTTCTTCATATTTCTCCCACAGTGGTAATGCGCCCCCTGGTGGCGTGTTGTAATGCAGAGGGCGTATCAGCAGATTGTGTTGCTATATGCAGAGACGGAATTACACCAGAGAAAGCCAGTAGCAAGTTAGAAATTGAGTGTCTCCAAAAATTTGGAGAATCCATCGAGAAATGTCATTCAGTAGAAGGTAAAGAGTAAGACAACCCCTGCTGCGTTGGTGGATACACCCACATGGCATCCACACAATACAGTATACTGACCCTACTAGTTTATAGCTGGTTTGGGTATACTACACATTCATACATGTTCAGATTAATAGTTCTCACCAGTTAGGGTAGGAATATTCAGATTTGTTGTTACTTGGAGACCTTGTTTTGTTTCTGAGGGGTCTCAAGACTTGATTTGGAGACCCCTTAAAACCACGAAATAATTATTTTGATCTTTCAAATCACTGTTTTTAATATACAGTATACAATTATTGACCTCTCCAGAGGTTTACTGTCAAAATTATATCCCGAGACTGTAAACCGAGACCGTAAAATTATTCACCGCTCGTTGACCAATCAAAATCGAGTATTTCAACTGAGGTACTAACAATATTTATTATTTAATGTGGTTCTAAGAGGTCTTAGAGGAATGTTTGATATCTCAGGAATAACCATAAGGTCTCTTGTATTAAGAGTTGCCGTGGCATTATATGTGTACAATATTATAAAGTTGTTGGTTGTGCCACATTATACCAATGTCCCAGAATGCAGAGATTAAGGTGCCACCTCTTATGCTTCACACTAATCCATTTTAGAGGATCCCGTTTCATTTACAAAATTCACAAATCTTTTATTAACAAAAATGATTTAGTTATCTGGTAGTAAATGAAATAATTTACATGTGGAATTTAGTGGAACTATTGAGATGGCTTCTTAGACCTTGTTTATCCGTGTTGTGCTGGCCATCACACCACGATTTACATTGGAACTGCTATAGTCACAAACATTTAATATTACTAAAATATGTACACGTATCTGATTCCCAACCTTAATAAATTGATAATAAGAATAATATGCTTGGTTTTTATTTAGAAAATGTTCTTGTTTTATTTCACATGAGAACTTTGTATTATAGTGCTTGTTCCATATTACAAGTTAAAGAACATTTTATAACCTTCCCCCATAAACGTACTAATAAGCAATTTTATTTATTTAGTCATAATATGTTTTTATACAATTTTACAGGCATGTCATTGTATGTCTAAGTAGAAAAGGCTGCTTAGAAACCGTTAACAGTATTTCAACTTTGCAATAACTTTACTTCAGCTTTGCAATAACACTATGTTAGCTTTGCTTGTGTGCATTTTTCTGAATGCCTCATATGTTCCACAAGATGGTAATAAACTTATAATGCATGGTGCTTTGTGTTTGTTACAGTGCAATTGTAATCTAAAATGTAATTAAGAATTTTATAAATAACCCAACTAGCATTTAAAATGATTATTTCATAAATTACAAAAACTTAAAAAAGTTAATTATCATCATAACTTTTCTCATGCTTCATTAAATTGATAATGATAATCACACAAAAGCTTTAGTTTTTTGTCCAATCTTTCCCCTGAATATATTTTATCTATTGTTTCATTTTATTTGTACTTGTAGTTCTTGCATCTCTTTTTTATCTATCATATGCTATAAATCAGTCTTTTGCATGATTTACGTCTTCTATGATTTATGCCTCCTATTATGCATGTTTTAATGTTTCTCCTGCCTTAATGTCTGAGGTAAAGCCCAAATAATATTCACAAATGATATTTCATTTTTAGTTGGAACCAAATAATTCAGTCAGCCATGAAGTGAAGCCAAGCTGTAAGGAGTGAATAAAACACCCTTTCCTATAGGCTTATGTAAGAGGTGAATAAATCACCCTTTCCTATGGGCTTATATAAGGAGTGAATAAATCACCCTTTCCTATAGGCTTATGGGATGACTGCATGTTTTTGTGTCTTATATTGAAAGAATTTTATGTTTTCAGCCTATAGCTGCCTTGAAAGCCAGTTCCAGTGTGATGATAAGAAACAATGTATTCCAAGACGGTTTGTATGCAATGGCGCATATGACTGTGAGGATAAATCTGATGAACAGGGAAACGGCACTCTAGATTGTGGTAAGTAAAGGTCATTAAGTCAATTACAGTGAATGTATTCAAATACCATACAAATGACTAAAATAACAAGAAGTTATGGAGGTTGAGCCATATTTGGTGTATCCATTTGTCTCTTTCACTAAGCTAAGTTATATTCAGAACTCCTATTCCAATATTCCATAAGTGAGTAAATATAATTTGTATTCCCCTGGCCTGACTGTGTTTTGTATTTTTTGAATATTTTACCTCTATTTACCAGCTACTCGTGTGTGCAGAGACAGTGAGTTCCGTTGTGAGAAAAACAGAATCTGCATTCCACAGAGCTGGGTATGTGACGGCACTCATGACTGCGGATTGGATGATAACTCAGATGAAGTCCAGGATGAACGATGCTGTAAGTACTTATCAACTGGATAAACCACATGTAGCTAGAATTTACCAATTTCTTTAGTTTCTTATGAATTGTAAAGGGTCGTTGAGAGATTGCTCAGATCCATCTAAAGATTTAATACATTCTGTCTGAGAGAGGTTTCTACATTTAAATCATGTTCCACAAGAGATATATCAATTTTTAAATATTGTATAAAAACAAACTGGACTAAAAAATTGCCAGCTGGTGGGTGCCACAACTGTCACATTAATTTTGTCATCAAAATTCCAAGAAGCTCACCAGTTCAGCTTGGCATTTTCGCAGATGCTAGAGCAGACTAATTAATGCTGAGTAATATACTTAGTGGCCATTTAAAATCTTTCAATAAATAAAAATCACTGTTGTCTTGATTTATATTATGGCGCTCCCTACCTGTGAGTTTGTATGAGTTTCATATTTTCAGCGCCCCCTACCTGTGAAAAAGATGAGTTCAGATGTGACAATTATTTCTGTGTTCCGAGTGCATTCAGGTGTGACCACAATGATGATTGCAGTGATGGCTCTGATGAAAAAGGATGTGTTGGTAAGTGAAAACTCTAATGGGGAACAGTTGTAAAGCTAGACCCTCCATTTTAAATGACCACAATGATGATTGTAGTGATGGCTCTGATGAAAAAGGATGTGTTGGTAAGTGGGAATCTAATGGGGAACAGTTGTAAAGCTAGACCCTCCATTTTAAATGACCACAATGATGATTGTAGTGATGGCTCTGATGAAAAAGGATGTGTTGGTAAGTGGGAATCTAATGTGGAACAGTTGTAAAGCTAGACCCTCCATTTTAAATGACCACAATGATGATTGTAGTGATGGCTCTGATGAAAAAGGATGTGTTGGTAAGTGGGAATCTAATGGGGAACAGTTGTAAAGCTAGACCCTCCATTTTAAATGACCACAATGATGATTGCAGTGATGGCTCTGATGAAAAAGGATGTGTTGGTAAGTGAGAACTCTAATGTGGAACAGTTGTAAAGCTAGACCCTCCATTTTAAATGACCACAATGATGATTGTAGTGATGGCTCTGATGAAAAAGGATGTGTTGGTAAGTGGGAATCTAATGGGGAACAGTTGTAAAGCTAGACCCTCCATTTTAAATGACCACAATGATGATTGTAGTGATGGCTCTGATGAAAAAGGATGTGTTGGTAAGTGAGAACTCTAATGGGGAACAGTTGTAAAGCTAGACCCTCCATTTTAAATGACCACAATGATGATTGTAGTGATGGCTCTGATGAAAAAGGATGTGTTGGTAAGTGGGAACTCTAATGGGGAACAGTTGTAAAGCTAGACCCTCCATTTTAAATGACCACAATGATGATTGTAGTGATGGCTCTGATGAAAAAGGATGTGTTGGTAAGTGGGAACTCTAATGGGGAACAGTTGTAAAGCTAGACCCTCCATTTTAAATGACCACAATGATGATTGTAGTGATGGCTCTGATGAAAAAGGATGTGTTGGTAAGTGAGAACTCTAATGTGGAACAGTTGTAAAGCTAGACCCTCCATTTTAAATGACCACAATGATGATTGTAGTGATGGCTCTGATGAAAAAGGATGTGTTGGTAAGTGGGAATCTAATGTGGAACAGTTGTAAAGCTAGACCCTCCATTTTAAATGACCACAATGATGATTGTAGTGATGGCTCTGATGAAAAAGGATGTGTTGGTAAGTGGGAACTCTAATGTGGAACAGTTGTAAAGCTAGACCCTCCATTTTAAATGACCACAATGATGATTGTAGTGATGGCTCTGATGAAAAAGGATGTGTTGGTAAGTGAGAACTCTAATGTGGAACAGTTGTAAAGCTAGACCCTCCATTTTAAATGACCACAATGATGATTGTAGTGATGGCTCTGATGAAAAAGGATGTGTTGGTAAGTGGGAATCTAATGTGGAACAGTTGTAAAGCTAGACCCTCCATTTTAAATGACCACAATGATGATTGTAGTGATGGCTCTGATGAAAAAGGATGTGTTGGTAAGTGGGAACTCTAATGGGGAACAGTTGTAAAGCTAGACCCTCCATTTTAAATGACCACAATGATGATTGTAGTGATGGCTCTGATGAAAAAGGATGTGTTGGTAAGTGAGAATCTAATTTGGAACAGTTGTAAAGCTAGACCCTCCATTTTAAATGACCACAATGATGATTGTAGTGATGGCTCTGATGAAAAAGGATGTGTTGGTAAGTGGGAACTCTAATGTGGAACAGTTGTAAAGCTAGACCCTCCATTTTAAATGACCACAATGATGATTGTAGTGATGGCTCTGATGAAAAAGGATGTGTTGGTAAGTGGGAATCTAATGGGGAACAGTTGTAAAGCTAGACCCTCCATTTTAAATGACCACAATGATGATTGTAGTGATGGCTCTGATGAAAAAGGATGTGTTGGTAAGTGGGAACTCTAATGTGGAACAGTTGTAAAGCTAGACCCTCCATTTTAAATGACCACAATGATGATTGTAGTGATGGCTCTGATGAAAAAGGATGTGTTGGTAAGTGAGAACTCTAATGGGGAACAGTTGTAAAGCTAGACCCTCCATTTTAAATGACCACAATGATGATTGTAGTGATGGCTCTGATGAAAAAGGATGTGTTGGTAAGTGAGAACTCTAATGGGGAACAGTTGTAAAGCTAGACCCTCCATTTTAAATGACCACAATGATGATTGTAGTGATGGCTCTGATGAAAAAGGATGTGTTGGTAAGTGGGAACCAATGTGGAACAGTTGTAAAGCTAGACCCTCCATTTTAAATGACCACAATGATGATTGTAGTGATGGCTCTGATGAAAAAGGATGTGTTGGTAAGTGGGAACCAATGTGGAACAGTTGTAAAGCTAGACCCTCCATTTTAAATGACCACAATGATGATTGTAGTGATGGCTCTGATGAAAAAGGATGTGTTGGTAAGTGGGAACTCTAATGGGGAACAGTTGTAAAGCTAGACCCTCCATTTTAAATGACCACAATGATGATTGTAGTGATGGCTCTGATGAAAAAGGATGTGTTGGTAAGTGAGAATCTAATTTGGAACAGTTGTAAAGCTAGACCCTCCATTTTAAATGACCACAATGATGATTGTAGTGATGGCTCTGATGAAAAAGGATGTGTTGGTAAGTGGGAACTCTAATGTGGAACAGTTGTAAAGCTAGACCCTCCATTTTAAATGACCACAATGATGATTGTAGTGATGGCTCTGATGAAAAAGGATGTGTTGGTAAGTGGGAATCTAATGGGGAACAGTTGTAAAGCTAGACCCTCCATTTTAAATGACCACAATGATGATTGTAGTGATGGCTCTGATGAAAAAGGATGTGTTGGTAAGTGGGAACTCTAATGGGGAACAGTTGTAAAGCTAGACCCTCCATTTTAAATGACCACAATGATGATTGTAGTGATGGCTCTGATGAAAAAGGATGTGTTGGTAAGTGGGAACCAATGTGGAACAGTTGTAAAGCTAGACCCTCCATTTTAAATGACCACAATGATGATTGTAGTGATGGCTCTGATGAAAAAGGATGTGTTGGTAAGTGGGAACCAATGTGGAACAGTTGTAAAGCTAGACCCTCCATTTTAAATGACCACAATGATGATTGTAGTGATGGCTCTGATGAAAAAGGATGTGTTGGTAAGTGGGAATCTAATGGGGAACAGTTGTAAAGCTAAAGTGGACATTGAGGCTATGCATATGGTAAATGCTAAGACAAATGTTGATCTTAAAGATTTCTCTATGCTTGTGAAAATTGATAACTTAAACTTAAAAAGAAAAGATTTTATTAAACATTTTTCCAATATTTTACGATTATATTGCAATTATATTACATCATCATGTTACTTTAATTATATTACGGTTAAGACCTGTCTAAAAACCACTCAATTTGGTCAAAAGTGTTTGGATTGTGTTCACATTTCAAGTTTTTTTACATTAAAATCTGGCAGATAAAAAAGGAAGAAAGCATGAGGGTTTGAGTCACACATTTTACTTTACAAAGATTCTATATTTCCTTTCAGATTTCCAAATATGTGAGGAGAGCCAGTACCAATGTGCTAATGGTCACTGCATTGAGCAAGTACAAGTATGTGACCATTTTCCTCATTGCACTGATCACTCAGATGAGAACCAATGCGCTACACCAGTATGCTCTAACCCATCAGACTTTGAGTGTGACAATGGTGCATGTATAAATGAGACATTTCTGTGTAATGGTCAGGATGACTGTGGCGACTTTTCAGATGAACAGAATTGTGGTAAGTATGGCAAATCAATTGTAGAAAATAGACACATCAGGAAATGAGATTTTTTTTAAAAATGCTCTCATTTCTCAGATAACATGTTAAACCTAATTGGGTGCATTATTAATTTACCATTATAGATAGAAATAGAAGACTGGTAATTTATTGTCATGTTATTATTATTTTGATGTCATGTAATTATTACTTTGATGTCATGTAATTATTACTTTGATGTCATGTAAGTATTACTTTGATGTCATGTTATTATTACTTTGATGTCATGTTACTATTCACTAGTCAGTGGGATGTAACAAAATTGGGTCAAAGAATAAGTTCAGATTAGAGAGGTGTTCGGATATACAAGTTTTACTGTATTTTCTGCATAGGTATTAATATGTGTGAGTGGAGCAACCCTTGTGACCAGATCTGCATTAACAAAACAGTTGGTTATGAGTGTAGATGTCACCCTGGATTGTACTACAACAAGACACGGAGACATTGTAGAGGTAGGTCTAATAACAAATGAGGATTTCAGCCCTTAATGGTTTAGTAAGTTAATTTTGTTATCCCATCAAAAATGTCTTGAATGATGTAGAGAACGCCTTCATCTGACCATCTTTACACCTTTCAATCAAAAAATGGCAGGCACCTTAATAAAGCCACTTTGTAATATACATCACTACATTTTTGCTATAACCCCAAAAGTGCCAAAATGATGTTGTTCATTCTCTAAATTTGGTGATTGTGTTTGTCATCTGGAACAAACAGTTCCTATTGTAATTACAACCAAGTGATGGCATTTTGTCATATGAATTCCTTGTGAAATGAATTGTATAAAACCATGTTCACTCTTTTAATACAGTTACAAATGAAATAATGAAACACTGAATAAATAAAATGTTTATTTTGCTAACAGATATTGATGAGTGTGAGAACAGGTCTTTGAACAACTGTTCCCAATTCTGTCGTAACACGTATGGTAACTTCACGTGTAGCTGTGCTGATAAATACAAGTTAGACATGGACAAGATGACTTGTAAAGCTAACTCAGGTAGGCCATATTTATGACGATTTTTTAGTATCCAAAGGTGTCTTTTTAGACACAGTAATTATTAAATGGAACACCTTTAAAAGTATAATTCTGATATTTCTGGAGCTCTATATTTCTACATATAAACACGGGGGTAAAGCAGACCCGATGATGCAATGAGCTTGCTCGGCGGTATCATGACTGTGTAACGGGTCTTAATGTATAAGTGTGCTCGGTGGTAGGTTCAAACAATGTGGATCCTCAAAGCATGTGCTCATGGTATATTCGTGTTTTAACACCCGTGTATAAATAAAAGTTTATTTCAGTTTCTACATAAAAAGTATTTTGACCATTACAGATGTGATACCTTACTTAGTTGTTGCCAACAGATACTACATGCGAAAAGTCTCATTTGATGGCAGCAGTGTGTCCTTAATAGCCTCAGATCTGATCAATGCTGTGGCAGTGGATTTTGATTGGCAGTCGCAGATGATCTACTGGTCTGACGTCACGAGTACCAGTAGCACCATCAATAGAATCAACATTTCAAAAACAGGAGATGACAGAGTAAAAGAGGTAAGATACCATGTGATTTAACAATGCTACTCTCACAACACACAGTGCAGCTCATTTTATGATTTTCCTTTTTAGAACTGGACTCACTCCGAGTAAATAATAATGTCAAACCTCAATGTTTTCCTCATGCATTTATTGATCGGCTGAATGAGTTTTCATGGGTTGATCAACATATTTGTGTCAATATCAATGAAAACATTCACACCAATACTTCTGAAAACAGGCTGATATTTTGGAAATTGACGACGATTCCTGGGTCCAAAATCTACTACTACATGTTTACAAAGGAATGAATGTTTGTTTGTGTGAGAAAAGGTGGAGAAATATTTTTGAATCAATAACTCCCATGATGCTTTGCGAGTGTCAAATTGGCGATATCGCTGCAGTCTAACGTTCATTATAGCTTTCAATTCATCACTTGAAGGTTATCATGAGCGTACTTATAGTTTTAAAAATTCTGGAGGCACATCTGTAACAACATTGTGCACAGATACGGCTCAATCAATTAATGTAAGTGAATTTACCCTATTATCGCCCAATCACTCTGACTAGACTAGACTGGGATGCTTTGTCTTGGGATGTTTTGTCTAGAAACTGATATCACACACATATTAACTTTCAGGAAATCCATAACACGACTCTGCGAAATCCAGATGGCATTGCAGTTGACTGGGTAGGACGTAACCTCTACTGGTGCGACAAAACAACTGACACAATTGAGGTCTCGAAACTTGATGGCCGCTTTCGTAAAGTAATTGTGTCCAGTGAACTTCGTGAACCTAGAGCGATATCTACGCATCCTCTACGTGGGTTCTTGTTTTACTCTGATTGGGGGGAGAAACCTCATATCGGAAGAGTAGGAATGGATGGCTCACAGCTAAATAGCTCATTTGTGACTAAGAACTTGGGCTGGCCTAATGCGTTGACTATTGACTATGTAATGGATCTAGTCTACTGGGCTGATGCAAGGTGAGTGGGTGAATATAAAATTAGGGGTCTGCATTATTATAGAGGTTATTTTCATTTACATTTTATAACCCAAAAACACAAAAAAAAAATTTTATTCATTGCTCTAATCATTTTTTATTTTAAGCCATAAGAAAAACAAGAGTTTGATGTAAGATGATATGGGCACATTTTGGGATCATGGATAACTTATCAAACATAATCCATATTCATGTACCCTCTCCATTATATGCACATTGTAGCATGTTGAAAACTGAAAAAAAGTGAAAACGTTTTTTGCTTTTGGTCTTCATTACCTAGACATTACTTAGGAATCTTAGCCTTATTCTACTTAATTCAGGGTGAAAATAGAGTTACATAAGCTAAGGTACCCATGTAATTGGACATTATTCAAGATTTTGCTGTTCAGATATTATCTTTTCTTATCAGTATTTTGTGTATTTGAGTGCTCTGTACTCTCATATGAAATACACTCTAAGGCAATGTCAAGTTCACTATTTGCAGTTTAACCTTCATTATCTCTCTTCAATCTGTCATTGCACCTCATGTTCAAAACAATGGTATTCTCGGGTTTGAATTTCATCAAAATACTTTCATATATTTCTTTTGTGTATGTCATATATTAATGTTCAATTTTCATGATTCTTCAAAAAACTGTATGCAATGTAATTTATATGAATATTTAATTTATATCTTTACATGGTGCAGTATAATAAGCCAAATCTTAGGTGAAATATCCATGAACTCAAAGCTGGAGAATATCACATTAATTACACGAACCTTCACTGCCCAATCAGAAATCTACTTTTGTGAATATGTGGAAAAAATTATTTTTAAATTATGAAAGCACAAACTTTATACAAAAATCTCTTTTTTATAACAAGCATTTTTTCATAAGCATATTTGAAATTACCTGTGTTTGTATTTTAGGTATGACTATATAGCATACGTTGATATATATGGAAACAATCGCCATACTGTCATCACCCAATCCCCAGAGCTGCCTCACATCTTCGCGATCACATTGTTCGAGAGCTACATCTTCTGGACTGATTGGGAGCGGAAAAGTATAGAACGAGCAAATAAGATCACAGGAAAAGACAAATTAGAAGTCACCAAATTCATACACAGACCGATGGATGTACACGTTATGCATCCGTTTAGACAAATGCCAAGTATGTGAAGTTATTTTTTCATTTCTCCGCAATATTAGTATTTTTCACCTTTCCATCTGTTATATATTCATTAAGGAATATTTTAGATGATTTTTAAAGCACATTAATGCTTTACATAACTGTCTGATATAAGAGATGGAGTTACATATTATGTGCCAGTTGTTAGTTACCAGTTTACCACCAATATGACATCACTTAATTCAGATTACTATATCTAGTTATATGGTAGACATAACCAAAAAGTTCCTCAAAACGTGACTAAAATATAAATTTAGTAAACCAATTTCCTTCTAAGCTTTTTGAGTAATGATAATTATATGTTGATTAAAAAGAAGTATTTTCAATAAAATCAAATATCTTTCACTTTCATCATAAGCTCTGAGGACTCATCTCAACCTACAGTAGAAATCATATTTTCAAAAAAAATGAATTTTCAAAGTTCAAATGATTTAACTTGAAATCTTACATTCTAATTTCAATTCTGATATCACCTTAACATAATTTCTTGTTTATTTGGACATGTTGTCCTTGAATTGTTGGTTTTTGCAAAGCCGTAAAATGTTACTTCTTCATATCTGCCTTGATTCTATCCAACAAGATGGTAGAAAGGGGACTTTCTTCATCTTCGCTCAATTTGATGAGCTCAACCATGGCTCTCTTGTCTGCATCAAAACTCCTGATGATGTCTTCCAGGGTTTTGAAGAAGATGTTCACTTGCAGGATGCGGTCCTCTTCTTTGAAATTCAGCAGGGGGTTGTCCTCCATTTCAGTCAAGGGTTGTATAACTGTGGCATACTCAACCAAACATTGGTACACCTAAAAACAAATATCATCCTATGGTTGTTATTGCTGCCAGTGACTTAGCAATGAAACTGGTTAAGAAATGGGCAACTCACAACAATGACAATGAATATACAGCTCACTGTGAGGGAAATAGCTTGATAGAATAAGTATTAGTTGTAGTTTCTTACCCCAGAATCATCCTCAATGGTGCGTATCATGTTCATGTATGGCCTTGGTGTTCCGCCTCTGATCACAGTGGTCTTCAACTTATCTTTGTCCTTATCCCTCAGCTCGATTTTCTTATCCACATTGGCAATATTGCTTGGCAGAATTCCAGACTCAGGTACCAAGATATAAATCTTAAGCGGCATGTATGTTACTCCACTCTTTGTCTGGAGATACTTCTCAATGCGACCTTTCAAATCTGGAAGTGATGGATAGGAACTGTGATGATAAATTAAGGATGTAATTTTAAAGGTTCATGTTCATGTGTTCACCTGTAAAAATTGACCCGATATTAATAAATCAATGTACATGTATTCTATTAAGTTGAATTTTCAAGTCTGAATTGATTCTAGAGTAATCTAATTTCTCATACCAAGTTGTTTTCCCTCCTCCCCCTGGGGTGGTATGATGATGTTAAGATATGAGTAGAAGTACCCATATGCCATTCCAAACCCAACGTCATTGCCCTGTAGGCCGATTTCCAATGGTGTGCTGTCTGAAATATGAAAGTTTAAGGGAGAATCAGGGAATTATCCTAAAACTGTGAATTTCAGAATTTTCAATAACATCACAATTTGGTAAGATATCATGGCTCTTTATATGTGGAATGATAAATACATGGATGAAAAATCATGAATTTCTGAACCTCATATAAGTATAATAGTTGACAGCAAGTTGTTTGAAATCACTTAAAGTAGTGAGATCCATTTATACTAATGTACATTTATTGAAACAGGATTAACTGTTTTATGAAACCTTATATGGCATTAGTATGTGCTATTCATGTATTTCTACCTGTTATTGCATCTGTCAACAGTTTCAACCAATTCTCATTGTTGTAGTCAACATCAGGAACCCATCTGATGAACTTTGGGACTTCAGTTCTTTGCACTCCTTTTCTAAGTACAATGGTGAAGCGTGTGTTTTCATCAATCATCTTTCTCAATGACTGCATTGCTTCATACATTGGCCAGTTTTTCTTATTTGATTCTTTGGTAAGAAGCAGGACCATGCGCATGGACTTTTCCATCTTCTCAGGGATCTCCTGTATTGGGTCACCTCCTATTCGAAAGTCTCGGTCATATAGCATCAACTTGAATCCAAGACCTTTTAAAACCCCAGCTAATTTGTCTGCATCTTCCTGGTTTTCACTAGCATAGGCAAGGAACACATGATATTCCTTGCCTTCTGGTAAATTCCTGATGGCTTGATCAGCCATGGTTCAATCTATAAAACATATTTATTGTTAGACACTGATATACATTGAAAACATTTCTGGTGTAGAGGCTACCCTCTTTTGTCAACCAAACATATAGATAGCACCCAGGCTGGTCCTGTAACCATTGTAACCATTTTTATTATTATACAAATATTATACAAATATTGAATTCTGTGGAGTTGAATAATTGTATATATTTCTGAAGGTGTATTCGCCGCAGCCCATCGAAACTTTTCTTTGAAGGACATCCCAATACAACTTCACCGTCTGTCATATCGGATTAAAATACTTTTTACTAAATTCCTAGGAATTTAGTGATGTGACGTCATTTTAATTGAATATACAAGTATAGTGGTATTCACTTAAAATGACGTCACTGCCAGTGAATACACTCTTCACATGATTTCTAAGCAGGGAAACATGGAATACCTCTATATATTTTTAGTCACGTGGTATCTAATTGACCAATGAGAAAAGAGTATCACGACATGGAAATAATAATTGATTCTATTGAGGTGAATACCTGTGCATCTTTCACAAGTGATATTCCATGAAGCCCGAAGGGCTAGTGGAATATCATCTTGTGAAAGTGTTACAGGTATTCACCAAAAATAGAATTAAATATTTGTTTCATTATTCACTGCTATATTCCTCACTCACATTAATGGAATAACAAACTATTGATGTCTAATTATTAATAATCATAAGAATGTACTCCCAGGGAAAATATCACATTTATCACAATATACATGTCGGTATCAATATATGACAATAAAAGTTAGCTTATTCAATTTGCAATTCAACAGTAAACTTTCTCTTGAAAGATAAATCGGCCAGATTTGTTGAATTTTCTTGCAGAAATCGCCTACTCCCCCCTCCATCCATTTTGTCTGATCATAGGGCATGTGTATAAGGAATCATTATGTGAGCCTAAAGAATGTTGCCATTTCTGAAGATTTGTTGTAATTATTAATCAATTGATTAATACATGTTTATTTAATGACATATTTGGTGAAAGTTGATCAAAATGATTGATACTGATCCCATCAGCCATTGTGAACATGGATTAAGAATAGCATTACAATTCACCACACTAATTTTTTACATTCTAATATGCTTATTTTTAAAAATTTATCCTGCATAAAAATGATTTTCAATTGTCATTTCTTCCATTTAGAATAATTTTCTAAGTTCTTAATACTGTAATAGGTACAAATCCTTTAATCATAATAGTACTCGTATCTGTAAATTATACAGAGTACTGAACCTAGGAATATACAGGTAATTAAGACGCTTATATTTTTTCTTACCCTATCTTTTGGTTGATGCAGCTAGTTTTAGGGGGTTCCCCTTGATAGAAAATCATTGAAACTTTATGAGTCATACTTTCTTGTGTCATGTTGTGCCCCAGTTTGAGTCAAAAGATCAAAAACACCAGATATTAATAATTAATCAATAATATATTTTACATTATTGTTCCATTGATAGTTCCATACATTCAAAATATTATAATGCGAGCGTATACTTTGGTAAATACATGATCAACGGGCAATATTTATTAAATATTGGAGGGTCTGGGCATAGGTGAGAGTGAAAGAATGGAGTCTGGTAGAGTAATTAATCAGATATCAAAGTGTGCACTCCCTTGGAAGCATCGTAGGGAAACATGTTGTAAACTAGCATTGTCACAGATTTAAATTGGCTCTGTTATACAGAATTGGCAAATCACCACAAACCAGGTGCCAAATAAAAGTAATTTGTGGCCCATTATGGAACAGTAAGTCATACAGTTAACAATGCTGGTAAAATAGAGCTTCTTTTACCATGTAATATTAAATTTGGTAAAAGTAAGCACCGATCTTTTCTCCACATTTAAAGATAATTTGATTTCATAAAAATTCTTAAAGTTAAAGCCACTCTTGGTGGTCAAGCAATTAAAAAGATGTGAACCCAATTTCATAGCATTTATCACCCTTTAAACAAGACCCTCCATATGTTTCAGTGAAGGAGAACCCATGTGGTGTTAACAATGGCGGGTGTAGTAACCTATGTCTCCTTAAGCCTGGTGGATATGACAGAGCTTGCGCTTGCCCTGAGTACCACTATCTTGCAGCCGACAAGAGGACGTGTCTTTCCAACTGCTCAGCATCTCATTTCTCATGCAAAAGTACATCCAAGTGTATTCCTTTCTGGTGGCAATGTAACGGGCAGAATGATTGTGGCGATAATTCTGATGAAGTGGATTGTGGTAAGTGAAATTATTGAAAATTATATTTTGGTGTTGATATATGATATTTTATAAGGAAAGCATGTCATGGTAGCACCATCCGGAATCCATTGGAAAGTACTGGTACAGGTTACACAAGTATTTTGACAAAATATTCATTACAAAACTCTTTTGTCAAAATCCATTGTAATGAAGCAATCAAACCTGACGTAACTCTGGCCACTTCCATGGAAGCGTCCCTAGTTTCCTAGAAAGTATCCCAAGTAGGCAATCCATATAGGACACCAAGCTTGACTACCTTGCACGATTCAGCTATTACCATATTAGGATAAAAGAAATTAACAAAAGTATTTGTAATATCTGAAATATCTCATTCCTATAGCACACAATCCTTGTTTACTAACTTTACAGTTCTTCTGTGTTTAAATATTTTAAGTAAAACATTGATTTAGTTTAAGTGTTAACTTATTTAAAGATTGCTATATCTGCTTTCAGTATCCTAACCATTCCATAATAATTTAAACCCTTGTTTTGTGGGATTGTTGAATCTCATGGGTTTTATGATCATAACATTGTATTGATATTATTTGATATGTCCTACCCAGTACCCAATGCCCACTAATGTGCATGCTATTGGTGATTGGCTTTGTTGTGGGTCAGTTTAAAATTGGTTCTATTTGTTTCTATGTTGTAGCATCTGGCGAGGGTGAGAATTTTTTTGTTCAACTTATGTGTCAAAATACATTATCTTGTGTAATTGTGGTCATGAGTAGAATCCAATGAGTTAGGGACCTGTTATACTGTACGTATGTTGAACACTCAGTATAAAGGGAACTGTATACCTTGGATACATTGTGTGGTCATATAAAACAATCCTTATGTCAACAATTCTTAAACCGAAAAAATAAGAATTATATTTGGTCATAATGATTTTTTATGTGACTACTATGCCATCTATTGGTGGCTGACAGGGGTTGTGCAGAAACATCAATAATTTTAAACAATTAAAATGTAGCATTGTTAGTATTCATTAGAATTCTTCCAAATGAAGCACTTCCCCAATTGTATGGACAATAACTCTATTGTACAGATTTGTGCCTTATGGGCATAGGGCTTCTGTTTGGACAATAACTCTATTGTACAGATTTGTGCCTTATGGGCATAGGGCTTCTGTTTGGACAATAACTCTATTGTACAGATTTGTGCCTTATGGGCATAGGGCTTCTGTTTGGAAAGGAGTTTCTAATAGTCTTGTACTTTCCGAGTGCTTGGATCTTATCAAATTATAATTTTCTTCTTATATTCTTATTAGCATTATTTCTCTTAAACTTAAATTTAACTTTCATACTAGGCCTTCATACATTTTTTGATAACATCACAGCTATTGATGTATGTACAAAACCCTGATTAGGTAAGCAAGCCACTCTTAGTAAGGACTACATACTTCATTGTTCAGTGTTGTATAGTATTATGTTTTCTTTATTTTTAACGAACATTGTAGTTCTGTAGATTTGATCATAAAACGTGGATTGATGAGATGTTAAAATACATTTCGAAACAAGATATTGATATAATCTGCCACATACAAAGAGTTTTGAGATAAGAGATTTGGGTCATATAGATTAAAGGTGGGGTTGAGTGGATGATAAACTAAAATGTTTATTATTATATTATATGTTGACATTTTGGAAAAATCGCTAATTATTCCCTTATGCATGACTCTTATTTATTTTCTCTTATGCTTGTGATCTATTTATTGCCGTCTTTATTTATGAATAGAAAATAATCGTTGCACCCTCTGTATCTATACACTCGTACTAGATTCTACTGGCGATGCCAAAAATGTATCGTTATTCAGGGAATAATTGTACAATAATGTAATCTAATATCAATGAATCATTCTTTTATTCTTCCCATGTTGTTATAACTTAATATTAGGTTTTTGCCAATACAGTATACAGACAGTTATAACACATCAATCTTTTTTCCTGCTCTCTATAGTCTACCTTACAGGCAAAGAAAAACATTGCCACTGAGGCATTTCTTGGACTGTTAGTAAGACTAGTGTAGTTAATATAATTAAAAATACTCCAAATCGGACTATGGTAATTATATTTGAAACATTAAGATAAGTATTAAGATGCAAATATTAAAAAGTGAACCTTTGGAAAATCAACATACGATAAGTGTAGAAAATTAATCATCATTCGTTTCGACTAAAAACTTTTTGGCAAAAAAAACATTTTTTTACTTATATGAACAAATAAATTCAGTGATTATTGCCCAAACAAATGAATTAATTTAACTTGTTTATAGTCAATACAGTGATTATTGCCCATAGTGTTAGTCATTACGGTTATGAAGCATATTAGCAAGTCAAGACACATTGATCTTAGCAGATTATTTAGCAATTTAAGCCTTAATGAATCTAACAATATTGTCATTAACCATGAGTGGTAATACCTGAATGAAACCATCTAATCCATAACATCCCAACTCCATCCCTTGTGTTGCTCATTGTAGGTGTCTTCCATTGCAAACAACCTATGCTATTCCAATGTGCCAATGCCAACAACTCAGATGATTGTGTTCCTCCTACTGAGATATGTGATGGAGTACAACAATGCAGTGATGGCTCAGATGAAGCCAAGTGTGGTAGGTGGCAATCACATTATTCCAAAATGGAAATATTCAGTGTGTTGAATTCAGTATCATATAATAATTAATAATATCAGTATATATATTAAAAATTAATCAGTAATATATTCAGTGGTGGCATGAATGAATCATACGATGCCATAAATGGAAATATTCATTCATTTCAATGAATATGATACCACTTTTTAAAACATGGTGAACTATTTTGCAGCCTAATAGAAAGATTGATGTATCTTTTGAGAAACTAAATCCCAGCTTAATGAATTGCCAAGTGACATTGACATAAATAATTATTAAACAATAAAATACTTTTACGCGTACATGTATTTGAAAATATCTACTTGTACTGTGTTTCAATTAGAAAATTATCAAAAAAGGTATTTTAAATTACAATATTTTTATATTGTTAAATCACAACAATGGTGCAATATTTTCTGAAAGAGTTTTAAATATTATTAACCACTTGCTCATTAAATCAAGATTATTAACGTTCATATTTACAGAGACGTATATGTGCATGGAGAATCAGTTTAAATGCCACTACAAGTCTGAGAACTTCACTGAGAACAAGTGTATTCCAAAGTCAAAACGCTGCGACAATAATCCAGATTGTGCATTTGGAGTTGACGAGCAGGGTTGCAGTAAGTTGAATTTGTATATTTTATAAAATTGATTTCTGTTAAATTAATATTTGAAACTGTTGTCATACTGATCTTCTTCAAATTATCATTTTTACCTGCTCTCTGTATTTTCTTCCTTATCAGGTAAGCTCGTTTGAGGCAAAGCTTGAGGTCATTTTAGGCAGAGCTTGAGCTCATTTGAGCCAGAGCTTGAGCTCATTTTAGCCAAAGCTTGAGCTCATTTAAGCTAGAGATTGAGCTCATTTGAGCCAGAGCTTGAGCTTATTTTAGCTTGAGCTCATTTGAACCATAGGTTGAGCTCATTTCACAGATTGAGTTTCCTTGGATGGCAAATTCTGCTTCTATTAGATCAACGAACAAGTCACATGTCAAAATCTCCTTGTTTTTTCAGCCCATGCCAAATGTGCAAGTAACCAGTTTCAATGCAATATTACTAAGCAATGTATCCCATATGTGTGGCGCTGTGATAAAGACCACGACTGCGGGCCAAATGACACGTCAGATGAACCAGAATCCTGCATGGAGGAGAAGTGCCGACCTAACTTCTTCCAGTGCAATTCAACAGGACGTTGTGTTCCGTTGTCATGGAAATGTGATGGTGATGATGATTGTTCAGATGGTAGCGATGAACCTGAAGATGAATGCAGTAAGTAGCATAAAATATTCACAACATAAATCAGGGCTCACGCTAGGCTTTTAGACTGTGGCGTAACACCACACTCTATTTAGCTCCCACCACAATCTATTGGCAAATCATGATTAATCCCACAGTGTAAACTTGACTGAATACACAATGTAAATATGATTTATCACAATTGAACAATTATGCTAAAGATGATTCCACTACTCCCTAAATATTTCCTGGTGAGAGCCCTGTAAATTCTGATTTCTTTTATGTAAAGGACGATTCTCGGTTTGGAGAACGAAGTTCATCAATCTAAATGAGCATTATCCCTGCTTCGGACAAATTTGATTTTTTTTACATAATATAGATTTGAATGTCCTCTTTTGAATAGTCATAATTTAATTTGGGTAATATTTCTAGATTTTTCTCAAAAAAAATATTAGCGCAGTACACTGATGAACTTCTTTCCCCAAATCGAGACTTGTATTTTATCAAAATCGGTCTAATTGAGCGTTATCCCTGCTCCAGACCAATTTGATATTTTTATCCCATCGAACGAAGTTCGGAGGGATATAGGGAACGCCTCCGTCCGTCCGTCCGTCCGTCCGTCCGTCCGTCCGTCTGTCCGTCCGTCCGTCCGGGCAATAACTCAAATACCGTTGGCCCGATTTTGTTCATATTTCGTACACATATACCCTATGGGGGTAGAAGTTCTGCTCGAAAGCCGTTTTTCAAAATGGCCGCTCATTTCAAAATGGCGGCCATTTTAGTGACGATTTTACAGTAATTTTGGTGCAATATGTAAAACTGTAATAGCAATATGTTTTAAATGTAAAAAAAATTATAAAGGACATTAATAATGCTACAAATGTAGATATTAAAAAGCACATGTCAGCCATCTTGAAAATGGCGGCCTTTACTCGTCATTTTACGATTTTTGCTGTAACTCTAAAAATAGTGGAGCGATTTTGTTCATATTTGGTGTGTGAATACTATAAGCATTGCACACTGTCTAAAGACACTTTTGGTAGAAGGCGGCCATTTTGGAAAATGGCCGCCATTTTAACATATTTTATTCGAAAAGTAGTGGAGCGATTTTGTTCATATTTGGTATGTGAATACTATAAGCATGGCACACTGTCCTATGACACTTTTGGTAGAAGGCGGCCATTTTGAAAACAATTTTGAAAATGGCCGCCATTTTAGCGTATTTTACTAATACTCGAAAAGTAGTGGAGCGATTTTGTTCATATTTGGTATGTGAATACTATAAGCATGAAACACTAGTCTATTTCTAATGACACTTTTGGTAGAAGGTGGACATTTTGAAAAATGGCCGCCATTTTAACGTATTTTACTATAACTCGAAAAGTAGTGGAGCAATTTTGTTCATATTTGATATGTGAATACTTTAAGCATGGCACATTGTCTAATAAAACTTTGGGGAGTAGTCCGCCATTTTGAAAAATGGCCACCATTTTTAGGTGTGTTATTTTACAAGTACGTGTGCGATTTTTCAAAAACTTTTAGAGGTGGCTACTTAAAAGCATATTATTTCTTCTGATGACAACTTGGCTAGTGAGCAACCATTTTGAAAATGGTGGCCTTTCTGTTGTGTTGTTTTATGATATTTGCGCTTCGTTTGTAAAAATGCCAGCCATTTCTGTTCGATGGGATTCGCTACGCTTTGGCGTTGCCGTTGTTCTGGTTACATCTTGTAGATTTAAATGTCCTCTTTTGAATATTCATAGTTTAATTTGGGTAATATTTCTATATTTTTCATGAAAAAAAATATTAGCCCAGGAGACTGTTCTCCAAACCGAGAATCGTCCTTTACATGAGAAGATATAATTCCAAGAGTCATTTATTCCTCAGTTAATATAGTAATCTGCAGTAGTTCACTGGAGACTTTATTCACATCAGGACAATCCAAATATCTTGAACCTCATATAGGATATTACAGAGATAATATATTACATTGCAGAATCTAATACATGTGAGCCAACGTACTTCCCTTGCGACAATGGCAAGTGTCTTCCTGGTAGATGGCGCTGTGATTATGATTTTGACTGCGATGACCATTCAGATGAGAAAGATTGTCAGGTACTTTTTTGCAAGATTCACGACTGAGGTTGAAAACATGATTGAAAAAAATTAATATATTGGAATTCAGTCCATTGCCCGATAGACAACTCTTTCCAAGCTCATTCTTAAAATGAAAAGTGATTGCCCAATTTAACATAATGGCATTCAGTCCATTGCCCAATGGGCAAATCATTTCCAAGTTCATTACCAAGAGTGAAAAGAGATTGCCATTGGGCTGTAAGGCTGCTGTGAGTTTTGAATCCTGGCTTTTTCATAGTTCTCATAATATTATCTCATAATGTTATGTTATATTATTAGTTATCTTATGATGTTGCCTCATATTAGTTATCTTATAACGTTATCTAATATTAGTTATCTTATAATGTGTTATAATTCTGCCAATCAAGTATTAATGTAAGTTGTGAATTTAGAGAGTTGTACTCCATTCCATTATCCAATTTTAATTATTAAAGAGGCTCTATGCCATAGGATAGCACAATCAAGACCCCTCTGGACCTTTTTGCATATTGAGTTTCACCACATATATACCCATCTACTTACCAAAGAAGAAGTCCCAAATCCCCCTCTTTCAGTGTTAATTTTGCGATTGTACTGGCCGATCTAATTATTTTTGAAGAAATTAATTCAATCTGAAGTGTGAATTTTCCGGGGGAAGGTCCTCCTGTTATCTGATTGGTCGTTGAATTTGTTAATCATAAGCGCTTGGGTGACTCAATGGGGATTCCCTTGATAGCCGGGGAATCAATTGTGTTTAATTGCCGATAGTTTGGCAATAATATACCCAAAAGTTATTCTCAAGATATATCCATGGTATGTGAGATATTACATGAGCAATAACAATAGGACATCATTGATTGTCTGGGGAGAAACCTATGGCATAATGCATCTTTAAAGGCATCTATGCGTTCATTTTTCTGTATGTTTTACTGAATGACAACTTTGTTTCATGTTTTCAGCCACGTAATTGCTCTGAGAGTGAATGGCAATGTGAGAGCAACAATCGCTGTATTCCTGGGCGCTGGAAGTGTAATGGCCAAGCTGACTGTGACGATGAATCAGACGAGTCAGTTAAGAACTGTGGGGACGACAAAGGTATGTTGCAAATGACCTGTATTCAGGGGTCAGCTCAAACTACAAAAAGTGGTCATGTTTGATTTGAAACAAGAATGTACATTGACCTTTGACCCTATTTTAAATGGATATCACCATTAAATGTTCATTTGGTGAGGTTAAGTGGAAATGAAACTGCCTATTGTCTTAACTTATCTCATATCCATTCAGGTGACAATAGAACTGGACGTTCCCAATAAGATATCTCTGCCCTGTTTCATTAGTGCCAATTCACAAAATGGTGTCATTTTATCATTTTACTCTTTGATATTGCGTTTGATTTGTCCTACTCTTTTTCAGGAAATTGTCCCCTCACTGACAACTTTAAATGTGAAAACAGTAGTTATTGCATTCCGCAACGTTGGAAGTGTGATGGTACGTTAGATTGTGTTGACGGAAGTGATGAGAAAGCGTGTGACAGAAACTGTACTGGAGAGCAGATGATGTGTGACAATTCTGTCTGTGTGCCTTTAAAATGGAAGTGTGATGGCTTCGATGATTGTGGCGATAACAGCGATGAAAAGCCGAGCATGTGCCGTGAGTCAATTTTATCAAACTTTAAACTATCCTGTATGTTTTCATTTTGTAAATCAATACAATTATGTCAAGAAAGATTTACAGCATAAAATAGTTTTCGTAACAATTCACCATTTGCTGGTGCTTCAGTATAACAAAGTTTTGCATTATGTACTGGACCACCCCCCCCCCCTACTACTAGTTGAAAAAGAAGAGTGGTAATATGTAACTCAACATATGCTGCAGAATGAGTAAAAATCACGCATAATAAAAAGTACTTTTTGAATACAGGTAACTACACATGTTTGGCTGGCTATTTCAAATGTCGCCATAGTCACACATGTATCCTCAAGTCAAAGGTTTGCGATGGGACGTCAGATTGTGGACATAGCGACAACTCTGACGAGAGTAACTGTCGAGAGCTGATCTGTAATTCTTGGGAGCAGAAATGTGATACAAGCAACCAGTGTATTGATATGAACAAATGGTGTGACAAATATAACGACTGCGTGGACAACTCTGATGAAAATGCAGAACTTTGCAAGATTAAAGGTAACAAACTTTAAAAAATGATTTTAAATAACTTTATTTCAGTTTGCTGACATGTTGAATTTACTTATTGTATGAAACTCCCTAAATGGACGTATCAGTGCATAGATCAAACTTTTTACATGAGCAACTAAAATATTAAATTTTATGTAAATTCTACATTGAACTTTGAAATTTTGTGTTGCAGATACTACTTGTAGCCCAGGGCATTGTGGTAAGGATGCCACATGCTGGCAGTCAAATTTTGGTGCAAGGTGTAAGTGCTCTGAGGGCTTCCGATTGATCCGCGATAACCAGTATGATGTTGATCACTGCGTTGACATTGATGAGTGCCAGGAGTATGGGAGATGCAGTCAGCGCTGTCACAACAAGCAACCTGGCTACACATGCCTATGCGACAAAGGTTATCTCAGTGTACATAATATCATGGGCTCGACTCAAAAAAGGAAACACTGTAAAGGTACTTGCTGTTCACTACAACGTATTACATGAGCCATTTGGTAATGTGATTTCATAGCATGAAAATGGGTAATTTGTCTCAGAAAGTCAGAGCATTTATCTCCAGTTATTTTATAATCACATTTCAGAGATCATTTGTGAGATTTTGAGCCTTGGGATGATTTGTTATGTATTGGACGAGAAGTCAGAGATGAATGACAGGAAAACCTGTTTAGTCCAGATGCCAATGGACCAGCTAAAACTGTTTGAATTGGCAGGTGTTCACATTTCAAGATTTTTAACATGGAAAAAGTGTTCACGTTGAGAGGTGTTCAGATTTCAGAGGTGTTTGGATATACGAGGTTTTAATGTACCTTTTATTAATAGATGAGGGCTGGAGTTGAGGGGCCAGATACTGATCTCTTTATTCCATTGCAGCAAGTGGTCCTCCCCCATATGTCCTTCTGGCTGTGGAGAATGAACTGAGAATGGTACAAGTCAGTCAGACACAGACCTACAGGGATTACGCAACAGTGAGTAGTAGTATACAACAATCTCTGTTCTAGGTAGACTGGATGAATTGTACACCTCTACTGATCATTAATATTTCAATTTTGATTTAGACTGACATTGGCTTCCAATTAATCTTCATTGTGGAATGATACAAAGTAAATGAGATAAATAGATAACAAAATAAATCATGACAAATCATTCTGCTACATGTACAATGTTTAGAATTGAGTTATGATTGAATGGCTTAGGAGAAAGAAAAATAATGAAATGACATATGGAAGAAATGTGTTGTTATTAGACTCCAGATTGAAAATCTGGAGTCTATTGCTTTTGCCAGTTTTCTTATTATTATTCTTTCTTTCTTTCTTTACACGTTTTCTCAGCAACTAGAAGAGCTTACTTTAACCTACTTACATGGCTAACATAGCTCATCGACCTAGTTTCTGGGAAATTAGGTCAACTTTTTATCTAGGTCAAAGGTTAAGAACTAGGTCAAATCTTACATTTTTAACATTCTGTCAATTATCTTCGTCATTATTTATCGAAACACCTGGATGTACACCTCATTGTGTAGCTTAGAAAAAAACAAATCGAGAGTGTGCCATCCGTTTTTTGATTACTCTTACCGATTTTGAGATATGGCGTCCGGAAAGTAGGTCAAACTAAGAAAATAACCAAATTTAACATATGAGCTATGAAATAAGTGTAGAATTTTCTCGGGAATCTGAATCTGCAAACCAAATTCCGATCCGACTTCCGGTTCGGAAGTTATGGCGTTTTGAAAACTCAAAAATTGCTAAATTTGGTGCCCATGTTAAGTCAATGGGAAAAAAGATTTTTTTGAATTGAAAAAAACGGAATATAGACTGAGTTCAGCTTCACATAATCAAAGCCTTTAAAAGAAGGGGACCTCAAAAGCCATCTAGCTTCAAAATTTGGACACCAAAATGCCTAGGTCAAAATCTAGGTCAAATTCATAGGTTTTCCTTATTTTTTCGATTCTGACACTACACTTTAATTATATTCTTCGAAATTGTGTATACATGTAGCCAAGAGTGTGCTAATAGCGTTAGCCTTTTGCCGTCAGAAAGTATTTTGACCCACTTTTGAGATATGGTGTCCGAAATGTAGGTAAAATTAAAAAATTCTACAAATTTAACGTTTGAGTTATGAATTAAGAGTAGAATTTTCTCAGAAATCCGAATCTGAAAACCAAATTTCGATCCGACTTCCGGTTCCGAAGTTATGGCGTGTCCAAAAAGTAGGTCAAAATAAAAATTCGCCAAATTTAAGGTATGAGTTATGAATTAGGGGTAGAATTTTGTTAGGAATTCGAATCTGCAAACTAATTTTCAATCCGACTCTCGGTTCGGAAGTTATGACGTTTTGAAAGCTCAAAAATCACTAAATTTGGTGCCCCATGTTATGTCAATGAGAAAAAAGATTTTTTTGATGTGTAAAATACCAGATATAGACTGAGTACAGCTTAACATTCTAAAAGCCCATAAAAGAAGGGGACTTCAAAGGCTATCTAGCTTTAAAATTTGGACACCAAAAATGCCCAGGTCAAAATCTAGGTCAAATTCATAGTTTTTCCTTATTTTTGCGATTCTGACATTACACTTTAAAGATTTGCTTCAAAATTTTGTATACAGGTAGCAAAGAGTGTGCTAATAGTGTTAGCCTTTTGCCGTCACAAAGTATTTTGACCCACTTTTGAGATATGGTGTCCTAAAAATAGGTCAAAATAAAAAATTCTCAAAATGTCCCTTATGAGTTATGAATTAAAGGTAAAATTTTCCCAGGAATCCGAATCTGCAAACCAAATTTCAATCCGACTTCCGGTCAAAAATTCCTACTTACCTACCTACCTACATACCTACTTGGCTACCTACTTAGCTACCTACTTCTCAGCTACTTGGCTACCTACTCAGCTACTTACTCAGCTACCTACTCAGCTGCTTACTCAGCTACCTACTCAGCTACTTACTCAATTACTTAATCATCTACGTACTCAGCTTCCTACTTCAGCTCTTTACTCAAGTAAATCAATCTGGAGTCTTAAATTGAACTTTGTTCAATTTACAAATCTAGTTATTATTACTTTACTAATATCCCATTTGAGAATCACCATTTTCATGTACATACATGTATATATGTTACATTGTAGAGATGTGATGTAATAAAGAAATAAATCAAACAATTTCAGGCTGAAGCCAAGATCCAGTCTATGGATGTGGATTACAATGCGTCTAAAGCTTTCTTTATCAGCAACAACACGATTAAAACCATGAACATTCTGCAAGACTTGACACCACTGCTGGGAGGGGGTGGTTTGGTTGGCAGGAGAAAACGAATGCTGGTTATGCCACCCAAAATCGAGACGTTAAATGTAAATATAGAGCCTGACTAATTTACAATCAACACTTAGTATTTTCTGACCAATATGTTCTTTACCGTTCAAAATGTAATATATGTTCCACATCAAAATGTAATATACGTTCCACATCAAAATGTAATATATGTTCCACATCGAAATGTAATATATGTTCCACATCAAAATGTAATATATGTTCCACAAGAATATTTCTCTTTCTTAAATGATGAAGGTATACACGATTTTATGAAAAGAAACAGCCTATGATACCATTTTCACTCTCCAGTGATAGCTTCCTATCCAAGTGATACATGTACATATTGAATCCTTTCTCTTGTTTCTGTAGAAGGGGAATGGATGATTTAGAAGCAAAGTTCAAAACATTATGACTCAATTTTAATAATATTAAAAATGTATTCCCAATTTTCCATGTTTTCGTTTAGATCGCAGGTCTGCGGGATCCAGTTGATGTCGCTATAGATTGGAGCTCTAAGAGGCTATACTGGACTGATGCTGAAGCTCACGAAATAAAGATGGTGGACTACAACGACACCTCCAACCCAGTTACTGTCGTTGACCCTGACCACCCCCCAGGTGCCATTGCAATTGACCCAGAAGAACGGTATGCTAATTCTCATTTCATATATATAATAATAGGATTTATTTATACTAATGCCCTAATAGGGCCAAACGTACATCCAACAATAAAATATTACAATAACAGTATTTAAAAGAAAATAAGACTATGTTCTTCAAATTACATATATACTTTTATTTTGAAATAAGGATCCTATCCCTACCAATCATTAGATTATGTACCATGTCAGCTGTTTCTTTTAATATGATCCCCTCACTCGTCAAAAGAAAAATTGTCATGTCATGATCCCTCATTTTTTAATATTATAGCACAGGTTTTCAAGAATATATGACAACTACACTTGTTAATTTGAATATGATTGTTCACGTATGCTATTATTTATTAAAATTTTAACTTTTTCAAATTCAAAAATCACTAAGAGGTGTATGATAAGGGAAATTATATTGCTATGAGTTTATTTTGTCGACAAACTGCCACAAACTGGATTCAGGTGAAGGAGATCTGATGGTTTTGGACGACTTGAGTCAAACATCATAGTTAACTCAAACCCATTTCAAGTTAACTTACTTAACGTGTATATATATCATCATTCCAGATTTCTTTTCTGGACTACACATGGCAAAGCTCCTTCTATAGTTAGATCAGATCTTGATGGGAACAACAAGACCATTCTAGTCAATGATCCAATATGGCCGACAAGCCTCGCTTTGGATTATGCCAACAAGAGGCTATATTGGGCTGATGCAAAAGCAATGAAAATACTGACAATAGACTATTATGGAAAACAGCAGGACGTAGTGAGAAACTTCAATTCAAGAAGTAATTTGAGCCTTTTATATACTATACATTTTTTCATTCATGATTTATTACTTTTCTTTGCAAATGTCATCTAAATATTGTAGGAACATAACTTATAATTGTGTAGTGACATTCATTTACATGTACATATATATGCTATTCATAAATAAGAATCTGCTTCTTCAAGTCCCAAGAAATTTTGGTATAAGAATGCAACGTCTACGCACGCAAACAATAATACAGTACCTGATTGGAATCCTACATGTTCTACCATATTATTTGTCATTTGTTTGTTTTGCAGATGATGAGATTCCTTATAAAATAAGTGTATTTGAGGACTCCATATATGTTACAAGCTATAGGAAACATAATGTTTTCAAATTAAGCAAGTTCACCAACAAAACATTGGAGCCGAAGTATATTCTGCGAAGTCTTGGAAATGTTGGTGATCTAACAATTGTACAAAGGCAAAAACAGAAACAAGGTTTGTTTCATGATACTTCAGAAAGACAAAGATTTTAATATTAACAATTTTAGATTAGAAGATGAGTTTCAAATCATGTTTTATTTATTTAGTTACAGTTCCAAAGTCAGTTATATTCTCAACTCAGCTCATTTGGCTTGAAATGCTAGAAGATGTTACTTGTGTTCTGTGTTTTATTTGTAATGTCTTAAGATCTTACAAAATTGCACCTTGATCATTGACACAGATCTTTTCAAGAGTCAAATTGCTATAATCTCCAATATCTATTCTTCATACCAAGAGAGGAATGCCTCAGAATTAATTGGTTAACATATCTCTATAAAAAGAAAAGACCAACCTGTCTTGGTTCAACTTTACATACATGTTCTTCTTTGAATTTTTGGGTATTCTTCCTCTTTCTTTGTACTTTGAATATTCTTTTTGTTTTAGGTCTAAATGCGCATCCTTGTAAAGACAACCCATGCCATGCTACTGCTAAGTGTATTATGTCTAAATGCTATTGTCCCGACAACTACCAAAAGAATAATGCTACTGGTGCAGAATGTGTGAAAAAACCTCCAGCGAAATGTAAGGAAAATCCGTGTGAGAATAACGGAACTTGTTCATTAACGGAACATGGGAAAATCAAGTGCACGTAAGCCAATGCTTTATTTTATTTATATTTTCATATTTATGTCTAGGTAAAATATTGAAATATAGACAGACAATAAACAGCCAATATCTTCATCCCATATAAGGCAATAATAGGAGTAGGGATCAAACTTGTTGGTTACTCAGTATGGACCCTTGTAAATGGAAATGAGTTTGTTCAGATGAATGACAGTTCCATTTATGAAATATGCTAACCATCACTTTCTAACATTACACCTGCTGTTCAATGATTAAAAATCAGTTTCTTGAACAACTGAAGTATGTATTCTGACTCAGATATAAAGATGAATATGTGTAGTCTATACAATTTCAAAGTATTCATTGTTTAAATTGTCTTGCAGGTGTCTTGATGGATATCACGGAGATAGATGTCAGAAAGATTATTGTAAGAATCTCTGCTATCCTGGTTTTGGAAGCTGCAAACGGAATGGAAAGGACAATGTGACATGCATGTAGGCTAGCATTTTGTCATCTCCAACATAATTAGATTTAATCAGTGGACCATAAACCTTTTTTTGGACCATTTTAACATAAATAAATGAAGATTGACCTTAACTTAAATGTCCATTTTGATATACCTGTATTTGAGAAATATCTCAACGTACTGTGATTTAAACAGTTTTTGAAAATTTTAACTTGTTTTTCCCAGCTGCAAATACCAGTTTGAGGGGGATAGGTGTCAGCACTACAAGTGTACGGGATACCAGTGTAATAATGGCAAATGTGTCGTTGACAGAAAGACGGGCAAACCAACTTGCAAGTAAGTATCCTTCACCTGAAGTTTGCCAATCTCTAGGAAAATGACTATGTACTTTAAGCTAGGAGTGCAATATGTGGTACTTGGAGTGCAGTTGGTGGTCTTAAGAGTGCAATATGTGGTGTTAGGAGTGCAATATGTGGTGTTAGGAGTGCAATATGTGGTGTTAAGAGTGCAATATGTTATCTTAGGAGAGCAATATGTGGTATAAGGAGTGCAATATGTGGTGTTAAGGGTGCAATATGTGGTATATGGAGTCAATATGTAGGGATAGGAGTGCAATATGTAGTGTCAGGATTGCAATATGTGGTGTTCTATCTCACCATATCTATTTTGCCTTTAATCATGTCTCATTTTAGTTCTTCAGAAGTGAAAATACTTTATGTGGTGATTTATGCAGTCTATATTGTATTGTATTATAGATGTGGTTTGAAGTACTTTGGGGATCACTGTGAGAAGAAAAGAAATAACTTATGTGACAACTTTGAGTGCCAGAACCATGGCCAGTGCTTCATTAATCCTATGGATAAACGTCCCTACTGCTCCTGTACCCCTGGTTTCATAGGTGAGTAGACCCTAAAGCATAAACTGTTTTTGGTGCTATATCAAAGTATTCAAAGATATATAAGTTATGTGCTTCATGACACATCAGATTAAAAGAGGTAAAAAATAGAAGTAAAAACTTAAATAAACGAGGGTCTAAAATGTGATTATATATGCCAGCTAATAGACCCTCCCTCATGAAAAATATTTAACATTATGTGGTTTGCTTGCTCTTCAGGTCCCAAATGTGACCAATGTAACGAGCTCACTTGCTATAATGAGGGTATATGCAGGAGGGTCTTCTTCAGACCTAGATGTGAATGCAAAAATGGATATTCACCAATTACTCAATGCCGTACCAATATCTGCGAGCACTACAAATGCTTAAACGGTGGAACCTGTCAATTATCGGCAGATCAGAACAAAGCGGAGTGTTTGTGTTTGCCCAAATACTCTGGACCACACTGTGAGAACATGAAATGCGCAGATTATTGTCTGAATGGAGGAGAATGTAGGATTGATAATAGAAACAGTCCTAGTTGCTATTGCAAACCAGGGTTCAATGGAGATAAATGTGAGAAGACAGACTGTGTCAGAAACTTCTGTTATAATGGTGGAACTTGTAAACCCGGTGAGTGTCCTACATTGGTTTTGTCATTAACTTAAAATTGTGAAGGCTTAGGAAAATAATATCTTAAAACAGAACTTGTAGGCCTAGCTATACTACAAAATGAATAGTGAAAGAAGAATAACTGTCTGCATTGGAAAATGATACCTGAGAGAATAATGATCAGGCTAAGACCTGACAGGTTCAAAAACCCTTTCCAATACTATTTTGCTTTATCCAAATGTAAATGTAAACAAGTGATACAAAGGTTTTATTTGAAAAAGAAAATTATCTGTTTAGTCTACTCCAAACACCATAGTTCTCTTAATATTACAGGTACAGGCAAGCAACCAGCCAACTGTAGCTGTCCTGAGAGATACACCGGCCAGAGGTGTCGGCAAGTGAAGGGATGTGAAAATATAAACTGTCAAAATGGTGGCACATGTGATGTTGTTGATGGGAAGCCACTCTGCAGGTAATGTGGCAATAGACTATAAACTGCCATTTATATTTCGGCTTTGTGTGTGTGTGCACTCCCTTAAACTACTAGCATTTTGTGTCAGCATACAGTAAAACTTATCTAATCGAAATACCACTGGTGATTAATTCTTTCAAACAGATTTTATAATTCACAATAACCACCAGATGCTCTTAGTTGATTTGCTGCTTCAATATTATAACTTTTATTGACATATAGTATCATAACATGATTACATTAGTCAGAACTATGGTAAACTACAAATCTTTCCCATAAATGATATAATCTTTTTTTGTCAGCAGATGTCCTAAATTTTATGTTGGGGAAAAGTGTGAGCATCCTGACCCAGAATTCTGTAACCGCCACTGCTTCAATGACGGCCATTGTATTGACTGTCGTATAGAGCATGGGATGGCACATTGTAGTGCCTGTGGGTGCCCTGGACACTGGGGTGGGGACCGTTGCCAAGAAAGGGTAGCAATCCAACCCCTTGGTCACTCCCAGTCTCAAGGTAAGGAAAAGTCTGTAAAGCAATACAACATTTTTTGTTGGTTTATTGGAACCTGTTTGCAGGTCACAGCCAACTAGTGCAGGGGCAGTTTTTCCAGTAAGCTCGGATGAGTTTACACAATACATGGCCATATATAACACTTAAAACAATCTAATTGCCAGCTATGAATTCCTTTTACTCCACCTATGTCCTAAAACAGCAAATATATGATAAATAAAAAAACATATGTTTTGTCAAGATAAAACTGAACATGTCAGTACAACATGATTATAAAATGCACAACATTAAATAGCCAACTATAATATAATATGTTAAACTACAGTATGTTCCATTCACCAAATTGTTCTATGTTTCAGTGGTGACCATATCAGCTTCAGTGATAGCCTCACTTGTCATTTTAGTACTTCTTATAGTAGCTGTAGTCTGTATATATAGAAAACGTGACAGGTAATACTAATTTTATATATTATTGCTGTCTTGTGTATATGTGTTTGAAAACATGGCAGCTAATTATTATTAAACCAGTGATCATGAATTTTACAGCTTTCATTCAATGGTCATGAATTGTGCAGTTTTCATTCAATGATAATTATTTGTGTTGCATAATATTCATCATTTAATCATTTATCTTGTAGTATTAATGCCAGATTACAAAATCAATTCCGTCATCGGAAGATGAAGAATGACCGTACAAATGTTGAGATAAATAACCCACTATACATGAGGGATTATGATGATGAAGATGACCCTGGCGAACCCATGGAAACTTATAGCTTTGGAGGCGAACAGGTGAAAACAGTTTATATTCATTTGTTTCTGCAGAATTTAGGGGCCAAGTCAAAATTTAATGGTTTTTTTCGTAAATTTTCCAAATTTGAAAAAGGGTTTTACATTTCAAGTCTGGTTCCATTTGCAAATGGTGTCTTGGGCAATTTTATTTATGTTAATAAAAGGAAATACTTGTGGACAATTTTTTGTAATGTTTATTATATTTCTCATTTCAGCCCACCAACTTCTCCAATCCAATGTATGACACTTTATATAATGACAATACTAAAGAACTGCTCAATCCACAAGAAGAAAATAGAAAACTTTTAAAAGAAGATAAAATGAAAATACGTTTTAACGATGAAGATGACGAGGAATCTCATCCCAACCTCTCGTTTGCATAGTAACAGCTTAGGACGTAAATGCTCGCAAAATGATTCATCTTGGTCTCGCAACTTTTTTTAATGAAACGGTGCCAGTTTTCCTGTCTGTATTGAGGGGTTGAGGTAACACTTGGTGTTTTGTCTAATATTTTCCCCTCTTTGTATTGGTTTTGGAATGAAATCATAAAATGCGTGACCATTTTGACATTTTTGTCGAGGCTTATTTAACACAAGGCATTAAATGTATATTTTTAAGCAGCTTGATTTTTGTACATTATTTGTACATAGACATATAGGTGGCGCATCAAAGATTTACCTTGTGTCACAAATTATCGTGAGATTTGTGTCTGCAGGTCAAGCTTAGATGGTTTACCTTAACTATTTTATAAAACTTAATTCAAAGACTCAGGCAGCCATTTTGTAAAATATGACAAGCATTTGGAGTACATGGCAGATATTGAATTAGAATAGACCCCTGAGTGTGACATGAGTAATAAGGCCCTTTCTTGCGCAAGATGGTGGATAAATATTTATTTACATCTTTAAGAATCAAGAGGGAGTATAAATGAAGAGCCTTGCCCACCTGGAAATTTTGCCACTAGATGGCTCTGAGCAGACAGGTCGGGCTAAGAGGGCTTACCTGTGCAATTCATATTTAGGAATTTTACAATTTTTGTAATGTATATAATGCCCATATGAGTCTATGTATGATAGGAAATCATTGACTGAAAATTGAATATTATGAACTCCCACAACTTGTCCATGATCAAGTGAAAAAAATTTAAAAAGTTTTTTCAAAAGGACGAAGATTTGAAATATGAATTGTAAACTCAAATGACACTGAATTTAGTTAAAGAAGTTCAAAAGTTGACTCTTGATGTACAGTGTATTGAAAACTTCTAATACTAGAAATGTTTTGTAAAAAAATTCAAAGATTGTGATATCCCAAAAATTATATTTTTGTATAATAGTAAAATACTATAATACTGAATGTACTTGTATATTTAAACAATCAACAATGCAATTGACATTTAGAATTAGATAGAACTAATTAATAAGCTTAGTATTATGGAACTATTTTCCCCACATCTAGAGTTATGTTCGCATCTATGTAACGTCTATGTCAACAGTAAAATAATAGTTAGTTCTTAGAATTCACCATCAAATGTTTATAATGTTTTATACTGTTAATACATAAATGTAATTGTATAAAAATTTTACATATCTGAATAATTGATTTACATATTTAGTGTAAGGAAATTGATGTAAATATGTTCATTTAAACACATGTATATCATAAAGATCTTATATTGAATTCTCATTTTCATACAATATCATAATAATAGAATTGATCGTGAAGTATTGAGAATGCTTGAAAGAATGTAGATGTTACATATTGAGGTATCGTAATATGTTGTCTATTGTTATATCAAGTTTGTTTTGACATTCCAAAATAATTCTGGTTCTTGTCAAAGTGGTGTAAGTCATGGTAACATCAGTGATATCAAATACAAGGTTGTAGTTTTTAGGTGCATTGAAAGATGGCAGCAGTGATAGAATATGTAAAACATTGATTGCACTGCCATATTTATTCGAAAATTATTGTTTACCACATTCTCCAAGCATTTTTGGTCCGGTGCAATTTTGCATTCTTCCTTCCCTTTATGGATCTAAAGGTGGTTCTTACACTAGATGTTATCATATCAAAATTAGAAACAAATAATAAGCAAATCACATCACATCGATTGACTGCAGAGAGGGAGAATAATTTCACACTGAAGTGAAAATGTTTGGAGAATGGTTTTCCGATTCACTAATACACCTAGGTTAACCTGCTAGTGGCAGTCACTTTCATACCTGATCAGAGAGATATTATTTATTGGCATATTAAGTTATTAACATATTTTGCTTCAAATTATTTGCAAATGCTTAATGCTCATTGAGTCATTAGCCACCCCTTGTTGTCACATATGATGAAGTTGTCATACATATTTGTCCTTATATTGCAAGACTTTTAAAGTTTCTGTATGGTGACATTAAATTATACAATGTATTCTCTAAAATTGGGAGACTTTTTGATCAAGTCGAAATTTTGCCACTTTCTAAACTTGTAAATATAATATTCAGTAAATATTCAATATGGTTAGTTTCCCATCCTCCGATCACAGGGCTTCAAAATCCAGAATATATTCTATATTTTTACCCCCTGCGATAAGCAGTTAGCATTTCCCCGATTAAGAACTCACAATCTGATTGGCTGTCGCAACACTGCGACAGAAATCACGTGTAAGTCATTGCGCATGATAAGATCATGTGATTCAGTTTAATCAGGCGCTTCCAAATTGGTTATAGCAGGGGGGAAGAAGGAGGTACGGATTCTGGACACTTGCTTAGGAGGATGTTAGTTTCCTAAACAGGCTCATTATACACATTTTAGATATAAGTTGGGTGAATATTGATAGATATAGAACAATTTTAGAGAAACATTCTGAGATGAGGATTCTTTTCATCAGACTCACTTTAAGTTGTTTTCTACCACTGAACACCATTGGATCGTAAATGTATATAGAAGGACATGCCTGACAGAAATGACTAATTGTAAGATTTGCCAAAATTGAGAATTCCACAATAAAACACATATATTCAAAAATTAAACATAAATACAGTTTTTAAGAGAAATTCTGAACTTATGAAGAAGAATTGGACTTAATCCACAAATATTTTAGCTTTATTGATCAGCTGGAGGAACTTCATGTATTCACTGAATGGAACTGAGGTTTTTCTACTGTGTGTAGAGTCAGATTCTTTTACTTCTTTCTGTTAGAGAATCTGGTATTTTGTTCAGATTGTAGTTAAAATCAATTATTCTGTCTTTTTGAATAAATTTTAGTTGAGAAATTGTTCTCAGTTGTATACAGTATGATTGAAGTTAACATTGTGAGAGATACTTTCTAAGGCTATAGTAAATAAATAAAATGTTTAGCTTATCTACCCCAACCAATATCATACCACTGTACTTATAAATAATATCCATGGCAAAATATGACTATATAAAGCATTATTTTTACTGAAACGAAACCCATCATCCTTCTGGAAATAAAACATTGCTAAACATAGAATTTAATTACCATGGCCTAGATATTAGGACAGAGTAGTGGTATGAACTGTTAATAAATGTCTATTGCAGTATCAGTTATAAATAAATCGTTCATTTTATAAATAATATAAATGTTTTCAGTCTTGAATTTTGTAACACATTTAGTATGCCTCGTTATCATTATGGTATCTGTAGAATGGACGCATTAGGCTACACAATGCAAATAAAATGTCAACTCAAACCCCAGTTAACTCGTACCTTAGTCAACTCTGACCCTAGTTAACTCAGCCCTTACTAAATTTGGACCCTAGTTAAGTCAGATTTTAGTATTCTCAGACCTTAGTCAACTCAGACACTAATTTAGTCAGACTTTAGTCACCTCAGATATACAGTATATTATAATCCATATTACTAAACAACTTTCATGTAATAGCTAAAAATAATTTTATTGTCATATATGTATTGTATATAATCAAACACACATTAATCCCATTTACAAAATACTGTCAAGAAATTGTTAAAAATGTTAAGGAAAATATTACTCTGATGAAATGTGAATAAAAAAATGCATTATCACGCCTACCCATTGACAATGTACAGTGACAAAATATATGCTTGTACACTTTAGCTGTACATTGTCATGTTTAAAGCAAAAATTGTGGCGGATCATTTTTATTGACTGAAAGGTACAGAGATGAGACGAGAGTAAGTTTATATTTGCTCACATCATTCCATGTTCAAACCAGGCATTACATTCAAAACATTACCACCTGCCATTTATTACAGACATTGAACACCAACTGCCAAACACCATCCGCAAAAATGTTGGAGAAAATCCACCAGGTCTGATGATTGTTTATTTTTTGGATATTATTCTTCAGTTTAAAACATGGTTTTTTAAATTGCTTCCATGATAGAAATTGAAAGCTGAATCAAGAAACACATTTTCTATCCCTTTTGATTCCTTTGACAGGCATCTCCCTCAAATTACAAACTTACTGGAATATGAAGAATTTTTTATCATTGCATGTTACCTTGATTGCAACCTTTTGCTCAGCAATGCTGAATTTGATTGATACAAATCTGGCAACTCAACTGTAAAGCCATTATCAAGAGTCTCAATATTAGCACCAGACTCTGTCTTGTCTTTACAATTCAAACAGAATGTAACTTTCTTTGTATTTTGTTTACTCTTGAATGTGTTCTGCTTTTCATTAAATGATTGACTTCTATGTTTTCTAGGATTTGTGTCATTTTGTCTACTAAGTAAGGGTGATCCTGGCATAGAGCCAGGAAGAGAAAGACTCATAGAATTGGGATTTTTTCTAGGATACAGAAATGAACTGACATCTGGGGATGATCTGTCATTTAAAGTGTCTATCTTTTTGTGGGTTTTAAACCATGATGAAGGCTTCTTCAATATTGGATTTAGAGAAAAGTTAGAAGATTTCTCAACAGGAATAGATAAGTTATATAATTCTTGTTTTACAGTGTCTTCATTTGCAGTTCTTTCTATGGAAATTTCTGAGTTAGGGGAATTTTCCATTGGAATTGTTCCATTATTAAGTACCATGTCGGGGATAATTGTTGATGGTTTCACTGATTTGATGACGTCAGATATACTTTGAGCAGATCCTGACCTACTTTTAGGCATTAAAGTACCATCTGGAATGTATTGTGATAGTTTGTTATCCGACTCTGAACGACTTAATCGGAACTGCAATGTTACCATCTTCTGTTGTTCAACAGTTTTTCGATTACGTCTCACCGAATATATTGCCTCTGGCTCACCCACCCAATGACTTTCTTTGACTCTGTTGTATTTATATAAGGACTCTTTGGATGGTGATTTTTTGGTGAGAGATGGTAATGATCCATGTTTAATGTCACTTTTTGTTTTATTAACTGGAGAGTGGAGTGTCCCTGTTGCAGTATGGACATCAAGATCTTCAAACTCTTTAGAAACTCTACGATTTCGTCTTCTTGCATATGCAAGGCCTGGAAACAACATGAAGATTGTGATCTCATTCAAACCACTTGTTGGCCAGGAATTCAACGATATCAATGAACAAAACATATTTAGAACATTATTCCATCTGATGTATCAGAACTTATCCTAAAAGTTCTTCAAAGTATAACTTAACATTAGCTTTGTTCTGGCATTGATTGTTATTTCAAAAAGTACAACATATTGTCTCTGCAATTCTGATTTAACCTGATTTGATTTGATAAGGCTAGATTGAAACATTGTCTCTTATCTAGTGTTGAATTAGCTCTCTTTTGATGAAGTGAAAAGGGTAACAACATACTCACCAGAAGCTTCAAATGCATCATTTGTTTCATCACTTTTACTTCTTTTATGTTTGTCATCTTTAAATGCCTTGGCATAAGAACCACTTGTATCTTTGAAAGCATCATCTTCATCTAAAATAAAAAGTTTGTGAGTTAAAATAATCAAATACATTAAAAAGAATAATTAAATACATTTTAATATTACTTCAGATCAAATAAAGTATATATTTACATATAATCGGAAACATTTTTCATGTCCATTTCTGGTATTGTATTAATCCTATTGATGTCTGGAAATGTTTTCAAATAACCCCAGGCTTAAGTAATGCCTCAATGGAAATGTTTCACCAATTTGATAAGATTAGTCTGCCTTTGTATCAACTCCTTGTAATACAAAATTAATATAGATTTCAGTAGGACCAAAATATAGAAGTATTGAGAAATATGAGAAAGATTAATAACTGAGAATGATGAAAAATCTAATAATAATGTATTTTAGTTAAGAAAGGCATAAAGTAAATCATAAACGATTTGATGTTTCTTTGAGAATGATTGATATTGCCGTGTGATTTGAACAATTGCTATGTGTGGAGTGTCACACTAGTTAAACATTTAAATCCTATATAAAAAGATTGGATTATTGAATGAATTATGGTGCAGTTAGTATTTTCCATATTTTACTAAGGTATTTTGAATTATATTTACATATAAAAGGTGATCAAAAAGTATTACTTTTTGCCTATTATTAAGTTAAATAGGACTTTATTTAAAGAAAAGATGTTTTCCCTGTTTACAATTTATATTATATCAATCCTTTTATACCGTTGTAAATGCATACCCCACCTCACTCATATAATCTCCCTATATTAAGGTAGAGATGGTACACTAAATTAGAATACACACACCTGGGTATCTCTGTAGTGCCATACATGTAGCATAAAACCCCTATAAACTACAATAACCATGTTATGCTACAATGCTCACCTGGGTATCTCTGCAGAGTGCCATACATGTAGCATAAAACCCCTATAAACCACAACCATGTTATGCTACAATGCTCACCTGGGTATCTCTGCAGAGTGCCATACATGTACCATAAAATCCCTATAAACCACAGTAACCATGTTAAACTACAATGCTCACCTGGGTATCTCTGCAGAGTGCCATACATGTAGCATAAAACCCCTATAAACCACAGTAACCATGTTAAACTACAATACTCACCTGGGTATCTCTGCAGAGTACCATACATGTAGCATAAAACCCCTATAAACCACAATAACCATGTTATGCTACAATGCTCACCTGGGTATCTCTGCAGAGTGCCATACATGTACCATAAAACCCCTATAAACCACAATAACCATGTTAAACTACAATGCTCACCTGGGTATCTCTGCAGAGTGCCATACATGTACCATAAAACCCCTATAAACCACAGTAACCATGTTAAACTACAATACTCACCTGGGTATCTCTGCAGAATGCCATACATGTACCATAAAACCCCTATAAACCACAATAACCATGTTATGCTACAATGCTCACCTGGGTATCTCTGCAGAGTGCCATACATGTAGCATAAAACCCCTATAAACCACAGTAACCATGTTAAACTACAATACTCACCTGGGTATCTCTGCAGAGTGCCATACATGTAGCATAAAACCCCTATAAACCACAGTAACCATGTTAAACTACAATACTCACCTGGGTATCTCTGCAGAGTGCCATACATGTAGCATAAAACCCCTATAAACCACAGTAACCATGTTAAACTACAATACTCACCTGGGTATATCTGCAGAGTGCCATACATGTACCATAAAACCCCTATAAACCACAGTAACCATGTTAAACTACAATGCTCACCTGGGTATCTCTGTAGAGTGCCATACATGTAGCATAAAACCCCTATAAACCACAGTAACCATGTTAAACTACAATACTCACCTGGGTATCTCTGCAGAGTGCCATACATGTGTTGCTGGACTTGGAGTTGCTTTAACTTCTCCATCAGTTCAATCTGTTCTCTTCCAACTTTTCCATTAATTCTTAGTTTGTCTTTGTCAAAGCTTGATGACTTTTTATCAAGTTTTTTCCTCTCATAGTTATTTTTAGTTTTTGCCAGTTTGTGACTTCTGATGGTTGATGGAGAATAAATTGAGCCATTGCTATTGAGTTCAACTCCTTTCATGTTTATAAAAATGTCTGTATTCTATTTTATATGCGGTAAGTATATTTTATGTTTTTCAGTTTTTCTAATTGACTCAAGTTTTTGTAAGACTTGCTTCAGTTTCTGGACTTAAATTTCACTTATGGGCAGATATCCTGTTTATATAGCTCTCATCTTCTCAGCACATTAAATTATGGCCAAAATGCATGACTTCAGCTTTTAAAATGTTTTAATGTGGTCCAGTCACATCAGACATGTCAGATTCCCCAACAGCAACAATCTTATCTTCCTAGCATCTAGCAGGTGGTTCACTGCATGCTAAACTTTAGACCTCTTTTATATATCAAGCTCATGTAATCCAAAATTCTGCCTTGGAGGGATGTACTTCATATTTTGAACAATATTTACCATTGTATATTGCCAACCAGAGTGTCAGCAGTTGTTTTTGTTAACTTAGTTGAATCAGAAATCGTACGACCAGAAGTGAAATCATCGAACATGACTCTTAATTGATATTATATTTCTATTGAATATTTCAGGGAGTGTATTCTTCTGTGTGGCTTCCACAAGGGATTGTCCTCTCATGAATCATAAATACTGCAGTTTGCGTACATTGGGAATAATTCAATACATCATGATAAACATTCATTACTCTTCAAGGGATTACATCGTGAATTTGATTCCATACGTTTCAGCAATTTATTTGAGGTTTACCATAAAGTAGTAACCTGGCATCCTAAATGAACCCAACATATATTGATTTTCCCCGAATGTTTCTTTTACCAGAAAGTAAGAAATATCAATATTAGTTTAAAGATTTAGAGATCGGGAAATTCAGTTATTACAATACCTTTGTGTTATTATATCTTCAAATGTTTACAAGCACTTGGAATCTAACAGTGGATTGGAAGCAAAAGACGTCATTTATATTCAAAACCAGGCCACTCTGATTCCAATACAATAACAAATTACGTGCTATTTAGTGCAAGATTTTCCTAATGAATTTCTGAAGTAAGTCTTAAGATGCCATAAATAATATTTGCTGTTCATAATGTTTCATGTATCTGGAAAGTGGGCATAGAATAAACGAGTTCATGGCATAAACAAGTGTTGTTTACAAGTTATTGCCTATTTGTAGAAAGGTCGTTCAAATCTACATTTGAATACTTTGCCACAAACAGATCTTTTGAGTAATCCTTCATGAAATAATCCTTCATGACACCACAGACTTTTTTTCATGATTACTGACTGAAATGTCCTATTAAATGTCCCATTTATTTATTACATTGTATTGGAAAAATTATATTGCTTTTATCCATTAAGAGTTGGGGTTTCCAAACCAGAACAACGACAACGCCAAAGCGTAGCGAATCCCATCGAACAGAAATGGCTGGCATTTTTACAAACGAATAGCAAATATCATAAAACAACACACCAGAAAAGCCACCATTTTCAAAATGGTTGCTCACTAGCCAAGTTGTCATCAGAAGAAATAATATGCTTTAAGTAGCCACCTCTAAAATTTTTGAAAAATCGCACACATACTTGTAAAATAACACACATAAAAATGGTGGCCATTTTTCAAAATGGCCGACTACTCCCCAAAGTTTTATTAGACAATGTGCCATGCTTAAAGTATTCACATATCAAATATGAACAAAATCGCTCCACTACTTTTCGAGTTATAGTAAAATACGTTAAAATGGCAGCCATTTTTCAAAATGGCCACCGTCTACCGAAAGTGTCATTAGAAATAGACAGTGTGCCATGCTTATAGTATTCACATACCAAATATGAACAAAATCACTCCACTACTTTTCGAGTTATAGTAAAATACGTTAAAATGGCGGCCATTTTTCAAAATTTTTTTCAAAATGGCCAGCTTCTACCAAAAGTGTCATAGGACAGTGTGCCATGCTTATAGTATTCACATACCAAATATGAACAAAATCGCTCCACTACTTTTCGAGTTATAGTAAAATACGTTAAAATGGTGGCCATTTTTCAAAATGGCCGCCTTCTACCAAAAGTGTTTTTAGACAGTGTGCAATGCTTATAGTATTCACATACCAAATATGAACAAAATCGCTCCACTATTTTTTGAGTTATAGCAAAAATCGTAAAATGACGAGTAAAGGCCGCCATTTTTCAAGATGGCTGCCATGTGCTTCTTTAATATCTACTTTATAAAGGACATTATTAATGTCCTTTATAATTTTTTTACATTTAAAACATATTGCTATTACAGTTTTACATATTACACCTAAATTACTGTAAAATCGGCACTAAAATGGCCGCCATTTTGAAATGAGTGGCCATTTTGAAAATCGGCGTTCGAGCAGAACTTCTACCCCCATAGGGTATATGTTCACAAAATATGAACAAAATCGGGCCAACGGTATTTGAGTTATTGCCCGGATGGATGGACGGACAGACGGACGGAGGCGTTCCCTATATCCCTCCGAACTTCGTTCGATGGGATAATTACTGACAAATGTAGAGATATTTGGATGTTTAAGTGTAATAATCTTGATGATTATTTGTATCATGTTTTAAGGTATAGCTGGAAAATAATGTGTTAATTTCCTTGCTTTTTTCAGGAAAGTATCATTACTTTGTCTACTTTTAGTATATCTGGTAAGAGGTCAATGGGAACTCCAGGAAATTCTGATATTTCACACTTTCTATTTTTCTAAATTTTCTTTCAAAGTTTCCAGACAACACAGGAGCTACCATTGACCTGTTTCCATGTTTACTAAAAGTAGACAATGTAATGATACTTTCCTGAAAAAAGCAAGGAAATACACACATGTCTATATACATAATTTTGTACCAGAAAATAAACATGTACAGGAATAGCAATTTTTTACCAAAATGTTACTTTCCAGCTGAACCTTAAGAAACTGTTCCAATGTTTGATATTTTGCTGTCAATTATGTCTTTTTCTCATGTTCTGACACAGTTTAGGAATTCAAACAAACTCAATATTCAATTTGATTGTTCCATCCATACATGCAAACAACACCCTTGATACTTTTACTAAATATACATTGCATTGAATGGTAACCAGATAAAATAACATGTGTTTAGGTGATGTAAGCCTGATTAAATATCAATTGTTTGAATTTGGAAAAGGCTTTAATTATAAGTTTGTCGCTGAATAAATAAAACCACCTTACGTGAATACAAAGGGAGAGGCCTTACTTACAAAACCATGAGAATAACTTACTCAATGACCTTTTCATTTAGTTATATATGACCTTACTTATGACCTGCATGACCTTCATTTAGTTATATATGACCTATGACCTTACTTATGACGTGCATGACCTTCATTTAGATATATATGACCTTACTTATGGCGTGCATGACCTTCATTTAGTTATATATGACCTTACTTATGACCTGCATGACCTTCATTTAGATATATATGACCTTACTTATGACCTGCATGACCTTCATTTAGTTATATATGACCTTACTTATGACCTGCATGACCTTCATTTAGATATATATGACCTTACTTATGGCGTGCATGACCTTCATTTAGTTATATATGACCTTACTTATGACGTGCATGACCTTCATTTAGTTATATATGACCTTACTTATGACGTGCATGACCTTCATTTAGTTATATATGACCTTACTTATGACCTGCATGACCTTCATTTAGTTATATATGACCTTACTTATGACCTGCATGACCTTCATTTAGTTATATATGACCTTACTTATGACATGCATGACCTTCATTTAGTTATATATGACCTTACTTATGACGTGCATGACCTTCATTTAGTTATATATGACCTTACTTATGATGTGCAGGACCTTCATTTAGTTATATATGACCTTACTTATGACCTGCATGACCTTCATTTAGTTATATATGACCTTACTTATGACCTGCATGGCCTTCATTTAGTTATATATGACCTTACTTATGACCTGCATGACCTTCATTTAGTTATATATGACCTTACTTATGACATGCATGACCTTCATTTAGTTATATATGACCTTACTTATGACGTGCATGACCTTCATTAGTTATATATGACCTTACTTATGACCTTCATTTAGTTATATATGACCTTACTTATGACGTGCATGACCTTCATTTAGTTATATATGACCTTACTTATGACGTGCATGACCTTCATTTAGTTATATATGACCTTACTTATGACGTGCATGACCTTCATTTAGTTATATATGACCTTACTTATGACCCGCATGACCTTTATATATCTGTTTGTGACCTTTCAAGGTCACTTTGACCCCATTTGGACCAATAGCAATATTATCATTCATTCATCACAAAAAGAAAAAAATAATATTATTGATGTAATAAGTATCATTTCTAGTATTATTTTATTCAGGTACAATATATTATAAAAATGTTATTGTATAGTATACTTTATGCAAGTACAATGTATAATAAAACTTGTATAATAAAAGAAAATAACATTCACATGATTCACCAAAATACAAATACATGCAGTAATCAAAATTTTACATAATATATAATACAATAGATAAATAATTGGACGGAATTATGTTATATGGAATACTATACTTAACTTTATAATTATGATATAAAAATAACTGGAGGCAATTATGACATAAAGTATGAATAGCAACCCTGTATAGTAGCCTGAACTATTCCACTTCGTCTTCTCTAAAGAGAACGTATAATATCGCTAAAAAGCTAGAACAGCAGGAAATTAATTATATAATACAGGTTTTTATAAAAAATAAATCTTCTTTCATCAAGCTAACTAGAGTCCTGAGTCGTAATATCATGTGACTACAACAGATATATAGTTAATATCATATACATATTTGGTATTGATTGTCATTGGCACATAAAACAACTAAAAATGGCAAATCAACAAAGAAAATCTCAATGAACAAAACTTATATTTGCAAATAACTTTAGGTTATTTACAAAGCATTACAAAAATTTCACTCATTTAGATAATTAAAAAAATCTAGTTTATATACTGGCTCATAAAGTTCAAAATACATTTAGTTGAAACAAAAATGGAACAAGGAATTCAATATTTAAGATAATAACAAAATCTGGAACAATATCGACCGACAAAAATTTTGAACAATTTACTTGCATGTGGAAATCTGGTCTCTAGTGGAACAGTAACTGTCAAAGTTCTTGCTCCATATGTAACTGCATCCAATACCTCAAAGCATTTGCATTTTGAATGTAAAAAGGTAACCGCAATTTGGGAAAAAAATCAGTAAAACTGTCACATCATAAACATCTAATCATTGGTTGGCCTTTGGGAAACAACATAATACACTACAGAAACATTCTTATTACAATAATCTGTTTCGCAATCTATACTAAGTGGTGTGAGCTGTCAGAGGAAAATGGAAAAATGTTAGTGACATTTAGAAATATTTTATATTATAAACATATAGTTTCAAAGATTGATAGTGAGTTTCATTTTGTTAAATAGTTGTCAACAATCATCAATAATCTGAATTACTAGTATATTGTATCATTTTGTATTATGAACATTTCTGCTTTGTATTTTGTAAATACACTGTCTGTATTGATATGTCTAAAAAATCAGAGATAAATTGATATAAAAACGAACATTTTAGTTGAAAATCACAAAAGCACACAGGTTTTACTTGGCTTCCGCCCTTCACTTGGTTTGAGTGACACTGTACTTCCATTTGCAGAATTATGTTCCTTTGAACTTGTACTTTTTCCTTTATCAGATGCACTATTTCCCCTTTCATGTGCACTTTGGCCTCTTGGTGCACTTTTTACCCTAGATGTTGCACTATTTCCTCTCTTTGATGCACTATTTCCCCTTGGGGTTGCACTATTCTCACTTTTAGCATCATTTTCTGTTTTGTCATCATTTTTAAAATCATTGTCCCGAGTTTCTTGAGGTTTAACATCTTTATCTTCGACAGCATTAGCATCTTCTACTTCTTTCACTTTAGGGTCCTCCTTTGGATCTTCTTTGGGATGAGACTCCTCCTTCTTTAGATCCTCTTTGACTTTCGGCTCTTCCTTCTTAACATCTTCTTTATCACCTCCTCTGTTAGCATCACCATCAACCCCATCAATCATATCCTCTGCTTTGACATGAAGTTTTAGCTTTCCATGAAGTTCGTCAAATTCCAGACCTGTCCATTCAAATTGAACCTGTGGGTCACGCGTGAATAGTATTGGAATCAGCTGGGTAAGGACCATGCTCATGGGGCCCTCAGGGGGATAAGGAGTTTCATCAAGTTGTATGGGGATGATAGGTTTCTGGAGGGCATCAGCAAGACTCACTTCACGGCGACAGTTGGCAGACTTGGCATACTTTGTTGTGATGCAAGATATGACTACCTACAACAATTTAAGATAAAACTATGTCAACATAATGCACTCTATTATCTCATCCTACAGAAGATGAAACACATCAGAATACTTTCTCCTTATTCACAAATGCTAACCATATAAATGTTATCAGTCAAGTGTTGTCAGAATGTGGCACATCCCAGAATGAACATCTAAATACATACATCCATGTAAAAAGTGAATTGTGGCTTAATAAATCACATGATGCCATCTTTCTTCAGTGACTTATTCACCTTTAGGGTTATTTCCTTCTTGCCTGACCACCAAACAAACATAACTCCAGCAAAACCTGTCTAATCCGAACGTGACAGACTGGCCAAAAGTGTTCAGATTGGCAGGTATTTAGAGGTTTTTTAACATCAAAGTCTATAGCAAAAAATTAAAATAAAAACATGGGACCAAAAAAGCATCAACATGAAGAGATGTTCGGATAAACATGTTTTACTATACTATTTAACTTACATCACATCCCCGGACTCCTTTATCAATCTTATCATAGAGAGAGTCTCCCCCTCCCATCTGATGTATATCCATCCAGCAAGGGAATCCCAGGTCAGTTAGTCTCCCATAGAGGGCTTTGATCTGAGGCTGCTTGCCCCATTGGTAGGATATAAACACTGGAGGAGCTCTGCTTGGCTCAGGCTGAAAGTATAGTGGTAGGATACTGTGTAAACACTGGGGGAATTGAAAGTACATTTGGTAAGATATAAAAAAACTGGAGGAGCTCTGCTTGGCCCAATGGAACCTTTATTTTTACTTTATTTCTTCTGGGAAAATATATGACATATTTCAATACAAACTGCAGTAATAACGTAATAAAGAGAAAATCATAAACTATGTCTCTACCTTTTCCTCTACAGGTTGTGCTGGGGCTAGTTTGGGTTCTGCTTTCGTCTCTTCAGGTTTATCTTCCTTCTTCTTAATAACAATCACCTCAGCAGGAGGATTCCACCATTCCTTGTAGTCTGCAACACAGGGTGAGTAATTTTACATTATCTTAGTTAAAAATAATAATGTAAAATAAAGTTTTTACAATATTTATTTCAGTTTTGATCTTTGTGCACATCACATATAAAAACCTATTCCTTTGCACCCTTCCACCGTGCATTGTTAGCCTTCAATGGGTTGTAAAGTATAAAATAAATCAAATACAAGTCATCAACCTTTTTACAATGGTTACCAAAGAAACCACTGAATGCAGTCAATGAGTATAATAATATTTTGTGTATATGAGGAATACTGAAGGAATTTGAGTATATTCATAAAATAGGTTAGGGGAAAGTTAGCTTTACCTAATTAATTTTTATATGAAGTGTATGTGCTACATTCCTACATCGACCTGCTCTAGATTCTTTTGCTCAATCTTTTATATTTAGATTCCATTTACTGAAAAACTGATTGTCATAGCAACAATCGTTAATATGGTAACCACACTAACCAAGGCTAACTAGATAATGGCAACTCCGCGGAGTAGCAAATCCCAACAAACAAAATATCAATTACCGAATTCCAATCAATTATACTCATTACTTTGGTTGAAAGTGAAAAAATTAGATTTTAGAATTGCGAATTCCTGCAAAGCAGCCATTTTGAATTTTCTGAGGTACAAATCTGAAAAATAATACCATAATTGTGATCTACTCCAAAATTCCTTTAATTTGAGTATACTATAGCCATACTTTGAAGGGATCGAAAAATTATTGCGAAATCGTACATTAGACGGCCATTTTGAATTTTACGAGGCTCGAATCAGAAAAAAGATACAATATTTGCAATCTACTCTTAATTGCCTTTCATTTGAGTATAATAAAGCTATACTTCAGAAAGATCTAAAAATTAGCGAAAATTTCTGTTTTCCTGTCCCCCCATACATGGCCCCTGGGGGTCAGGATGAAAAACACGGAATATTTGTGAAATAGATAAATGTTGTGAATACACTACCAAAATTTCAAACAATAATATTAATTACTTTGGTTCAGAATGAAAAATTTATGATTTTTGCGAAAAAGTCCCGTCATTTTTAAAGCGACGGCCATCTTGAAAAAATTTTTTTTTGCGTAAAACTATTTACCAATATACATCTTTCCACTAAATATGAAGAAAATCTGTCAACTAGTATTTGAGTTATCTTCCGGACAGACGGACGGACTGACTGACTGACGGACTGACAGACTGACAGACTGACGGACTGACGGACAGACAGACGGACGGAGGGCTTCACTATATCCCTAACGAATTCGTTCGTTGGGATAATTACCCACCTTCTGTCACCATAGACTCATCAGGAACTATGTGAAATCTCAATTGCATAATCAACTCCTGAAACTTTGCAACTGGCCAGAATCTCTCATCCTTCGTCAACTCAGCCTCTCTTTGGAAAAAGCGTACAAATAGATATTCCCCAAATATGGGACCCATGGCACCCTCTGGTGGCCAAGACAGTTTCTCCATTAATAATGGAATAATTGGTTTTCCCAGGTTGACAGACAGGTTCACCTAAAATAAATAAAAAATGTCAAAAATATAAATAGATAAGCCGCTCCTTCTTCCTTCCCAATTATGTGACATCACAAGGGAAAGGTACTAGTGGGTCTTGGTTACTAGACTTGTTTGAGTTTTGGCTTACATTCAATATTATCTTATAATATCTGATTCGGTGTAAAGAGTTCCTCTCATTTGCTGATATTTACATATCTATTCTGATGCTAGTCTGTTCTTACATCTATAAAAAAAGTTGAACAGGTCAGTGGTTTTCCTGTAATTTTGATGACAAGATTTATATGGCAACCCATCCTACAAACCTCTCTAGTACAGTTGTCTGATTTGGAATATTTCTTAGATACGCAACAAATTATGACTTTAGCAGCTCGGATTCCCTGATCAATTTTCTGGAACAATTTATCGCCACCTCCCATCTGTCCAATATCCATCCAGCATTTGAACCCAGCTGCCTCTAGATGAAGCTTCAGTAGCTTGACCTCTGCCTGGTGACCCCACTGGTACGAGATGAAGACAGCAGGTGGCTCTGTAAACTCTTCGGGCTCATCAGGTAGGATCTCATCTGGAAATAATCAGTAAGAATTAAAATATGTCATTTCATTCTGCTATCATGTACAGTAAAAACCTGTGTATCTAAACACCGATTCTCACAGTATTAGTATTGTGTAAAGTTCCTATGACTCAATGACTATGACACTCAGCACAAGACAAGGACAATTTAGCAATCTAAAATAGTCAAAAAATTCTTGAAATATAATTTTCAAAACATTCCAAAATATTCTTTGAAGTGAAAAGTAAAATTATATTCCTTTACCTGCATCATCTAAAGCCTTCTGTACAATTTCTACAGCATCAGTACGATTCATCTCAGTTAGTGCTCTCAACACTCCATAGGTGGCCTCGCTAGTCTTGTGTGTCGCAAACCATTCACTTAACATTGACATACACGGGTCATGCTGTGTTGCCCAGTTCTTGATATCTTCCTTACTGTAACCTAATCTACTGGATAGTAATCGCCAATCATGGTCTGTTTCAGGGTTCAGAAGTTTTGATACTTCTTTAGACCATGCTGGGGCATTGGATAGAGTCTACAAAATACCAGCATACACTCAAGTAATTTGCATGTAGCCAAATCAGGTAATCACATCCAAATCTGTATGTAGACTGACCTGTCAATCCATGTGTATGTATACTGGAATGGTTCTGGTCTACTGTATAGCCTACCGAAGGAGTGCCTAATTACACCATTGGAAAATTTGTGGTCAAATATAAAAAATGCCATTCTATAAAAGGTCTATAAAAAAGAACTCTGGCAACTTTGCTACAGGGGGTAATTTTTTAAAAACTACTTTTTCAGTCAATGTTTTATTTGATCTTCTAAAGATGCAACTCTAGTTTCTATAAGCTCAAGTGAAGAGTGAAGTTTTTCTATCTCATTTATAATTCCTTGCTTTGTTCTCTCTAATTTCTCATCAAATACTTTTGTAATAACCAATCTAAATTGTTCTAAAATAAGCTTAAATTGGTCATCGTCAGGTTTCAATTTTTGTGAGTTCAATCTTTGTTTGTTATATTTCACAGTTGCTTCTGTTTTACTCAAACCCTGGAAGAAAATTGATGATATCCTCTGATTTATTATTGATGTGATTTTCATCCATTTATGAGATCAACATTCATTATGATATTTCAATATCCAACATTACATTTCAATATCCAATATTAGATTTAAATATCCAATATTAGATTTCAATATCCAATATAAGATTTCAATATCCAATATTAGATTTCAATATCCCTTAGAGGATCAAAATCATATAATGTGAGTAAATCATAGGATGTTTCTTTTTTGTCATTGTTATTTGATACTCTTATGCTCATATTGAGTCTAGTAGCAAAAATATGTTCAAACATCAGTTACGACACTGTGCCTCATGATTCAAAAGCCACTTTTGATAGTTAGGTGAAAATTTGGTAAAGATATGATATTTTCCAATTGTTTCAAAAAAGTTAATTTTGACATGATTTCATTTGAATATCAACTGTTAAATAAACTAATCTCTGATGATAAATTTGCTTCAAAATTTTGTATTGACTCCAAAAGTCTTTATGTATTGATGGTATTAGTAGACTTAAGATATAATATTTCATTGAATTTCTACATCAGTTCCCTTTTCTATTGCTGTGACCAGCCATACCTTTTGATCAACTTCTTCCACTTTCTCCTCCAGTTCTTCAACAGTGTTTTCCACATTATCCACTCTCTCTTCTACTTTGGCAACATCTTCCTTGGTCTCCTGTAGTTCTTTACCTTGCTCATCCACCTGTTAAACATTGTGAACACCTTGTATTAGACACCCTGTATTAGACACCCTGTGTATTATGAGATGATGAATAAAATTGTTAAAATGGGCACATTGTATAGTGGCTGTGTTCTATTTGAGACATTCCATTATTTCTCGAAGTTAATCACCAGAACAAATATACAGTAAATAAATAAAGTGTGTACTCTTCAAAAACTGTTTTACAGAAAAATGTACCTTTTTCATAATTTTCAAGTTTATTTCTTATGATAAAAGTGTACAACATAGAGAAACAAGATTATTAAACATTAGCAGAAAATGTACCTCCACTGCCAAATTGGCAACATTCTGCTCAGTTTCGTCAACTCTTGTGTCCAGCTTTTCAACATCATCTTTCTGCTGGGAAAGGTCATTGGATAGTCCTTCAAGACTACAATGAGAATGGTGAAAAATATGTTTAATGTTATGTAATGTTTGTATTGAGTAAGATTTTGAATAATTGTGACAATTTAAGATATTGTGATTTTGCCTAATATTGAAAGTTTGCATTACATTGAGAATATATTCAAAACAAAAGTTATCAATAACATAACACGTCTCTTTTACTCCATAACTTGCAATACTGTTGGAACACCACTGAGACCAACCAGTAGTGTTCATTTTGGCAGATCATCAGATATACAGGCTTTACTACTTTACTATACATAGAATAGTATGACATGACTTAAAAGTGGATTTACCAGATAACATACATATTAGTATTGCCTACCTCCTTTCAGCTATAATATCCAGCAAATACTGACACATCTCTTGGAATTGGGGGTCCTGTTTAGTCTGCTCTATCATTGTTTTGTGCTTTACTAAGAGGTCTTTATTCTGAAGCCCCAATGTCTTCATGCAGGCAAGGAGCCCATTTTTCCACTGGGGAACAGATTTCTTGAACAGTGTGACAAGATTGTCCATGCATCTCGGGGCAGACTCCTGAAAAAACCACATAAATTTTCATCACAAAATATCTTTTCACAGTAATACTAGTTTTACTTACAAGAGTTATATCTCAAATCAATTGTTAATCTGAAGAGGTCGGAAAGTTCCTGTCCAAGCACATACCTTAACATCCACTCCAACTGAGGCTATACAGTTGCCCACATTGTACGTGTAGTTGGTGTTCTCACCAGCTAGTGCAACAAGCCTATCTATATAGGGAAGGAGTCTCTTGCCTTGTTTCGCAGCCACCCCTGAGGCAATATGGATAGCCACTCCTGATGTCTCAGAGTAGTCCAGTCGCTCCATGACCAACTCTAAGTGGGACTCCAGTATGAACTGAAGTGGAAGAATAATGTAAGACATTAATCTGACTTTAATAGCATTAGTCACTTGTTAAACCAGAACAACGGCAACGCCAAAGCGTAGCAAATCCCATCGAACAGAAATGGCTGGCATTTTTACAAACGAATCGCAAATATCATAAAACAACACACCAGAAAGGCCACCATTTTCAAAATGGTTGCTCACTAGCCAAGTTGTCAACAGAAGAAATAATATGCTTTTTAGTAGCCACCTCTAAAATTTTTGAAAAATCGCACACATACTTGTAAAATAACACACATAAAAATGGTGGCCATTTTTCAAAATGGCCGACTACTCCCTAAAGTTTTATTAGACAATGTGCCATGCTTAAAGTATTCACATATCAAATATGAACAAAATCGCTCTACTACTTTTCGAGTTATAGTAAAATACGTTAAAATGGCGGCCATTTTTCAAAATTGTTTTCAAAATGGCCGCCTTCTACCAAAAGTGTCATAGGACAGTGTGCCATGCTTATAGTATTCACATACCAAATATGAACAAAATCGCTCCACTACTTTTCAAGTTATAGTAAAATACGTTAAAATGGCGGCCATTTTTCAAATTTTTTTTCAAAATGGCTGCCTTCTACCAAAAGTGTCATAAGACAGTGTGCCATGCTTATAGTATTCACATACCTAATATGAACAAAATCGCTCCACTACTTTTCGAGTTATAGTAAAATATGTTAAAATGGCGGCCTTCAAAATGGCCGCCTTCTACCAAAAGTATCTTTAGACAGTGTGCAATGCTTATAGTATTCACATACCAAATATGAACAAAATCGCTCCACTACTTTTTGAGTTACAGCAAAAATCGTAAAATGACGAGTAAAGGCCGCCATTTTTCAGGATGGCTGCCATGTGCTTCTTTAATATCTACATTTGTAGCATTATTAATGTCCTTTATAATTTTTTTACATTTAAAACATATTGCTGTTACAGTTTTACATATTGCACCTAAATTACTGTAAAATCGTCACTAATATGGCCGCCATTTTGAAATGAGCGGCCATTTTGAAAATCGGCTCTCGAGCAGAACTTCTACCGCCATAGGGTATATGTGTAGAAAATATGAACAAAATCGGGCCAACGGTATTTGAGTTATTGCCCGGACGGACGGACGGACGGAGGCGTTCCCTATATCCCTCCGAACTTCGTTCGATGGGATAATGAAGCATGATACATATATCCTTTTTGATTTAAAATTAAGGTGCCATATGACAGCTGGTTGGAGTATACATGTATATTAAGTTACCTGTGGAGCACTGGTCGCTATAGGCATTAGAAGAACAAGTATATGGGCACTTTTAGATGGACTCATGTCTTCTATAAGGGGAACAATATCATCTAGACGTCTGTTGATACCATCAGATGCCTTTGGGTAGATTATAGTCAATATGCTTACAATGTGATGCACTAGAAAAGAAATCATAAGATAATATTATCTGGAAATGTTTTTTGTTAATTTGAAACATTTCTTAAAATATTTAACAATACTTTTCTTAGTTTTGTGTTTTCTTTTTTACCAGTTTTATTACACTGGTAAAATGCATGTCTCATTTACATGCTTTTCTGGAATTGCGTCATACTGTACCTATAATCTGAAGATGGTGAAGATAGTTCAGATCATGAATTGATTCTTTTTCTTTTAAATAAAAATGCTGTATACATATTTTTCTTAGTAATAGATCACCAATCAAAATGCATGCTTACTTGCATCATCCTTAGAACTAACTTCCTCTAACATGTCAATTATTGTGTCGACGTGTGGGGATAGGAATTCTGGGAAACTTTGTAAGTTATGTAAAGTTGGTAGGAAACGTAGTTTAGTTTTGAAATCATCATGTTGGCATAGCAACACAACAGTATCTGCCATCGCCTTGACAATCTTCTTGCTTTCTCTGTTCTGAAGGCAAAAACATAAGGTTTGATAAATAAATTAGAAAAGGTACACAAACTGCTTTCAATTTTACTCAATAACAATTTTCCTAAGATGACTTTGAGTTAATGATGAAGTGACTAAAATGACCAACACTATTTTGTTAAAAAATAGGAACTAAAAGTACATGGAAGGTAGCTTATCAAATATTCAGATTATGAGATTAGAGTAAAAGTACTTTTAGGAAAAACTGCACTGAAAAAGTGTGTTCTGGACCAATAATTATCTTCTAATGTCCCAACAACTGTTCCTTTCACACTAGTGTGACCGTGAATACAAACTCTGATGGTGTGTTCACTTACATTATCCAAGTATTCATATGCTATCTCATGCGCCATATGTCCCTTAGCAGTGAATCTCTCCTCTTCATCAAACAACTCCTCGTTGACGCACTTCTTCAATGTATCAGTGAATGTATCCACATATTTCGCAGCCACGCCATTTTCACTACATACATAAACGCATCAAGGCATATTTACTGGCTATGAATTGCAGGATAAATACAGGGTGGATCAATAGAGCTGTGGATTCGTAAAGTAAATTCTGTAAAGTTGAACACCTTTGTAAGTGGAACACCTCTATTGCTGAACATTTTGAAGTAGAGGAACTAAAAGGTCTTGCACAGGTTTTACAATACAAACAATCGAAATGACATTAATTGTCATGCTGGGTCTCCTAAGGACCAAATGAATAGGGATCAATTTTATAAAAACAATAAAAATTAATTGCCCCAAAATGAACTTGAACATGGACATAAACTGGTTGGATTCAGCATGCTTATGAAGTGCTTTAGGTCAGACTATTTGTTCTCAATCGAGCTATAATTTATCATTGAACCCAGCCACATATTTTGAACATAGCCATGTATTTTGAACATAGCCACATATTTTGAACATAGCCACACATTTTACTCCATTTGGAAAGCTATATACCTGATGAACTTGTTTATTAGCCGCAACGTATACTCCACGAATCTTGTGTATTTCCAATGTGACTTATCAAATCCATCGTCTTCATTCCAGATGCCTTTGACCATGGCATCCCACAGTTCACCAAGCTTGGCCTTCTCACTCTGAAACATAAGAAATATTTCAATCAATACATCTATATATATAGTCATGGACATTAATATAGGAACTCATTGACACAGACTGATTTAATTGTTTGGATATGCAATAAAAACATCGGATGTACATTTTTGAACGACACTCTGTTTTTGGGAGGTTGGTTGGATGATCATGGTTCACCCCAAAACATGAGCCAAACTGGAAGTGTAAGAGATGAAGAATGTTTTGCACAAATAATACTTATGCTTACTTTTTATTCATACACACTGTAATGAAATATAAAAATTATATAAAAAAACATATTTATGTATGAATACCTTTATATCAAAGTAGTCTACAGTCTCCTCTGCAAGATCAGCTCTCATGTCATTTGGGGTCTCAAGGCACAAGTAGAAAATTTCCAACACTGAACCACTGATATTCTTCAAAATTTTATTGTCCCTAAAAGAAAAAAATTGTATTATGAAATAAATAAAGAGCCTCCTTCTTACTATGCATAAAAGAATGAGTTAAAAACAGCCAAAATATTGTATCGAAACTAAAAAAAACATGTAGTAACAAATCCTACCAAACAAAACATATTCTATCAAATCACTCATCATTTTAAACATAACCAGGTATTAATGACAAAGTTTCATTTTGGCAAAATCTACAAACATTACACACATGATGGATTATTACAAATTTTGTCTGGATTGGGGATCCTACGACCATAAGACATTAGTACATAAAATTTAGACCAAAGCCTCTGACTTGTATTTAAGTACCAGAAAAAAGCATATTTCTCCTGAAAAATACCGGCCATTTTGAATATAGCAGCCATCAAGAAATTTTCTCTGTAGCAGTCCATATGGACATACAGATGAACAGATAGGCAGACAAATGGATGGATAGCTTCTCTCTATCCCTAACAAATGGATGGATAGCTTCTCTATATCCCTAACGAATTTCATTCAGTGGGGTAATACAATTAGAAATACACAAGCTAAACCCGGTAAACTTGTCGAGATCAATAACCATTAATTCTAAAAAGTTTAGTAATCAAAAGATTAATAATTAACAAAAACATCTTCCTTGTTCAAAATTGTACTTTCAAGTGCATAAAATATGAAGTGTAGCATTTCATTTTCAAATAAATGTTGTTGTACTATACTTTGTACTTCAACTTAATAAGATCTCAAAAAGTTCATATAGAATGGTGCAGAGAACTTCAAATTAGAAATGACTCTAAAATATAAAATTCTAATCTAAACTACATTACAATACTCGGACAGAGTTTTAATATGTGAGTATAATTTTTGATTCTAAATAAGATTTATAAACATTTAATTGTGTCATAGTGTATCTTAATATAAATTAGTTCTCTGTCGTTTCTTTTTTATTTACTTATTTATACATTAAATCTGTTTCTGATAGTCCCATTCTCCAATGTTTTATTGTTACTGTCCCACTGTAAGGACACAATTGAATAATGCATATCATCAATTAAGTTTATTGTGAGACATAACAGACATGATTACAAATGAAAACTTATAGAAGTGGTGATATGATATTCAATATTAACTATTAAAGCAACGCATCGGTAGCATACATTCTGTTTATATTAACATGACCTTTTGATAACACTTAGAAATGCATACATGACTCATCTAAAAAAACTAAATAGAGGCATGGTATATACAGTAACATGATATATTGGGTAACAAATACAAGGAAAACTCCATAACAGCAAATCAGTCTCAGTTAATAGACTCACAGGAGGTGTTAGACCAAGCAATCATCTCAAAAGTCAGAAAATGTATTTTTGAACCATTTTTCTTCTCTATTTTGTTAACAGTCCCTTTAAAGTTTGATAATTATGACAATTTTTTAATAATCAATTTCATCAAGACGAAACTTATTTTTAGGTGAGTCATAATCAATTTATTTACTAACTTTTTATGTGTTTTAGTATTGAAAGTATGAGACTTCTATCTCCTTGCTTACATAAACAGCATTATTTCATATAGTTTATTTTTGAACAGTTTAATCATCTAATCTATAGGTAGAGATTGAAATGTGGATTGAATCCATTGGATTGGATTCATGTAAAAGGTGGATTGGATCGGGAATCTTCAAAATATGGATTTTTCAGTTGATCTCCCTCTAAGCAATTCCCTCCAGCCTAAAGCCCTTGTAAATCAACATTTGTAAGACATAATAAACATAGATCTGTAGATAAAAGCTAAGGTATCATTCAAATTGATGTGTGGGTGTTCCCAAGACATTTCTGCCATGTTCTGTTTGAATTGAAAATAGATGATATGGATCTTCGACTTCAAAAATCTGCCTTATGATTTATGAAATGACTAAAATTACCCTTGGAATGAATAAGATTGTGTATCAGGTCACCCTTCTAGCCCACCCCAGCAAAATGATATAATATCTATTATTTGACATTGTGGAAGTGAGGAGAGCATTAATCTTCTTAGAGGGAGATCAATATAAATTTTCTAAGGAAAATCCATATTTTGAAGAATCCCGATCCAATCCACCTTTTACACGGATCAAATCCACTCGATCCAATCCACCTTTTAATCTTTACCAATCTATACTAATCCAAAACATATATGTTTTCACTTTTTAACAGGAACGTAATAAATGAAATAACTACAATGTACATCTGAATTGCAGGTAAATTTGAAGAATTCAACCATGATGTCTAGCAGAATGACCACACTCCTACTTTTGTATATTGCTATAAAAGCAGTGGTCTCAAATGAAATATTCAAAATGAACCAGCTCAGTGATCCATCAGATGATATTAAATATCGCGACAATCCAACTCAGAAAACAACTAGTGAAGAACATGCCATGTCAAATGAGCCAAAATTCTGCACATACAAATACAGTAGAAAAATATATATGATCTGTGAATGCAAGGCAAAATCAAAAAGTGACCAAATTTCACTAGCAGAAATTGTGAAAATCATGGATAAAAAGTATTTGTCTTGTTATTCATTAAGATTTGAAAACTTTATGTTTCATGTTTTGAAAAACATGTCATTTAATGCATTTAAGAATCTAACACAGGTCCACATAAAAAACTGTGGAATCAGGAAGATTGAAAAAAGTGCTTTTAAAAGTAACAGTTTGTTTTCTGGAAGGAACATTCAAATAACAATTGAGCTGAATCCTATTGGAAACATTGAACCTGGAACTTTTGATGTTGGAAAATCATTGAGACTTCTGGCATTTCGTAAAAATTTAAACTTGGGAGCAGAAAATATCTTGAAAGTTTTTAATGACCTACAAAATAAAACAGTCTGGAATTTGGAAATAGCAACATGTAGAGTGTTTCTCCAAGAACTGAATAAATCCTTCTTTGAATCATTACGTTATTCCAAGATAAGAAGTTTAAAGATTGAGGGAAATGCATTTGGAAGCATAGCATCTGATGCATTTGAACCATTGGGAGTATTTCTTAATAACTTACGATTGAGGAACTTTATGGATGTAAAAGAAGACACATTTGATGTGTTTCATCAACTGAGAACACTGGAAATTGGTGGGGTAATCATCACCACAAGTGCATACACACCAAACTTACATTTACATAAAACATCAGGATTGAATCGTCTATTCATCGATATGCACAATTTGAGATTATCACTGAACATTTCTGGTTTGAAAAGCTTACGACAATTGCATTTAACAAATGCTATGTCTTATATGTATGAAGGCTTATACATGGATAATGTAATTAAGCTAATGAACACTGCAAAATCATTGAAGCAAATAGACCTATCTGGAAATGCATTATACCAATATACAGAAAAAGATCTTTGTCAGATGTTTGAGAATCGTACTACTCTAAATATCCTTATCCTAAAATACAACAATTTCATCCACCTTCCTCATTGCATGTTTAAAGCAATGTATAAGTTAAGGATTCTTGACCTTCGGTACAACTTAATAAGAATTATTGAGAAAGATCTCTTCCTGAATTTGCATAGTTTGAACCAATTGGATCTGTCAACAAATTCAATAACATTTATTGACTCAAGCAATGTGGAAATAATGTCGCCCTTGGCAGGAATTTTGAAGTTTTCGATTAAGCAAAATAACTTTGATTGCAGTTGTCAACTGAAAGGCCTCCGTAATTGGATCACAAAGAATATTGAGCAAAATAGATACAGGTTTATATATACTAATGTAAAATGTTCAACACCAACAAACAAACAAAGTGAATATGTCCACAATTTCACAATGACATGGTTGGAGTGTAACACAAAACTTGTCACTAATATCTCAACAGTGAGTGGAAGTTTGATTTTATTAGTCACAATTGTGACCCTTGTGCTACTGAGACATTTCTGGAAGGACATCCAATACAGAAAAATGGTCAAGCTTGCCCGCAAACATGAACAAGATGTAAATATAGATGGCCTTCTCATCGAACATGATGCATTTGTTAGTTACCATTCTGAAAAACAATTATGGGTTGAGAGAGACTTATGTAATGAACTAGAGAATGGATTAGACATCCAATTCAAACTTGTTTATGATGACAGAATCATGCCTGGTGGTTCGTTGTTTACCTCACTGGGAATGGCAATACACAAGAGCCGGAAGATCTTATTTGTGGTGAGTCGTGGTTGGGTGAAAGATGGCATGAATCAATTTGAAGTTGACATGGCTTTGGCCAAACTCCTAGATGACCACAGGGACATGATCATAGTTCTACTTATGGAACATATCCCTAAGGATGAGATGCCTGACAAAGTGAAGATGATTATAAAACACAACAATTGTCTCAGATGGAGCAACAATGTGAAGAAACAAGCCAAGTTCTGGAGGGATCTCAAACTGGAGCTGGGGAAGCATCACTTTGTGTTACCCATTCAAGAACGTAATAATTAAACAATGACAATGATACAACATTTGAATTTACATGTATATAATTACAAATTAGAAGAAAGATTCTGCGATGCATCACATATTTTAATACATATCCCACAATGACTGGAATCTGTACACCAAAAATAACTCTTCACCTTTTGATTTACACAATTGGGATGCATTCAAAGTGATATTTGAGGGATGGCCATAAAGTTCTCATAATATCTCTCTTATCGTTTAATTTTCAATATATTTTTATAAAATTGTCACACTACACTTAAAGTGTACGCCAAAGTTTAAAACTGCGCAGGCGCAGCGCTCTCACTAACCTATATAAAGAGATTACAAGGTACAGGCTTCAGAGGTAAGTCAGGAAGGTGAACAATCTTCGTCCCATGTTGATTTCCCGTATAATCGTAAACAGGCAAGTTTCACCATTGAAATCGAAAATTACTATTAGATATACGTTGTAGATGTTATTAATAAGCTATTAAGTGTATGCATCAATCAAATGGCTCATTTTGAACATATAAAAAGTATTTGTGTTTTGTTTCCCAGGTAATCGTATTCCCATGTACTACACACATAAATAGTGTACATTATGTAGTACTTGAATAGCCTGGTTTATATAATATTGAAGGGCATGCTGATTGTACACACGAGTACATGCATGAAGGCCTAATATTGATATTGCATGCATACCTAAATAAAAGTAAACTCTTCTAATCCCCTAATGTAAACACGGCAGTATACTAGTCCGATTTATCGGAGACTTTAAGATATTGATATTATGAGGCAATTAAGATGTGTCAAAAGTTAAGTGCAAAACTTTACAGAAATATTCTTCAATAAGTATTTGTCACTCTGGGTATTCAAGGAGTTAAGGATTGAATAACATATTCATCTTATTTCAATCCTATTTGAGAATTGAGTATTTATATATATCTTGAAATGATACCTGTAGTTTTAGCATAGGAGCGGTCATGTTTTCATGAAGCAGTAGTCTTTTGTTTAAATAAAAAGATAATAGAGAATAGAATAAGGAAGGGATGACTTTTCTATTCCCCTCACAAACTATGTTAGGTGGGATAAATGTTTATATTAAACTAGAACATGTCCCCTCCTCCTTATGTGTAATATAGCTATTGCTGCATATATGACAAATCCACTTATATAAATATAAATAAAATACAAATAACACAAAACTAAACTCTTACTTGTGATAGTCTAAGATCTTTTTGGCAAAATGTTGCAGTGATTTACAATCCTTTTCCTCCATCTCAGTTTTGAATTTAGCAACACATGTCATGAGCAACTTGTTGGCTGAATCCTTGAGTTGCTGAAATGTTAACATTGCAAAAATGGCTTTTTGTTTTACATGTTAAGGATAAGTGCCAGCATTATAAAAGGACCACAGATGCATTGAAGAACAGTAAACTAGACATGAGACTATGCACGACCCACAACGGAAGATTTAATCATTTCAAATAAAATCTGGCTGTTCTAGCAGGGTTGTTAAATTACCCTTCCAATGGCTATCTAGCTATCTAGCTTATAGACTATGTTATGAAACCCACTGAGTTACTCCCTGCTGAAGGACAGCGGCACCGCAGCTTCCACTCTGTTGTGTGTCTAAGTGTATGCATCTTTTACTTAATCGAAAGAGATCATATAGAACATTTAACTCTTCCATGTTATCTATTTGATGAAAAATGTAGGATCTCAACTTCTCAAGACAATTGACATTTTGAAAAATCATTAAATGTATCAATAGTTAAAACTAACCTTCCAGTCTATGGTTTCCTCTAAATCGTATATTAAATTTTCCCCTTTCTTGATAAAATCTTCTTTCCCTGTTTCCAACATGGCCATCACTATTTCTAACATCTTCTCACAATCTGCTTTTGTCCTGAAAGAATGGTCCTTTTTCATTACTAAAGATAATCATCAATTATAGTAGTACTGAAGTTAAAATATTTCCCCAAGAAAAAAATGTACTACAATGTATAGGTTTTGCCAATTTTTACCCATTGGTTTTAGGCAGACATAAAGATGTCAGTAGTGTAGTTCATATTTCATACCTCTCTTATAATTATGAAAATAAAAAAGTGAGTTCAAAATGAAGTTAAAGAGCCAGGGCCTGTTTGGTGAAAACAATTTAAATTCTGTTTCATTATATTACTTCTAGAATATACTGATCAAAAACAGTGTTCTCCATAGGAATTTTTGTTGGTGCAAATACCTGAAAATGGGTGCAAACTTCTCATTTTCACAATTCAGACCAAAATATGCCCATTATATTTGGCTTTTCTCATTTTCAAATGGGAACAAATGAATTCTCAGGTGAGTGTAAGCCTGTTTTTGAAATCAAATATCAGTGCTGCACCAACTTGCTTAAATGGTGAGATCAGGATGGGGGATCACCAAAAATTCATATGCATATAGGTAAATGATAGAAACTGTCTCCTTTAAAGATATTTCTTTTTGCCCTGTGAGAAAATAGCATGTAACATTCAAGTTTTTGTGCAGATATATCAGAATGAGCCACAAATGCAAAAAAATTTTTTAGACTTCTGACATGATAATATTTAACAGGTGTTTCAGAGTGGAGAGAATCACCAACATTTGGTTGCTAATCCTACGTTTATTTTTATCTTCCAAGCATTGTAAAAATTTGGAGATTGAGACAACATTCTATTAATTACTAAAATGATTTATTGATTCATCATGAGTTTAATTGATCAGTTTCAGCATCTCAAGGTTTTTCACAAAACAGGGGCGTAGGAAGGTGTAAATCCAACACTACGCCAAAAATATGAAAAAATTGTGTCAAATCTAAACGAATCAAAACGCCTCTTTTATGCTCGTAAAACGTGATTTTTATGGTAATACCTTTCTAATTGTGCTTAAAATGTTCGAATGTTTTTCATGATATAAAATCACCATGGAAAGCCGATCTTTTAAATCTCAACAATACAGATTAAAGAAACTAGTATGATCAATAGAAACATGTCCGTGATCAATGATACAACATAACTCTAATGTCTTCAACTTTTTTTATAAGATAAATAAAGCCTATGCAAAAGTCAACGTGACATTTTGTGGTAAATTGTTTTTTCCTTTCAAAATAATTATTGGTGCCTAAATGCTTTATTTCCTAAAATAATAATCTATTATATTTCAAATAAAATAGAAATTAGGGTAATTGCTTTCCTAGAACTGAAGTTGAAATGTACTTTCATTTTTACTGGCTTAAACTTCCAACTATCATAACCCTCTACCCCAAATCACCTTGATTTTTACGCCAAAAAGTGCCATTTATCGTGGCCGAAGCTAGAAAAAAGTAACAGAGGAACAAAAACCTTGCAAAGAGTACTATTGAAAAAATCGAACATATTACATGGTTTCCAAAAACATTTCTTTAGTGTGCTCGAGATCACAAACAATTTATTAACAATGAGGAAATATGACTAAAGAACATAAGGAAATTATTAAGCTATTTCATTCTAGCTTTTCAACACTACGCATTGGCGTTTTGGCGTATATTGTTCCTACGCCACTGCAAAACATGCCCTGGCTCTTTACAATTCACACAAATAACATTAACTAAATTCATAGAGCCTATTATCTCATCAACAGTTGTTGAGAAACAAAGTTAATATCATATTAAATTATCCCCTTTCAAATGTTAAAATGTTGATTTGTCTTTCACTTGAATATCAAAATAATTATCACTTGTTGCTTACAAAATTAACATTTATTCCCTATCCTCATAAAATTATAAATATAACTGTATGTTATAAATGTGCCCTACTTGCAGCATGGTTTAAGCACAGAATATACTGTCTGATCAACAATTCGAAATCCAGTTTTGTCCTTTTTGGTGTCCAGGATTTTAGGATTCTTCAGAAGCTCCAACACTTTGGGGCAGTATGTATCAATTATATGAGTTGGATCCTAAAGGTACAGAAAACACACACAAAGTAAATGATGATATTTATCAGAGAATGTGAACCCATTCTGTTACTTTTTCCAGATTTTTACTTTTTTGTACTCAAGTATCAGCAGAGCTTTTCTGCAATTTTTAACAAATGTTTTGATTGGTTCTTCAATTAGAGTATACCATAATTACTTCATGCAAAAAGGTGATATGATATATCATTTGGACAGTACATTCATATTTATTAATTTGAAAAACAAAACTCACCTTTAGAAATACACCTAGCTCGGAGTCAATGATAAAATTACTGATGTCATATGCCTGGGATGCCAGATCTTTAGTCTCAAATGCATACCAGTGAAATGTACACTGCATCAAGTCAGAGAACATTGCTTTAGAGCATTCATCCACGCTGAAACACACACAATGTAAAATAATTTTCAGATCATCAGATAAAAGAGCTTTGACAGGGATTGTATATTGGGTTTATCCTGAGGAATAATATATTTTATTTTATGACTTAAAATTACTTACTTGAACAGGTAAAAAGCCTCATCCAGAAGGTCACTGGTTTTATTCTCTGGGAACTTGGGGTGCTCTATTAAAACCTTCATAGCCTTCCATTGCTCAAGAACTCCAGCATAGCTAGGCAGCTCCTGAGATTCAAAAATGAATACTATTAGCATGGCATCAAAAATATTGAATGAAGAAAATGAGAGAATAAAATTACTTTTAAACATATGGGAACTGCTACATTTGAAAAAGCCATATGATATTAAGACATAACATCAAAATACTTTATTCAGAGACTTAGAGAGAGTGTACCCTATCCAAATAAATAAATGCAGAACAAAGTCTTAGTGTTATCCCTCATTTGAACAGTCAATGCCGTGCCACATTTTGACTTTTTCTCACCTCAAATACTTTGTCAGTATCCTGCTTTAACAGACTTTCCAGGCAGTCTCCCAAGTTGTCGTAAATTAAGTGTATATGTTCATTGTCGCCCATCAGTTTAGATTTACAGAAAAGCCAGAAGTCTAATAGCTCTAGTTTCACATCTTTTAACTGATCCTCTCTATTCAAATAAAAATGAGTTTAAACATTTTCATTACATGACTTTGCATTATGGGCAAGAAAAATGATAAATTAACAAGTGAATTTACAATACGGAATAACTCTAGAACGAACTACAGTATATATCAATAGCACAAAGTTTGACTAAACATAATGAAATAGAACTGGATTATAAATAACATCTGACATCAGACTTTTTGATTAACCTAAACCCGCTAATAACATACTATACATACCCAAGGTCTTTGAGGATTCGTTCTATATGACTAGCAAGATCATATGCGTAGGAATGATGGTCTGTCTCAATAGGAGGAATCACATAATCTTTCTTGTAATGTGATAGAAGACCTTTAAGGTCAGAGCCAGACAGTTTCTGCAAATCAAAAAACCTTAAATTGAGAGGCTATGATACTTTCAGATTATTTCCAAAAATAATAATACCTGAAATGACACATATTTCCATACAGATGTATGTTTGAACATGAATGCTCGCGTTCCACCATGTTTGGTATTTACATGTATTCCAAATTTGAAGGGGTTGCGTCTTTGGGGGTCATGCTGTATCAAACCATCTGAGAAATCTTAGCTGAGATGAAGAAAATATTTTTCAATCTAAAGTTTCTCAAGTACTTACTTGAAAGAACTCATCCATCATATCTTTAGAGTTGCGAATCGTGTCCATGATGGCGATATGTCCACTTGTAGGTGATCCAGATGGGAGACCTTGAAGACAACATAGATAAACCCCATAGAATTCATGGTAAAACTTTTCCATATCAACATCTTCATTCCAACTGAAAAGTACAAGTTCATATATATGTTTTATTCTTTTTCGCATTCCATAATCCGATTTGACCATGTTAGAATTACATTTACAGACCCACTGGGTTAAGGACTTATAGCTAACATATTCTCTCGAATAAGCACAATGTCCTCTTAAAATTAACAAAATAGTGAAATCATAAGAATTGCTGAAGAAAAAATTGCGATTGCATCACCCCTGAATGAAAGCTGGCTACCCACCAGTCATGAATTGCGAGAATGCAGTGTAACCATACATTGGCCAAACAGCGACATTTGCCAATGCATAGCTGGCAATTGGCCATACATCAAAGAATAAGGTTTAACATGTAACACGCTTGCAAAATATTTGCAATTGAATTCCATCGATTTTGGTCATGATCAAACACCTACCTTGGAACATAGCAGATCTTTTCAATTGTAGCATTTACCATATTGACACAAGGGGTCCAATTTAGTGGAAAGTGTGGAGATGATACTTGAGGGACCAAGGCTGCAATGTCTTTTAAAACCTGATCTTTTGAAACTTGATCCACTTCAATTTCATTCAAATCTGAATTGAATTGTTCCTCATCTTGTTCTGTGCATCGCACAAAGTCGTACTTCTCAACCACTGCTGCTATAGTTGCCATGGTAACAGAAGAGGATGATGCTGTAGTTTATATTTCATAAGTTCCAATCATTTAAATACCTGGAAAGAAAATGTGACTTTGAGAAAAGTCAATGTAACATTCAAAGAAATTTTTACTTCCATCATTACATGAACAATATATCAAAATTAGGATTGGAAGGGAACCACTGGTATTCGCTTTGGAAAGATTGCTTCAATTCAAGTATGGAGATAAAGGGAACATTTGGCGATATTTTAATAAGCAGCTGAATTCAGTAGTTCACTTTCAGCATGGTAGTAGGAAGTTCAATACAAGTAATAAATATCAGGTTAGGAATGATCCATTTAGAATTTCATTTCTACATGGATACTTCAAGCATGGGTCCTGCAATCTGATTGGTCATAAGGTGGAGAGCGGATCATTTTACGAATTTTGCAGTGATAACATTTGCAGTAATATCTTGCCATAATAGCAAGATTGAGGTATGAACTCTGTTTTTCTAGCTTCTTTAGGATGTTATCTCGAATCCTGTATGACTGCCTAATCTAAAAAATCATGATAAGATGTGTATTATCCATTTGAAAAACAAAAAAGATTCCGCACTTGAAGTTTTCAATAATAATATGAAGGAAATTCTGTTCACTGTGACTTTCAGCCATATTACTAATATCTAATAAGTAGTAACCTATCAGGCCCGTAGTCAGGGGGGGTTCTGACTATTTTTTGAGTGATTTTTGGACAAATTTGCCAAAGTGAACCCCCCCCCCTAGAATGTTTTAGAAAAGCGAACCCCCCTTGGAAAATTCTGGCTACGGGCCTGCCTATACTCTGCAAGCAAAGGTTGTCCTATATTACCTTATTCTTCGGCCACAGTGTGGCCTAACGCTATCATCAAGCCCTGTTTGTTTAGCCCTTTTTACGCTATAGTTGCTATTTAATGAACTAAATGTAGTGAACATACCTTCATTGAACTAGGTATGTAGTCTTAGTTCACATGCCCGTTTACATCGGCTTTAATCTAGTCTTTTCTTCGGTAAAAATAGCCTTTTTTTTTTTTTTTAATATAGCGAGATTAAGTTCAACCTTAACAGTAGTCCAACAACATTAGACCTAGCCTGGGCCTCGTTTCTTATCTGACATGTCTTATGGCCCCGGCTAGGTCTAACCTCCATGACCATTTTGCCCTTGATGCGTTAATTTAGTCGTTCAGCAGGTTACGACAAGCGGAACTAATTAAACTCCAAAAACATGGTAATATTACATAAAGAATGTGATTCAAGCATGCATACATACCTTATAAATACATACACACCATCCCGTACCCCCCTTAGACCATATTGATGCATAATTACGAAAATATTGGAGACAGGTTTGGAATTTTACGAAAATATCGGTCAGCTCCGGTAACATCGAAATTGCAAATCGTATCAGGAATTAACCGTCATTGCGACACTGCATCAACGAACAGTAGGTTTGCAATTAATAACGATTTTGTGTGTATACAAGCGCTATATAAATCAATCAAAGATACCTGCTATCCTCAAAAATGGTTATTTTATCCCGAGTAATCGCGTGATAATTATCAATCTATTTGACAACAATTTCGTTTCAATAGTTTAAATTTTAACCTGGGACGAACAGACACAATGCCGGACATGCGGAAATGTCATTTTAGAGATTGGTAAGTTTAACCTCATTTTACTTGTATAAATGACCATTTAATACAATAATATTGTGTTGAATCGCTTGATGTTATGTGTTTTTATATTGTTGTCAAGTATCAGTTGCATGTTATCGCGGAAAAATGGTTTCGGTGGATCCAAAACTTGCATCAATGGAATGAATAGTAAAGAGGTTAAACTCAATAATGGCCCCAAGAAAATTCTTAATAATAAATAACGCCGTTATTGAGTTTAACGACGTTGAACTACCTTAACAGATGTTAGATCCGGTGATTTTAAGTTTAGACGAAAGCATGCAATAGCTCTTTGACATAGACATAGCTCACAAAGGACAGTGTCCATTTGAATTCTACTTGATGAAATATTCTCATTACAATTTTTAGAATATCTAAAAAAATTGCTCCAGAATTAACATTTTCACAAGTGCACGGTGGTCCACATGCCATGTCTTAGTAATTTGGCTGGAGATTCGAGTAAGTCCTATTAAAACTCCTATAGTCAAATAGTCACTAGAGGCGGAGCTTCCACGTCTAGACAGACTTCGAAATGAATTTTTATTTGACTTGAGGTCTCAGTTGAGATTGAGTTTTGACCATAGCGACAAACAAGAGACAAATATATCTTTTATCTCGATGTTCAATTTAAAATGAAAGTGCAGTTAGTTATATTACCTGAAGATGTCCTTCATGATTTCATTTTCTTTCTTATGTACATCTGAATATTGGTCAAACGAGGGAAATAACCACATATAAATCGTTCAGACCGAAAATACCGGAAGTAGTTTTACATTTCTCACCTCCTTTGCAGAAGACTCGGGTAAAATGAAGAGCTCTTGTTTTCAAGTAAATAAAGCGGGAAATTCAAGTTCAACATCATTCAAAGTTGACTCTAAATCCAAATATCCGTAGTAACAATGCCTTACCAAATGTAAAAATATAGTTCCGATGCCATAACAAATGTCCAAATATAGTCCCAATACCATACCAAAATGTCCACAACATATTCCAGTGCCATACCAAATGTAAAAAAAACATAGTTCAAATCCATAATCCAAATGTCATCCCAGATGTCCAAATATAATCTGAATGTCATGCCACAAATGCCACACCACATGTCTAAATATAGTCCCAATGCCATACCAAATGTCCAAATATAATCCCAATGTCATACCAAATGTCCAAATATAATCCCAATGTCACGCATTATGTCCAAATATAGTCTCAATGCCACACAACATGTTTAAATATAGTCCAAATGCCATATCAAATGTCCAAATATAATCCCAATGCCATACCAAATGTCCAAATATAATCCCAATGTCATACCAAATGTCCAAATATAATCCCAATGTTATGCCACATGTCCAAATATACTCCCAATGCCGTATCAAATGTCCAAATATAGTCCCAAAGACATTATTCCAATGCCACACCACATATCTAAGTATAGTCCCAATGCCATACCTAATGTCCAAATATATCCCCAATGCCATACCAAATGTCCAAATATAATCCCAATATCATGCCACATGTCCAAATATAGTCCCAATGCCATACCAAATGTCCAAATATAGTCCCAATGCCATACCAAATGTCCAAATATCGTCCCAAAGACATACCAAATGTCCAAATATAGTCCCAATGCCATACCAAATGTCCAAATATAGTCCCAATGTCATACCAAATGTCCAAATATAATCCCAACACCACAGCACATGTCTAAGTATAGTCCCAATGCCATAACAAATGTCCAAATATAGTCCCAATGCCACACCACATGTATAAATATAGTCCAAATGCCATACCAAATGTCCAAATATAGTCCCAATGTCATACCAAATGTCCAAATATAATCCTAATGCCACACCACATGTCTAAATATAGTTCCAATGCTATAACAAATGTCCAAATATACTTCCAATGCCATAACAAATATCATCACAATACCATACCAAATGTCCAAATACAATACCAATGTCATGCCACACCAAATGTCCAAATATAGTTCCAATGCCACATCAAATGTAGAAATATAATTCCAATGCCACATCAAATGTCCAAACATAATTCCAATCCCACATCAAATGTCCAAATATAGTTCCAATGCCACATCATATTGGACAAACGGGCGACAAACTTCGGAACAGGGTCCGGGTCCATAAGCACCAAATTTGTGACCCTACTGTCCGTATGTTGCCAGTAAGCGAGCATGGACATGAACCAAAATTCACAATTATGCCTTTTTTTAAATTTCATGAAGACGATATCAAACAAAGAATCGCCATGGAAAATCATTTTATTCACATTTTTCAACCCAAACTAAACAAATAAATTGTTTATTGGTTACTATACATGTAACGGTTAATTGTACGTGATAAATACTACTGACAATAATTAATTGTATTAATATTACGTCATATACCTTTTTACCTGTATACTGTATAAGTGGAATTTAATCCGAGTGGTTAATTTTCCGAATGTTTAAATTTCATCATTTTCCTAATTTCAATTTTCCTAATGACAAGAAACCTCCCATTGGATAACATTATAAAGACAATATTTCCGACATCTAATTTTCCGAACCTGGCAAAAATTAGGAAATAGGCAAATTAAATGATTAGGCAAAATTACCACTTATGCAGTATCTTTAAACCAAAAATAAACAAATAAATTGTTTATTGGTTACTATATAAGGAAATTATATTTATATTACGTCATACTTACCTGTATATATCTTAAACCAAAACTAAACAAATTAATTGTTTATTGGTTTCCATGACGTTTAATTAATTATATTAATATTACGTCATACTTACCTGTATACCTCTTGTTCTCATTTTTGAAAAATCTACTGAGGAATAAAGAAACATGTTTAGATTTTCAAACGTATTTTATTAGTTCTTCTTATTTTTACTTAAATATATATATATATATATGTCCATATATAAATGCCTAAATATAAATACCAATTGCCTAAATATAGTCCCAATACCATATGAAATGTTCAATCCCGGGGGGTTCAGATATAGTCACAATGCCAAACAAAATGTACAAATATAGTCCTAATGCCATACCAAAATGTCCACAACATATTTCCAGTGCCATACCAAATGTAAAAACATAGTCCAAATACCAGGCCAAAGTCCAAATATACTAAGTAGTCTAATGAAATGCGAAATGTCCAACTATAGACCAATGTCATGCCAAATATGGATAAAAAAGTTCTGTTACTCGACTAATGCTATTTCACAAATGTGAGGTTATATGATCCATGACCATTTTTTTACTTGAAAGCTGGAACATTACTGGAAATCTGAGCATTACCATACTCAAAAGTTAAATATGTTGAGGCATTGTCATACATGTCAGACCAGATCCTAAAATTGAAGTCCATTTGCCATAACAAATATTGAAAAAATATTTAACTAATATGTATTAAAAATATTTTTTTTTTTTTATTTATTTATTTAGACACTACACTTTTTGTAACAGTGGCACTCTCAATGGGTGCATCTATACTCAAAAAATTAAAACTTTATATAATATTTCATCCCACAAATACAATGTTTTTAAATAGAAAAATTCTTTCTGCCATCAATTCATGTACTCATATCAAAGCAGAAAAGTTAGAATGAATAACAAGAAGAAATGTGTTTACTTAATACATGTAATAATAACCAGAACAACGGCAACGCCAAAGCGTAGCGAATCCCATCGAACATTTTTCAAAACGGGCACCTTCTACCAAAAGTGTCATTAGACAGTGTGCCACGCTTATAATATTCACATACCAAATATGAACAAAATCGCTCCACTACTTTTCGAGTTATAGTAAAAAACGTTAAAATGGCGGCCATTTTGAAAAATGGCCGCCTTCTACCAAAAGTGTCATTAGACAGTGTGCCATGCTGATACGTATTCACGTACCAAATATGAACAAAATCGCTCCACTACTTTTCGAATTATAGTAAAATAAGTTAAAATGGCAGCCATTTTTCAAAATGGCCGCCTTCTACCAAAAGTGTCATTAGACAGTGTGCCATGCATATAGTATTCACATACCAAATATGAACAAAATCGCTCCACTACTTTTCGAGTTACAGCAAAAATAGTAAAATAATGAGTAAAGGCCGCCATTTTTCAAGATGGCTGCCATGTGCTTTTTTAATATCTACATTTCTAGCTTTATTAATGTCCTATATAATTTTTTTACATTTAAAACATATTGCTATTACAGTTTTACATATTGCACCTAAATTACTGTAAAATCGGCACTAAAATGGCCGCCATTTTCAAATGAGTGGACATTTTGAAAATCGGCTTTCGAGCAGAACTTCTACCCCCATACGGTATACAAGGTGTACAAAATATGAATAAAATCGGGCCAACGGTATTTGAGTTATTGCCCGGACGGACGGACGTACAGACGGACGGACGTACGTACGGACGGACGGACGGACGGACATATTTAAGAAAATGATTTAAGTGTGTCACTCTAGAATAGTAATTTGCAGTTATCCGAAGTCTTTGTTCATAAAGCAACTGAAATCCTCTCATGTAATAATGTTCAAGTACAATGCAGAAAAGTAGTTGCTTTCATGCATAGTCATAGTCCACTCATATGCATGTAGTATCACTTGCAGTACAATCATTATTTCTTCATCAAAAGTCCAATCCAACTACCTGCACCTGAAAAACATGTTCAAATGATTACATAATACTATAGTAATATTCTGATATCATTGTGTCGTGTGATATCATATGATAATACCATTAACAGAAAGAGTATTGTAGAAAGCATCAGATGTGGCACATTTGTTTTCTACCAATATATGATTAAAGACATCCTGCAACTGTCATTTAAAACAAAATAAAAAACAAAGAAATGAAAAAAATGAAAGCCTAACTAAAAGAAGAGTTTCACGCATTGATGCAGATAATATACATGTATATTTGATATGCTAGGCACACTATACTTAACTTTGGAGAAAAAATCAAAAAAAATCATTGAAACATGTTACCCACACACTTGCTCAAATATGACACAAAGTTTGTTTTGCTTTAATATTGGACCAAGAAAAAAATAACTCACATAGAAAAAAGCATTTGAAGTTCAGAGATCATTAGACATGCATGCACATGTTAAACAAAGTGCATGTTTTAAACTACTATTGATTTAAAAGATGGACGACACTTCTATAAAAATGAATGTATCATGTAATACAAACAACTTTGCCATCTTTCAATGACATCGATAAAAAACTTGATATATAATGCTCGACAGATCAAAAATATTTTTTTATAATTTATTGTAAGCTTTTGATGTGGTCTATTTGAGCTATTGTTGGTGTCAAATGAAAGATAAGGTTCTTATCAATACATTGGACATACAATGAAATTTAAATGTCTTTATTTTGCCCAAAAATGTTGAGAATTCCCAGAGTGGGCCTTTAAGATATCATCTTTTTGCAAAACATCTCCAGACCGTGGTTTATTTATCATTTTGAGTGTTTCCAGTTCGTGGAAAATTCAAATTTTCTTTACTGTTTTTTTTTTGTCATTTTCCAATATTTTCCACCAAATGAGCTTTTTAAAGCTATAAGATACTCCTTTAATACATTTGGAGAGGAGAAATATATTCTTAAAGTTACCACAAGGTTCATTAATCTTATGTCCAAGGTATGGTTTGTTAGCATGGTACACAAAGATTCAAAAGATCAATTTCAAAGACTTCTGAGTTTTAACGACTTGTTTATATAAATCATGGTTGTTAATATAACACAAATATGTCCAGAGATTTTAGCCCAAAAGATCAAATAATGCAGGTTTTACATATATAATTGATTCCACCTCTTAGTAGTTGATTTAACTTGGGCAATCACTAAGTACAATATAAGAAAAACAAAAGATGTAATGGACATCATGTTCAACTGAAAATAAAATTTCAGAATTGTACAATAGCCCATATAGTTCAGGGTATTTCTGTTTATTTTCATAAATATGTAAACAGAAAAATAATGAATGCCCTGGTTGTCCTGGAAGTGGCATGTTTACATCTAAAGAAAAAGATGTTTGCTGAGAAAAGTTGAAGGTGTAACTGATCAGTTTATCATCACAGAAATCATACACTTACTTGGTTACATGAGCACAGATTCAAAGATATTGGAATAAAAGATGGATTTATAAATGAATCAAATAGGGATTTAAAAATGATTATTGAATAATAAAATTAAAGGATATCAAACATATACAGGGCCTATATCAATGTATTATTGTGTTGCCATGGATATATTTAAGCATAGATTCTAAGAATCATTAATCAAAATGGACATTCCATGAACAATGAGGATTAAGGAAGCTACTGAAATATGTGTGTTCTTAAGACAAAAATGATACTTTGTTGATTTGAAAGTAACAATTAAAGTTGTATACTCAGAGAAAAATGTGTTCACACCCAAATACAGAAAAGATTTATAGAATTGATTTGTTCAAGGTTCATTTATTCAAAGACAAACACTTGGATCAATACATGTCTAAATTGTGACAAACATTTTTATTTTGCCAATGGAATATAACCTTCAACAAGAAAAACATGGATGAATTGAGCAGCTTTCATCACATTTGAATAGAAAGCAAACAAAAAGCCCCATTGATGTACAAAGTTCTCTTTTAATAAAATGTTAACTTTTCAAAGTCGCAAAATGCTTATTTGCTTTCAGTCTGAATGAAGGGGGCAAGCCAAAAACTCTGAAATTCAAGAGAGTAAATGAAATTGTATCTCATAATGTGATTTGAAGTTTTATAAACGATATGCAACAATATTACAACCATAGCATAACAGGCCATAAGTTACAGGCCATTGTTTATGTAGTAAATTAAAGACTGCCTCATAAAAACAAATTCAAAGAATATGGAATATAATCTATAGTATACATGTATGAGCGCACCCCTGGGAAACCTGAGAAACAGACCATTGTAGCATTAAGTTATTCTACCAAATAACAATAATAGCTTTTAGGTTAAAAAATAAATTGTCGTTAAGGACATTACCCCCATTGTAATATAGAAAACATTAAGAAGAAAAACAGATTCAGACATGGCCTTCATCATATAGCCACACACATGGACATTAAAAGATAAAAGCAGAACAGTTAGGGACAACCAGGGTGGAATTATTTGGATTACATAAATTGTGACACGATAAACAACAAGAATAAAAGTAAATGAAAAACAAAAATCAACAATTGAGATGAAGATTTGGACAAAGGTGGATAAGAATTATCCCAAATAGCGTCAGATTCATGATTAAAATGAACAACATACACAATACACTTCAACTAAATTCAATACTTTGACAACATATAAAAACATTCATTGAGCAAACTTAATTATTCTGGAGACTAAATCAAAGAACTTCAAGATGAATCGTTGGAAGCATCTCGGGGAGAAGAATAAGTTGAAAATAACAACGGGGAATATGTATGAGAGAGTTGTCAGGGTAATATCCAAGGATCAAATATCTCGAACAAAAGCTGAAGTAGATGTCATATTGCCATGGTTACGGAAGAAAAGTCAGTTGTTAAACAAAATGGATAAAAGTGAGTAACTGTATAAAATGTTTAAATGAAATACAAAAAGTAACAAAACAACACCACAAACTAATTTCTGGACCTTTCAAGATGTAACTTTCTTGGGTTAGGGGCATGCAATCAACTGCATACATATTTATGCTTTTTAGGTTGTATAATTTATTTTATTTGAACTGAAATATGATCATACCAAATGACAATATCCAGTATAAACTGTAAAGCTGCCATATATGTTTATTCCATTTTCTGGTAATATGTAATAACTTACTTATTCAAAATATGTTTGGAACAAATATATTTCCAATTTGTTTTGCAATAGTAAAAGTAAGAAAACAGTTGAATCAAGAGACTCTGAGAAATAAGCAAATACAAATGTTTTCCTCTAAGGAACATTGACATGGTAGGACAATTGAGAAGAATCTTTACCAAACAAGTTGATTTGTTCCAAACAAGTTGATTCTCTCATCCAACATTAAGATCAATCTGTATCATGGTTTTAACTATGATTAAAACATGGTTGCCAAGGTTACCAGACTGGCAGTCAGTCTGTTGATGCCCTGTTGCCAACCTGTTTTCATGCCAAAGGCATATAAACCAAACATCTGCATTTCATACTGAATGTATATTTCAGATGTGATAATCTCCATTATCCAGAACTGTGTATACCAAGTGAACAGCAAAGATGATGTGGTCATCAAACAAGGGGAGACTGGAGACAGGTGAATATGTAACTCTAGAATACATTGAACTTTTTGGCTTTCTCATTTTTGTTCAAACTTGAATATCCATGTCAATATTGAAAATGCTGCTTTAACATTCTTTAAGTGAAGTTGTATGTTTTCAGTTTCTTCATCATTCTCAATGGACTTGTCGGTGTGTACATTGACAGTAAGAAGAGTGGTGAAGACAAACCACCTCCAGCAGAAGTTCCTGACAAAAGCAAGACAGAAGAAGAGAAAGCAATGGAACAGTTGTTCGGCAAACAAAAGAAAAAACTTGACAAGAGCAAATATGGAAAATGTGTTGTGCAATTTGGTAAGTTCAGAGTTAGATGAAAGGGTCATGAAAAATGATTTTTGAATCAAAATCATAGAAATGGAAATGGACCAATCAGGCATAAAGTAGCAATACTTGCTTGACACTTGTAAAACATTTGGCAACTGAAACATACATTTTGATGCAATGTATTTGTTCAAACCAATCTGCATCATCATCAAACATGGCTGTTATAACAGGACTGAATGAGAAGTGCCATTTGAAAAAATGTGCTGTACTGTTTTGGAAACTGCTCAATAAGTGCTGGTCAATGATGCACGCATATGTCTTGTTTTAGATATATTTTATCCATACTTATAATGTTTATATGAATTTCAGGTGGTGGTAAAAGTTTTGGAGAGTTAGCCCTGATAGAACCAGAAGCTAAGAGGAATGCTACAATCATATGCCATGAAGATACAGACTTTCTTGTCATTCACAGGGAGCTATATAACTCAACACTGAAGGTAAGAAATCGAATAATATGGCTTCTGAAAATTATTTGATTTTTTTCTTCAAAAAGAAACCAAACAAATTGAGCATACAATCTGATTAGTATTACCAATTAAGGAAAATATTGAATTAAAGATACTCACAATTGCCAATTCAAATAAATCTTGAATAGGAACTCGACTTATGAGTTAAAACAGTTATACAGTTTGTATTTCTAAACACTTCTTTATAATACAATGGTGGATAAGTGCAATTGATTGACAGTATTTTCAAATTCATTATATGGGAGCATAAATGTGATATGTTTTAAATATTCATATCATATATCATATTTTTAATTATCCCACGATTAATGTGTTATCTGTACAATAACAGCTATTGATATTTCTGATATTATTGAAATCCGTGTGATATTTTCCAGAAAATCTTTTATCAAACTCATATGCGTGTGATATCGTTTATCTCACACATATCCGTGTGATATCACATTTGCATTTCGCGCCACAATATTGTTGAAAAAAATGAACATGTAAAGCAATGTTTACATGTTCATTTTATTTACTTTTAATTGTTAAAGTAAAGTGTTTCAAATATTCAATTTATATTCTAATTTCTAGTTTATATTGTCTGCCCATGTCCTGGAAATTGGATCAGAACATCACAAGGCTTCGCTCACTCGTGTTGATATTTGATATCAACTCGGCGATAAAAATGATATCACGAGAAATTATGTGATATTCTGTATATATCATGTGTTTGTTTAAACTTCAGGCATTCCAAGAAGCTGATTACAGAGACAGACATACATTTGTAGAGACAAACCCTTTATTCAAGAAATGGCCTAAGAAACTAAAACAACTGCTTAAGATGAGCTTCATCAAGGAACTGTACTCGTATGATACAAAGATTGTCAAACAAGGTGATCCTATAGCAGGACTTCATTTCATCAGAAGGTAAATCCATTTTTATACACTTTTAAAAGACATCCTATTTAAAGGAGTGGTATCGATATGGAGAACTGAATTCAACAATGTTTTTCTTTTAAACCAATCATTGAAAACATTCTGTAAAAAACACGGTATTTTATGTAATGTTGACTGATTGACAACAATTTAATGTGAAAATTATTTAGAAATATTTTATATAACTGTTTTTGTTAACATTTCTTGTTTTTTTAGTGCAATTGTTTTTGCTCCTTTCTACCAATTCTTGAGAATGAAATAAAATGTCTTTCCGAACCTTGCTGGAACAAAGTATTATAGTTATACAAAGGAAATTTTGGTTGATTTTAAAAAAGTATTCAAAAAATTAAAACAAAATCCCCCCAAAATAGATAAAAATCAAGATAAACCTTTTATTTTATTAACAAGATACTTTTTAAAATCAACCAAAATTTCCTTTTTTCAATTACAATATTGAGAGACCTAAACATGTTGTGTTTATGTCGTTTGTTCCAATGAGGTTCGGAAAGATGTTTCATTTCACTCTGGAAACATGATACCAAGAACAAAACAAGTGTTTGATGTGTTTTCTAAAACAATATAGATGAAAGTATATATACATTTTTCAAATTATATTGTTACCACTCAAAAGATGACCATTAATTTGAAGATGTGTTAAATTTTTAGATTTTTTTTATAACTGGTTTAAGAGAAATGTGTGCAAAAAGTTCTCCATATCGATACCACTCCTTTGTAAAGGAAATTGGCCTAAAATGTGTCCTTGTCAAATGCAAGATTTGTCCGTTAAACTAATACCTGATCTCTAGCACTATCCTTCATAAAAACAACATGTACTACAGAAAGTAAAAGAGAAACATTTGAAAAACATAAAATAACTCAGAATTCCAATAACAGCTATTTGTTTATTGAGTGTAGTTTGTCCTCATTTTGTCCCTCATGTTTTCTGATTATACAATCTGTATATGTCAATTAGAAAAGATTTTAGCATAAACTGTTCTATGCTTTTTCCAGGGGTCAGGCAAAGTTAGTAATAGAGCATGCACGTCATGATGATCAATACATGTCCATGTGGCCCTTTCATGACAGCCATGACATGTTTGACCTGGAGAACATCAAACGTCCTAAAAAAGCTAAAGAAATCCGAGATCACCCAAGAGTTGGGACTCCCCCTGCAAGACAGCACCATGTGGAAGTGAGGAGGTTTGAGGGTTATGCTGCTGCAGAGAAGCTTGAGAAGAATAAAGTGATTACTATGTGTACAATGGAGGAAGGAGAAGTAGTTGGGGACATTGAATATATCAATGATCTCCAAACATATCACGGAAATGTGATCTGCACTGTTGAGACTGAGGTGTACTTCCTGAATTGGAAAAACTTTGATAGATTGATATCAAAGAAAAATGCATCAACAGTGGCCAGTTTAAGGCAAGGAGTCATATGCAAATTGCAGTCAAGAGCGTATACAATACAAGGGGACCATGTGCCCCTGTTGAGACATTTACTATTCAAGATGACAGATGAGCAGAAACCTGTCCAAAAGAAGATCCCTCCATTAAGAACCAGTAAGGACCTACCAGAGAAGGATCTCTTACAAGCCCACCTTGTGGAAGCATTCCAGAACAACAGGGCTGAGATCCTTGCTCCTTTTGTACCAGGATCAGTATATCTAAGGGAGATGATGAGAGATAAGGCTAAAATAAGGGAGAGTCAACATGCTAATAAAGTCAAAGCAGGTAGAGCCAGAGAAAAGAAAAAGAACAAGGAGCAAAGGAAACCTAGATCTCTAAGACAACTGCGAGAAGCCCTAATGAAGCGAGATATGCAGGAAAAGGCAGTGAACAGTGAGGTAGCCAGTAGGTTCATGAAGGCTGTTGTGAATGCTCAGTTGGCAAAAGGGAGACCAGAACAAACTGCAGACGAGAGAGTTGCTGAATTTGAGCAACGTCTTGCTGAAATGAACTATAAGCCAAGTGGATCCCCAAATAGTGTAAAAGATGATGATGTTGACTCAGAGGGTGAAATAAGAGATGATGACACTATAGTGTCGATGGAAACGCATCCAAACAATCCGAAAGAAGAAAGGATAAATAGTCCAAATAAATTAGACCTACGACCTATCTCTGAGGAGAACACAGAACTGTTACTCCTTGAGAGAATAGCTGAAGAAGCTGAAGCTGCTAGGTTGAAAAGTGCTCCCAAATCAAGGTTAGCTAGCCGTGGTAAATCAAGGGGACAAAGTAGGGGTTTATCAGGAGGTAGAAGCCGGAATCATTCAAGACTTGCAAGCAGAGGCCAGTCTAGAGGAAAATCCCGGGGTAACAGTGGAGCACACTCACGCCTCTCGAGTACCAAATCTATGCGATCAAGAGTCTCAGATAGTATCCATCTTCCATCAATTAACCACACTCCAAATAGCTTAGTAGCTTCAGAACCCCTTCCTTTAACCAGAGATGATACCCATCTTACCTTTATAACCCAGAGTATCATTGCGCAACAAGAGATGACAGCTAAGTCAGAGCAAGCCCCCTCAGAAGCTGGAACGTCCATATCAAAGATGACTGGAATGACAAATATGACAGGAACCTCAAGTGTCAAGAGAAGGAAACGTAAACTAAAGAAAAAGGAAATCGCTGTCAATGCTCTAAAGCAAAGTCCAAAGATGAAATTCATCAATGCCTATGTGCAAACTAAGATCCAACATGCAGATAAATTCCCTGATTTCCGAGATTTTGAGACCAGTGATAAGACATTGAGTTATCTAGAGAAAAGGCTGCAAAACTTCCATCTTAGGCTAGAGGAAAACATACCACATGAGGAAGGCAGGAAACTAGATGTGCCAATATTACCCCGCCTGAAAAGATATGTGAGACCAGTAAGTACTAAAATGCCATTTAATTCACAAAATTGTGTATTTGGTTTTATTTGGTGGTATATGTACTTTTGGTGATATTGATGCAATATTCTTGGAACATCTGTGGCAATTTATATTTACAGTATAATTTAATTATATGGATGTACTGTAAAGTATATTAAAAGACAATTGGAATGGAACTAAAGTTAAAACTCCGCAGAGTAGCAAATCCCAGCGAACAAAATATCAATTACTGCATTCCAATCAATTATACTCATTACTTTGGTTAAAATTGAAAAAATTGAAAAAATTAGATTTTAGAATTGCGAATTCCTGCAAAGCAGCCATTTTGAATTTTCTGAGGTAAAAATCTGAAAAATAATACCATAATTGTGATCTACTCCAAAATTCCTTCAATTTGAGTATAATATAGCCATACTTTGAAGGGATTGAAAAATTATTGCGAAATTAGACGGCCATTTTGAATTTAACGAGGCTAGAATCAGAAAAAGATACAATATTTGCAATCTACTGTTAATTGCCTTTCATTTGAGTATAATAAAGCTATACTTCAGAAAGATCTAAAAATTAGCGAAAATTTCTGTTTTCCTGTCCCCCCATACACCGCCCCTGGGGTCAGGATGAAAAACACGGAATATATGTGAAATAGATAAATGTTGTGAATATACTACCGAATTTTCAGACAATAATATTAATTACTTTTACGTTTAGAATGAAAAATTTATGATTTTTGCGAAAAAGTCCCGTCATTTTTAAAGCGGCGGCCATCTTGAAAATTTTTTTTTTGCGTAAAACTATTTACCAATATACATCTTTCCACTAAATATGAAGAAAATCCTTCAACTAGTATTTGAGTTATCTTCCGGACAGACGGACGGACTGACTGACAGACTGACGGACTGACGGACAGACGGATGGACGGAGGGCTTCACTATATCCCTACCGAACTTCGTTCGTTGGGATAATTACATACCCTAAATAGAACACCAAATAATGATAATGCTCAAAATAAAATACAATTTTCATTTCCCTATTTCAGGATGCCATACTTGGTGCACCAAAACCAGGTGGAAAGGTGCTTCTCAAGAAACAAGGATGTCGTTTTGCAGATAGTGAATTCCCAATAAAACATGAACATACTAAATATCATATAGTGGACACTTTACCGAATTACAGACAGCTGGAAAAGACACGATATTATATGACATTATTCATGGATAATGCTATGAAGGCAGTTGACACACATAATCCCCTCAAGGATAAACTCTCATGGAACTGATTTACTCTTCCATTATTACATACAATGTAATGCAATATGTGACTGGATCTGCATAATCCCAAACTTTATTTTTGGAAATAAGGACTAATATGGATCAATATTCTAGCTCTGCTGCAAAGGATTTGATCAAAATAAGATTTAACCATCAATTGGTGGTAGTTAGGAAACCAGTATTATAAAACTAGGCGCAGCAGGATATATACCAAAACATTTATCAATTAATTGCTTTTATTTTTATATAATAGTGATTTTGATGACTAGATGTTTACATTTTCATTAGACGGTAAAATTTTTCTAATAAAAAATCATAACTTGTTAATCTAGACTGTTATTGTAAAGTATACATTGTTTAAATGAATGATCTAATTAAAAAGATTTTATTTATTGATGTATAGATATCATTCCAAATTTTAACCATTCATGTTATACGAATAGTGACATCTATTTTAGTTTAGTTTCCTTTAAGTTTTTAGTCACCCTTCCCTTTTGGCATTTGTGCTTTTATATTAGTAGCTATTATTTAGTAACTCCTGCTGCTTTATTGAAAGCAACAGGGGTCACATTTAAGCTCAAGTTTCTTTCAAAGATCAAAACTAAAGAATTGATATTTCCACAAAAAACACCGTAAAATGATACAGTTTCATCCATTCAATTTGATACCCCATGCAGTTAGCTTATGAATCCTGTATAATGCTGTAAAGGAATATTCCAAATATGATACAGATTTTGTCATTCTAATTTATTCAAGTCAGTCAGAGATACCATATTTGATATCTTGTCACCTTTCAGAATACATGCAGTCAAATGGTGTGTGTTGTTTTCATGTTAGATTTCTTCTCAAATTCTATTTTTACATAGTAATGGGGCCCCAGTAATGTAACTTGGTACAATATAATTTTAAATTCTCAAGTGGGTGCAAGGTTATTATTGAATTTTCAACTGGGTGAAGATAATTTTTAATTCTCAAATGGGTGCAGTTATTGGAGGGATTACTGTTAATATGATCTAACATACATCCTATTAACCATGTTTTTGCACTTTAGGGTGAACTAATTACAACAACCCTATTTAAGTTATGACAAGGTGCTCATGTCAACTGTACTTAATATCTATAGAAATGGAACCCTTCAAATGGTTATAATTACACAAAAAATATTTACCAATCGTCTTAGCAAACTTGTTGTGTTGACTAAAGAAAGTGGTTCTTTATGTGGAAATGGAATTCAGTGGCAGTATTGTGACCAGGCTATTGTAGTCGAATTTATTCAGTTAACAGAGTTTTGTGAGTCAACACAAAAAGCTAACTGATATGACAGCATTTAGTCCTTAAGCATTGTGTTAATGGAGGTTGTTGTTAGGGCAAAGATATAAATATCATGATATCATGGTCAGACGTTGATACAAACAAATTGTTTGTTCCTGGGAAAAGCTATATTTGGATTAATACGGATGTTGGCACTACAAAACAATGAAAACTCATCCAATGACAAAACAATTGGATGTTTAAACCGGATATGAGATAAATGAAATTCAACTTTAAAATATAAATCAAATCGGCCAAAGTAAAAGCAAGACGAGCAAAAATCAGTTCTTGAAGAAAAATGAAAGTACGTTGAATGGAAAAATAGGCGCTAAAAGTGTTCATATAAGGTTATTAAAACCAACCTAAAAACCATACAATTCTTCAGCAATTAGTCGTTAAAAGATAAAAATCATATACAAGTATTTAACATGTATGAAGGATTCTGAGTGGATCTTATCAATTTTCACAATTCTAAATGATTGCAACAATTTGATTGACTTAATCTGATGATAAATCACAGACTGCATGTATTGACCTTTCAAACATTATAGATAAATGGATTATTTTATGACCATTAACAACAGACGATTTAGATTGCATAAGGGACATTACTGTTTATCGATAGTAATATATCAGAACTTGTGCGTGATGTTAATGAAGTATACGTGAAGCTGATAAATTAATTCAGGAAACAAGAGAACATAAAAATTGCATTATACCACCAGATGTGAAAGATTCTATGTGAGGCATGAATGGAATAAAAGAGGTAACCAAAACAGAAAATTGTAACATTTCTACAAAAATGTATTATTTATTACATTTAAATGGAGTCTTGATTTTAGCATGCAATTAAATGAGATCAAATAGAATTAAATGTTAAACATAACTACCAACATTTTTTAAAGGTCGCTAAAAGTTTATAACACGGAGATTGTGAAATAGGAGCAAATGGATAAATGCAATCATGATAATATCAAGGATTTAAAGGATTGAAATAGAAAAAATCCATTAACATTTCAACTGGAAAGATATAAATCAGAGAGTGGAACAAATACATTTATCAAAGTTCACAAGAATAAAGGTACAACCAGTACTTTTGCAGTAAAATACTCCATGAGGCCAAATGTTAAGTGTTGTTTAAAATAACTGAACATCAGACAACACAATCTAATGTAGAGAAGACGTGTGTTGAAATTGAAACTAAAACTGAAGATGAGTCAGACATATGAGCGAGTCATCCAACTGATAGAGACTCCTCCAGGAGAAAGATCCACGAAGGAGATCAATATTATATTGCCATGGCTACAAAAGAAGAGTCAGTTACTTCAAGATATGGAAAAGGGTAAATATATCATTATTCAATGTAGCATAGAAGTAAATGTATAGGAAAAGAAAATGGGACGCATGAATAAACATAAAAATTGTATTAATTATACTACAGTGAATCCTGCATATATACGAGGATTTATTACTACTGATGTCCTTTAGGGCCAAACGTACATCCTATATACAATATTCAATAACAGTAAATATAGCAATAAAGTAAAGAAAATGTTTTTTTGGTCCCAAATTTTGACTGGTGTCATATTTGGAATCTACATGTAAAATTTCATTTGAAAATGTGGTTTTGAAAAGAGTTTTTCATTTCTGAAAATTTAATTTTCTTTGAAGATGTGACTTCTAGGTCGGAGAGATTCCCAATAGACACCATGTTGTAATATCACAAAAAGTGAAATATCTTTTTTTTGTGTTGGGCAGATAATATTTTCCTTTACTGGACATATTTTAATATGTATAACTATCAGATACATAAGAGTAATATGAAAAGTGAACCACTAAATCTGATGAATATTCAAGTTTAAAGGAACTTTGTAATACCCTGCCATGTTATTTCCCCCGAATTATCCACCTGGTGGAGAAACTGTAAACTACATACTTGCAGCTGAGTAATTGACTAACATATTTTTTTTAAAAAACTTGAAATGTGAACATTTGCTAATCCAAACACTTTTGGAGAATAACATGCCCAACTTGGGGAAATAAAAAAATATAATGTGATCTGATTTCCATATTTTGAACAGAATTTCAATATGTTTTCATCATAATGAAAATAAAAAAAACTTGATTATTTCTTAAAAATGCATATACAGCGGCAATGCAAAGCAAAATACTTGAATACCATAACCTATTTTCATGTGATTTGGCACGGCATTATGGGAGATGTTAGAAACTAAAATGGTTAATCAGTCAGACAAACATTTTACTAACTTTTAAAGTAACCAAATAATGTATTAAAATTGTGAAAAAGAGCGATGGTAAATTTCTATGGGCTTAGAATTATATTTGGTAATGCATTCTTCGTACTAATGTATATTCTTTTCAGGTTTGAAATGTTATTATAAGACATTACCGATTCATTCTTTTCTTTGTCAAGCAATACGTCATGTTTCTTAAAATGAGTGGAAAACAACCCAGAGAGCTTTTAGGATCAAGCATTGTAACTTCGTGTCAATGTTTAGCTTTCGGATGAGGTCCTCAATAACATGAACTTTTGGAGATCCTGTGTATATTTGTACGACAACTTTGGATTTCAAGCAGACATATTCAAGTTGTATACCTTGCTTTAAAACTATTAAATGCACCCTGTCTAATGTAGAAATGACAATACTCCAGATGATGTTCTATTGAGTTCTACTGGTACTTATACTCATATTATTTTCTAACATAGAAATGACAATACTCCAGATGATGTTCTATTGAGTTCTACTGGTACTTATACTCATATTATTTTCAAAATAAAATGGAAACTGAATCATTCACATAATACATCACATTTTGATTTATCAGGGTCTTATTTATTGAACAATTATGATACTTTGTTGACTTTTCAAGAAAAACTGCATCATGGATTGATTTCTATGTTTTATTAGTGTTTGTGGTATATATTCTTTCTTTACTTCTCTCACTTATATCAATGTCAATTTTCTGTCCAATCCACTAACTGGGATATTTTCTTGAAGATTGAATCAATGACCATGATAACAATGATTTAGTAGCATTATATTGTTTGGTGCTATAGATTCTTGTATCTTGCGCTAGTGACTAAAATGGAAGTGACCTGGTCAGTTTTGAATTATATGAGAGTCTTTCAATATTGAGTGTTTTTTAACTTGTTGGGTCTGATTGTTGGTTTTTTATTGTTTAGTTTCAGGGGTTTTGTGTTTAATAAATTGTAGTCCTTCTACACTTCTCTTCATTACATTAATAGATAACATTTTTGAACCAATTAGCAATATCTGCGATGTTACAGTATTCACACAATATAACTTTAAATTACTTGACAGGGTTTTCTACACTTCCTGCTTTACCTGCTTTACATTTATTCTCATATTTCCCATTTTTTGTTTCATTTAAAATTCGTTTCTGCTATTATATAATATAACTTCTACGGTCTTCCATTCTTATTTGAGAAAAGAAAGGTGATGTTATAATCCATTAAATGTAATTGATGATCAATCCAACTGTTTTTATTATCCAGATATTCTAATTGATATTGTACGCAACTGTCAACACCTTAAAGCAGTATGCGATGATGTCATCATACGTCAGGGAGAGATTGGTGATTGGTAAGTGGTCATTAATCAAAAATATGATACTCTTATAATGTCTCTAAGAGTATAATGGATTGCAAGACATGTCAAACATTTTTATAACTTCAGGGGTTTTCATTACAGTGTGAACCATTCAACATTTGTGTTCGCTCATGAATTTGTTGTTTCGCCAAAATGCTTTTTGAATAACATATCACTGGCGTTAAACCTAATTTAGACATACTGCTCCGTACTGTAAAGATCATGGTACATGTACTGTTGTACATCTATGGGAGTTTGCTGAATTCTTTAGATCACTTATTTGGTATATTTTCCAAGCACGAATGATGTGAGTTTGCTTTTATTGGTGAAAATTGGTAAGACTCTTATATTTACAAAGGTTTGTTGAAAGAATTCAATCTCTTTGTTTAGCCTGCTCGCTATATCTGATTCTCTCTTTAAGACAGTTCAGTAGAAGAATATAAATAATATCAGGCCCGGAGCCAGGATTTGCCAAGGGGGTTCATTTTTCAAAAATTTCCAGGGGGGGTTCACATTTGACAATTTTGGCCCTAATATGGCTAAAATCACTTGAAAAGTGCTCAAAATTGTGAAAAACCGCATGATTTTGAAAGAATTTTTGGCCAGGGGGGGTTCGCCCGAACCCTGCGAACCCCCCCTGGCTACGGGCCTGAATATATTGTACATAACCAGTGACTTATAAACATGAATACAGCATAATGACAAATAATTAAAATTCAATACTAGTGTCAATTATTTGGCACCTTTAGAACCCATATGCAAAAAAAATATTTAAATTATTTAAATATCACTTAAAAGTTATTTTTGACATTTTTTAATAAAAGTTGACTTTGGAAAAGACCTTTGTATTTTCAAATATTTGAATTTCCCGCTGTTTTAGGAACAAATAATTTTAGATTATAAGGTCACCTTATCCTGCATTACACATAATATAAAACACATCATTGCCCTTTACCAAAAATACCCTTTATTTTATTGTTTTATGACTTTCATTTCAGTTTCTTCATCATTCTGAATGGTTCAGTGGCTGTATATGTTGATGCATCTAAGTCTGGGGAGGATGAGAAATCAACAGAAGAGCCAGATGACAAATTATTAAGGAATAAGCGGAAAGAAAGAGCAAAAGAAAATAAGCCCCTTGAAAGAAATAAACTTGGAAAGTTTGTTATCAAGTTTGGTAAGCAGCAGTCATAATGCCTGGAATTCAATCTTGATTTACTTAAATTATATCACACAACAAATCATCAGTGAAATCCCAAGTGTTACTAAACTGGATGTTGCACTGGCGGATTAGGGGCCCGGGCCCCCCCCCTTGGGTGGGCCCAGAAAAAAAAATTGGGCCCAAAAATTTTTTGGGCCAAACAAGGCCTTCAGGCCCCAAAAAATGGGCCTTTTTGGTCATTACTGGGCCTTTTAAGGCCTTATTTTTTAATTTCAGGCCAAATTTTTAAGAAAATGGGCCTCAACATTTCAAAATTTGGGCCCACTTTTGGATTTTAGGGGCCCAAAATTTTTTTCCGTGCAAGCACGGACGTTTCTTTTTCTTACCAGAAATCTGGGCCCCCCCCCTTGTTGGTTCCTGGATCCGCCCCTGTGTTGCAACCTGATAAGTTGAAAATGATGGCTATTTGCAAACTATACCCTTTTGAGATAAATCCTTGGAAGATCATGATATCTAAGCATATACAAGTTCATATAATTTATGTAATTGTTGTCAAAGAAAGATGTGCACAAAATGTTACCACAAAAAAATGTATATTAATGCAAGTAATACATATTGCATGAAAATATATATTGCATGTGTAGTATAACTACATTGCATATACATATCTCTCCAGATGTTGGTCGCAGTTTTGGCGAGATTGCCTTGATCAGCGAAGATGCAAAACGTAATGCAACAATAGTAGCAGATGAGGAGACTGACTTCCTGGTAATCAACAGAGACCTCTATAACAGTACACTAAAGGTAAACTTGCAAAGAGTTCTAAGTTAAGAGTTTTGTCAGCAAGCTCAAAAATTACCTTTGTGATTGGTGGTTTATTCAAAGAAGTGAGGAATTAATTTAACTTTGAATGCTTTGAAGCCATGGTTCATCCTCAGTTGAGCAATAATAAGCAAACGCAATAAAGACATTGAATCCTATGGCATGTTTAACTCCATCAAATAACTGATTTACAGAAGGATGTCTTCTTTGAAAATTGAACATTGTGAACTGAACATGTTATTTTATAACATTAAAAAAAAATTCATTCATATTTCTCTATTTTATTTCTCTATTTATTTTGAATGTTTTTAATTGTTTCATTGACTGATTTATATATTACATGTTTTCTGTTTAATTGTTGCCTTTTCTATTTTATACCTTTCGTTTCTTGTATCTCCATGCATCTTTTAATTCTTAACTTGTATATTTTAAAAAGGCATCTCAAGAGCAAGAATATGCTGAGCGTGAATCATTTGTGCAGACACATCCATTCTTTGCCAAATGGTCAAACAAATTCAAGAAGCTTCTAGAGATGAGTATCGTGAAAGAAAATTACTCATATGATACACCTATAGTCAAGCAAGGAGACCCATTCAATGGACTCTATTTCCTACGCAAGTATGTACGATGTACCTTCGTATAAGTGGAGATACCCCTTCAGTACATCTTTACATATTCATTTTTATGTACTAGATCTATCATCATATTGCTTGATTGGTAATTTCCATTTGGACAACACTGAAAACTTGCTTTAATCTTTGCTATGAATGTTTGACATGGGTTGTTTTATGTTTCTTTCAATTGCATCTAGGTCCCATGGATTGCTTTTTTTGACTTGGAATAATTAAGTATACATTCATTTAAAATTATGCTTTATCAGTTTAATGAACAAATTGTAATATATAATAGTGATGGCTTATTACATCTATAACATATGAATATACTTTTCAAAAACAATAATGATATGATATCATGGTCATTAAACAATTTTTGTTGTTTCCAGGGGCCGAGCTCAAATTATTCTAGAGCCTTCCAGACATGCTCAACAATACCCCTCCAGTTATCCTTTCATAGCATCGCATGACCTCTTTGAACTGGAGTCAATAAACTCTGTAAAGAAAGCCTACGCAACAAAAGATCACCCAGATGTCACCAAAACACCAGTAAAACAGGACCAGGTACTAGTGAGACGTAGAGATGGTTACGCTGCAGCAGAAAATCGCATCCATCATAAAACGATCGGACTATGTTTTGTGGAAGAAGGAGAAACTCTTGGCGATTTAGAGCTTATCATGAACCTAGGATCATATTATAGCACAATAATTTGTACTGCTCAAACTGAGGTCTACCTGCTGAATATTAAAAACTTTGATAGGTTAGTCTCAAAAAGGAATCCATTGACATTGGACATTGTTAAGGAGCATGTGATAACAAAACTCAAGGGCAGAGTGGATTCAGTTCAAGGAGCTGAAGTTCCACTACTGAAGCACTCCTTGTTTAAACTCACTGATAATCGTAAACCAGTTGCAAAAAAGGCAGTTTCTCTAAGAACACGAAAGGATCTCCCGGATCACGACCTTCTTACCCAACACCTTCTTGAAGTGTTTATTCAGAATAAAGCTGAGCTTATTGAGCCATATGTCCCTGGTGCTGTCTATTTGAGAGAGAAAATGAGAGAAATGGCAAGAATTAGAGAAAATGTGCGACAAAGACGTTTAGCTCAAGGCCGATTAAAAGAAATTCCTAAAAGGAAAACTGAACGTAAACCTAGATCTATTCCAGCATTAAGGGAAGCATTGAGAAGGCAAGAAATGAATGATGAGGAAAAGGAAAAAGAAATGCTGAAAGAAATCCTGGAAAAACTCAAAGTGTTACAAGATGTAAATGATACTTTGGAATTTAATGATGAGCCTGAAAAAAGTATGGACCTCAAAATAAAAGCTGATAATAAATCAACACCATCATATGAAATACAGAATTCAGACACGCAGAAAAAACAAACTGAACTCCCACAACCACTCCAATTGAACAATCTGGTAGAAAGATCATCAAAACCGTCATTTTCAACACCAATAGAAAAAGCAAATACCATTGAATCTGGTGCTAATAAAAGAATTCTGCCACCAATAAGTGAAGAGAGCAATGCCAATGAAAACATTAATATAGATGACATTGACTCTCATTCTCTGCCTTTGTTAGGCAAGCGAGAAAAATCATTTGTGACAGAGACTGACCACAGGGATCATTTTCTCCCACCAGCCAAAACATCAACACATGAACAAACAAAAAACAATGAATATGATGTTATCAAAGACAAGCAAAGAAAAAGTGAAAGTCCACAAAAGGAAAAAGTGAAAATGAAATTCATCAATGCTTATGTCAAGGACAAAATTGCTAGAATTGATGACAAGGTTGATTTCAATGACTATGAGACTAATGACACGACTTTGTCTTATCTGGAAGAGAGATTGAAGAAGTTCCACTTGAAGACAAGGAAACCGAAGTCAGCCAAGCGAATACGTTCATCAATCAAATTACCAAAGCTACGAAGATATGTGGTACCTGTAAGTATTAAATAATTTGTCCTCCAAAAGTGTTTATACAGAAAATAAATGGTTAATCCTGAGATAATGTCATGCTTTTATTATGCAATTGGCATGACATTGAATGATTGGAGCGAATGAATGATATTATTAAGAAACATCCTATCAATTTGTTTCAATCCCATCAATAATATCAATTCTACTGACATTTAATTTGCTCTTCTAAAACTACCATTTGTGCTTTTTGTATTGTGTCAGGAATTTTAAAATTAAATTTCAAAATTCTTATTGAACTAATCTCATATTTTCTTTTAAAATGTAAAATCAATGCAACAAAATCAAACCCAGAATTTTATTCATTACTGAGACATGCAATACATTGATATGTCTCTCTATTCAGGACTCTATGGGTGTACAGCAGCCTAAGCCTGGTGGCAGAGTGCTCATGAAGCTGAAGGAATGTAAATTGAACACAACCAGCCATCGAAATCATGAGCACTTCAAGTACCACATGGTCCCAGAACTACCTGACACAGTCAAAAAGGAGAACTCACGTCTCGTCATGGAAATGTTCATGAAGACATCACTCGGCAAGAAAGCTGCGACTAAACGTCTTTCTCAAGTGTCTTATGAAGAAACTTGATTTCATTTAATTGGGATTTATGAGACAAATTCAAATTGCAATAAAATATTGTGCAACAGAATTATAATGGGAAGAAATCTAAACAACTTAATATGGTGGAAAAGCAATACATGTAAAATAAAAAACAACTCTTACATCATTACAGAAATAGTGACTTGGTTGAAGAAGATCTGTAGACTTCATGCAATACTAATATGACATTACATTATGCTAAAATGCAATATATGTACCCACATATATTTAAAGTTTTAACAAATGATTTTATATGAGAACAAATATGATACAATGTCATATCATAGTAAATCATATACACTGTATGTAAATAAATGAGAAAATGGTGCCTCAAGGTTCAGTTTTCAGCTGGACATATTCTCTGAATAATGTGCTTTTTTGGCTTTGCTTAAATGAATAAAATGTACAATATGAAATAAATTAAATCAAAATTGTTAGATAAAACCAACTTACATATTACTATATACAATTACAACTTAGCAGAGCTTCACATTTCTAATAAATTGTAGAGAATATTCTATGACAATAAAAATATTTTTTATAACATGAAATGAGGCAAAAGTTATTGAATGTTCTTACCAGAAATTAAGCTTGGCTCCAAACGGTTGGGAACATATCTGATACTACGGGGTCCCCTGGTGAAAGGCCCCCTATTATAGGTAATGGCAAGTCCCAGGGTCTTTCAGCTATACACGCATCATCACCTATAAAAAGGGAAATGATGTCATACTTTATTATGAGCTTTATTTGACCATATTTCATCATATCATGAAAGATTTTCCACCAGATGTATTTTCTCTAAGACTCAAGACTCAAGATATGCCTCACCCAAAATATATTTCTGCTCCTCATCAAAGAGAAGCAGATGTTTGGATGATAACCTTAATATTCTTTTATTTCAAATGTAATTTGGATATAACATTGAAACTACAATTATGACAATTTTAATGTAAGACTTACCCAGCCAACGAGTTGACAGGACTCTTCTACTTCTCTCCATATTGATGTTGCCAGGGGCAGTATGTAAGGCCTTCATGTGGAAGACAACACAGTCACCGGGCTACAACATGAGCAGAAATTCTAAAACGCTTTGAAACAGTTTTCAGATAATGTTTTTTGAGTTTCAAATTATTCAAATACTAGCGGGTTGCATTTTGAGTCACAGTGTAAAAGTACTAATAATTACCTCAACTGCCCAACTAAGAATTTCATGTTTGTTGATCTCACTGTCAATATCAGGGACCTTTTCAAAAACCTGGCCAGAAATCTCCTTATTAGCTGTATAACTCTCAAAGCTTTCAAACTTTCTTGGATAGAACCACTTCCCCCATTTGTGAGAACCCTTCACAAACTGTATGCTTGTCTCAAGAGGCACAGGGTCCAAAGGCATCCATATAGAGGCAACCTAGAAACAGGACAGTTCAATCAATTTTACTATTTTGTCAAAATTTTTGAAAAAAGATTTCAAGGCCTTATGATGTGTTGAAAACGTGATCACCCGATTGAACATGTTGGCTTTTTTCATTTTCAAGTTCATTGCCAAGAGTGACAAGTGATTGCCATTGGCAGTCAGGCAGCTGTGAGTTTAGTACCCTGATTTTGTCCAATACTGTATATGGTATTGCTTTTGGATTACAAATTCTTTGTTACATTTTAGGCATTTCCATCATTTAAAATGGGTTTCTTTTATAATACATGTACTTACAAGATCACCATTTATTGGGTAATATGATTGATCATGATGCCAAGGGGTCTCTTTCAGTGTTCCTGGCTCCTTGATCAACACATGTTCATGATAAAAGGTCACTCGCTAAAATAAATAAAATATAAATTAACTTTCAGTACATACATCATTTTCAAAATACATGTATAACATAAGAGCAAGAAACTTAATTTTCTTGGTGTTATATCCCCATTTACCATTCACTGTCTGAAAATTGACCATTTTTGGTTACCCTGTATATGTGCATTTCTCTGCCAACTTCATTTTTTAATTTGTAGAGGAGAGACAATGTGAGCACACAATATAAGCATAGATTTTTATATACTGAAAGAGGAGAGCTAAAAGACAATTACAACATCCTTGAACTAATTAAACTATCTTGGTAATGTTTCACTTCCACTTCCACTACCCTGTAAAACTTACATCAAATATACCTTCAGACATTTGAAGGCTGAAAAAATATATTATGCCAAATGTAGGTGGAAGTGTCTTGAAATTATACCCTGAAATTGTCATTTGTAACACTGAGCATAAAATGAAATAAATATATAACTTACTTTAGTACCAACCAACTGCCCTACAAGTTTTCCTGCTGGCGAATTCCTCACAAAATCCTCAAACTCTGGAATACGCTGCCAATTTCCAAAGTCATTGAAATAACTACCTGGTCCAGTCTTACCCTTAATAGCCTCAGCGTGGTCACTCGGGTTTGCTAACAGTCTCTCAATACCCTCAGTGGCAACATCTATCCAGTGCTTGTTAAAAACTCCTCTTAGACATATGGCCCCATCAGCCCGGTAGGTCTCTTTTTGGTCATCTGTTATATTCATCTCAATTTCTTTGAGTGTCACTTTCTCTCAGGTTTACTCAAGTTTAAATTTTTGAAAATTATCAATGGCTTGCTTTGGTTTGTTGTGTAACTTTTGTGGGGATGTTTGACTCAAATCAATCATTAATAATCATTATCCTCAAGTTTTAAATTCAGATGCAAATTGTTACAATTATGAGTTCATAATGTTGAATGTAAAGTTGAGTAATGGTCAGGGCTTAGTTTATTGAGGTGTTATAATATATCTGATAAAGCTGATAATTTGATGTCATATAGTTAACCATTAATTGACCTTTCAGTTTCAAGTCAGGGAGATTTTAAATCCTTGCTGATAATTTAAATTTTGGGGTTTTACTGAGCTTTAGACATGTTGGACTATTTTGAGAATACATTGAAACTGACTCAAAACTTAACACTTAGTTAAAGCAGGATCAATTTATTATTGCTAATTTCACTTCACTCTTCACTCAAATTGTAATATAATACAAGTACTATTAAAAGAGGATTAAATATCCCAGATTTCAAAGCTGAACCTGCCATCATGTAAAAATGAACATCTGAGGGTTCATTTACAGATATAGGTCCATCTATGAATTATGTAGTATTCCCCCTCTTTACTAACAACTCCAGGTATTGAACTCCAGGTTTTGAGTGATCTCTCAAGCATTATGCAACTTGGTGCTGCAATCTGTTGAAAATACAAAACTTATATGCTGATGAAAGTCTGGTAGCACTATTTTGAAATGCATATTTTCACCAAAATTGGTAAAATTAGGAGTTTAGCACTCTGTTGAAAAGAATCCTTGGGAGATCACAGTACATAATCGAGATAATACTGTAATGTATAAACTGATATATTTACAGGAACACTAAAAATCACTTATTCGCTATTTTCAAGACATGATTTTAATATTGTTTTTCTGTTGTATATATGACACTATTTGCAGGATATAATTTATGATCTTGCCTTTAGATGGCGCTTCAACAAAAAATTAGAATCTGGATTTTGTCTCTCACTTTTCATTCGCATCTTTCTTCACACCTTAACTTTCTCATATAATTTCCATTTCACTAAAATTGAGCCTTTCTATACAATCTGACATTGAGTCATGTAAATAAATATTTCCTATATATTTTCCTATAAAAACTGTTTATTTATTTAGCCATTAAGGGCCTTTTTAGTCTCTGTTAGTGCCTTTTTAGTTAGTTCTCCTGTCTTGTCGGGTGCATTTGCGAGGCCTCCAAATACGAACTGTACACCTGAATAGCAATATGTTACTTTTAAACTAATATCAAACATGACACTTATCACTAAAAAATTAAGACTATGGCAATATGTATTGGTGGTGATATGAAATTATTCATTGAAATTTTTAAGCAAAATGGGTCTCAGAATCCATAAAGACCAAACTTAAACTGTCAAAATTTGAAAAAAGCGATTGAATAATTGTTTTATCAATTTCTTACCATTGTTCCATTTTTCTGTGGTATACGCTCCAACTGATCTGGCACTAGGGACCTGCAATTATATAGGAACATACCAATATTTAGATTTGTTCACAATGTGTTCACAGGACCGAGAAACGCTTTCACTCATCATTGCTCAACTCTATCAAAATAGCCTATGATCAGTAAACCAAACAAATCTTAATAACTAAGTTAATCCAGTGTGGGTTTAAAGACATATTTGGGACAATGGAACCAATTGTTTAATGACCTTTTATTCTACCAAGTTTCATTGGTCTATTCCATAAAGTTATGATTTGATGGCCATTTTACAAAACATGCTCAAAATACTGGTCTCATCATTGGAGGCATTTGAATGCATCGGGTGAAAAATGACTATTGAAATGACTACACTACTGTGTTGTTCACTTACTTTGTTGTAATATTCTGTTGTGGTGGGGAGAACTTTAGTTTTAACGTGATGTAGGGCCTTAGTTCCATCTGTGCTTGAGCTCCAAACACCATAGTCAAGTGTGAAAAACACTGCCGCCCCTCCAATCCCTACCTTGGTCGCTGTCCTGCAAACCAAAATCATACAAATCAAATTTTAAACAAGACATGGTGATATACAGAGTGACATACGTTTTCAAGTAATTTACCCAGCATGGCCAGAACCTAACCGATCTTGGGACTATCTGTAAAAAAATTACGTAAGCACTTTCCAGGTATTTTGATGACAAGACTCAAGTGGCCGTCCAATCCTCCCAAAGGCACATGCACACCCATCAGCACAAGACAACAATATCGAAAAAGTATGATAAAAACTGATGCATTGCCCTTTGTGAAGTGATAGTAAGTGCCATTATTATCTGAACTGACTACTTGACATCTAGCTTCTGAGATGTCTATGTCTATGTCAATAATCTGCAAAAGACTAATAAGGCCATATAAAGCAGATATATACTGTAGAGATTGAAGTATGAATTATTTTTCTCTGTATCATTTAGGGTGTAATCCAAAACTGGATAATCATGATAAAGATGAGTATTATTTTTTTGAAAATATCAATATTTTTTCTGAAATTAGGCTATTCTCATACCTGCTAACCTAAGACCAAAATTTTGCGGTAGATTTTTTGAAAATTGCTATATTTTTGTGGTAATTTTTTCAAAATGCGGTAGTTTTTGCGGTATTTTTCAACAAAAATTGCGGTAGATTTAAAAAAACTGAAGTTTTTGCGTTAGATTTTTTAAAAAGCTGTAGTTTTTGTGGTAGATTTTAAAAAAATGGTAGTTTTTGCGGTAGATTTTAAAAAAATACTGTAGTGTTTGAGGTAGATTTTTGAAAAAAGTGTAATATTGCGGTAGAAATTTGAAAAAAGCGGTAGTTTTGCCAGAGATCACGGTAGACTTTCGTCATTCGCCAATCGCGAATTTTTGAAAGAGGTGGCGAAAAATAAAGTGGGGTGCAAAAATAAATCTCAACCCTCAAAAGTTGTCACAATGAGCTAAATTATAAGTTTCGTGTCTCAAACTCTCCCAAGCGGTAGAAAAATAATTCCCACTGACTTTAAGTAGCACAATTAATGAATCCAAAGCTTCATACCTGCAAATGATAGATAAATCCCTACCAAATCGAACAAATGTTTTCATGAATCGCCATTTTTGTGATCCAAGGAGGATTGACTCCCAGAATGCAACATCGGGTAACCTTATTAACTCGTGACAGATTTCAAAATGGCGGAACGGCATTTTGAAAGCTGACACGTGTCATGTTGCATTCTGGGAGCCAATCCACATTGCTGCATAATCTGGCTCCAAAATCACCTCAACATCTGAAGAGTCGGCATTAACATGTGAATTCCACTTCAAATTTTTAAGTTCTTATTTGTCATTAATGGACACGAATTCCACTATATCTGGACTTACTAGGATGGAGAAAATAGAGCACTGAATACACTGAGGTAAGAATTTATTACATGTGCGACACCATGTAATTTCCATAGCTTTTGTAATTCTTTATGGTGAGCACTGTATGTAAAGGTATTTCGCAGTTATAGCGAATTCCCTTTTATTACGGTTTACTCACCACACAACTTCAATTTGAACGACTTTTCAGAAGAAAACGCGTTAAATTTTTCTTCATTTGTCATGTTTGACTGATTTTATTAGGTACAGTGCTGATATATAATAATAAAGGGTGCGTTTTCAAACTAAACAGAGTGCTTCTACCAAAATGAATTTGCCTACATACCCCTGAAACTCTTATCTGATAGATAGAATGCACAAATAAAACAAAAGTTTTGCTATTATAGGTAAAAAGTTCTCTTGAAATTTCGAAGTGATTTTACCTGTTAATTCTGTCCATGGTCCGCCATTTTTGCGGAAGTTACACTGAAATGCAAACTCCATGAAACGAAACGAAATCACTAGAAAAAAACATGGCACACATTGTGCATGTGCAGCAAAGTTTAAACCAATCAGATTATTTTGCACACATGAATTATTTGCTTCTGAGCACTTACAAGCTTACCACAATAAACAAACCTGGCAGAGACTACCCTTGGCCTACTTCATTTTGGCGAAATTTCAGCTCAAACTCGTGACAAATGCATTATGCATACACTGGTGTGAAGCCTTGGAGACACTCATTTTGGTAAATATGATTTATGGGGTATATTTTTCTGCAGTTTGTGGGAGTTCGGGACATTACTGTAAATGTTAAAATTCAAGAAAATATGCCAATTAAGGTCAGGGTGCATGATGGGACATTTTCTGCATCCCTCAATTGAGTCACATGTTATTTTTCAAACAAGAATCGCTCCTTCCACACATTGTCTATACCTTCTAGCTTTACACAAAGGGTGCACTTATGTGCCTAGAAAAGACTTGTGAGAAGAATGTTTTGATAAAGTGTATAAAAAACAAGAAAATTCAGTGAAAAAATTCAGAAAATTTTCAGAATTTTTTTTCACTGAATTCTCTCGTTTTTTATACATTTTACAAAACAAATCTTCTCACAAGTCTTTTCTAGGCACATAATTGCAGTCTTTGTGCAAATATGGAAGATGAAGACAATGTGGAAAAGGAGTGATTCTTGTTTGAAAAATAACATGTGACTCAATTGAGGAATGCAGAAAATTTCCCATCATGCACCCTGACCTTAAACGACTAATCAATTAATATATACCAGCACTGTAACCTAGGTTGCCGGAAGACATAGAATATACTCACTGGTACAGTTGGGGACAAAAATAAATGACAGGTCGATTTTCGATCACCATTTCCTAATTATGGTGGTCTGAAAGCCCATAATTTCCAATATTGTCTAGATACGTATCCCTTAAAATTTGTATATTTTACATTTTGTATAATCTCATCCACTGATGTATGGCCTCTTGTAAATTCTCTTATTTTTAACATGGGAAATCCTCACTTCAGCAAATCCACCTGTCATTTATTTATGTCCCCAACTATAAGTAGATATGTGGTAATAGCATATGATTTTCTTATTTTAGGAAGTCAAACTTATAAATGGAATATTGACTCCGACCTTAGGCCTTGTCATGACCTCTTGCATCCTTGTTGCAGTGCTAGGCCTATGGATCTTGTAAAATTACAGAGGTAAAAATCGAATAATGATTACACATTGCTATATATATTATAGAAAGTCACATGATATAAACATTGACAGGTGTGACTAGATGTATAAAATAAATTATAAGGCTAGAAATACGAAAGAAATTATAAAAAATTACTTCAAAATTGCAGCAGCCATGTTGTACGAAGTTGGCGAAATATTTGTGAAATATATGCCTAAAGGTTGATATCCTAATATTCACACATTCTAGTCCTCCTTTAAGTACATATCATTTTAAGTAAACAAATGATATTTGTTCTTATTGTTTTACTTATTCAAAATTCTATTCATGGTATATTCTAAATATTTAAATAATATTTAGAAATACGTTACGAGCTATTTAATAAAAGCGCAGCTTAGTAGGTATGAATTTTCACAACCGGAAGTACATTTAGTGTGGAAAAATTATTTTTATTTTTATCGAAATCTCACGATTTTGTCATCATGTTGATATAAGTCAAGCATTCACGTCCTGTGATAGTTCAACGATCAAACGTGATTTTCATAGATAGCTACATATAGATAAAGGTAACCCTTTTGTTGATTCTGCAATAGTTTCCAATTTGTAAACAGCATTTAGCCTTTTTAATGGGGAAATTTCCTAAATGGCTGCCATGTGATTCTAGCACAGACACGGGAACAAGAGTTCATCCCCCTCCCACTCACTATGTATTAGGTAGAAAAAAGACAGGCTCCTATCTCGGAAAATATATGCCTCCACTCTTAATTGCTCATATCTCCGTCACTGAGTTGTGTCATGCATTATCTTTTGTCTCAATGTAAGGTAAAGACATTAATCGTATTTATGGTAACTCACCAATTCTTAAGGCGACGCTATATTAAATAAAAAGTACAAAAAATGACTGCCATATTTTTTTGATAAAGACACATGTTTTTAAAATCTGTTTACCTTGTATATGAATTGCGTATCTTGACTAATGAAACATGTCAAAGTTAACATCACACATAAACGCATTTTTCCAAACTATGAATTGGAGGTGCATGGATCCCCAAAGCTAGCATGAAGAGTGCGAAGTGAGGCTAATTTTTGAAAGTTTCAAGGAGTAGCCTTGCAACAGTCACACATTTGCAAGAGTCTAAAATTTCCACAAATCATCTTACCTTACCAAGGAACAACGAAGGTGCACGAAAATGTGTACTTCTTGCATTGTTAGAGTATAATAAAGCTCAAACCATTGTGAATTCTAAATATTTCATGTCCACCATTTTGTTTCCTGGAACTATTTTTTAGTCCAGAGTTATCTTCATTCATGTTTCCATTGTTTATCATTCATAAAGCCTCTATCATGTATCTATCATGATAATTACACTGTAATAGATAAAACATACAAGTGATAATCCATGCCACTTGGTGTAGTCACAAAACTTGCATGAGGATTAATCAGGAAGTCTAGAAGTAGTTCCGGCAAATAAAATGTGCGGATAACATTGGAAATGGGACGAAAAAACGATCACTTTTGGAATCACGACATTTCTACGGTCATTACTGCGACCTCTATAATATCCACGACGAGTGTCTCATTATTTAAGAATTGTATTTTTATAATCACGCTTAAAAATCTCAATTCTAGTATTAAGATATATTTGTGGTGATGCTATGAACTTATTGTAGTAGTCTCGGTATATTTCAAATAGTATACCGTATACTGTTAGCTTCTTTTGATTTTTAATTAAAAAAAATTGTCGTGATATTCCCGCCAAGATTCACATCCAATAAATGATCATTCGAATAATCTGGCCGTTAAAAAATCAAAACTGTAGATTTTTAATTCAAAAAATTGAAAAAACAATAAATATGTGTGAGAATGTTAAATTAAATGTGAAATATAATTAATTAATATTAATTAATAACTGCTGTGATTTGATTGGTCGACTGCAGAGACATCTTTCAAGTAAACAAGATGGCGAGTGGACGTCAATTTGTCGTGACCGTGGGTTGCTCAGTAAAAGTCAGCTGGACACAAACCCTAGAGATTGACAGCTGTTAAAAACCAGATTGTTTCGTCGATAAGATATTTACCTATATACATAATCTGAGAATTTTAGAGAAGATCATTGGACACATGGTGAGATTCAGCTGTTAGAGAAGAGAATTGGATGTTTACGAAGTGAGCCTGTATTTTTTTACATTAGCTATATAGTGACAGGGGGGGGGGATTTAAATCTTCCTGGGCCTGTGGATTCTAGAATTCACATGAGTGTGACGGAACATCACAACTGCTCGTTTCTAGGTAACAACAAGATCACAATTGCTCGTTTCTAGGTAGAAGCAAGATTTTTGATAAATAAAAGGTAAAAATTCAAAAGATTCTGTTCAGTGACCTTTCCTATGCTCCTACTTTTAGCTATTTTTCAGTGACCTTTTTCAGAGGGCTGAAAAAGTTATTTCATCATGTTTAGGGTCATTCAGATCATGTACATTGTAATCCTGGTCATGTAAATGATATGTGGAACTAATTAAACTGACTGGAGGTCAAAACAGAACTCTGATATTTTGGTTCAAAAAATGTTTGAAATCAAGCATGGTTTTGTCACTTCCTGTTTTTTTTGTCATTTCCTGTTAAGTATCATGAGACCTGCATTAGATTCTCCATAACTTTAATGAAGTAGATTCTACCTAACATATTACTATACCTTTAAAGTAAATAAACATTGTGTTGCAGATCAACAACATCATTAAAATGATGACAGATAAGAATGGAATTCCAATAGAGAAACTTCATATTGACATTCAGAAGGCACCAGCTCCTAGGGAACTAACACATGAAGAGCTTGAAAAATTGGCAAAAGACAAAAATCCCTTATCAGATTTCAAAAGGAATAAATATGAATTAGAGGCACAGAAAAATTGGGATAAATTCTATAAACGTAATACAACTAAGTTCTTTAAAGACCGTCATTGGACGACAAGGGAATTTGAAGACTTGTGTGGAAATGCAGAAACAAGTGGAGTAAGTCCAGTAAAACTTCCAAGGTGAACATGTTTCAGAACTCTTGTTCACATTTTTGAATTGAGCAATTACATTTAAAGCATATTCTCATTGTAAACTAAAAAAATCATGTAGATCTTTGGTTGGGTGCATATGTTTTTCTGTAATAGCCTGGGTTCTTGGGGTGTCAGCGGAAGATTTGTCCACTGTGGGGGAGCATGCTATTTTTCATAAAAATTAAAAAGACCCAATTCATCTCGATCTCATCAAAACCTTCAGGGTTATACTAAAAACAGATGTTAATATTATTATGTCACTATATCTTGCCATTAAAAAGTATGAGTATGATACTCTGTGCCATTTAAATAGTTTTTACTCCTCACGTTATTGGACAGAAGTGAAGGTAACCTGCAAACGATATACCCATGCAGGGGGTAATTTTCTTTGATATAATGAAATATATTATGAGTTCAAAATTATTTTTTCTTGAGTGTTTTTATGAAAAATAGCATGCTCCCCGCAGTGGACAAATCCTTCTATGACACCTCGTTGGATTATATAATAATTTTTACTGAATTATATGATTTCATTTTTTTAACCAGGTAGACATGTTTTGTAAAATGTTGCATTTGTGAATGTTTTTGCTCTTAGAGATACACAAATCTATGCATAAAAGATTTTCATTTCAGGATGCTGAGGTGACCACACTTCTAGAAGTTGGCTGTGGTGTTGGAAACTTTATTTGGCCATTGCTGTCAGAGAAAAAGAACTTTTACTTCTATGCCTGTGATTTTTCTCCAAGAGCAGTCCAGTTCGTCAAGGTGAGCATTCTGTGTTTACATTTGTTTCAAAGAGCAATCATAATTAACAATTATGTTTTTCAAAAGTAATTCAAATCTTTATCCAGACCACTTTATAGATATGAGGTTAATGTACCACATGACATATTGAATTAATATATACTATATACGTATATTATTTATATACCATTTTATGCATTAATCAACCCCTTTTTAGCATATAATTTTGGATATTTGAGGGCCTATATTAAACCAAAATGATATAAATATATCATGAAAAATAATGGTTTATTATGGCTCTATCTACATTCATAATCCACATAGCATGGTTCATTGGAGCCATAATTGCAGATCTAAAAAATCTCATTTAGAGAGAGAAATATGGCTATTTTATAGATCTTAACAATATTCTTACAATATATTTAATAGTAAGTTAGTTATATAATAGTATATAATTGTTTCTTATAAGACGGTTGCCACTCTGAGTGGTTCCCACCCTATCATTCTGTCATATTTAACACACTCCACTTAAAGTTCATGCTCCACCTTGAGGACAGTGTCAACCATCTCACTAGGCCAATACTTTGGAGATTAAACGTTTGAACCCTCCCAGGGAAGTTGCCAATCTACATTTATTGGATACGCTGTTCCAAATGAAAGCAGCATCCCCTCTGAGAGAGTGTCTTCCATAGTGAGAACTACGGTATGGAGGGACATTGATTGTGTTGGTTGATCTTAAGGAGTATCTATGAGTATTAGTTTGAAATAAATCTGACAAGTAAGATGGGCACGTGCCTTTAATGATTTTATAGGTTTCAATTGCGATTTGTCGCATTCTACTGAGTGTCAGAGTGGGTACCTCAGATTTTACAAGTAGTTCTTCATAACTAGACAGTAATCATTATGAACAAATCTGAGACATCGTTTCTGTAACAATTCCATTTTGACTGAATTAAGTTTACCACAGTGATGCCATATGGTTAGGCAATAATTGAAGCAGGACATAAATGCCTTGAAGATTATTATAATACATGCATTGTTGATCATCATATTTTTAATTGGTATTTAGTTCCTGGTATTTCACTTTGGCTTCATTGTGCTTCATGGTTTAGTTGATTGTATCATATCACATACATAACTGTTTGTGCCTGATTGTGTTCTTTCAACTTGGTATCTGGTTGAGTCCACTTGGTCATAATTAGTAGTTAGGTTCCTGTTTTGTGTTTTATATGGGCTTGCATTTTGTTGATTTTGGGAATTGCGTTAATAAGTTTTACTGTATTCACCATTTCACTAGTCTTGCTCAAAGACTGTATCCACCCCCCCCCCCCGTCACCTTCACTCTCTTTACCTGGCAATATACAACAAAGAATCTGATTGGCTGATCAAAAGGTGTAAAGAGCTAACCATCTAGCATGAATAATTCATTTCAGTGTCAACTTACTGGTGGTTACAAGACCCTAGAGAGAAGGATAAAGGGGGGAGGGGGAGTACAGGGTCTTTTAAGCAAGACTATGATAATGAATGAACTCAGTGACATTCACTTGATTACTAAATATTTTTAAAATGCTACAATTGTCAGGGGAAAAGTGCTATGGGGTTTGTGAAACATCTAACATACATTTTTGAGAAATTTGACTTTTATTTAAGTGACGTCAAATAATTTAATATGGCCCAACCCTACACAGCCAATCTGCTATAGTACCACTCAAACAGTACCATGCAGTACTGAGATTTCAGAGTGCAGATTTGAGTATGTTAGAGAAAATGACCTGATGCGAAATAAACCCATGTGTTACAATGTTATTTACAATGTTCCTTTATAATTTACTTACTATAATTGTTTACAGGAGAATGCTCTCTATAGAGAAGACTGCTGCAAGGCATTCCAATGTGACTTAGTAAAGGACAATCTCAATGACAACGTACCTGCAGACTCTGTTGATATTGTAACAATGATATTTGTTCTCTCTGCAATCCATCCTGACAAGATGCCACAAGCTTTGACCAATATCTTAAAGGTACTACTATACTTCCGTTAAACAATATAACTTTAAACTGCAAGTTTGATGCATTTTGTATTATTCTTTGCAGTCCATGTGAATGGAAAAAATAAATGACAGTAATTGTTTTCAAAAGGATTAGTGATCATACTTCTTAAGAGAACTTTTTTATGATATTGGTGCCTATTTTTGTCCTTAGAATAAAATTATTCACTAATATAAGATATGAAATTCTATTGGCTCTTTTGATGGTGCAAGTTGCACACTGTTTTGTATTGTATTTACAACCAATGAAGTTTTTACCTCTACCGGATTTTCTCGCATATAAGCACTGATCATATAACTGAAAGAAGGTGTAATTTCATCTGTTATTTTACCTCTTATTTTTCGCCCATGGGCTTAGTGTAGTACTTTCGATTTTTGGCCCAGTGGGCGTAAAGGTGAGAAGAGCTGATGACTACCGTACCTACTGTTGTAGTCCTACCGCATGTTTTGTAAGAATTATAAAGGAAATGTCACCTACAACCTTGGACTTAATGTTGAAACAAAGTAACAACAGAACGATCCACCACTGCCACTTATGGCACAGCGTTGAACTTAATGTTGAAACAAAGTAACGCTAGAACGATCTGCCAGTGACAAAATACTCTTGAATTTATTGAAAAAATCAATAAATAGTCATTTTTTATAGGCCCATGGGCGTATAAGCGTATTACATTCGATTTTTGGCCCATGGCCCTAAATTTAGGGGGGCGTATATGCGAGAAAATCCGGTAATAAAGGTGAGCAACACCTCTTAGGCATATTCCGTACATTGTTATGAATTCATGAAATATTGAGTATTACATGTATTTAGTGTCAGAAATTTGCAATGTAAATGATCGTATCAAGAGCTTTTATGACCTTTTGACAGGTGCTGAGACCAGGAGGATGCGTCTTATTCAGAGACTATGGTCTTTATGACCACGCAATGCTGAGGTTTGCACCGGGACATAAGCTGGAGGAAAACTTTTACGTCAGACAAGATGGAACAAGAGCGTTTTACTTCTCCTTAGGTAAGATGAATGAATTACAAACATTGCCTTTTAAGTCAAAGTGTAATCCCTGCTGGAATCTGTGTACGGTCTTTCACACACATAGGTTACTGCCTTGTATGTGTTCATTTTCATATATAGTAATTTCTTAAATAATTATTGAATTTGTACCTTTTGGTTTCCAAACATGAAATAGTCAAATAAAGTGCCAAATCCAGGCAGAAGCGTGGATTTTACAAACTAAGAAATGTACATTATATTTTGATGATTTTATGACATTGTAGCTTTAATGTACCAGGTTTATGCCCTTGAATTAAATGCCCACGGTCCATTTATTGTGAGGAATACATGTACATATATGTACTGACTTGTACTTGACATCTTATCTCAAATATGCCTGGTTTTATTTTCAGATTTCCTCAAAGAGATGTTCACAGAGGCTGGATTTAATTGTGAGAATATTGAATATGTGTTCAGGGAAACGGTCAACAGAAAGGAAGGACTTTGCGTCCCAAGGATATTTTTACAGGCAAAATTTACGAAACCTTTGATAGCAGTGGAAGGCCATGGAAAAATAGATGGCGCATCAGTCAGTCATATGCAATGTCATGAATCTCAGAAACATGAACATGTAGAAAATAATTGCAATACAGATCCAGTAACATCACTTGACAAGGAACATTATAGTATTAATGAAATAAATGAAACCAAAACTGATCTTCAACCATCACATGCCAAAATTGGGACTTGATGGTTAAGTGAAAATTCAGTAAAAATTAGGATTACGGAATGTGATTATTGCAAAAGGATTAAACAGTTGGTAGTGATATGAAGCTTGAGATAGATTTACAGTATGATCAGTTTGATGGATGTGTCTTGTGATGGATTTCTATAAGGCATAAATAAACTTTCTGATTGGAGTTTCAAATATTCAAATGGGATATTGCAAGTAATCAATATTTTATTATTTGCCATACGAATGTTGGAATCAATGTATTAAGATTTCTTAGTGCAAATAACATCAGTGAAGCAATTATTGAATGGACTGGAGAATGAAAAATTACAAGATCCATGTTGTCTGCATTAAGGCCCATGAAAATCTAAGACTGATTCCATTTGAACTCGTTAGATATATAAGGGTTATGTACTGGGAGGTTTTGGATATGGGGTTTATCCAGAGGGAGATATGCATATCTACCTGAGGGACCGAAGGTAGATGTGCATATCTCAGAGGGATGAACCCAATATCCAAACTGACCATACATAACTGCTTTATCCTATACCAAGTAGAGTTTTCTAATTTTCTTTTGATTTTTTTTAATTTTTTCAATTTTTTTTCACATTTTTCTAATTTTTTTCAATTTTTTGTATTTTTTTCAAATTTTTATTTTTTCAATTTTTTTTCACATTTTTTCTTTTTTTTTAATTTTTAAAAAAATTTTTTTTCGAAGCGGGAAGATATGCCCTGGAGCGGGAGATATGGCGGGAGATATGGAGGTTCAGGATATGGAAGCCTCAAAATCAGGATACGGGATATATCTTACCAACTTATCTCCCTAAAACTCTACTTCCCATAGGATAAATTAGGTTATCCTGAAACAATACTTGATTGTATCAGTTTAAAACTGAATACTTTAGGTTGAATAAAATGACTTAAAATAGATGTTCTGTTTACAGTTTGGAATGTAAGGTTCAACAAAATTATTTGTCATTTTTAAGAATATTTTCTTCCATGTGCATTTTAGACGTACAGGGTTAATAGCGTATTAAAACAGTTTCTTGCCACTAGACATTTGAAAATCAATGGTGACAACTGACATACAGTTTCTCTTCATTCAGAATGATGCAGGAGAGCACATTATTTTACATTTCTTCTAATGCATGAAGTTGAAAAAAATATATAACTAACAATCCTGCACCCCAGTAATTGGCCCTGCATAGCAACGCCTATTTTAAATTACTATATATGTATTGTGATTGATCATTATCCCATCGAACGAAGTTTGGAGGGATATAGGGAACGCCTCCGTCCGTCCGTCCGTACGTACGTACGTACGTACGTCCGTCCGTCCAGGCAATAACTCAAATATCGTTGGCTTGATTTTATTCATATTTTGTACACATATACCCTATGGGGGTAGAAGTTCTGCTTGAAAGCCGATTTTCAAAATGGCCGCTCATTTAAAAATGGCGGCCATTTTAGTGCCGATTTTACAGTAATTTAGGTGCAATATGTAAAACTGTAATAGCAATATGTTTTAAATGTAAAAAAAATTATATAGGACATTAATAAAGCTATAAATGTAGATATTAAAAAAGCACATGGCAGCCATCTTGAAAAATGGCGGCCTTTACTCGTTATTTTACGATTTTTGCTGTAACTCGAAAAGTAGTGGAGCGATTTTGTTCATATTTGGTATGTGAATACTATAAGCATGGCACACTGTCTAATGACACTTTTGGAAGAAGGCGGCCATTTTGAAAAATGGCGGACATTTTGAAAAATGGTGGAAATTTTGAAAAATGGCCACCATTTTAACTTATTTTACTAAAACTCGAAAAGTAGTGGAGCGATTTTGTTCATATTTGGTATGTGAATACGTTTAAGCATGGCATACTGTCTAATGACACTTTTGGTAGAGGGCGGTCATTTTTCAAAATGGCCGCCATTTCAACGTATTTTACTATAACTCGAAAAGTAGTGGAGCGATTTTGTTCATATTCGGTATGTGAATACTGTAAGCACGGCACACTGTCTAATGACACTTTTGGTAGAAGGTGGCCATTTTGAAAAATGGCGGACATTTTGAAAAATGGCTGCCATTTTAACTTATTTTACTATAACTCGAAAAGTAGTGGAGCGATTTTGTTCATATTTGGTACGTGAATACGTATAAGCATGGCACACTGTCTAATGACACTTTTGGTAGAGGGTGGCCATTTTTCAAAATGGCCGCCATTTTAATGTATTTTACTATAACTCGAAAAGTAGTGGAGCGATTTTGTTCATATTTGGTATGTGAATACTATAGGCATGGCACACTGTCTAATGATACTTTTGGTTGAAGGCAGCCATTTTTCAAAATGGCCACCATTTTAACCTATTTTACTATAACTCGAAAAGTAGTTGAGCGATTTTGTTCATATTTGGTATGTGAATATTATAAGCATGGCACACTGTCTAATGACACTTTTGGTAGAAGGTGCCCCTTTTGAAAAATGTTCGATGGGATTCGCTACGCTTTGCCGTTGTTCTGGTTTCTCATGTAAACTAAGCCACGAAATGGATGCTTTCTTAGGACCATTGTACTATATTTGAAAACTTCTGGTATATACTTCTTTTAATTTCCTTGATTTATTAACGTAAAATCATAATATAAAAAGGTGTAAAGAGTTATTTATTTGTTTATATTTTTATTTATTGACTGATTTAAGTCATGAAAATAATATACATTTACACAAAATTAATTCCTGCAATTATCTGAATTCAGTCAGGAGACAAATGAAGACAAAATAAAAACTTGAGAATTGCATTTCAAATCTTTCACATCAGATTATCATTGTATAACAAAACATCTCCAAATGCAATTTGTCTGACAAGATAACCTGCAATACGATACAACGTAATATAAAATCTGCAATGTACAAGTAAGTAGTATAAAACAATAATAAAACAAACACTTGACCATTGTGAATGCACTATAACGTGGTCCATCTTAGATAAGTATAAATAATTCCAATTAAAGTAATTCAATGTTTTAAACATATTTAACACACAATGCTTTGTTCATTTTCTCAACTAAAATTGAATGAAAAAATTGATCGAACAAACATTCAAATGAAAGAATGCTGAAAGAAAATGGGAATAACATTTTGAAAATGTATGTAGAATCAATGAGGAATAAAATAGATGCAGTTATACCACCCATATTTCTCATTAAGTGTCTATAATATCTAATTCAATTTTAAGAATTACAGATAATAGGTTTTAAAATAAAAATGTATGTATCGATTATAAACCACACCAGTCCACCTTATACAACTTAAACCTTGCATATCTTTAACAGCATTGTAAATGTACTAGACAGTATCTTTTCCTCCTCTCATCTTGGACCTCTTGTATTTGTGTACAATTTCGAATTTGGTCTCTGCTCATTTCTTTCCTTGTTTACATGAATGTAACAAACTCCTGGACAGTCCTTGTCATTTATTTAGGTGAATGGCACTTTGACTTCAATGCAGTCATCACTGATGACATCATAACATTCAAATAACTATGTGCCTGGAAAATGTCAGCACTGGGGAGTCTCCGGCACTGTTCAGGGGTTAATTTCTCTGAGAGTTCTCGTAGCATCATCATTAAATTATCTGGCGTTGAGTTTCCTGCTTCTACATCAATGTTTAATTGGTCAGTTTTGTCACATGATTCAGCAGAGGGATTTGATTGGTCAGCGTCTTCTTGAATACTCTGAGATAACTTGTTTACCTCGTCTAAGAATTCACCTGAAGTTTCTAAAAGTTCTTCTATGTCTGTTTGCATGTTTTCATCCTCAGGACCTGAAAGGAATAATAACAGTTTCATTAAAAGAAATCATCTGAAAATGTCATTTGTTCCATCCAAACTGTTGACACTTTGGACACTTTCCCCTATTCACTTAAAAGCTCATTGTGTGCCAATGATGTATGTTATTCTCTTTTAAAGCCCTTACTGCAATATTCCATGAGGCTCATGTATTCAAGTATTGTACATTGTATTTAGATTTCCGAGTTGCATGTTACGATTCAGTTATACATGTAGACTCCTCTCCAGACCATATGTTTAACAACCAAAATTTTGAATTTTAGAATTTATGACAAAATTGATGAACTTCTGGCTGCTAAAATTACAATGTGATATTACGCACCTTGACTTGAGCCTTTCACAGGGGAGTCTGCCTTCATTGGTGTGCTGGTTGCATTCAGATCTAAAATGAAATTGAGCAAATGGAATTGATTTTGAATGAAATGTTCATGATTTCATATATATGTTCTATACACAAAGAAAAATATAAGCATTATATTTTTCTCTAAATAAGAATTGAGAACTCATATTAGGAGTATTTAAATGGATCATTTTTTTTTAAATTCGACTGTCAGGATGAAATTGTTTAATCACACTTACCTTTCAAATCAGAGCATGGAGCTTTGGTAGGCGTGGTAACCTCAGAATTGAGTGTGGCATCCTCAAGAGTGGGTGTGGCATTTTCAAGAGTGGGTGTGGCATCTTCAAGAGTGGGCTGGGCATCTTCAAGAATGGGCTGTGCATCTTCAAGAGTAGATGTGGCATCATCAAGAGTGGGTGTGGCCATGGCATCTTCAAGAATTGACGTGGCATCTTCAAGACTGGCCATGGCAGTTTTGTTTATTACCTTGTATGTTGTCAAGGCTTTACGCAGTGTTGCTACTTTAGGGGACCTGATTGGAAGTTGCTGTACCTCATATTCAGTCAGTGAACACAGCTGGCCTATTGTTACAATGTTTCTGGCCTTCAGTAGTGATTCTAGGCCTCTAACCCTAAAAGGAATATCAAACAATACTTGGTCAAAAAGTCACATTTTCAGTAGTGATTCTAAGCATTTTACCCTATAAGGAATGACAAACAATACTTGGTCATAAAGGTCACATTTTCGGTAGTGATTCTAGGCCTTTACCCTATAACAAATAGCACTTGGTCATAAAAAGTCACATTTTTGGGAGTGATTCTAGGCCTCTAACCCTTAATAAGGAATAACAAACAATACTTGGTCATAAAGTCACATTTTCAGTAGTGATTCTAGGCCTCTTACCCTATAAGGAATAACAACAATACTTGGACATAAAGTCACATTTTCGGAGCTGACAGATATCACAGTATAATATTTACAATTTACTGTTAAAACCCTCAATTTGCACATAAAATGTCAAACATCGGTAAAATCTCAGAATTCTCCAATTCAAGGTGTCATTGTGAGTGGCCATTTTGGGCTAGACTACAAATTAAGGAAAGAATAAGCAAAGCTTAGTAGCTTACCACATTGAAGATGTCAACTGGGGGATGATACTATCTAAACTATCAACACAAGTGACCAAAGGAGGGTGAACAGGCTTGGTGTTGTCTAGCTGAGACTCCTGGGTAATCTGATATGTTCCCTGAGTAGGACCACTGCTTGAAGGACTCTGGGAAATGGCCTCTTGTTTTCTCTGTAACCAGTAAATGTATGCATGTATTTTAAATATATTTCAGCTGGGATATATACTAAGGGTCTAACGGTGCACCGAAACCGCAGTGCTCCGCGGTTCTTGGGCCTCGGTCGGTACGTTTGGTTCGAAAACTCCGATGTTCGGTTTTTTAACGGTTCGTTAATTCAGAAAAAAGTGCCGTTCGCTAAAGTAGAGGAAGATGAATCTCGAAACGAGAGGTGAAGATTTCGGCATTCTAAACGCTAAAAAGTCGTACAAGGCCCACTGTTGGGGTTATTTTGGATTTCCAATGAGAGATGGTGTTCCTCTCCCGCAAAGAACGATATGCCGGCTTTGCAAAATCGTTATGGTATGTGAGAAAGGTACGTGTGAAAAAATGTGAAAATTTGCTGTCTGCAGAAATAGAATAGATCAGAGTTATACATGCTCCCATAGATATAGATGCTCGCCATCTTTTTGAGTTAGTCTATTTGATTTTTTACAAGTGCAATAAGAACCGAAAACGGAACCGAGGAGATAAAAACCGTGAACCGAACCGGGGAATTATGAAACCGTGAGAGCCCTAATATATACAAGTATATTGTGAACATTAATAATTCAATCTGCAATGTGTCTTCACATACTGAGTATAAAGAGTATATAATGTAAATGGTTAATAATGTTTTACATTCAAAATGAGGTGATAATTATAAAAGTGACTTTTCTTACCTTTGTTAAAGAGCTTGGTACTGCAAATGATGTTTTGTCACTGTCACTGGGGCTTGTATTGCACTTACTGGTCTGTTTTGAAGGGGTAGTTATAAACTGGAACAACAATGAATTAATGATCATTCAGAACATATTTAGAGCCAACCTGACTTTTAGCTTCATTGGAGGTTTCATGTGACCTACGTTGTACTGTGATCACACATCATACTAAAATGGCGACACTTTTAATTGGTCAAGAAAACATAACGGGTTGCATAATTTGTCCAAAACTGATCTCATCTCAATGAATAGTATAGATGATAGAAATATAAGTGCATGGAGAGTTCTGCAGAAGAAATTAGCAGTTTTAACATATTATACTATGGTGGTATAATACTTCATTCACTAGTTCAAGAATAGTTTTGACTTATTCAATGAAGACATGCAAAGCCATTAACCAAGAAATGAGCTATAAATAGTTTACTCCATAGTTTCATTTAATGGGCTTTACCTTCTCAGAACTAGAAGCAACCACTTTTGATGGAGTGGTAGTCACAAGTGGTGAGGGATTGAACTGCGATTTAAGTTGACTCTGGCGTGGTAATTCTAGACATCTGTTGACTGGCCTTGGACTCCCTCTATCCACAGAACGGGACTCTTCTCCAAATATCTGAGGCTCTCCGAATGAGACACGCCTTTGCTAAAATAAATATTTTTTAAACATTATTGGGTTAGAACATTGTTCAATATTGAATACAACTAAGTAAATAATGTTTTCATATAATGTTGGCACACAACTTCACTTGTCTTTCCTACTAGATGTAAAATTATTTTACAATTACATTTGTTGTGTGAGCATCTTACCTTATTAGGAGGTGAGGGAGAGTCTGAGCCTATTGGACCATCAGTAAATCTGCGTTTCTTCAAGATCCCCGCAGAAGGTGAAGCCGATGGAGAATAAATACGCCGCACTTCGATTGGATGAAAACTAGGGCTAGTGTTTGCTGATGTCACTGGTGAGGCTCGGTCATTTGCCCTGGAGTGTTTTGCGACTTTAATGATTGGACGTTTGAAACTTGGCCGCATCATGGTTACTCTGGTTGTTGTGGGTGATGTTTTTACTGCTTGTTGTTTTAACCCTAATTTAATGGCTCTCTCTAGCATGATTGCACCACGAGACTGGTGCCGATTGGCTGATGTTGGGGTTTCTGGCATCTCTGGCTCTTCAGACTTTTGAGGACTTGAAAATATCTTAGACTGTCCAGAAGTATCATTGACAAATGGTTCTTCAGGCTTTGTTTCAGTTATTTTTTCCTCTTTAAGGACCACTTCTTCTGAGTTATTATCTTTTGGGTTATCAATTTCTTCTTTTGTTATCTTTTTAAGAGTTTTAGCATCATAAAGTTCAAATTCTGGTTTCTTTTCCTCTTTGAGAGCGATCTCTTCATCTTTTACAGTTTTGTCCCCAGTTTCATGATTTTGTTTTTGTTTGGTGGATAGTTCAAAGAGTGATCTTCGTGGCTTTTTCTGCTTCTTCTTTAACTTTTCAAATGACCTGTTCAGAGAGGCACTTCGAACTAAAGGTTTCTTTGATCTCAGTCTTTTATTTATGGGTGATGTCATATTGATCTCCAATCTTTTCTTTTCCATTTCCTGACTTCTAACAATTTTGGGTGATTTTCCTTTCCGATTATTTTTTGTCACTTCTTTAGTTTCCTTCAAGTCTTCTATGATTGGTTTTTCCGATTCACCAAACATATCTTCACAAGAATCAGTAATAACAGGCTCAGAAGAAATCTTAATTTCTGAATCTTTTGGCTCACTGTCCTCTTCAACAACATTAATTTCAATCTCATTTTGGATTCTCTCTTGTTTTTCAACATTTTCACTTTCTCCACTACTGTTGAGTTTTTCACTTAGTGAATTCAAAGGGAGATCATCATCGCTGCTATAGTCCAAATTACACTCCTTTTGTACCTCAACAACAATTTCTGGTGAATCCTCAACAATCTTTTCAGGAGAATCCTCCAAAGCTTTTGCAGCTCGTTTCCTCTTCTTGGTTTTTAGTTTCAACTTGTCCAGTTTGGTTTTCGCAACATCAGTAGCCTCTTGAAGTTTCTTTGCTTTTTGTTTATTATCTGATTTTTTCTTGGATTTTGCCTTTTTCTTTGCAACAAATTTACTCAGAGGTTGGCTATCTGTGAAGCTGTCATCAAGAGCAGAGTCTTCCCTTTGTTTAATGTCTTCATTTTTAAATTCATTGTTATCGATTTGAGCATCAGTTTGGTCTCCCTGAGAGAATGTAAAGGTAATGTCATTATCAACTTGAATTGAATCTTTTTGTTCTCCTTCCTTATCTCCAGTTGCCTTATCATTTTCAGGAATTTCATCAGCATCTATAGGCTTAGTTGGAATGGGATCATTTTGGCATTCTAGTGTTTCTTGTTCATGTAAAGGTCCATACTGGCTAGTTTCTGAATCAACTGGTGTTTCAGGTTCAATTTCCACTACAATTTTTTGCTTATTCGCTTTATGTTTCTTCACTTTTTTCACTTCAGACTTCAGAGTACAACTTATACTGTCTGTTAAAGACTCAGATTCAACTTGCTTTTCACAATCAACACTATCTTGAGTACTTTCAGAATTTTCCTCCTTTTTGCTTACTGCTTTTGATTTCTTTGTACGTCTTTTGAATGTTTTTGACTCAGAGATTAAGGTGGATCCAGAGTCTGTACTGAACTGGGAAGACTCAGAGCTACTTAAAGATATTGTATTTTCATCTACTTTCTTAACCTTTTTAGGTCGCCCCCTTTTCCTTTTAATTGGAGGCTGGTCAATTTTAACATTTTGGCTTTCAATAGATTGGGACAAGTCATTGTCAGTTTGTTGTGATTCAATCGGTTCACTTCCACCAGGTGTTATAGAATCAACCTCATCCAACTCTTCTGCAACTTCATCTTTGTTTTCTACACTATTATTGGCTTGTTTTACTGGTTCCTCTTGTTCCATCATTGGGCTTTCCTTTTCTGAATCTTTGCTTTCGTTATTTGGAGATTCCTTTTGTAAACCAGAGGCTAATTCAAAACCAAGTGAACTTTGGAACATATCAGGTTGGTTTTCAGTGTCATTTTTGTTTTCTTCGAGTGGTTTTATTTGTGAGAAATCATCATGTTCTGAGGTATCTTTATCACATTTCTCATCCCTTATGGATCCTATAAGACTCTCTTGTGTGCTCTTTCTGGGACTATAACTTTTGATTTCACTGTGTGTTAGTCTTTTAAGTTTCACTGCAAGTAGTTTGACCTTTGTAGGAGTCCCCATTTGGCTTTGACTACTTTCATCAAGAGCTTCAAGATTGGGTTTTGCTTTTGTTGATTTTATGTTTGCTTCATTATCTCTCAGGTCTTTTGAACTTTCTACACTCTTCGTTGGAGTTCCGATAGTCTTGTCATCAGCAAACAGGTTTTTGGCTGCTTCTTCCAAAGCATTTCTATCGACATCTTTCCCTCCATCTTGTTTAGCTGGGGAGGGTGTTTCTTCAATTACATTTTCTGTTGAGTTTTCTGTTTGACTGATAACTTTCTCGACAGGTGAGAACCCATCCTGTGTATCCTCTACTAATGTTATACTATCAGTCACCTCTGTAGGTTTCCTTGGAGATTTCACCAGCCATTTATCAATCGTTGATTTCTGCTCAGGTTTCTTGGGAGTTTGCCTCCTCTGAGGAGACTGACTGACCTTTGACCTTGAAGTCTTCCTAGGAGAATTCCTTCCTCTATTTCCCTTGAATAATTCCCTTTTGGATGATTCTGATGGCAAGGTGAGTAGAGATTGGGAAGGAGGTTCAGAGGCTGCCTTTTCAGCAGATTCATTTACTTCTTCAATCAGAACTTCCTCAGTTGCACTATGGAATGATTCATCTGAATCATTATGCTTGCTCTTTGGAGTGTTATTAATCACCTCCACTTTATCAGTATGTTCTAAAGCATTCTTATCAGGCTGTTCTTCCTCAACAACATTTGATATATCCTCTGGTTCATTCTGCTCCTCTTGGCTGTTGTCAGTGATTGTAACAACCTGTGGAGAGTCATTATCAATCACTTGTACGGAATCAGGTTCTGGAGCATTAACTCCTTCATTGTCACTATCCACATTTTCAGTGTTCTTAATAACTTTATCAATAGATGTCTCAATAATGTTCTTTATAAGGTCTTGATCTTTTGTGCTTTCGTTTGATTCATCTTTGGAAAACCGCACTGATCTGCGTCGCTTGGGCTGTTCTAGTTTAGGGACGTAACTTGAATCAGGCTTTGTAAACAACCCTTTAAATGGAGCTACCTCCTGAAAAAAATTAGTTCGAGAATGTATTTATAAATTAAAATGATCAAGAGACTTAAGTTCTTGTTCTGCTTAGAATTTTTTTTATGAAGCTATTTCACTGAACAATATTTGTACATGGTTTCTCTAACAATGTGTTTCCACAGTAAGATCGTTCATGTCATTAATTATTAATTACCTTTTCAACGACACGCTCAGTGACTTTTTCTTTTCCACCATCAAGTTTCTGTCTCTTGGAAGCAAAAGGGTTAACAATGCTCTCATACGCCCCTGGAGTATCAGGCTGGGAACTGAAAGGGTTAAGTTGAAATCATATAAGCTAAATCAGTTTAGAACAGTAATAATAAAGCTGAATGTGAACACATCAAATCAAATCAATTCTTAATCAATATAATCAATGAATCATCTTAAGTGAAATTAGACTTATGTTATTTTGAATTTGAGAGCCACAGAATGGCTAGGGTATAAACATGTAAGGTTAAGTGTATGGAGTAATATTTAAAAGTGACACTTTCGGGGGGAAATATATTCAACCATATCACCAAATGATATAGGAAACATTTTATATAGTGCACAAACAACATAGACTTACTACTGTGTCTGTGTGGAAAGGTCAAACTGACCCATTAGACTTCCATCCATGGACACATCAGCCCCTGAATACATAGCTGGCACAAACCTAAACACAAAAAAAGACCATGGTAAAGATCCAAATAATTATATATTTTATCAATAGAATTAAGATATACAGGGTGTCAAAAAACAACGGCACCCCCCTCTACAGCAAAAGGTACTGAATGTTTCATGGTATGTTATATCTCATTTGAAAGATAATTTAATTTTGGAGTTACCTGAAAATTTTTCAGCTTTATATCATGTGATTTAACAGTTTTACAGCCTATTATTAGTAGTTAGTATGGGCACCACTTGCTGCACGAACAGCAGCTAATCTTGATGGATATGGCTAAATAAAGATTCAAATAGAGGTGTAGCATTGCGTAATCCTCGTAGCATTTTCCCCACATTCTTCAGAAATACATCCTTACTGTTTCTGTTTTCAAAAGATCCCTTGTCCATCAATTTCCCTACACACAATTGACCCTATATATTCAGCGCAGATGAGATCTGGGCCATTTCCTATATATTCCACTTTCTGAAGATTTGACCCTTAATCAGTAACAAAGCGGCAAACAAAGTACTGAAGTAGCAAACTTTGAAACAATGTAGCTTTTTTAATATAAGATGTTATAAAATGAAACTTGATGAGTAACTCCAGAATTAAATTATCTTTCAAATGATATATGACATGCGATGTAACATTAAGGAGTTTTTGCTATAGAGGGGGGTGCTGTTGTTTTTTGACACCCTGTACATTATCTGTTTCCAAGCAATGAAATATGACATTATTTTTTTATCTCATTTATATTTGACATCTACGCATCCTCTTCAGGCAAATATGTATAATACATAGCATTTAGAAAAAAAACAATCCTAACAAATATATTTCACTGACTGACTGACTTTCTACTTTATACATGTACATAAAAATCAAACATATATATTTTATAACATCAAATATGACTAAATCATGGACTACATGTATTAATAAGAAGAAAGCTTGTACAGAGCTATAATACCAATAGAGTACATTATAATAACAATACATTATAATAATAACAATTAGCTTACGTCTTTTCTTTCATGACCTCTTTTTGGTGTTCTGTCAAAATGCGTCTTTTACGAGCGGGTGATGATGGGATCACAACAAAATCTCGTGAATTCATATCATCCATTGAAGAAAGGGGGAGCTTGCGTCTCACAGAAGCTGGGGATCCATTTGAAGTTGGTTTCAATGGTGATTTCTTAACTTTTGGGGAAGCTGTCTTGTTCATAAAGCTGCCCTTCAGTTTGTGGGGAGATGGTATACCTGCTAGGTGAGGCATCGAGATTTGTGTCTCAGCCTATAAAAAAAGAAGCAACAATGAAACATAATGCAAATAAACTAAATGTACGTGTAAGTGAAAGTAAATAGTAAGCTTTCAGTGTGATTTGAGAAAAACTTTTGACAGGTGCAATAAATTTAATAAAAACTTCAGGTTCGACTTGAAATCAAAATATAATCAGAGGTTGAGATTTTCAAGAAAACGTCTTAGTATTAGAGACTTCTACAAGTATTGAAATTAAAGCATTGGCTTATTAATACCTGGCTCATTTGACTGATTTGTGTCTCTTCTATAGTAGCCACGCTGCTAGAGTCAAACCCTGGTAGCTTTAATGAAGTCTTGGCTTTAGCTTTTATCAACACTGGCCTGTAATACAAAGATGTTTACTGTAAAATATATGTTTGGAGTGGAATATAAAATACGGGCCAATTGAAATCAAAGACTCCTAACTTTGCAGTCTGAGCTATTTCACTGAATTTGCATATATGATCTCCATGCTTTTCTGATGCATGGCTGTACAAGGTTTTCAAAAAGGTATAAAATTCACATTTATTCCACTCTATTTTTAAGCCAATCTTAATATTCTTACTACATGTACAAGAAATAGATCTTTGAGTCACAAAGTTATCAAGTAATATCATGAACTTAAACAGCGATTATATTTCCCAAACTTACTTCAAAGATTCAGGATAATCAAGTTCTGAACTTTTAGCAAAAGTAGCCGACCAGAATGTGATTGCCTGGGTCTTGATCTGGCGTCTAGGATGACAAAGGGTCTGCTGAAGTAGGGGAGAGATGTGAGCCAGGAATTCAGAGTCATACAGACTTGTATAACGCCCCTGTATGCAGGAACATATGTCTAGCCACAATTTCTCAAGCTATAAAAGGATAAAACAGTTAGTACTTTCATTTTTAAGCAATATATATATCTTTTTGATATAACAGCTTGATTTACAGATCAAATTATGAATGTGCTACATGTACTAAGCGATGTACAAACAGAAATTTGTCATTCATCATTTATAGTCAGACATTGATCATTCTATAATTTTTTGTTTGTTCCAATTCTTTCAAAAGCAATTTATGGAAATATTGTGATTTTCCATGACCTATTCTCTGATGGCAAGACCTCTGTATTAATCATACTATATTCATTTTTATATAATTACATAAGTATAATATACCTTTTGACCAAAAGCTCCGCTGTAGCTCTTAGCATTGCTGGGCTGGTAGAGTTCTGATATAGGGCTGGCCAACTTGTTTAGAATGTTTGCAATACAAGTAGAGCTTGGGAGATGGTTGAACAGTGTAGCGAGGACACTAACAATGTTGTTCCCTGTATTTTGCATGCCTGCAACAAGTTTCTGACCCTGAAAGTTAATGAACTACATGTATTTAATGAACTACATACTAATGATACAACTAAGACAATGGTAAGTGATAAGGTAAATGACAACAAAGTTAGCAACAAGAACATTGTGATTGAAATACTCAAGAGTTCACATAGTTAATCAACCCCATTAAAGGCCTTCTGAGAGAAAGTTTTAAATATCAAATGAGTTTAAACTGACACTCACCTTAGCCTCTTGCTGGTGTGTATTAAACGCCTCTATGACTCTAGCTGTGAGTTTGGTGAAGGAGTGGAGATTTCCAAGTGGCTTTGACTTCCTCTTACTCCACTTGGATGGACTCAATGGGGCTAAAAGAATGATCATCATATTAATATAAAATATAAAAATGTATGTACAAAATATAAAATTAAGAAGTTTCACTTCATAAAAAGTTTTTTATTCTTGGGGTCTGTCAGACATGAAGGTTTTGGAGGTGAATCCTGACAAAGCCAAACAATGTCTTAGGCCATTCTTCACAAAATATGTCATATTATCAAGCTACTTACTTTTTAGGTTAAACGCTGTGTTTGAAAATGTGGAGAAGTCAAGGGAGTCTACCATGACATGGCAGGCTTGGCTTACGGCCTCAAGAGCCATGGGGTTCTGCAATAACATAACAAAAATAGATGAAACTTTACTGCAAAGTTTGGTACCCAACTCATCCAATGTTTAGCCTATTTTTCTATGCCTTTGCCTTATTAAAATCTAAGTTCAATATTATGATCTCAAATTTTTTTATTTTACCCAGATGTAACATTTGAGATTATTGCAAATTTACTTAAAACTCATAAAGTAACCTTCAGTTTACAGATCATCAAATAGAATAGGGGGATCTCCCCTCAACACCCTCTAATCCTCACCTGCAGTTGATCTTGAGGCAGTGCTGATGCAATACGAGCACACAATTCCTCAGTGCCTATATTGGCTTCAGCATTGGTGACCAGGGCTGAGAGTCTGGCGAATGTTCTGTATAGATCACCCCAAGTCTTGATGATTGTCCTCAAACTTGCCTGCAATAACATGAAAGTCGATAATATTGTCCCTTAAAGGGAATGCGAAGTTTCATGTTCTAATTTACACGCTGGCTACTTATAACCATCATCTATCACTTCAGCTCACTCATGGGACATATCGTGTTTGAACTAACATATAATTCAAGTTCAAAGTACCCATATCTGGATCGCTGTGGATGCCGCCATTGTTATGTATCAATGACGTCATTGATGCCTTAAAATTGATGCCTGGGAAATGTCGCTATATAATCACGTCATACTCGGATCGCAGAAATAGAACACATTTCACTGATATTGTATAACTGTTTCTGTCCGCTTACCATTGTTACCGCATGTTCATGTCCATATCATATCATATACTAGTATTTGAAAAAGTTGTTTCAATATATTCTTCATAGAAATTGAATTGTTGCAATGTATTTTTTCAAATGTTTGTATTTATTTTCTCCAATGTGATATAGTATAGGCTAGGTAAAAAAATCACTATACTTATGAGATATCGGCTGCGCGATTCGGAAGTCATTGCATTATATTCCACTTGAAAAATATCCACTAGAATTATTTTATATAATGATAACACTGGGTCAAAAAGGATAAATCTGTTCAAATCCTGTAAATGCTTTCTTGTATATTCAACCAATAAATGAGGTAAATGCATTAAAATATACAAAATGGCATTTACACATAAATGCATTACTGTGCATCAATGGGGATTTATTTAACTAAGATTAATGTGGCTAATGTGTTGGCGTATTTGTGGTGAAAATAAGTAAGTTATATCATAGGCTGAACGCATCCAACAAATAGTTGCATTTACCATATTTATGTAAATAAACGACATACCATTTAAAATATCAAAATCTATGCTAATGTTCATTAATGCGCTGATGAGCATTTACGGCACATCATTATTAACCTTAAGGTATACGTCGGGAAATAGGCAAACTGCCGCAATTGCTTTCTTACCTAATCATAAATGGTAGATTTCTCTGTAGTAACTCTGTAGTATTCTATTCAAATATGAATAGGTGCATATTGGAGAATGAAAGAAATAAAACAAAAAGTAGTAATCCAATGAAACAGTGTAACTCCCTAAAGTGTTTAGCCATTTAAATTATGATGAAAAACGCAAACAAAAAACGAAAAATCGATGTCGTCTAAATGATACGTATGTAAATGTCAATCTCCTAAATATTAAGATTGGCAATAGCTTTACAAGGAGATGCCACTGTCATATTTTCAAAGAATAATACGTAATGTTTAATTTTTCTCAGTTGTTAAACGACCAATTTCAATCATCATATCACCGTAGCGACATTTGATATGACAAAAAAGCTTTTCAAAATTCAATGGTATTTCACCTTGGATCATGACAAGAGAAGGCTCATAACATTCAGTGATGCGGGGAGACGATGGGGTCGATTGTAGTATGATATTTCAATTCAACGACGATAAATCAATTACCGTATTGATAGTACGCCAATAGTTTAATATTTATTTTATTATATATTTATTTTTTGTTAAAAACAATTCCTGATTTCGAGCTCGAATTTAATTATATAACATCCGTGGTAAGTACAGTTCTACAGTATTGGTTTTCAATTTAATGGCATACAACCTTTTGTTTTTCTATATCGGAAAATAAGTGGAACTTTAAAAGCTTCAGTCACATTTGTTCAATGCGACCACACGTCGATCGTATTTCCCTGAAATCAGTAAATTTCTGCGGCAAATAGGAAAACTACAGTCGACTTAAGGTCACCTTGCTGTCTACGTAACGTACACGACATATCCAGTTTTTACAAGGAGTAGAGTCGGAATAACTTTTTCTTTCCTGTTGTCACCATAGATATCAACAAGCAGCAGCCAAACCGTAGGTCTCACGACGGCCGTACGTCGGGTTCACGGTCGACTTGCGGCTGCGCTTGGATTTCATAGGTTACAATTGACCTTTCCGAACCATAGAACCCATTGTGGATGCCTTTAAGAAAAACTATACGCACGTCGTAGGGCCGCCCTATGCTGATCGTGCGTCATCATTTATCAACCGTACGGGAATCGTAGTTTTTCCTCATAATCAAGATACGCCGTACGGCTATCTTAGCAAATGTGACTGCTAAATTATCTGACTGCAGAAATACTTAAGCAACCGTAGAAATCCTACTTATCACAGAAATGATAAAACATAAATGCAATGAATATTAAAGTACGAACACGTATTTTTGTAATGAGACTAGCAAATTAAACCATTGCATTCTTGGAAATTCAAGATGGGTTGGTTGAATTAATTTTATCATGTTTTATTCAAATAGTTTGCATTCGCCTGATAGAAGTAGCATTCTCTGTTCGCATTTAGCGCTAGACCTAATACAAGTTAAAAAGTCACGAATCCCAGATTGTTTCAAGTGTAAATAAAGAATAAATCTAACCTGCATTCCATGTCTAGATAGGTAAAAAGCAATTCCGAAAATGCCGGCGTTAATATTCTATTGAAATCGTTCTTTATTATGGGTGGTATAAACGTATTCTTTTAGTTCCTTTGAAATGATTTCTTTGGTTTTGGAATGGCAACAACTCGGCATTCATTTTTTGATTCAAAAATGGCGCCACAAAACTTTTGGAATGCCAAGGCATCAATCTGGCATCAATGACGTCATAACAATGTCGTAAAGAACCACTTTACGGTTGAAATGGCAGCTCCGTGGTCCAGTTCATATGCAAAACCCGGGGCTCAATAACAATTAAAAGGATAATGATAGAACAATAAAACTAAGTTGGATTGAAAGATATATCTTTATTCTAACGTATTATCAAGTTTAAGGGACAAAACTTCGCATTCCCTTTAAGACCGAGAGCTGCCTCATTTAAAAGATCTGACAGAACTTCATCATCAATTATCTTACAGGATCTCCTGGAAATGGTTTGATAATGAATTTGAATTTCTGTTTTCCTTGCCAGGGCATATTGGTTGGAAAATGTAATTTTGTCAACCACATTATCTCTTAGTCCACCTTTAACTTTGTGTTCACCTTTACCTTGAGTACTGGATAAGTTTGACTTACTAACAGGTGTAAACAGTTAAGACTCACCTGGTGTAGATCAGCTGTGAACAGGTGCACAACAGGTAGAGTTAATGAAGCATACATGCATTCAAAGTTATGCTCCAGCGCATCCCCTTGGTTCACTTCATTGCTCTAAAAAAAGATAAAAGAATATTCTCTATAAGGGCTTTTGATGTTAAAACATGACAATGTGTCCCGTCTTCATGATTATTTTCAAATGTAATCAGATCAATCTAGGATGAATCACATTTTCACACATTTGGTAAAATCAGAAAAAAGCTAGACAAAACTAATCTCCCTATATTCAGAAATATAAACTAACACTATCCATGTATTAAGTATTTACCTTGATTACATGCTCCATTAGCGGATGAATAACAACACTCCACAATCGCCATAGCAACTCCCTGTTGTCAAGGACACTTGTTGTCTTCTCAACCAATTTCAAGACAGATTGTGCAAAAGTAAGGGCAGTTGAAGAATTGGACATTCCAACATTTACGAGTGTTTCAAATACACTGAAAAATCTGTAAAATAAAGGATTCTATATTTCAAAATCCTAAAATCAAAGTAAGGAAAGAGAACAAAGTAACCAAGTTAGCTAATTAATGCAAATAGTGGCTTGAAGATCATAAAACTTTGAAAATATTGTTTGCTTCAATGAATTTGTAGTTCAACAGACTTGTTTTGTTACCACACTGCTAATCTTGATTGGACAATATTGTTTGGCAGTTATTTTATCACACATGAACGAAAGATAAAAGAGGGAATTCCTTTTGCCTTGAGAGGAGCCAAGCTTACCTTTCATGTTCTAGGTAGGTTTCTATAGCAACAGGGTCCAGAATCAGTTGCACAAGGAAAAGGACTGGTGTGCCATGCATCACACTTCCAACTTCATAGGCAGGGGAGGTCAGGGCAGGCCTAGGCAGGCAACAAACTGCCTCATACAGTTTCTTAAAACAAGTATTGTTATTAGTAACATGATACCGTAATTTTATATCATAAATTTTTACATAAAATAGTAAATACTTTGGTAAAATATTCAGCATTTCGAAAAAATCAAGAAATGATATTTTACTGTTTACCAAAAACATTGCTCATCTTTTTTATTTACTTATATTAGTACATGGACACATAATTAAATTCAACACTTACTAAAACTCCTAATTTGGACATTTTTGTGGAGCTGACAATTTCTTGGAACGTTGACAAGAAGTAGCTAAAGATGGAGCCATTGTCATTCTTAGTTGACAACTCCAAGGCATTCTTTACATGTGCCACTAAAGCATACCATGTATGGTATAAAAGGCTCTCTACAAATTAAACAAACTGATTTCAAAATTCAGCCTATCATATCTCAGCGTGACAACATATACTTTGTATATATAGCATTCCATTTAGAGTATTCTATTGGGTAGTAATATTAATTCAAAGCAGAAAAGACTACTGGACTAATGGAATGTAAAAATCACTAGTACTTAGAATTGCATTAAAAAATCAATTAATAAAAACTATTGAATGTAAATAGAGAAACTGAGTATCGCAATGTATATAATATTATTGAGAGAATAAACTATAATTTGTACAAACCATCTAGGTCATCTTCGCAGCTGGTGAAGCACATCCTGGCAGCAGCAATGAACAACGAGGCATGACGGGAAAAGAACGCAGGTGTACTGATGACGTCATGCTGTAGCCTCTCTGAAAGTTGGGCATATCAATAATTTGAGTTTAAGAATTTTTTGTTTGTATAGCAATATCAGCATCAGGTATGGAATGGATCCGAGTATATATGGCAAAATAAGTGTTATTCTTGTAAAAATGAAACAACAGAAATACTTTAATGGATTTCACTTTAAATTTGCAATGCATATATTTAATACCTATATTATGCTTTTTACTCAACAAGAATCACTATACAGCATGATATAATGTAAATACTAGAAATATACAGTGGGGGTATACAATTCCATTACTCAAAGACTTTAAGCAAGTACTGAGTTTCCGATGCTTACATCTATAAGTTGTTAATTCTTTATTTTCCAATCTCAAAACTCACCTAAAGTAGATTTGTAAGTGGGAAGGTCACTATCCCCTTGAGCGCCACCTATTAATTGAGCCAAAATCTCTGCACCAAGTTTCTGTATTGAACTGAATGGTTTTACACTACTACTGGCCCCAGGGCTGTTGACTAGGGACATTCTTGGGGTAGCTGGGCTGCCGAACCCTGTTGAACCTGCAATAAACAATTCAATCAAGTCAAAGAACTTTTTCTCAGGATTTTCTAAATAATTTTTTACAATCAATTGTATGATTCTGGCTCATTGAATGTCACACTCAACGAAAAATCAACTTGTTTATGTGTACATACTTTATGCTTGGCACATTGGCCTTTACATTTAATCTGAATGGTTGATAAATCTTGACTTACCCATTCTCTGAAGAGTTGGTGTTGAGAGACCACCAGGCAGTTTGGACATCTTAGAAGGGGTCTTCAAGTCTGCCCCAAGTTGCCCAAAACAGAAGGAAAGAAGAGGAGCAACCACCTAGAAGATGATGTACATAAATTACCATAATGAGACATAATTTTTTTTGAGTAATCTTGACATTTTTTGTCCATTGATTTTGGGACCAGATCAATATGTTGTTCACACTGACCCCCACCCTTTCCAAAAATGTAAAATCATACATTTATATATTCATTCAAATGTTTCCTTCAATGCTGAATTGAAAATTAGGTTGGCCACAATTGGTAGAAATATTGTTATGACCTTATATGGTCATAAATATGATACGTACCATATCAAAGTGTACAGAGACTTTTTCACCTAGTTGACACACCAAGTGCCACCAAGCATCAAGTTTTACTAAAGCTATCTCTTCTAACTTAGCATTATTCAGCTTGAATACTTGCATAAGAAGCTTCAGCCGCTTTGGGTCACTCAGGATATCTGGAATACATAGTATAACATACATGTAATCCTTATTCTATAAAATGCAATCCTGAAATTAAAAGGCTTTTAAAAGGTATTTTTAAAAGGATGTGACTTCTTAACTGCATGTGTTTACTTTTTGATAGGTTGATCGTTGTTAAAACATCTAATAAACATCTCAAATTGAAAAGCAGTTTGGACAATAGAGACAATGAAAATAATACTCTTTAATATATAATTATATAAGCTGACTCACTTGTATCCAGGGCAAATGTGTCGATAAGTTGCTTCCAGGCTTTGAAGGCAACACACTTAGTGGCAGGACTGGCAGACTTGAATGCTTGTTCTACAATGCCAAGGAATTGGTTGATGAGTCCTCCATGATGCAGCTTCTGCAACATAATGAAATTGTATAAGTAATAACAGAGAAGTCCACTGAAATAAGGAGTCGGTGAAACAAAAGGTATAATACCCTGAATAAACAACACACAGTTGTCAAGGCAATTTACTTTGACTACAATAATAACTTCTTAAGTACATCAGCCTAAACTGATTTGTTAAGTTACAATGTTCCCTGCCAACTAACAAATTCTTACCTTTCCCAGAATCTTGACAAATATGATCCATACTTTCATGGTATATGTTTCATGTTTGCTGGCCATCAGTTTCTTCAATTCTCCAAGGATCATCTACAAGTGGACCATATAACGTAATGTACATGTAAATGAGGTAGAGTAAAGGCTGTTGATACAGTTTGATATGTTTTGGGGGTTTCATTAATTTTAGTTGTTTATATTATATGATTGATAGATTTAACTGTAACCAGAATAGATTCAATAAAATTTGAAGAATGTAACATATTTTTGTGACTTGATTAAATAAAATTTGAAGAATGTAACATATTTTTGTGACTTGATTAAAAAAATCTGAGATATCAAATGAAACTGTTATAAATCTAACTTTTAGCTTACAGTCTTCAAATGAGGCACCATGGTAACTGATATTTCCTCCTGATGAGACAAGATAGCAGCCATTCCCATCTCCATGGCGATGAGTGCACGGTCACGCACTTTGGATGCTGAATGTACAAGTAAGGGGTAGACAAGCTTTGACCATCTTGTCACGTGGACTTTCATCTGTTTTGGTAACTGCTCTAGGAGCCTGAAGTATGAAAGTATATTTGTTAAAGTTTATAATGAGAGTCCACTTCAAAACATCCATGTTAGATCACTGTAAAATATAATAACAAGGCATTAACATGACAAAATGTCACCACCTAGTTGCTCACAATATTATGAGTTATCTGAATGTCTGAGAACTTGTAGATGATTTTGAAAAAAATTGGTCAATTTGAAGCAAGATGAAAAAAGACCTTTTTGACATTTTCTGAGCAACTTTAGCCAATTTTATTTCCTTAAATAAACTACTACTGTAATCTATTTATCTCTATTATCTTCAAGCGGGCAACATTTTACAACATTTCTTTTATTAATTTAGAAAAGTGAATCAACAATAGAATAGGATACATTAACCAGGATTAACTTCTATCGTAACACTCTATATACGTACCTTACTACAGCATTGATGGCCTCATGTTCAACGGTAATACTCTGGAAGTGGTTACTGCATAATGCATGCTCTATGGCACATAGAATTGTATGTAATTCCCCCTCAAGGATACCAAGAGGCAAATTCTGTTTCGATAGGCACCAGAGCCCTCGAGTGCATGTTGTTTTATCTGTGGTTTTCACTATTGATGTACACAAGGCCTTTATGACCTGTAAGGACATTTCCTCACTCATGGACCTGAAAGCAATGACAAAGTCACAATAGCATGGTAGAAATAGTGAAACTATAAACCACACTTTAACATAAGCTCTTCAAAATTGTTTACAAGTTTTAGATTGAAATATAGATTACTCAAAATATATTTCAATAGAGGTATCATATATTTCTAGAAGCTGATCTGATGTCAATTTGTTACTCTTACACCATTTCAGGTTTGATATTAATTGAAGTTTGGAATTCAACAAAATCTAAACGAGACCCACTAGATAATGTCAATGCCAAGACATAGAAATGCTTACAAGAACTTGCATATAAATATCAACAAAATAGTTCAGAAATACAAAGGTATCCAATTATGCACTTCTGATACATCTATACAAGATTTTCAGGTTTTGCACTACTTTAAAAGTGAGCATCAACAGTATTATAAACGTACCCTGCTATATTTGAGTCATGAAGGCAGAACCCCAGAGCTTGCATGGCAGCATGTGTCAGTTCAACATCTTCACTCACTATATCACGCACAAATGAGTTAAATAGTCGGACTGAATTCTCACATACTTCTTTGTTGAAATCCTTTAGGTCTCCTCTTAGTCTCCTAAAATAGTGCAAATACCTATATTATGGATATGATTTGTGCAAATTAGCCAGTTAAATAGTCAGACTGAATTCTCACATACTTCTTTGTTGAAATATTTTAGGTCTCCTCTTTGTCTCCTAAAATAGTGCAAATGTCAATATTATGGATATGATTTGTGCAAATTAGCCAGTTAAATAGTCGGACTGAATTCTCACATACTTCTTTGTTGAAATACTTTAGGTCTCCTCTTAGTCTCCTAAAATAGTGCAAATGTCAATATTATGGATATGATTTGTGCAAATTAGCCAGTTAAATAGTCGGACTGAACTCTCACATACTTCTTTGTTGAAATCCTTTAGGTCTCCTCTTAGTCTCCTAAAATAGTGCAAATACCAATATTATCGAAATGATTTGTGCAAATTAGGCAGGAAACAGGAAAATGATTGTATGCAGACATGAAGTACAAGAAGGAATAAAGTAAACATGAAACACAGTCAACAGTGTCAATTATAATTATATAGGAATGTCTGTAAACAAGGCCAAACAAGACAGATCATTTTTACAAAAGAATGGAATAAGTTTGATTTTATAACTACAAGGGACATTTTAGGTTAATTAGGTACAGGAGCCATCCAGCGAACTTTGATGTATGGTATGGTATTGCTTCATCCTGGATACTTGCATCATGAGGTTCTTCTGACAATGCCCGATTATTTGAACACCAAACTTTCAATGGATGACCCTTATACCTAAAAACAATGCATTTACATGTTCATATATACAGCAATCGTGAAACTCTACTTTAAAACTTACTCGCTGAAGGCCAAGTAGGCATCGACCTTATCTTCTGAGCATAGCGATTTATCCTGGACTGATGTGAGTATTGCCCGGAGACCAACAGGGTCTTGAGCGGCTGTGACCATCATTTTTACAACAGTTGGCTTTTCTGCAATGCAATTTGTCACTGAAAAAAAATCATTGATGGAATAGATTTATTGAATGTCTAAAAAATCGAAGAAGGTATGAAGAAAATCATTCTGGTAGGCCTAATCTGAAAATAACTTCGAGGAAGGAAAAAAATTCAACAAAATTCAACCTTGAGATTGAAACTTCATTAGAGCCGCTCGGTGTGGTCGCTGTTGTAAAGTTTCGACTCAAACATACATAATACGTATTCATCTTACCTTCTGCATTATTTTAATCCAGTCTAAAGTATCTTCAACGTATAAATTGCACTATTTCTCAACAATGTTTATCGCACTTTCGCGGTAAATTTTAGCAACAATAAAACCCCGCGAAATGTTCACAATTTGATTGGTTAATGTCTGCTTCCGGTTCAAGGTGGAAAAACTGAACGAAAAAGTATTGGTTGTGTTGTCCCGGGAAGATTTGACACTTGTGTTTGGTACCACTGCTGGAGATCTCTAGAGAGTACTTAACTCAGCCTGTCACAGATAAACAGATAAATAAGACTTATGACAACCTGATAATACGTAGACAATATACATGAAAGTTTATAGGCCTAGTTGAATAAATATAAACAGAAAATTAGTTGAAAATTGTATTTCACCGACTGTCACTTACAGTGGCTTTTCTTTTTTGGGCACCCATTTCACTCAAAATGAGAAGTATACTTTTTGGAATAGCATTGTTATATGTATTGCATACGAGTTATGGTGCTGAATGTCATGGAAAGGCAAGTATATATAAAATAACTCAAATAGTAATTGCATTAAGCTTAATAACTGATGAACTTAGTCAATTTCTAATGTTGTGGCGTGCTCATTTGATCAAAATTCGCGTATGCAGCTGACCATTTTTTGGAGACCTCAACTTTAGCACACAAAACAAATAAAAAACAAACAGACAGTCAGACACGAAACAAACAAGCACATATGATGTTACGGTACATGTAGATAACAGGCCCTGTCCCCGCATTGTTTTTGACCCACGGACTAGTCTAGACGGTAAATATTGTTTATTATTGGTTTGATTTGAACTATTAGATGTTTTCCAAGTGTATTTTAGCCTGACCCAAATGCTACGTCAAACGAGAATCCCATCTACACAAAACCCCCCAGGTTTGTGAAAGCAATAGAGAATGGCAAGCTGTTTACACTGGGAGAGGGTGATGACTTAATCCACGTGCTCCATCTTTGGGGTAAGTGTCTTGAATTTTTTTGGAAAGGTAGCATTTTAAACACACCACATGTATTAACAGTTTATCAATATAAAGAATGATTTAGTTGCTCTTAACTTTGGACTCGGGGGTATCCGGAGATGAGTTGAGAGCAAGTCCCCTTTTCTCTCCTCATTCCATGCCCTGCTCTTTTCCCAAAATCTTGTTCTGCATTCGTATTGGACTGTGACTTGGAGATGCAATTCCCCTGTCTGCATTATCATGCATATTGTTATTTATAAAGGAACCCCTTATGAGATGGGCTTCGCTCAGGGTACTCTGATGAAATATGAAGCGACATCTATGGTGAATGCCGTGTGGTCATATCTTGAGGATCAGGTTGTACGTAGAACCTTTGAACTGACCCGATCATATTTAGACTTAGTAAATATTCACGAATCCAATCGCCGGCTGTCGGCTCAATAAGAAATAATCAGCATACCAGTTTTTGAAAAATATCGAAATGTGATGATGAAACGGTTAAACGAAATATTTGAAATGTGAAGGACTTGATCAGGATGCATTAAATTCAAGTTTGTAGAATACGATGAATTAGCCATCGGTTACAACAGCCATCGGTTACAATATAATGTTGCAGGAAAGTGCAATAAATGGTACCCTGAAGCTGAAGATAAGAGAATGGTTTCTAAAGGATGTTGCGGATTTTGGGTAAGGTCTTGTCCAGTGCTGTATACATGGATGTGGGGTGTTCAGGTAGAATTTGGAATGTGTTAAACAACCTTTTCTAATATATCTAAATCAGATCGTGATAAAATTTCAAAAAGTGAAGTAATTTTAGCATTTTTTGTCATTTTCTTTACTTTTTACTTTCCAGACTAGATACAGCTCTTGACTTGGAACTTCTTGCAACTAGGGCTTACACAGGCAAATATTTCAATGAGGAGATTCAGGGGATGGCGGATGCCACAGGGATAGATCCAAAGGTATGAAACATCAGATTTTCTCAATCAATCATTCGAAGTTGCATTATATTCAAATGATGAAGCGTATTCTGTCGAAATTGGATGTACGTCACCGAATTTAATGTTTTTAAAGCATCTGTTCTTGAAGCCATCGTATGAGTCACCAAGCGTAAAATATATATTCGAAGCAATCTTCAATAAAGAATAATGTGTCCATTCCGATCGTTCAAATTGATATTTGATAGTTCACCTGAACTCGTCTGTATCTTTTGTTGGCTCCATTACCGTGCTCCATTAATTATTTTATTTTATTTTTAGAAAATTATGAGAATTCACATGATTGGGGAATTGACGTAAGTAGATCAGTTGTGTAATCAATAACTGGTTCTTCATCAAAAGTTTTCAAGACAGACTAAAATTTTTATTGAACACTGTGTCGCTGTTTGTGCGGTTTTGTGTTTCTTATGTTGCTCTTTGTGCTTCTCGTTTCAATATTTTTAGAGGCCTAATTAATTTCAAGTGAGCATAATAAAGTTGATAAACGAATAGAATTGTGTAAATTCCTGTGTTATACTTTTAATTTTTACTATGCCGCTAATGTTATTAAGTTAACAAAGGCATTCTTTTGTACTATTTCAATATCAAGGAAATATAAATAAACTGAAAATATAAAAAAAACGAATAGAATGTGAATAAGATGACTCGATGTTAAGATAAATCGATTAAAACAGTTCACATAGGTTTCCACTAGACCCACCTTAATCTTATATTACTTGAATATGTCTCATGAAATTCTCTGTATATACTAGCAAGGGGTACTACTGTCTGTGATGGTGATATAACAAATACACATAAACCCCAATAAACTATATTCAGCAGATAACTCTCAATATTAAATCAGTTATATGCGTCACATTTTTATGTCACCACCAAAAGTGGTGACATATTGTTATGGTCTCCGTTTTTTTGCGACGGTGGTTGGTGGTTGGTGGTTGAAGGTTGGCGTCCGGCGTCTGTAACAATTTCTTACAACTTCCTATAACTTAACAAATACTGTTTAGACTGACTTCAATTTTTTTCTAAATCATCTACATGTTCTCAGAAGTTCAAATCTGACTTTAGATTTGACATTTGACCTTCAATGACCTTCTCAAGGTCAAAAAGGTCTTTTTTCAACTTGCTTCACATTGACTAAATTTTTTTTCAAAATCATCTACATGTTCTCAGAAATTCAAATCTGACTTTAGATTTGACTTTAGATTTGACATTTGACCTTCAAATCTGACTTTAGATTTGACAATTTACCTTCAATGACCTTCTCAAGGTCAAAAAAAGGTCAAAAAGGTCTGTTTTCAACTTGCTTCAAATTGACTAAAAATTTTTTTCAAAATCATCTACGTGTTCTCAGAAATTCAAATCTGACTTAAGATTTGACTTAAGATTTGACATTTGACCTTCAATGACCTTCTCAAGGTCAAAAAGGTCAAAAAGGTCTGTTTTCAACTTGCTTCAAATTGACTAAAAAAAATTTCAAAATCATCTACGTGTTCTCAGAAATTCAAATCTGACTTTAGATTTGACTTAAGATTTGACATTTGACCTTCACTGACCTTCTCAATGTCAAAAAAGGTCAAAAAGGTCTTTTTTCAACTTGCTTCAAATTGACTAAATTTTTTTTTCAAAATCATCTACATGTTCTCAGAAATTCAAATCTGACTTTAGATTTGACATTTGACCTTCAATGACCTTCTCAATGTCAAAAAAGGTCAAAAAGGTATTTTTTCATCTTGCTTCAAATTGACTAAACATTTTTTTCAAAATCATCTACATGTTCTCAGAAATTCAAATATGACTTTAGATTTGACTTTAGATTTGACATTTGACCTTCAATGACCTTCTCAAGGTCAAAAAGGTCTTTTTTCAACTTGCTTCAAATTGACTAATTTTTTTTTCAAAATCATCTACATGTTCTCAGAAATTCAAATCTGACTTTAGATTTGACATTTGACCTTTAATGACCTTCTCAAGGTCAAAAAAGGTCAAAAAGGTCTGTTTTCAACTTGCTTCAAATTGACCAAATTTTTTTTTCAAAATCATCTACATCTTTTCAGAAGTTCAAATTTGACTTTACAAGTTCTCAGAAGTTCAAATCTGACTTTAGATTTGACCTTTGACCTTCAATGACCTTCTCAAGGTCAAAAAGGTCTTTTTTCAACTTGCTTCAAATTGACTAAAAAAAAATTTCAAAATCATCTACGTGTTCTCAGAAATTCAAATCTGACTTTAGATTTGACTTAAGATTTGACATTTGACCTTCAATGACCTAACTAGGTGGTGACATTTTGTCATGTTAATGCCTTGTTAACCAATTGAGATAATTTTGACGACTGAGTCTTTTTAATTGTGTTTTTAAATGTTACACTTAAAAACATGTACCATTTTTCTTGTGATGTTACACTTAAACGTGCAGGCCCGTAGCCAGAGGGCGAGCTGGGGGAGCGGAAGCTCCCCCCCCGGCTAGAAATTCTTTCAAAATCATGCAGTTTTTCACCATTCTGAGAATTGTTCGCATGATTTTTAGCCAAATTGTGAAAAAGCTCCCCCCTGGAAAAAAAGCTCCCCCTCCTGGTAAAAGCTGGCTACGGGCAAGACGTGTACCATGTTTCGTGCGATGTTACACTTAAACGTGTACCATGTTTTTGTGATTTTCTAAATGTAATATGTTCCTAGTTTATAATTTTATCAGCAAGGGTTCCTGTTCTATGTTTGGTGCATGGGGCAAGGCAACCGGTGATAACTCTCTACTACAACTGAGGGCACTGGACTGGAATGTGGATGGTATGATCTAACTCAAATCAAATATTTACGCCGAACTATAAATCCAATCCTTGAAGACCTGAATCAGTACGACACATATTCCACTCAAGTGAAGTAGATAATATAACAGATTTTGCATTTCATTTGGACAAAATGTACTTAACCTACTGATATATGAATATTTGTTATCAAAGGCCCATTCAAGGACTACCCCCAGGTGACTGTGTACCATCCGAGGGGAAATGGTAGTGTGGGTCAGGACTTTGCTAATGTTGGATGGACAGGTTGGATCGGATCGATCCAAGGTAAATAAGAATCTACATGGATATATCGAATAGAAGGTCACTAATATACATAAATAGTATCTAAAACAGTGTCTAACCTCCATCTACACAAATGATGGTCCACGTGTTTTCTGGTACAAATTGTCTTCAACTATCCCTCTAAATCCTCAAAGCGCAACTCCAACAAGTTATAAATTACGTGGAATATATCGTCTCTTTAAAATTGATAAATAATTTGGCAATGATACAAATATGTATCTTATGAGCTAAACACGGTGATCGAAATACAGTGAGACAACTAATACGTATCCTCCTGGGAAGACTTAAATCAAAATTCAGAAATATGATCATTATTTTCAGGTATGAATTCCAAGAAAATGGCTATTTCTGAGATTGGAGCTTCATTTCCAGATGCAACATTTGGTTCCGAGTCACGATTTGGAATTCCTTTTACGGTGAGTTCGAACTGCAGGAAAAGAAATAAATAGAAAATATGAGATAGTGACTTCAAAAATCTGTCTTGTTAATGTTCCAATATGGGCCCAATTTCTGGTTTAAGGGGCCCAACATTTTTCCCAGATTTGAAATCCCCCCCCCCCCTTTTTAGCTTCTGGATCCGCCAGTTTTCTGTTTCACAGTATGTATTTCAGTATTTACTAAGGGACATCCTACAATTCGACCAGACAATTGATGATTCTATAAACCGTATTGCCAACTCGAAACGTACATGTGATCTTATTCTAGGAGTTGGAGATGGGAAGGTAATGAATATACACTCCCCTACATAAGTTTGCCAATCCGAAAACACCTTTTAGTTCACTTATCAAAGAATTTTTATGTAGGGAGTGTAAATACTCCGAGGCAAGAAGATGAATTCTCTCAATTTACACAAAATGGCCAATCACACTTGTTGCATGCTAAATTGTGTCTGTTGAACAGTTCGTGGACAAAAGGGGAAGGTGGCGAGGCATTTGAGATAATATTGAATGAGTTGTCATTTTCACAGTTTCAAAATTGTTTTGGAAGATATTCTTAATTTCTTAACGCTGCTTATTCATTTTAAGCTAGGCGAATTCCGAGGTATTGAATATTCAGCCTCTGTTGCTAACTTCTATGATGATGAAAACCTCAAACCAGAAGCTGAATGGCATCCCAAGATTCAGAATGTTGTCTATTGGGGTAAGAAAAATATAGTAACATTGATTTCGATTCCGATTTGGAATTCCTTGACGAATGGCAGAAATTAGAATTTCCATGCATATCAGGGTAGTGGCATTTGAACGTTCAAACTATACATGTTTGTTCATTATATATATTTTTATTTCTATAAATTCACATTCTATGTACAGGTCATATTTTACATAAACATGTTTTCGGCCGAAATAAGGATGGCAGCAGTGGTAGAATCTTATTATATTCTTTGTATACAGATTGATTACTATGCCATCTTTATTTATGAAAGGCATGGATTGGCTTTGTCCAGGATACAGTTCAGTACTTGCAAGACAACTGAACAAGTACCATGGCAACCTGGACGCTGGCTTCACCATACACGATGTAGTACCTATTGTACAGACGGGAGACCTATTGGTTAACGTTTATGACCTTTCAAGGAATATAATGTATGTCTCGAATGCACGAGCCACGGGAGAAAGTGGCCCCCAGTTTGCCTATGACAGGTGGTGCATCTTGTTTTTCAATATATACAAAATATACTCTTATTAACATAAAATTAATATAATATTATACAATTTTGAAACTCAGTTTTACCTACTTTTTTTAAAATCATGATGGAATATGAGCTCATATCTGCTGCCACTCCTGCATACCATATACCATCTAATTTTCCAATAACTTCTTTTCAGGCAATTTTTACGGTTGGATATGGCACTCTTATTCAGTGAATCAGCACCTTTGGAATGATGAACTATATCACCATTTTAATATTCAATTTAGACTGAACTCTTCCGATGTCCTTTTGGAACTCAATAAAGAATATTGGAATAATGTGGAATCAAAAATTATTGCCATTATTCTTTGATAAATACTCCAATATCTATTGTATTATATAACTTTCTGAAGAAATCATGCATAAGATCCAATACAGTATCTGAGTTATATAACCAAATAGACACATGTATAACAACAGTATACGGCAACATTTGGAACTAATAGTGCCAAGTAGAAAATGTAAAATAATTGCATTTATCACTTATTGTGGCCAATTGGTTCAGGTGTAATTGTTTCATATGTAAATGTTCGGTCGCATTGTGCTAATGAGAGCAAGTAGTATATCATAAATTTGCCCATAGTTAGACAAGGCGTGTCAAATTCTAGCCAATCAGAACACAGTATATCATGTAACTGCATTGCAATATATAACCAACAGCCCACCCAAGGTCATTTTTAGATTTCATCAATTTCCATAAGACTAGTCTCGGTTTAGAGAACGAAGATCATTAGTCTACTGCACGTTACGCCTGCTTTGGACAATTTGATATTTTTACATATTGTAGATTTAAATGTCTTCTTTTGAATATCCATAATTTAATTGGGGTGATATTTCTATATTTTTCATAAAAACTTATTAGCGCAGTATACTGATGAACCTCTTTCTCCAAATCGAGACTTTTATTGAATCGATCCACTGCACGTTACACCTGCTTCGGACAATTTTGATATTTTTACATCTTGTAGATTTAAATGTCCTTTCTCTTTTGAACATTCATAATTTAATTTGGGTGATATTTCTATATTTTTCAAAAAAAATATTAGCCCAGGAGACTGTTCTCCAAACTGAGACTCGTCCTTTCTAGTTGGCTGTTGTCTTTTCAGTGACATTGTATAAAATATTTTGCAATTTGTGAAAAGAATTTAAGCCCAAGACTCAATGCATTGTGGCTGATTCATTCCACTCAGGCGTTGTTTCCTAATCTTAGCAAAGTTTCAAACAACACCTTTGAGGAATGATAATCAGTCAGGGCTTAAATCCTTAAGTCATTCCAGCCTGAATGCAACATTGTAGACAGCATTGCCCCATACATTCAACGCATGACGTCATGCAACGCTCAAAATTGCAAGGTGTTTTACACGACATACACCTCCCGTTGGGATGCTCACCATTGATCGTAAAGGATTTCCTCTTTTTATAAACTACAACAGCTATTATGAAAACCAAAACAACCACAGTCAATACGGCCACAATTATACCAACCGTGGCCAAAGTACTGAGATTGGACGTGTTCTGTTTTTCCAGAGCTTTCACACACATCCCTTTATTTCCAGCCTTGTCTAGCACAATGATTGACACATTCGACTTGCAACAGGATATTTCATAGCTGATAATTTTCCGACTGGGCTCATCTTGGACAATGTGAATAATCTCAACCGATTCGTTAATAGTGATGTTTCCAATCCCCGAGTTATCATCCGTAAAGGTCGCATTAATGTTCCACTTGGTCTTATCACAAAATTCCTCTGTATTAAGGCAGTTATCAAAGTTAGAGGTATAGTAGCATACTGGGGGGTCAATGTCAATGTTTGATTGGCGGTAGAACACGGGAATCTCAAGATCAATGTTCTGTAGAATTAAAGTGCAAGTTTTATTTTATAAAACACAAACATGTTTTCTCCTTTTAACTTTGCCATCAAATATTAGCAAGTTCCTTCAATTTTACTTAAATATGGTAATAGGCAAATCAACCAAACACATATAAAACGAAACATGAGACAAAGCAAAGAGACAAGACAAGACCAGGTATGTTATGGGAAATGATTCATCTTTGTCCTTGACTATAAAATATTCTTCATTATAATAATGTTTTCTTTGAAGTCAAGTAAATTGACATAGATTGCCACAATTATTGAAATCCGCTACGCTCGCCACTCTCCTTTGTGATATGCGGCCTTTTGTCTTGAAGATCCCTTTCCCTTCTTACACTTTGTATAAGTTATAAAAGCAACGATAACAGCTAGAAGAATGACAACCAATACACATATGATTATACCAATTATAGGTGTACCGCTAAAATCGAACGCACGTCTTAATTCCGCGCACGTGCCTTTATTTCCAGCCTTGTCTAATACAACTACTGAAACATCCTTTCTGCAACAGGATATTTCATAACTGAGAATTTTCATATAGGGCTCATCTTGGATTGTGTATATTTTGTCAACAGGTTCGTCAATTATAATCTTTCCGATACCCGATTTGTCATCCTTAAAGGTGGCGCTGATGTTCCAGGTAGCATCATTGTAGTGGCATTCTGTTGCGTTTTTAGGACAGCTTTTATCGTCAAGGATAAGATAGCATTCTGGAGGCTCAAGATCAATGTTCTGCAGAATATAATCAACATACAAATAAAGCACAATAGCGCGACATACAATAAAGCACAAGTACATACTTTGGATGGTGATAATAATGATAATGATAATGAGAGGTTTCTAAGTTCCTTTAATTTTGATAAAGTAATAGGCAACTCCTGCTATTAGAGCTGCCACTAAGAGACACGATGCAACAATGACTATCGCTATCCCAGCTTTTGCTGCTGTAGACAGCTCTTGCGGATTAATATCTAGTTCTAGACTACATTTAGCGACATTGCCCACACCGTCACTAACTATAATCTCTACTCTATCCATACAACAGTCCCCGGTATATCCAACAAACATAGTATCATTATACGTTGTTTTATCTAAATAGATCTCTGTTAGGTTAACCCCTATGGGTGAAAAGTCATAAATCCCTGATTTTGTATCGTTGAATATCATATAGCTCGTCCAGGTAGTGTTTATACATTCGGGGGTATTAGATATGTCTTCACAAACACTACTTGGTTGGATCTCGCATGTTGGCGCCTCATCGTCAATCTCCTGTAGGAAAACGACCAGTTTCATTTATGATTTCGTGACACATACAACAAACAAACAAGGCACTAACGTGACAAAATGTCACCACCTCGTTGTTAACAGTATTATGAGTTCTAATCTTAGTCAACTTCTGAGAATTTGTAGCCAATCTTGAAATGAATAAAAAATTTGGTCAATTTGAAGCAAGTTGAAAACAGACCTTTTTGACCTTTTTTGACCTTGAGAAGGTCATTAAAGGTCAAATGTCAAATCTAAAGTCAGATTTGAATTTCTGAGAACATGTAGATGATTTTGAAAAAAAAATTAGTCAATTTGAAGCAAGTTGAAAAAAGACCTTTTTGACCTTTTTTGACCTTGAGAAGGTCATTGAAGGTCAAATGTCAAATCTAAAGTCAAATCTAAAGTCATATTTGAATTTCTGAGAACATGTAGATGATTTTGAAAAAAAGATTTAGTCAATTTGAAGCAAGATGAAAAAATACCTTTTTGACCTTTTTTGACCTTGAGAAGGTCATTGAAGGTCAAATATCAAATCTAAAGTCAGATTTGAATTTCTGAGAACATGTAGATGATTTTGAAAAAAAAATTTAGTCAATTTGAAGCAAGTTGAAAAAATACCTTTTTGACCTTTTTTGACTTTGAGAAGGTCATTGAAGGGCAAATGTCAAATCTTAAGTCAAATCTAAAGTCAGATTTGAATTTCTGAGAACACGTAGATGATTTTGAAAATTTTTTTTAGTCAATTTGAAGCAAGTTGAAAACAGACCTTTTTTGACCTTGAGAAGGTCATTGAAGGTCAAATGTCAAATCTTAAGTCAGATTTGAATTTCTGAGAACACGTAGATGATTTTGAAAAAAAAATTTAGTCAATTTGAAGCAAGATGAAAAAAGACCTTTTTGACCTTGAGAAGGTCATTGAAGGTCAAATGTCAAATCTAAAGTCAAATCTAAAGTCATATTTGAATTTCTGAGAACATGTAGATGATTTTGAAAAAAAGATTTAGTCAATTTGAAGCAAGATGAAAAAATACCTTTTTGACCTTTTTTGACCTTGAGAAGGTCATTGAAGGTCAAATATCAAATCTAAAGTCAGATTTGAATTTCTGAGAACATGTAGATGATTTTGAAAAAAAAAATTTAGTCAATTTGAAGCAAGTTAAAAAAAGACCTTTTTGACCTTTTTTTACTTTGAGAAGGTCATTGAAGGGCAAATGTCAAATCTTAAGTCAAATCTAAAGTCAAATTTGAATTTCTGAGAACACGTAGATGATTTTGAAATCTTTTTTTAGTCAATTTGAAGCAAGTTGAAAACAGACCTTTTTTGACCTTAAGAAGGTCATTGAAGGTCAAATGTCAAATCTTAAGTCAGATTTGAATTTCTGAGAACACGTAGATGATTTTGAAAAAAAAATTTAGTCAATTTGAAGCAAGATGAAAAAATACCTTTTTGACCTTTTTTGACATTGAGAAGGTCATTGAAGGTCAAATGTCAAATCTAAAGTCAGATTTGAATTTCTGAGAACATGTAGATGATTTTGAAAAGAAAATTTAGTCAATTTGAAGCAAGTTGAAAAAAGACCTTTTTGACCTTTTTTGACTTTGAGAAGGTCATTGAAGGTCAAATGTCAAATCTCAAGTCAAATCTAAAGTCAGATTTGAATTTCTGAGAACACGTAGATGATTTTGAAAATTTTTTTTAGTCAATTTGAAGCAAGTTGAAAACAGACCTTTTTGACCTTTTTTGACCTTGAGAAGGTCATTGAAGGTCAAATGTCAAATCTTAAGTCAGATTTGAATTTCTGAGAACACGTAGATGATTTTGAAAATAATTTAGTCAATTTGAAGCAAGTTGAAAACAGACCTTTTTGACCTTTTTTGACCTTGAGAAGGTCATTGATGGTCAAATGTCAAATCTAAAGTCAGATTTGAAGGTCAAAAGTCAAATCTAAAGTCAGATTTGAATTTCTGAGAACATGTAGATGATTTTGAAAAAAAATTTAGTCAATGTGAAGCAAGTTGAAAAAAGACCTTTTTGACCTTGAGAAGGTCATTGAAGGTCAAATGTCAAATTTAAAGTCAGATTTAAACTTCTGAGAACATGTAGATGATTTAGAAAAAAATTGAAGTCAGTCTAAACAGTATTTGTTAAGTTATAGGAAGTTGTAAGAAATTGTTACAGACGCCGGACGCCGGACGCCAACCACCAACCGCCGTCGCAAAAAAACGGAGACCATAACAATATGTCACCACTTTTGGTGGTGACATAACAAAAAACTTTTAGCAGTCAGCATGTGCCTCTTTAAAATTCTGCTGATCAAAACCCCCAAAAAAAACAATGAATGATTATATATTTTTCTTAATATATCCTTTCTGTCTGCAATAGTGACAAATGAAAACGAACAAATTCTATTTTAAACTGGTATTTACTTTTACAAAATGTGTGTTCGGTGATCCTTTTGATGTTCACTCTTGCCACATATAGTCAAATTGATGTTCAAATATGTCCAAATCAAAATATAGTCATGTTGATGTGGCTGATGATATGAATGAGCATGTAAGCAGGCAAAGAGTGCTAGCCTGCATTCCCATCACGTCAGCATGCACCCATGCATATAAACGCAAAGAAATAAAACTGCTCTATCAAGTTTACCATGCATTGCTTCCTTCCCCCAATAAAAGACGAGGGGAACTGATAGAGCATTTACGAGCAGGTAGCTTCTCTAAAGAAGACAATAAATAAGGTTCATCCGCAGAAATTTCCAGAGACGTATTTATTTCCCTATAGGGGTTAACCAGCAGAGATCAATCTATTCAATGCACGTGTATGCAGTTTTTATTAGGAACATAAGCCCATGCACATGTATGCACATGAAGCATAACAGTAAATGTTCACGTGTACATTTTGATTTGATGGCATGCTTGAAAAAGATAAATGTATCCTTTTATTACCAAATGAGAAGCTTCAAGATGTGAAGAGTTATAGAGAGTAATAATGCTCTTAAATATGAGATTAATTAAGGGGACGTGTTCAAATCTCAACATATGCGAGAGAGTGCAATTAATAGCCTGGGAGAGATAAAGTAGATTTTCCCCTTCTTTGCAGTTTGCTAATATTTTCTTCACATTAATGTCCAACACATTTTTCGTATCTTTTGTAGGAGGTTGAATGGAAACCCAAAACGAATGTAAATCATATATTTCTGCTGCGTTTGAACACGACCCTTTAAGAAACACATTTCATGCATTCTTATAGCTTTCTCATCTATTCTAAGACAGCTTTTTACCTGCACTGCTACAATAATGTCAAATATGAAGTAGTTTGTCATGATCACTCCTGTCTCAGCGGATGTTGTGACAGTGATGGTGTTAACTGTACCCAGGGGAGTGTTTTCAGGGACAGTTACTGCAATAGTGCCGGTCTCCGAGGATTCTTCACCAAGAGTCATTCTGGGAAATAAAACGTCAATCAAGATTTCTGCCAAACTAACTTTCAATAAATTTAAAAGCAAGCACAAACATGAGAATAACAATGACGTCCTCTTTTAATAAAAAAACAAACATGTATAGTTGTGAAGGAGTAGAGATCAGTTTATACTCGTAGAGTTGATTTACTTTACTATCTGTAGGCCTCATTTTAAAATCTAACCATAACATCAAACAATATTTCATAATACCTGTACGGTTCAACCATTTTAGTGAATCTCTCCGAGTCAACCGCTTCCACTTTAAACACTGCAGATGGACCAAGATTCTTAACTTCGTATTCTATTATGGCTGTCTCTCCGGGCTCCAGAGTCAGCGAGCTATTTCTGGCTGTATTCCAACGTACTACAATTGTGGACACCGAGAGAAGCTCAGGAAGCATTCTTTGAACTCTTTCCAAGGAATTGTCTTTCCCATACATCAAGACTCGGAAATCTGTAAAGTGCATTTTGTATGTGGTTTATCCCGGCAATGGCACCATTGATTGAGAAATAGGGATCAAAGCCAGTATGACTTTTGCGTTTTTGGACGATTGTGCCGGTTTTGCGAATGCATGTTCACATGTTGATACCCTCATAGACTTTTACATTGGGTTCTGCCGTCCCACAACATTTGAGACTGAATACTTTATCGTGTACTACTGCAACTATTTATGATGTCAAGAGCGTTGCAAGTATTTTTGTTCTTCGAATAGTACCGTATTATTTAGGTATGGGTTAAATGTTCATAGCCTTGTGGTTTTGGATTGTGATAATGTTTCCTAAAAGGTGGTCATGTATTTGAAAGACATTGTTTCTTTTTGCAATAAGATCATATGGGATTTTGGGGTTTTGTTTTTTCTGGTTACTGGTTACCCTTTTACATTTTTGCATACTGTTCTCTAATACCGTTTGATATTTCCCCTTAAAGCACTGATCCTTACATATTTATCTAAATACTTTTTGAATTATTTTAGACTTATTTCAATCATTGGTTATAGTTTCCTTGTATTGCCTTGTATATTATGATTATTTTCCAAAATGTTAATAGAAATGTTGTTTTTGGTTTACCAGGGATAATTGGATTTTAAAACATTATTTACAATGGGTTATAAAGTGAATTGTGTCACTCCATTGTGTACTAACAAAAGATCTCATGAAATTATAAATATGTTACATCGAAAAGGTTCAATAAATGAATTGACATTTAAGATTTCTGATGGCATATTAAATAAACCTTACCCTTAGAAGGTAGCATTTCATTAGCAGAATAGAGAATATCTGTAGTATTCTTCACAGGGACATCTTTGAGAACAACCCCTTCCTGGGTAATGAACTGAATCCCCTCAACCAGCGTAATCCAGTCATCGTTAGTTTGATCCAGCAGGACCAAGATTGTTGTGTTACCACCTGATAGAGAGAAACGTATTTATATGGTTGGAGTGAGACTCGTTTACTTTAGTCACTTGACATTTTAAATGACTTCACGTCACGAATCAATTAACTTAGAAAAAATGGATGAATTCATTTCTATGGAAGCATCATCTTGGCTGTTATCTCATTAAGTGCCAGTGATTCCCATTACACGGGGTATCAAATCATCGGGGTATCAAATGAATCAAGATGTACTGATCCAAAATTGAAAGCAAATAGGGACAACTTAGATTAAACAAAAAGTCATGTCATACCTGTTGTTGGTTTTCCATCAATCTTTCTCCAGCCTTGATGGGGAGAATTTGGCTTCTGGTCCACAAATTTAACATTCATGTCTACGTAACTCTTTGCAGTCACCTGAAACAGTTAATTTAGCTCATGTAACGCAAACTTAACATTCACGTCCACGTAACTCTTTGCAGTCACCGGTAACAGTCAATTTACCCCATGTAACGCAAACTTCACTCATGTCCACGTAACTCTTTGCAGTTTTCACCTGCAACAGTCAATCTAGCTCATGTAACGCAAACCTAACAGTCATGTCGACGTAACTCCTGCAGTCACCCGTAACAGTCAGTTTAGCTCATATAACGCAAACTTAACATTCACGTCCACGTAACTCTTTGCAGTTATCACCTGTAACAGTAAATTTAGCTCACGTAACGCAAACCTAAGATTCACGTCCACGTAACTCTTTGTAGTAACAGTTAGTACCAAGTAGTCTTAATATACTGTTCTGTTTTTAGTCATATAAATCCGACCGCCGTATCCTGTTATTTGTTGAACAAGGAACATCGAAGAACAGCATACAGCGGTCGGATTTATATCACTACGTTTTTGTGACAGGCCTTTGGAGTTCGGTGTTTGGCGTCAGCGTCTCTAATTTATTACACAACTACACCATTTAAAATAGCTCATCAGATGCTTGTTAATAATGGTCAAGAAAATGATGCTACCTTGAGGTTATATTTAGCTGATGATGAGGTAGTCACCTCCCATAGTCCAGTCTCGGGTGAGGTCAGCTTGTAGATCACAAAGTTTGGCAGGTCTGTGATCTTAGATGGTTCAGTTGTTTTATCTACACAACACAACAAAATATATACAGCTTTTGATTTCACACATTTACTTGTTTCTTTTTGTTATTTTTCTCTTTCAAAAATAAGGTTAAATACGAGTATGGTTGCCATTGATCCCCAATGCTATACCTTGGGAAACTAGAATTAATAATTTTGAAATATTGTCTCTCTAAAATTCGTCTCTTACATCAAATAAAGCTACCCGGGAAGCTACCCCATACCTTCTGTTGATTTAACATCTACTGTGCCTAGAGGGTCAAATGAGCTGACTTGGACATAGACCTCAGACACCGACATATCAACTGGGAATGTCTTTGTCCCACTCACTCCTTCCACTTGATATATCAGCACCTACAGAATAATACACGAGTGTCAAAACCTCGTAATCAGATGAAGCTCTCTTTTAAAGGAGTGAGTCAAAACTATTAGAAAGGGAAACAATCCATGGTATGAATAACAAAGACACAATTTGTTCAAATCTTTTTATTTATCAGTCTCACTTTGTCATCATCCATACCTCTGAACTCTGCAATGATATATCAATGACCCTTGTGATTTCCAGAACATCAGTCTTATTAGCATCTATGATCTGACCCCCAGTGGCAGCTGATATGGGCAAATAGTCAGCAATCACGGTGGGGACTCGCTCGGCATTATTACCAGTATAGGATACGAGAAAATTTAACTGGAAATTAAAATGTTTGATTAATCAATAATGAGATATGCATGATTAATAAAGGGGTGTGGTTGATTATGGAATATTTATCTGATTAATAAGAAACGTATGTATTTGAGGAATATGGTGTTACCTTGACATCTTTTTCTTTAGCTTGAGCTATCACATGGTCTGTAAGATTAGTATCATGAGCTGGCGCGTCGGTCATGACAAAACAACTAGATCCTGAAACCAAAGAACCATGGTCAGGAATCAGCAATCAAGGCACAACGAACAATATTTTGATGTAGCCACTTTAATCAAAAATTAAAGCTCAGGACTTACTGAATTTTGATGATTTTGAACCACCTAAATCTTGCTTTCAGACTGAATGAGTGCGGTTGAACGAAATCAAAGTTTAGGATACAAGACATAGGTGGATATATCATCCCAAAATCAACTGGAAAATCAACAAACAAACGAATATACAGGGTGACCGGAAAAAAAGGAGACCATTGAAGTAATCAATTTCTCCTAAACTAGACAAGTGCCATCAATGAAATTTTGCATACACTGGAACAGTTATATGGAAATTTGTTACTGAAGGTTTCAATACAAGCATTCAACTGGTTCAGGAGCTATGATCATTTACATAACATGCTCCAAATAGGCACAATTGAGACCAACGCAGAGTTGGATTCATATGGCAAACTACCCTTACATGTTCTGCCCTCTATGGCATTATTATGGCATTACATATAGCAGTGATTGCCTTCTTTAGGTCAACAATAGTCTGAGGATTGTTTTGGTATAGAGTGTCTTTCAAATATCCATACAAAAAGAAATCAGCAGGATTCAAGTCTAGGCTGTAATGGCAATGAAGGGTTATCTGACATGTGGTTCATCATCCTGTTGCCAAAGTGCTGATTTACCCAATCTTAAGAGTCACTTTAGGTATTGGGCATAGTGCCATGTTACTAAAACCACTATATGGCACAATTAAATCCCATATGGAAACCAAGGGCTGCCCAAAACCTCCTTAGGATGATACTGTAACTGAGTGGGACCACTGAGTCAGAAGCCATAGGTCAGATAAGCTTCGTCTCCATACACCTCAAATTTGAATCCACCTGATTTCTTTTTGTGGGGCAATTTGAAAGACAATGTGTACCAAAACAATCCTGAGACAATTGCTGACCTAAAGGTGGCAATAAATGCTAAATGTAATGCCATAACAAGGTCGGAATATGTGAGGGTATTTGCCAAATGTATCCAGCTCTGCGTTGGTCTCAATTGCGCCTATTTGGAGCATGTTATGTAAATGATCATAGCTCCTGAACCAGTTGACTGCTTGTATTGACACTTTCAGGAACAAATTTCCATAGAACTGTCCTGATGTATGCAAAATTTCATTGATGTCACTAGTCTATTTTAGGAGATATTGCCTATTTCAATGGTCTCCTTTTTTTCCGGTCACCCTGTACAAAAGGCAAACTTACAAACAAACATACACACAGGACTTTATTTATGCTAAGGATAAACAGATCTATTCAAATCAATTTACCTTTCTGTACATGTTGCAAAGCCAGGCTGACCCCACTTATTGCATACTCTCTCCAGTCATTTCCTCCAGCTGCCTCTAGTTCGTCCAGGTAGACTAAGAACTCATCGGGGTCCCTTGTCACCTGGGCTGGACCATACTCTGGAATGCATTCCTTGTTAACAATTGGTCAGCTTACAAAATAAGATGCAGCACTTGTCCTGCATATAGCGTTTGTGGTATTTTATTTTGAGTAATATGAAAAATAGTACCTGGATCATTAAATGGAACAAGGACGTAGTTGTAAGGTTTGTAACTAGATTTGGCCCTCTCTTCTACTATCTGTTTGCTCCGAGATTTGGCAGCTTCAATATCTGCAGCCATGCTGCCCGTGGTGTCAATAACAAAGCACAGCGATGTGCCAAAGCCCAGGTTTAGGTACTGGCTGTATACTTCATCTCCTCTCGCCTCTCTGATACCATCCAGGAACTCTTCAGTTGCCAAAGCAGCAACATCAGCAGCCTGTGGTTATAAAGGATTACATTTAGGATTTTGTCGAAATAACGCCCATTCGTTAGATCTCGCAGGTCGTACCATTGATGTTCTTTTTAATCTAATTCAGAAGCTGATATGGATGATATGCTTGATTCCCTTTTAACGATGTATGTTCACCATTGAATGATAAAAAACAACTTATTTGTAGTTTTTATCATCTAACGTTCAACATGTGTACTAGATCAAACATTGATAGGCTTTGATATGCATTCCAATAAAAGCTTCCAGTTGCTAACCTTATGGAGGGGAGTGTATGTCGTACCTGGTGATGCAAATAGTGATGCGGTGACCATAGAAACAGTGCAGAGTCTTTGTTGATGCCTCCTTTGGCGGGGGTATCTTTAGATGTGATATCAATCTGACCGCCGTGACTACATTTACCTGCAGGAAAGCAATACAATTATTAAAGGTTGGACTTTTTCGTAAACAATGCAATAGAATTAAGTGGACTATAAAACCTGAATATCCGAAACTACGATAAGACAACCACCTCTTCTCATGCAACTTATCACATTATAAATCGAGATTTCTCTGAAAATTAAAAAAACGCATGATCATCCTAATTTTATCCATTACGGTTGGTGCAACAGAATTAAAATTGGAGTCCCAGGTAAAGAGACGATGGCCATCTTATAGGAAAGCATTTAATGGAACGATAATCTTGATTAAAGGATTGGTATCGATATGGTGATCTTAATTCAACAATGTTTTCTCTTAAACCAATTATTGAAAACATTCTGTAAAAAAACACGGTCTTTTATGCAATGTCGACTGATTGGCAATAATTTAACGCGAAAATTATTTATATATATCACTGTTTTTGTTAACATTTTTGGGGGTTTAGTGCGAATTGTTTATTGTTCCTTTCTACCAATTTTGAGAATAAAATAAAATATCTTGGTTGATTTAACAAGTATTAAAGGAATTAAAACAAAAAATAGATAAAAATTATATTATTACAAATGAAATGGTGACCATTAGATTGACGATGTGTAAAATTTTCAGAATTTTTTGATGACTGGTTTAAGAGAAACGTGTGTTCAAAAAGTTCACCATATCGATACCAATCCTTTCTCATTTGGGAGAACATTGGATATACTTGTTTTGGTTGGTATAATAATGTGAAGACAAAATATCTAAATCATGTGATAAAACAAATATCCAATTTACTAGTATTCTATTTAAAATTGTAATCTCTAAAATCTTTAACCTTTCATTGATTTTTAACTAATAAAATAAGTACAGAGTCTGGTCTAGCTAGAGTGATATTAAGATACCTTCATCACGCAAACTATATATTTGCCACCAAATCTAGACATACAATTCACATGCTAAACCTCATCATTCATAAAACTGTAAAAAACTAATGGATAAGGCCAAGGTAATAAAAATGACTGTTTCATGACGTGTTCAATATATCAAATATATGATAATTTTCGTTTTTAAGAATTTGCCTTTTAGAAAATATTGATGTGCCTGAGATGAATCATATAATCATCGTCACTTGTATGTTTCACAGTTCAAGATTAAAAGGTATATATCAATACCAAGACCCTTTATTGACCGAGAACCCAATTTAATTAATTGCTCAGTAACTTGGCCTTATTTAAACTAAACTGCAGGATGAAACAGTTGATTCGATTGTTGTTAAGGCCAGCTGGACATATAGTCGTTATAAAAAGAAATGCCATGCTTCTGATTAGAGTTTACCATAGATTACTCATTTTCTCCGCATTCGTGACTTTAAGCTTGATGTACATGGGGAAACAGTGTAACGAATCATTGAACACTTGGAGTCAGGAGACATCTGGATCTCAATACGTTCCAAATGAGATCTTCCAAAATGATATCAATGTAAAGGAAAGGACGATCATCTTATTTTGGACCAACTTCTTCGGGAAGCCATTCCCGGTGACTGGATCCGCCATGTTTGAATCTTGCCCCGTTTCTACATGTGAGATAACGACCAATAGGAATAGGATCCGCGAAGCAAATGCGGTTGTATTCCACACATGTAGGACAACTGATCTCAACCCCTTTGACCTCCCGACATATAGGGACAATACCCAAAAGTGGATATTTTATTGTAAGGAACCTCCAAATGAGGCCATGCTTCAAGTGCATCAAAGCCTCAAAGGGATATTCAACTGGACAATCACTAATCAGTTTGACTCTGATGTGCCTTTCCCTCATGGTTTCTACGTGATGAAGGGCACCAATGACATGCCATTCAAGGATTACGCCCATGGAAAACCACGATTGGTAGCTTGGGTAGTTAGTCATTGTAACACATCAAGTAAGAGAGAGGAATATGTGAAAAAGTTACAGAAATACATCAAAGTGGACATATACGGCAAATGTGGAACAAGAATCTGTCCACGTAATTGTCTTGAATTTCTAGGTAAGTTTTTCACTAGTTCATTTTTGTACCATCGTGGGACAGCATAAAAGTAATGACATGATGTATTCTTCGTTGTCTCTTAAATTCCAGTTTTGATTTCTATTTTGATTTATTATTTTTCCAGGGGTGCGTTATAAATTCTACCTGGCCTTTGAGAATGCCGATTGCCAGGATTACGTCACAGAAAAGGTCTGGAGAAATTCCTTTAAATTCAACATGGTGCCAATAGTACGAGGGCGTCGCAATAACTTTAAGAACATCCTGCCACCATACTCCTATATACACACTAATAAGTTTGATTCACACGAAGAACTAGCTCAATATCTAAAGTACTTAGACAACAATGACGATGAATATAACAAATATTTTGAATGGAGGAAAACATTTATAAGCTTTAACAGTGCTCAATTCCCGTATTACTGTTCACTTTGTAGACAGTTGCATATGAACAAGGGCCAGAAGAAATGGTACAACGATATATGGAAATGGTACTCCATAGAAAAGCAATGCAATGACTACACTTCAATGATACCTGAAAATATAAATGATTGATGACCATTCTTCACATCTTCTCTAACTTCAGATATCTGATGGTTGTCTCTCTGAGTAAATGAAGACGTGAAATTCATTTAGTCTAAAATCTAAAATCTTAAGACATTTCAGATTTGCACGTACCGAAATATCAAAACGTTATTTTGTAAATAATATGAATAAATACGTATGTATGATTATATTATAATGACTGTTGGTCAGTCTTAAATTGCCACGGTCATGTATCGTTTAAGTGCTTCTCAAGAAAAATTCGCAAATGTAAATTCTGTAAAGAAAATTGTACATTTAATATCCTTTTCTATTCTCTAAAGGTTATCAACAATACTGATATACCATTCTGATACTCATAGCATCTTTCTGTTTCACATGAGGGCTCAGAAGAAATGAGATGTCATGGTCTATCAACAATACTGATATACCATTCTGATACTCATAGCATCTTTCTGTTTCACATGAGGGCTCAGAAGAAATGAGATGTCATGGATTATCAACAATACTGATATACCATTCTGATACTCATTAGCATCTTTCTGTTTCACATGAGGGCTCAGAAGAAATGAGATGTCATGGTTTATCAATACTGATATACCAATAATACACTTTGTAATGCAACAATAAAGCGTACTATGACCTTGACTGTTTTATAAATAATGTTAGAATCTGCAATAAAATCATGTTACTTTCTTATATTTTATGAGTTATGAATAATCGTCAGGACCTCTCCCAATAATCATATGTTTTAAATATATGGTTTAAAGGCTCGTTTGCAGTTTAAACTCAGTAAAGACAAAACATAACAAATAGCAGGTAATAAGCAAATAGCAATGTGACTGTGGTCTACATAGTTTTAAATGTTACTAGACCTCTGTTTTTATTTTTGATGTAATTTTATGAATATAGATTACTATTAATTGAAAGATAAGGGAGTTGTGGATGAGTCTTATTGGATTTATTAATATACAAGTACGTATATACAGATAGGATTATACCGGACAAAAGAACTGTCTTTTGTTTTACCTGGCCAACCTTAATAATGGGCTCATTTTTGGTCATGAAAATTAATATCAGTCACTTTAAAAGATACATGGATTGGACAACATTTTCTCACCCTCTTTCTTGGGTACCTCTACACCATTGCCATCCTTTTGGGGTCCGCCTATCAAACTAGATAGAGCAAAGAAGCCACTTGTGAGCAGGCCTCTTCTATTAATACTCTCTATAATGTTGTCATAGCAGGTCATATCTTCACATTCGAGACACGTGTCTTCATCTGGTGACACAACCTCTCCAACAGATCTAGCTACAGCTGGAACGAAAAAAGACTCAAATTAATTTTATAAAACGTTGAAATTAAGCAAACTAACAAACTAAGGTCAGGGTAACAAAGGTCAGATGGAAAGGCTAGTCACCAAGGTTTCTGTTTGAAAACGTAAAGGTCAATGTCATCAACGCTAGCCACCTATTCTGTTTGAAAACTCTTAGGTCAAGGTTTTCAGACAAGGGCAAAAATTAGTTACCAAGGTTTCGGTCATCAAAAGCTCTCGCACTTATTCTGTTTGAAAACGTCTCAGGTCAAGGTCATCAAACAAAGGTAATCAAACAAGGTCAAATGAGTGACAATAGCTAGTCACCTAGGTTTCTGTTTGGCTCTGTATTCCCCATCTCAATCCAGTTCGAATGACTATAGAAATCCTGTAGGGTGTGCATCAGTTGGCCTGTCAGCTTGCGGGCAGACTGGAACTTCTCCGCATCAAGGGCAGCTATAACAGCTACAATGGAAGGCAGATCTTTAAACAACACATCAACATAGTTTGTACTTGTAAGGACATCCATCTTGACATTAATATTCTATAAACGTACATACACGTCCTTTGCTTATATCTACTGTGCAACAAGAGTACAATAACGTATAATATCTAATATTGTTTTTTTTTATAAAAACTAAATTATTGATTGTACATGAACTTGACCCGTATACGTTACCTTGTCGTAATCTTATCAAGCGATCGTTTGCCAAATCAAATCGTTCCGCATCAAAGTGAGCAGAAGGGAGATTGCTAGTAACTTCATCCGTGTCCACCTCTCCATTAGCATCACTCATCTCTTCTATAGCGTTCTTAAATTCCTTGGATGACACATCATCTCCAAAATAAGCCTGTATTAGTTTCTTTGCTGTCAATTCGCCATTGACCTCGATTGGGTCGCTGTCGGGGTGTGGGTTCTCCTGGAAGAATCTCAATGCGCTTTTAAGGATCCCCTTTTCTGTGATCTCAATGTGGGTTTGAGATGCAGTATTAGAAAATAACTCCCTAAGACGATTTGGGATAAATCCATTGATCACGCCTATGTTAAGTAATAGAAATACAACAAATATGGACTTCCCCATGTTCATGTTTGAGTTAACCTGACACACAAAACCGTTTAGTGAGATACTCTTCATTGCATCTGCCCGCTATCAAACTCCAGATATATCACATATCTTTGAAATGTTTTCTTTGATTTTGCTGAGATGCTAATTGCTTCACTTTTTATAAGCAAGATAACAAACAGTTTTAACCTGAATATATATGTGAACTTTGATTTTGAATTGCCACCCTCAATACTTGAGCTTGATTTATGAAACTTATCTTGTGAATACTAAACGACGACATGGGGTGTAAAAAGAACGTAAGTATTTTAGTGTTTGTTCTTTTATTGACTTGTCAATATAATGTTGAATAAAAAAAACAGTTCTAACCATAGGACTTCAGTTTTGAAGCGACTGAGGGTCGAATGCAAAATTCCACCAAGATATTATTAATTAATCATTAACGTTTCACTTTTAATCTGGAGATAAAATATATGCACCTTCTGCATATGACACTGAAACACTGATTTGTTATGGAGACAATATACCAAATTCGTAAAGCACTCCCCCGTTTAAGTACAGCAGAATATCAACCTCAAAATGATATTAGTTTCGAGGAGGGTGGGGGGTTCAACCTAAAAACGTGCGTCCTCCTATGTATGATCATTCATTTAGCTTGAAAGCGAAATCACTTAAACAAGTTACAACTTTTGTTACCGTTCGGGATATTATTCGGTATTTTAGCGGAATTTATTTAAAATGACCTCAAAACCATTTCTTGAACAATTTTTAGCTCTTCTCCCTTTTCATCGTTTGAAAAACTTTTTGTAGTGGTCTTCATCAGGTAATACCTGTTTGCGGCTCTACCTGTTTATATTAAAGGTTGTAGGGGTCTTCATCAGGTAATACCTATTTGCAGCTCTACCTGTTTATATTAAGGGTTTATTGGAGTCTTCATCAGGTAATACATGTCTGCGGCTCTACTTTTTTCTAGCGATTTTTTCACAGAATTGATTTTCTTTTTTCTTTTTCTACTTTGATTTGAAAAGTTCTTAATGGAGACTTAACCCCAGCCCCTATTCATGAAGGTAACAAACAAAAATACAACATCAACGATGTCAACTGTGAGACCATGCCACATGTTGGTTATAAATACAACCAAAATAGTTTAACCCTTCTACCCATTCTTTATTATATTGCATACAAATTGTCCAAATTTGGGAATTCGGGAGATAAATTTACTCTAGAATAAGTGAACACAAGATGTACATGTACATGCACCACAACTGTCCGTTTTGCCACATACGTTCAATATTACGGTGCCAATAGCAACTCACAACATTAAACAAAATTTGAGATACATACCTCCGTTATATATATCACCAACATATGTATACTAGTATGTTTTATGTGTGGATGTTCAAAATATCGCCTTTGGAGTTTTGTTTTAAGGGAAATTGTCAATTTTTGGGACAACAAGGGTGTCCTGAGCTCAGACAAACAACTTTTCATAAAATATGATAATATAATCATTTGAATAAAATCATTGTTCATATTGTAATCATGTTATATACTAGTCTAAACAAACGGGATGTCATTTTTCAAATAAATTTATTTTTGGAAATATTTTCAAAAAAACACATGGGCGTTCATGACGAGGAACAAATATACCAAGAATTATGCCCAACTTTCAGTTTAATCATTGGATCAAATCTTTCAATCATTACAAGAAAATAAACCACAAACTGACATTCGGTTGTTTTGAAATAATTGGAATTATGACGTGCACGGACCTGGGGACAATTCGGGAAATGCGGGCTTATCTCAGCTTTGAACGTTAATCTCTGCCTTATTTGAAAATCCAACTATGTGTTTTACATATCATTTTGAAGTATTTTTTATTCGCATTTCAATGAAATTATTTTTCCTTCAAAATTTTGATGGGATCCAACACATTTTTAAAGTTAAATATACTCCGACATCGTCAAATACGCTGTAAGACGTAACACTTTACGCTTACAGGGCTCGTTGAAATTGTGATAACTTTTGAAATAATGATCAAAATCCCACTTAAATTTCACAATTTATTCAATGGAACATTTGCATTTATGACGTCACAATTGCTTAACGGCTACATTTCAAATTATCTTATACGAACGCTTTTAAAATTTTCAAAATTGTGTAAGGTTTTGAAGGCGAATGGGACGAGCAATAAGTTTACCTTCATTTAACCTTCTAATTTAGGTCTGATTTGAAAGAAAATTTAACTGCACAATATTGTCATGGCGAAATTTACAAAACAATAACCGGTTTGTTTATTTTGCAAATAATATCAAAATAAGAGCTGGTTTTCGAGACTTGAAAAAATGTGACGCATCGATTTTTACCACAAATTCCATACATATCAATTTTTACTAACGCCCCAAGTGGATTTCTTGACCGTTTTTCAAAATTCAAAAACATTTTAGAAATATTGTCCTCGAGATCTTGCTACCCTGTAAATTTTGTAATGATTAGATAAGGATAAAGTATTTTATTTTTAGGTTGACTAAACTTGTAAAAAATGTGACGCTTGTCGTTTTTGACGTTGTAAGGCTGTTTGCGCCCTATACTGCTCATTGTTTTGTTTTGTTTTTTGACGCCATAATGTTACGCTAATTGTCCCCAGTTTCGTGCGACGTGTAAATACAATTACAATACACACAAAAGGAAACATCAAAATCCCCCAATCCATTTATGATAGCTGGAAAAGACAAAGTACAAGGAGGAAAGTGTTAACATCAAATCGGTAACTGATAAGGAAAATATCATACTGTACTACATGATTGATCAATGTCAAATACAACCATTGCTCTCAAATAGGATGTTCCTATCTGGTTTGGTATTGCTCAGTTGTTTTGCCCTGGGATTGGCCAATATTGAGGGGACCGACCAGCCCCAGGGGACCTGTCTGTGTGTCACAACTAATGGCGTAAATGTAAGGAATCCGGGTAAGTACGACAATTATGGGAATTGTAGGAGTGGTAATGATAAGGAAGACTTATTGTGTAAGTGATATATGCAAATACATCCTCTTTGATACACAACTAATTTTTGCAATTTTCTTTTCAAAAGAAAATGAATATAAAGAGGTTGTTTTAAGGGATTTGAATATGTGATGTGCAACTCAGTTTTTTGCTCGAACACCCCCCCCCCCCGCCCCCTACAAAAAGCTGCCTACGGGCTTACACATCCGAGGACTTGATACGGGGACATGAAATGCCGGAAGGCGATTTGCCCCAACCCTGTCTATTCATTGTATATTTAATTGTTTGTATTTATGAAATAAACCTATTGATTAAAAAGGACTTGATACGGATCAACTGATTTTTCAGCATGTGGAACTGTCGTGGGTTCAACAAACTTGGGTAATTGTTACGTTGCATCAGGCAACAACGAGTGGTGCACCCTGGAAACCGGCCTCCATCATTTCTTCCAAGTAGAAGACTTCAATGGATCAGTAAGAGAAGATACAAATGAAACATTAACATAGATAACTAATCAAATGAAACATAATTTAGATGATTAACACGTACATTACTTCATTTTTTACCAAAATTTCCAATCCTCTGCAAAATAGCTTTCCGGATTCTTTGGTATAAACAGCACAAATGGTTGAATGTCTTGTCACTTTTATATCTTATTACAGCCTGCCTGGATTGCTGGTTCTTTGCTGAATACAGCCACGCCAACTGACTGCAACACAAGTATGAACACTATGCAACCTAACCCCCCTATCACACCAAACTAGTTCTTACCCGTTCTTGCCAGTCCTACGAAATCGTCGTAAAACGGGCTCAATCTGGCTGTGGTCGGGAAATATGTCTAAAATAATTAGCTACTTCGTTCATAAACAGTCTTCAATACGTCCATCTCATTCGCAGTTCGTTCAGGTCGCACCACGTCGGTGTGCAACGTCGTATAACGCGTCCCTTAGTCTAGAAGGTCATCATGACCTGATTACAAAACGGTATGGTCGCCATCGAATTTTGAATCGATTCAAAATTCTAAATCACATTCCCCGTCCGGAAATGTCCATGAATTTCGTAAACAGACCGTAGAACGTTGTAGCTACGTTCATTCCGTTCGCACACAGTTTAAAACCAGTTTTGAAGAACGCAATGGCAACTTGCTTGGTGTGATAGCTATATTTTTGCTAACTCGTTGATAAATACGTTCTTGATCAGTTTTAACCCGTTTGCAATTAGTTCTACCTCGTTCTCAATACGTCCTCAGACAGTTCAACTCGTTGTAAAAACGTCCCTAGTAGGATTGAAGTACGACGGATGGTTCCGTTCGTAGTACGTCCAGCTCGTCGTTAGTAGGTTGTCACTCGTTCTAATTGTAGAACGTGACGACCAAGAGAACATTTTAAGCATGTTCTAAGTTCTAGAGGACCTACCCGTTCGAGTACGTTCGATGAAGTTTGTAAATAGACCCATAACGGTTCTAAGTACGTTCAGTCCGTTCGTACACAGTTGAAGCCCGTTTTCGAGAACGTAGTGAGAACTAGTTTGGTGTGATAGTAGGGTTACCTGTTTGGTCAAATCTCTGTATCCATCGCAAACGCAATAAGCATACACAAAAAATAGGAATTGTACAAGAGTTATGGAAGATAAGAGAGCAAGTGCCAAATTTAAGTGTTATTCAACAAAAGCTGTAGCTATATCCTCAACATTCACCACTAAATAATTTACTCTTTTAATAGACAAGGAAGCAGTATGGAAAAAAACAATAATGTTCTTTATCATATCATAGCTCCGCCTCCCACGGGCGAAGAATTCCGCAGTGTGTGGATCTCCACTGTACACAACCTAGATTGGCCAACAAGCCGCACGGCAACTCCTGCGCAGCAACAAGCCGACCTGAGGGGCATATTTGACCACATGGTACAACTAAACATGAACGTTATGATCTTTCAAATAAGACCAGTTGGTGACGCCCTCTATCAGTCTAATATTGAACCATGGAGTTTTTTCTTGACAAACTCACAAGGTAATATTTTGGTCCAGAAAAGAAAATTGGTGCTAATTTTGTTTCATAGACACAAGGTCTAGAGAATGATGACAGTAACGATCTGTCTATTTATATCGTCAAAGATATAGCCTCGATTTTTGTACAAAGTGTAAAATACTATAATCACAATGAAGGATGAAACTCATGGATATGTTTATATTGCTTTTCAAGGCACTGCTCCAAACCCAATCTGGGATCCACTGGCTTTTGCCATCACTGAAGCCCATGCGAGAGGAATTGAACTACACGCTTGGTTGAATCCATATCGGGCCAACTTAAGACCAAATACAGATGGACTGGCTCCAAACCATATGGCGTTTAGGTACCCTGATTTTGCATATCCCTATGGGAGACAATTGTGGATGGACCCGGGAGTGACCGTAGTCCAGGATCACCTTCATACTGTCGTTATGGATGTACTGAATAGATATGACGTGGACGGAATTCACTTTGATGATTATTTCTACCCATACCCTGTCAGCGGAGTAGACTTCCCTGATGCACTCACATATGCTGGGTACATTGCTGATGGTGGCACCCTATCACTAGCAGATTGGAGACGAGACAATAACAACAGAATGGTCCAAAGACTACATACGAGCATCAAGGCAGCCAAACCACATGTCAAATTCAGCATCAGCCCCTTTGGGATTTACAGACCCTGTCAAACTGGTGGGATGCCATGCTCCATTAGAGGATTCGACCAATATAGTGGCTTGTATGCAGATCCCAAACTCTGGTTGGAGAATGGATGGATGGACTACCTTGCTCCACAGCTATACTGGGAGATAGACCCTCCAGCGCAGAGCTACCCTGTTCTGCTAGACTGGTGGCTTCAGGTATTATTCATTAATTTTGTGAGGAGTAGCAAGATCCAAATCCCAAAAAATCAGAATTTCATAGTTCAGAAAGCAAGTTCATAAAATCACAAAAATCACAAATGGGACAGTAAATCAGTTATCATGTCAGAAAGCACGATTCGTCCATACGAGTTCTGAAATCAATTTTGTTAGGTGAACACGCAGAACAGACACGTCTATGCTGGCAATGCGGTCTACAAACTAATCAACAATGATTGGCCTGCTAATGAGATAGTCAACCAGGTAGGGGTATCCAGACAATGGGCGGATAGGCTATCCCTTGGCAATGTCCTCTTCAGGTACACTCATTTCTGAACACATCAGCAGACAAATAGATTTAGAAATATAAATGTAATTTTATTGACTCTTAATCGTGTCACTCTATCCGACATATGTGTTTTCTTCAGTACTAGTGTAATGTCCATTTCCTTTTCCATCAGTGAAGTTATTGAGTTGTCTTTTCTTACAAACGTACCATTTTCTCTTACTATAGGTACGGCCAACTAAGGAGCAATACAAAATCAATAAGTGACCTCCTCAGACAAGGCGTTTATAACCAGCCTGCTTTGATTCCAGAGATGTCATGGCTCCCAAACTCTCTGATCCCTAATGACCCAATCAACATACAGTACAACAGTAGTACGCTAACATGGGACCTCCCCAAAGGCCCAGATGTGAGGTTTTATGCAATTTACACAGAGAACAGGGGACAGATGCTACTGAGAAAGGTGCTAGGGGCGGAGACAAGACACGAGCGACTCCAAATCACTGCTGGTAAGATCGGAGTACAAGCTATTGGTAAAGGTGGAAGAAGAGGGAAGGTGATCCTGATAAAAGTGGACTAACTGGAATATGTTCAACTAGAATCCATCATGGTGCGATTTGTACTATATTTAGAAATAAAATTAACATTATATGCGTTTACGTAGCAAACTGTTACCAACTACATCCCCAATCCGCACTCTAAAATCACGGTACCGTACGGTCCATTTGGAGAATGGTACCGTATGGTACCTTCTGAGATGGAGCTGTACACTGTTCACGCTACCGTACGGTTTTAGTCTACGGTGGAAAGTTTACGGTACGGTACCGTGGGGTCCCATACTTCACGGCACCGTACAGTACTGTAACCAAAACGGTATCGTACGGCATTGGATGTGTAATTGCACACAGTATTGAAAAATGAAAGCATTTCTTAATTTGTTCATAAGGTAACCAAAATGGCCAAAACACTGCCAAGGGTCATACTTGGAACAGTCTATATTGTTTTGTTTTCTTATGTATCTGGGCTCACTGATATTTCCCACTGGACTTTTCTGTTGTAATGCCGCATCCAACTATCTTTGATATTTTTCTGTTTTATAATCTGATCTATGGTGCGAAGTCGAATGTCGTGCTTGTCTGGCTCTTCCTCAGTGTGGTTGCTGACCCTGTTGGGTTCATACTGATGGGGAGTCATGATCTGACCAGGGGGGAAAACGTCACACATATTCTCCTCTGAAAGAAAGATAAATCACATATTTATCTCAAATAGTCTCATGTACGCACTATTTTCCACCTCGGCATATCTACCATTGTTCTGTTTATTACACCCCCATCCCAATTTTGTTCAAAAAAGGGCATTTTTACGACTTCTTGAATTCTGTTTATCTCTTCTGGCAATTTTTCGCCACTGGGAAATACAATTCAACATCTCGCAACCTGATCACAATAAAAAATAACCGGATTACCAGATAAGAAAATGACACGAATGACATGCCATCGACCAGGTGCAACTAAAGATATAATATCAGCAATTAAGCATAGCCTAAATCATTGACATTTTCTTGGTGCCCTCGGCACTGTGAGAATGAGTGTAGAAATGATATTTCCTATTTACCTTGGTATTGATGAGATTGACGCCGTTGGGGTACAACAGTGTCTACATTGTGATGTACCGCATTATTTGGTACATTGACGGCCATACACCACTTACAACACGTCACAGACACAAGCACCAGTAACAAGAAAGCAATGATGGCGCATATGATGAGGATAATGTCGAATATAAGGACGCTATCTATTCCGAATAGACTCAATGACGCTCCTGAAGAATATGAACATGTACACATATAATACAAATGATAATGCATGTAAACATACTTACTGGTCTTATGTATATATATAAAATTATAAGATGTCGTGAAGACATAAGATCTAGAGAAATTAAAAGAAACCATTGCTTTGTACGAATTCAATGAATCACTAATCAATGCAATTGAACATCATGACATAGAAAATGGTTGATCATTCGTTGAATTATAAATACTACACATGTTGTCATTCCCTTTCCCCGCGTTATATAAATATACAAACTTCACCAGCATTACCTTGTTCAACAATTGTTGGAACTGTGGTGTTGACTCCGGTTACATTCGATGTTGACGTATTATTGTATGATGTAATGGCAATAGTAACATTTGGTTCGATGGTTGTAACATTTGGTTCGATGGTTGTAACATTGGGTTCGATGGTTGTAACATTTGGCTCGAATGTTGTGCTCGTTGTGTTTGCTGAAATAAAGATAAACTAAGTTTTACAATCGTGGTTGTGCTGACAAAACCAGCACCTAGTATCTAAATTTAACATGGGAATATTCGGGAATGGAAGGGGATACGAAATGAAGCACTAGGGCAAAGTTAGCAAAATAAAACAAATGTTCATTCAGCATCTTTATTCTTAATACATGTATGTTACCCTCTAAAGTACCAAATTACTCCCTAAACAACCAAACTACTTTCTGACATAGGCTACCAAATGACTCCCTAAAGAACCAAACTACTTCCTGACATAGGCTACCAAATGACTCACTAAAACAACAAACTACTTTATCATGTAAAAACCATGTCCGGGATACCATGCCACTGCAAAATTGTTGAAACTTTCCATAAAATGACCTATATTTGAATAATGAACATAAGAAAAGTAATACCTTGCAACGATAGATCTAGATGTAGCAGAATGTAACAGAAGGCCAATAAAAGCCTCCCTTCCACCATGTAGCATTGTTGCATACATATCATTGTATCATTGCCAATCCAGTGTTATCTTGTTTTGCTTTTTTGTCTTGCTCTTCCTCTTCCTTTTGGTACTTGTGCTTAAGTATTTTAAGCAGTCACATTAATTCATCGGTTATCATTATTGTCGTAATTGGTTGTATTTTCTCAAATTAGACCCTTCTCAGAAACATAATAGCAATTCAAATTAGTTCATCTCGAGTATTCTCTTGAACAACCATGATGATCGTATTCAGGATAGATAATATGTCCTACTTTGAAATATATTCGTCCAGCGCATCCGAAATCAAATTGTGTAAACCAAAACAAAATATATTCCATGAGCTATGTATCCGTTCTAATATATATTTGCCGAAAGTTGTTGAATGTATTGAGAAACACTCAGTTGGGTTGTTTTCTCAACTTCATTTATATCAACAGGAATTCAACAGAGGAATTCTTTTGAAGAACATTCATTAGTAATCTATTGTTCAAAGGTTTTCCATTTCCACGAGGTCACCAAATATATAACAACACACGATACAAATATACATTCGGAAACGAAACGGAAACTGCATTGTTCAGATGCTTTAGAATATCTATTTACTATTCTCGTATTTATTCACGCTCTGAGGGCTGATACAATTTTGAAGGTTACCTTGTCATCAGCGCTTTAGCTTTAGCGACTGATATATTTCATCTCTTGCGTACCTTCCTTTTCGCAAATTCTAACCAGTTATTTTTCGAATATAACGCGTCGCTGTGATCTTTTAATCGATTTAAGCATATTCCTTAAACATCTTTCTTTATCTTGATGTGAAATAACAAGCGATGCTATTGGTTAACACGCCAGAAATTAACATAATATTATTTGAAGCGTTATTAGAAAATTTTGAATCCGCCATTTTGTGTGTCGATTTTGACTAGAGACGTGGGTCATCTCAATACAGGTTTACATTAATAAGCGTACGTCATCTTTGGCAACGCTAAGAAATTTTCACGGATGCTTATTTGGTTTACAAGCTGCACTGATTAATTTCGTGTTGGATAAAATAAAAATGGAGCATCTTCGTGTAGAACAGAGACATATATATTTTATATGTCTCTATTTAGGCATGCAGTGTAATTTTTATGTAGGGGCATGTTATATAAAAATGTGGTTATTTTGGATTTTGAGACCTTTACTTCAAAGCATATGGTGTTACCTTATGCCGGATTCTAAATGCAATCTCTTCATGCTTTACTGACCGCACAAATTGTGTAATTATTTACTAACATTACCTTCTGTAACAATGCCTGTTTTCACGTCCTGCTGGCGAAAACAATCTCTATAACGTCAGACCACCTTATTCCTATGATTGTCAATAACAATGGAGATCATTACCCTTTTCACAAATGAGAACGTTCAAATGAAATCAGTTAACAAAACATGTACAGATTTTGTGGCATAAATCATTTTATTTCTGAATTATACATCTGTTCCTTGTATTCTCTCTACCCAAATACATCCTGGAATTCTGTGGTGTTGCATTAAAACAGGACATTAACATGGATTTAATCAATGTTTTTAACATCTGTTTCTACATAGAATTCCGACATATTTAAACATATCCTAGTTGACAGAATATAACAGTATATAATATCTGGGGTGCCAGATCAAAAGCCCAATGTCTTACCCCAAACTATCATTAGGCACATACCCTTCACTCTATTCCTTCAAACTTCTGGACATTGAAATGCAATTAATTTATTTCAAACTCAAAGTGTTTAGTTCATCTTAAAGTAGTAATGAGAGAATAATATTACCACTCCCAAATGGATCACTTTTGTGTAAAATGACACTTGACCTTTGACCTGGCCCCTTTTATGGTCTTTATCTTCATCCCAACCTTGCCACATTTTAGTTACAGACAATAATTGTACAAAGTGGAACAGCAGCTATTCAACCAAGTACGACAATTTACATCGCTCATTTTCATCCATGAGACCACAGTCCACAGTGCATACTAAGTGAAAAAAATTGGCAAATTCTCAAGCTATAGCTAGCACCTATACTGTATGTACTCAAAGACAATACACAAACGTTCTAGCATGTATGCTGGACTGGGTAACTTGGAAGAACTTTAGATTTCAACATGCATCCAAAATAAATGTGATTTTATTTATCAAGCATATAAAAAACTGACATGATATTCAAAATCAAATATCAATATTTGTAAAGGTACAAAAATGAAAAAAACATCACATTTATTTTTGTCACATGTGACATGATTGAATAACTCTTGTTTCACATGCCTAAATATTAGAAGTGAGTCAAGTCCCAGTTACCATGGATATACGGCATGTCTAGTAACCATGGCTACAATTCTTAAGTAATCTTGGCCCATTAGTTTCAGTCTGGCAGATCCACATTCCAAAGTTCCAAACCTGAACTGCCCAAATTGTCTTGACTCACTTCTACTAGATATTACTCTAAACCATAAAGAAGACAATATTAACCCTTTAAGTCCACATTCCTTTAGTTAACCCTTTGTTGTATGCTATAGTTTTACAGAATAGATTTTATATGCTTGTACTTGTGAAAACAAACAAATTGTGATTTTTAGAATACTAATATTTGAAATCAAAAATTGTGCACTATTAAAGTGTGGGAAGTTCGCCCTTAAAGAGTTAATTTTACTTTTTCATATGTAATTGTGACATTTTTGAGACCGAGATTTCCTTTAACTTGATGCTGACTCTGCCACATCAATACAATTGTCCTTTTGTGTAAATCACTAAAAAAGTATTTTACATCTTTACTAATTGAGCTTTTTGAGAGGAACAACCTCTTTACATGATTCAATTACAATTTTAACAACTAAAAGTGTTTTTGATCAATTCAAATTAAGTTTATATAAATTCCTCATTTCATGCAAAATCAACTGCAGGGTCAGTTTCTTAGAGAAAATGTATAAATTCAAGTCGCAAATGATATTGTGTGAAAGGAGGATATAGCACCTTGCAGAACAAAAGTACATTGTGAACCTATCATATGGCTCAAATATGTACTAAAATTTAAAAAATGTATACTGTTTTTCACTTCCATGGAAATTGTTCCACAAACTAAGCTTTTAGCTAATAGCAATACACATATGAGGGTATAACTAGTTCATAAATAGAGATTTATGAAAGATTTTCCATGAGTGTTATCATTCCCCTGATCTCTGTGTGGCCTTGACCCTGACCTTGGCCACACCTCTATGGCCTTGACCTTGGCCACACCACTGAGTGGACAAAATTCACAAAATCTGAACAATATTTCCAAAAATGAGTATCCTTTTCGTAAAACATTTTATGAACTTCAATGTGATATCTCCTGTTTTTGAATGTTGAGAGAAATAGCTGTTCAGTTTTTATGTTAAAAGGTACAAAAATATTTGCAAAACGACTGTCCCAAGAATTTATAGAAGCTACAGGCTAATTGTGGACCAATCGTTACCTTTCACAAACAATTTATGGTATTTGCTTACAATCATTTCATTGATGACTACAATATTTAATAATAATTATATTATAATTGGTAATTTCAGCATACCTTGTGCCATTTTAATAATTGAAAAGTAATTAATTTTCGCTGAAATAGTTTATGAAAGTTAACAGTTGGTTGTGTTAAAGGCAAGTCTTGACTACATTTAATAACATCAAGGTGAGAGGCATGCTTATATTTACTACTATACACATTATACTTCACTTGGGGAAAAATAATCAAAATTCCTGACATAATGTCAGAAATTAAAAATTATTTAATCCAAAATCAAAGGGGTGGACCATTCAAAATACTGAATCACACCAACAACTTTAAAATCAAGTCTATATTTTAATAATTTTGAATGGGTCACCCCTGAAAAAGTAATACATGTTTCTACATAGGAACAATAAAAGGTTATTTAAATCGCCCGTTAAAGTTTTTTTACCATATAAGGTAATCTCCCATAGACCCCTAGGCCAGCCAAGCACTATCTGATGGATAAAATTTCATAACCCCAAATTGTTTTACACTGAAGTCAAAATACTCTTCAATGATGAATCTGCTCAATGTAAAACATAATGGAGGCATGGCAAAATCCCTCCTGCATTAAAGTGATCAATTCAGATTTAACTTAAAATTCACTGCATTAAAAGCACTTTCTATCTAAAAATCTTGAATATCATTTTACACAAGATTTTTAAAGCAAATGCAATATGCACTGATATAAATTCTGAAGCATCTTAAGTAGGAGTCAGCCCCTAATTTCATTTACATGGAATTAATCATATTTGGCCATCATCTAAACATAAATAGCAAATTGAATAAATCACTTTTATACAGGAGAGCCTAATAAATATGGCTTATAGGCCAGCCTAAAGTCAACAACATGTGTGTGCCCCAACTGAGAGAATACTGAACAAGCACCACATTCACCAACAATCAAGTGTTTATAATGTTAAGCAGGGGTTATTAACAGAATTTCATAAAGTTAAGAATTACTAAACTCCATTGTTTCCTTAATTACAACATGACTTCTGAACTTTATGAAGATCTATAAATGATACCCAGGTGTCCAAACTTCTTCATAATCTGTGATTTAATTATATAGTCAATTTGTATAAAATGTATGCTTTCATTAACTTGTCATATCATGTTAGAATCATTTAAGATCAAATGAATTAACGGTTTCCTTTTCCAAATCTTACATTGATGAATATGATTGTTTGTTCGTGGCGGGCACTCACAGAGTGCAGTCTTTAGGCTTTCTTCGTCATTATCTTCAAATACTGCAGTGCATTATGGGCCGCCTGCGCATGTGCGTCGTCAGATGTTGGCCCAACACCATGACAAACAGCTACAGGCATGGTGGACAGCTGCACCAAACACTGGCGTTGTCCTGGAAAGAGTATATATAATATACATTATAAGATAAGAAATCAAAAATAATGTTATCAAGTAAATTATGCAAATTACAGGCCTCAACTTGATATACTCTTGTTTAAAGTATTACTTTAGAATTACAAATCACTGTCATGATCTCTTTTGATATTTCATTCTTAAGCTTACCAAACTAATTAAAATTGTACTTAATTTCTATACTGCTCATACTTTGCCAATGTAAAGAATAACCGAAAGTGCAATAATTAGAGTAAATCATTGTTAGGTACCTTTATATGAAAGACATTCACCTGTTTGGCTACTCTCTTGAATATCAACATATGTCACTTCAAATCTCTGCTCCTCTGCAATCTCCTGAAGGAGTTGACAGTAATTGGTGGCAGAATTGAGGGAGCGGGTCTGGAGTGCAAGCAAGTTCTTCCCAGTGGCATTCTTCAATGTTGCGTAGAATCCGCTGATCTGCTTACTCGCCTGAGGGGTCAGGGTTGGGATACGCTTGCCCTCCTTGATTGCACCAAACTGTAATGAAGTTGAGAATACTTTGAAATGTAAAGCATGATGAAGAGTACACTATGTTTGGTTCAATTACCATGGTGATCACCTTTAACTGAATGTGCATTCTTAAGATTTACTTTTAATAGTATCAGCTCCTGAATATTATATCCATATTGTTAGTTACCATGTTTCAGTGTTTAATATGATTATTTTACAAAAACTGTTTCTCACGAGAGTTTATATCAATCAAGTACTCAAATGTCTGAGAACTTACTGCTAAATATCAAGAGCTTCTATCTTGTCAAGTGAAGAGTATGCAACCACTATACAGTAGTAAATCAAGGCATTAACATGACAAAATGTCACCATCAAGTTGCTAACAATATTATTAGTTCAATGTCAGATTTGAATTTCTGAGAACTCTGTAGATGATTTTGAAAATGACATCAATAATAACCCTAACCCTGCCCAAATCATTCCCATTATGACATCAATAATACCCTAACCCTGCCCTAATCATTCCCATTATGACATCAATAATACCCCAACCCTGCCCTAATCATTCCCATTATGACATCAATAATACCCTAACCCTGCCCAAATCATTCCCATTATGACATCAATAATACCCTAACCCTGCCCAAATCATTCCCACTGTGACATCAATAATACCCTAACCCTGCCCTAATCATTCCCATTATGACATCAATAATACCCTAACCCTGCCCTAATCATTTCCATTATGACATCAATAATACCTGAACCCTGCCCAAATCATTCCCATTATGACATCAATAATACCTTAACCCTGCCCAAATCATTCCCATTATGACATCAATAATACCCCAACCCTGCCCTAATCATTCCCATTATGACATCAATAATACCCTAACCCTGCCCAAATCATTCCCATTATGACATCAATAATACCCTAACCCTGCCCAAATCATTCCCACTGTGACATCAATAATACCCTAACCCTGCCCTAATCATTCCCATTATGACATCAATAATACCCTAACCCTGCCCTAATCATTTCCATTATGACATCAATAATACCTGAACCCTGCCCAAATCATTCCCATTATGACATCAATAATACCTTAACCCTGCCCAAATCATTCCCATTATGACATCAATAATACCCTCCTGTCCTAATTCCTGCCCATTCCCATTGTGACATCAGTGGCCAATAACAAAAAAAATTATTCACATGTTATACAGTAAAACCTACATGATTTAAATGTTCATACAGAACCATCATAAAGTTTTACTGTATCTACTCTTATAATTCTATGAGAAATAATAAGAACATCCATTACTTTTTTAGATCGAGTTTATTTCCTGATGCTGAAAATTAAGATGCAATAGTTACAACATTTATTCAATATAATGCTATAGGTATAATGGTGATGGTAGGCTCACTTATTTCTTGTTGTGTATTTGAACAGTTACACTCTTAATAAGGTGTACCTATAGTTATTCATCCACGTGTTACACATAAGTGACACCGCATAGGTCATAAAACATCACATTTTTATGAAACTAAAATAATGTTTTTAGGATTCACTAAGAAATATTTCATGTTTGGAGATTTGAAAAAAATGTTTGTGGATGAGAATGGTAAGTTCAGACTATTAAACAAAGATGTGTTCATGTATTTGAATTTGTAAAAGTACCTCTGCCCTTATATGGGCTATTTTCTGATTATATATAATAAAAACATATATTTACAAAGAATATGCAGCTATGCAGAAACATTAACTAGCTATAAAGTAAAGTACCCCAGGGAACCAAATTGCAACATATTACCCCTTCAAAATACACAAATTTATACATTTGATAAGTAATAGTGTTAAACCAGAACAACGGCAACGCCAAAGCGTAGCGAATCCCATCGAACAGAAATGGCTGGCATTTTTACAAACGAAGCGCAAATATCATAAAACAACACACCAGAAAGGCCACCATTTTCAAAATGGTTGCTCACTAGCCAAGTTGTCATCAGAAGAAATAAAATGCTTTTAAGTAGCCACCGCTAAATTTTTTTGAAAAAATCGCACACGTACTTGTAAAATAACACACGTAAAAATGGTGGCCATTTTTCAAAATGGCCGACTACTCCCCAAAGTTTTATTAGACAATGTGCCATGCTTAAAGTATTCACATATCAAATATGAACAAAATCGCTCCACTACTTTTCGAGTTATAGTAAAATACGTTAAAATGGCGGCCATTTTTCAAAATGGCCACCTTCTACCAAAAGCGTCATTAGAAATAGACGGTGTTCCATGCTTATAGTATTCCCATACCAAATATGAACAAAATCGCTCCACTACTTTTCGAGTATTTGTAAAATACGTTAAAATGGCGGCCATTTTTCAAAATTGTTTTCAAAATGGCCACCTTCTACCAAAAGTGTCATAGGACAGTGTGCCATGCTTATAGTATTCACATACCAAATATGAACAAAATCGCTCCACTACTTTTCGAGTTATAGTAAAATACATTAAAATGGCGGCCATTTTTCAAAATTGTTTTCAAAATGGCCGCCTTCTACCAAAAGTGTCATAGGACAGTGTGCCATGCTTATAGTATTCACATACCAAATATGAACAAAATCGCTCCACTACTTTTCGAGTTATAGTAAAATACGTTAAAATGGCGGCCATTTTTCAAAATGGCCGCCTTCTACCAAAAGTGTCTTTAGACAGTGTGCAATGCTTAGAGTATTCAAACACCAAATATGAACAAAATCGCTCCACTATTTTTAGAGTCACAGCAAAAATCGTAAAATGACGAGTAAAGGCCGCCATTTTTCAAGATGGCTGCCATGTGCTTTTTAATATCTACATTTGTAGCATTATTAATGTCCTTTATAATTTTTTTTACATTTAAAACATATTGCTATTACAGTTTTACATATTGCACCTAAATTACTGTAAAATCGTCACTAAAATGGCCGCCATTTTGAAATGAGCGGCCATTTTGAAAATCGGCTTTCGAGCAGAACTGCTACCCCCATAGGGTATATGTGTACAAAATATGAACAAAATCGGGCCAACGGTATATGAGTTATTGCCCGGACGGACGGACGGACAGACGGACGGACGGACAGACGTACGTACGGACGTACGTACGGACGGACAGACGGACGGACGGAGGCGTTCCCTATATCCCTCCGAACTTCGTTCGATGGGATAATGAATGATGCATACACATTTAGTCCATCTAATTAATGCATCCAAGGCTGTTAGAATTGTAGTTTTACAGCATAAATCAAATGTGAAAGCATGATAAAAATTCCATAAATAAAAGAAAAAGCTGCTATAAATGATGAAATATAGGGATTCCAAAATGTACATGATTGATGTTGCTCTTATGATATGATAACATGATAGAAAATAACAGAAATTTATAGTTTTAAATGTAAATGACCACATAGTAGTGTTAAATACAAAACATCCATACAACAATTAAGTATTCCGAACCTACATGTATTTACAGATTTGAACACGTTCTCAGTACTATGAGGGATAAGGAAGAAACTTGCGGAATATCAAAGCAGGGTGAGGTGTTATTAAAAAACGGTCCTAATTACTTTTTAGCTTCAAATCCAAAGATAGATTATGTGATTCAGCTAGCATGGTTTAATTACTAACTCCCCATCTATCATGATTTTAACTTTAATACACTGTCAAATACTAAAATATCCCTTCACTTTAATTGTTATTATAATTATTGGGGTGGTATGTTTCTGCCTTCACATAGCCGTATGAACTATAAGCCGAAGTATCTCCTGACTGCGCTTGGTAATTAGTGTTCCCTTGTGCTTGGGCCTGGTAGTTTGTGTTCCCTTGTGCTTGGGCCTGGTAGTTTGTGTCCCCTTGTGATTGGGCCTGGTATTTTGTGTCCCCTTTCTGTGTAACTGGGAAGCTTGTGTTGTCGGTCACTGTGCCACTGTTACCCTGTTGTTCCATACCAAGATTTTCTGCAGGAACAAACGTCATCTCTTTCTTCACCTTATCCTTTGGTTTCTTTGGGTTCTTCTTTTTTTTCTTGCGCTGAAATAACCCAAAAATGGGATCAATACAAGTATAGATTAAGGGCAATTCAAGAAGTGAAGAACTTCTCTCAAACATAAATAACTGTCAGACAATTCTTGATAGATATGACTGTCAAATTGTAAATCAATCAAAGTATATAAACTCATGCGACTGTTTTGTAGAACCCCCGGTATCTAATGTAAAAGATCATGCATTAATAGGATGTACCAACAACAAAGACAGTTACAATAAATCATTTTCATGGAAGGACTAATGCAGATACAGTGACGACAGAATAAGATGCCAAAGTGACACATTCTAGTGACTTCAAACTATCAAATCCAGTTCAAAATTTAAATAAAAAATGAATTAATTTTACTGATTTGCATATATGGATACAAGAATTAGACAAGGAAAGCTGTGTTTGATCTATGGCTCTACTATAATGGGAAAGCATCTCATTTTTATTGTGCATCTGCACCAACCCCTTTGTTCAGTAACCCTGAAACTATTTCTCAAACCAGAGGGAGTTGGGATGCTACAAAATAGTATCTTGATGCTATTGTATGGTACCTATTCTTAATCATTGCATGTTCTATCATAACATGCAGTTCAATTCTGAAACCTAAATTGTGTCAGCAAGATTCAGTTAGGCAATCAGGTTACTCTACTTGCATGTTTTTGTACTATTTAGGAAATATGTATGGTTGTTTAAATGTAGTGAAGGGTGGTCAAAAATTGGCAACCCCGCAATTTACTCATATCTTTGTCATTTCAATTGTTCCCTGATATTTGACACATGTATGAATTCAATTTCCTATCAGCTAATAGCCATGTTATACAGCAATTTGAACAGTATGCCCTATTTGTGGCCATCATCATGCTATAGGCAAACCTGCACAAGTTGTCAATGACCCGAGTGCTTTCTTCAGCACATATGGGCTGATATGGATGATCTCCCTTTTGAGGTCTGCAATTGTCCTGAGGTCATTCTTCCACACTCTATTTTTGATGTATTCCCACAGGTAGGGACATTTCGGACGACATGTGCAGGTTTGCAGACAGTGCAACAGTGGCCACTGGAGCATGTTGTTTTAAGTGCTATAACATTGTGACTATCAGTCTGATGGTCATGAAATATAGAGAGCTAGTAGGAAATTGAATGATGAATAAATGTGCCAATTATCAGGGACTAATTCCTTATAATGACAAAGATATGAGGAAAATAGCCATTTTACCACCCTGTACATTGGTGATCCACTTGATTATGCTGTTTCGGTAACAAAATGTCAGAACATCGAAGGTACGATTTTTCTTTTTTCCTTATTTCACACGTTGTAGGCAGAATTCCCACGACATTTTGATCACAAACGTGTACATTTGAAACTGATACACGTTTGCGAAAAAAATGTCGTTGGGATTCTGCCTACAACGTGTGAAATAAGGAATAAAAAGAAAAATCGTACCTTCGACGTTCTGACATTTTGTTACCGAAACGAACACAGAGAGCGTAATCGAGTGGATCACCAGTGCTGTACATGTATATCCAGGACACATGAACTGATAAAAACATGTTGCCATTACTGAACTGTACATTCAGAGGAGTAATATGCCATACTTTAATCAGTTCATGCTCCCTGAAACAGTAGTACAGTGTAACACATAGTAAAGATATTCAATATACACTCCCCTCATAAAGTTTAGCAACGAGAAGTTTTGTTTGAACAACCTATCAAATCCTGTTAATGTTTGAACTTTAATTGATGACAAATTTGATGAAATCACCAAACAATAAACAGGCTTTGCTAACTGATACAAAAGATTACTTCCAGTTACTAAACTTATGAAGGGGGGTGTAGAATTCAAAAGCATGCACATTTTGAGTAGAGCCAAAAATCCAAAACAAAACTTTCAAGTGAAATTTGGGTTTTGAAAAATTGGATCATTAATCGAGAGCCAGATATGCTGAACTAGAACTTTACACTGCTTATAGACCCCTATTCCAGTTGTGACCTAACGACAGTAACTTCCAACACAAAGCCTCTAGCTTATAAGTTTGGAGTATTGAGAGATGTGTTGGAAATCACTGTAGATTCCTGTTAATAAAATGCCGCTCTGATCATATTTCTTAGTCTCTATATTCTTTCTTGAATTATTTGAATGATACACACAGTCTTTTTTGACAATTAAGAGCAATGCGTATAGTTATCACACAGTGTTTCTGAACAATTTCTTTTAACAAAAGTGATGGAAACGTTGATCAATAGTGGGTGTGTTGAAACTAAAACTATGTGGTAAACAAGAATACAAGCAGAATACTGGAAAATAATTGATTTATTTAAAATAAGTGTTGCAACTCTAAAATAATGAGTGAAGAAACATGAACAAAAGTGGTATCACTTTCACCACAAAATATTGCCAAAGAGAGAGCCTGATGCCTCCTCACTTCTGATGCAACTTCACATTAAGACCAGCATACTGTCATTATACACATGCATGTCTAAATGTTATTGCACTCAACCCATCTTAGATGCAAGTCAAATATGATCAGAGCGAGATTTTATACACTGGCTACAAGGTCAAAGGACGAGGGGTCCAGAAGCAGTATGCCTTACGTAAAAATCTTTGTAGCCTACCTCATTATTTGAAGATCTCTTGCTTCAGCTCTCTATGAAAATCACTGGCTCTCCAAATGGCCCGGAAAAAGGACACAGAATGCCGAAAAATTGAATCGATTTGTTCCAATTTAAAAATTTTGTGGAAAATTTGTACAGAGAAAGTAAGCCAAATGTCTTACTATTTTGGGGTTTAATGGAAAGAAAAAATGAAAAATAAGATATCATGTTATGATATTAATACATCACAACACGATATCTTATTTTCTACATTCTATGATATGAAATTCATAATACTAATAACAAAAGGAGCACAATACACAAAAAACAACTCTATGCATGGGTGTTGAAATACCATGGACCAAAGTATCAATCCCTTGAAGCATACAATCATAAATGAAATATCTTTTTCATAGTAATTAAACATGCTTCAAGGCATTGAGAAATGACCCAAAGTATTTCAACAACCATGACATGTGATAGTTTATAGAAATCATTTAATGGTTATATTTCAGGCAGCCCGATGCAATGCTTAACTTCCAAAATGATACCTCTGACTTTAAACATCGCAATAATGTTTGGACATTTCGAGATACATTAACATGATATTGGTTGCACACCCTTCGTATATGACACAAAAAGATATATGATATCAATATTCAAAGAAAATTCAATGAGTAAATCTTAGGAAGAATTATAGACAAACATCCCAGCCAAATTTCATAATACTTTGGGGCAACAAGAATGCCATTTCACAAAAACATCTCTTCAATTTATAACAAAACATTATGATTTATATAAAAAGTAAAATCATGATAGGTGACTGAATTATTCTTGAAATATTCCCCCTAATACTCAAATGCAAATACTCCCAAAACATCCGATCATGGTAGTTTCTTCTTATACAGTCAAGTAACCATTATGATGTCAGACAATATCACCATAGAATTCACAATTTCTTCAAACACGGCAAACCACTTTGGAAGATCTTGTGAATGCTATGGTCAGTTTTGCCACCATAATAGTTACCAATCTGTAATAGAGAGGAAACGTAACATTAAGTATAACCCAATACAGAAAACATTCAGCCCATTTCAAGCCAATTTATATGTGGTGGTTCACTCACAGCTGGGCCGTCATCTCCATCTTCCTCCGGTGGGGGCTCTGGGATTCCTGCTTTGATGCGCTGGAGCATGAGCTCTGCTGCGTTACGTTTTGCTACTTTCTTAGATTTTCCCGTTCCTGTAACAACAATAAAAATCGTTGAACGGGGCAAAGTGTTCCCTTCTTTGGAAAACTACCAAAGTATATTTCGTTTAACATTTTTAAAGGTTATTGGTAGTCTTTAATAACACAAACAAAATAGGGTCAACAAAAAGTTCAAAAAAGCATGCCAAATGTCAATGAGGTTCAGCAAGAGTACATTACTTAGCATAGGGATATCATGTGTGTCACCATGGGGATAGATACAACATTCTCATTATCTCAGAAGAACTCAAGATGATCGAGTCCCAACAAGTAGATTCACGTAGGGTAGTAGTAGCCTTTTTGAAATATTTGGCGAGCTCTAAAACCCACTTTTTATTAAATGCATAAACATTTTTGACAGGATTAATTGAATATAATAGCCACTGTGTACTTCAGAGCGCTGTGGAATTAAGATAATAAATCACTGACCATCATAGTCCTTATCTTTCCTCTCATCATGTATACACATTGGCCTAAGAATATTATATGATTCATTTTAAAATTCAAATTGCAAAACCTCTCATATCAAACACACAACTTTTTTCATTGATACAAAATTAATATCAAAATAATATCCCTGAAAAACATCCCAAAGGACTCCTAAATTGTTCATCTGAAGCTGTGATAAGACCTTACCAGTCTCAATGGTTGTATGCAGCTTAATGTTACAGACGAACTCTCTAGCATGAGGTGGCCCTTGTTCACTGGTGAACTCATAGATGGGAGGCCTCCACAATCTCTTCTGCGTCAGCTCTTGCAGTTGACCAATGGGGTTTCCTGCCAGTCCATCCACAGTTTGCGCAGGATTGTATGTTGCTTCTGCGGGGACTCTACAACAAAATGGCTGCATGTTCACCTGCAATCTCAGAGATGTTTTTCAACATACTTCAAATTTTAATGTGGTTCAGTGACAAATTTATATCAATAAATAATTAACATGGCGGCAGCAAAGGTTACCACTCTTCTTTTGTGATTTTTCATACAAGATAACAACACAAGACTCATTAACATTAACATGACAAAAATCCACAAATCGATAAATTTGAGAGATACACTGAATGCTAATCATTTACCCAAAATTTGCAAATATCTACAATGTCAAAATCTGGTAACAACTTACGGTTCTTCCACGTTCGTCCCATTCGGCAGCCCAAGGAGTTTGTTCAGGCATGACTGAGCTGCAGCATGCTTGGCATGTCTTTTGCTGGTGCCTGGAAGAACAAAATGAAGTTCAAGTTGGAATGGGTAACAATTTTAATGATTATATTTGTATCAACCATTGTAGATGGAGTTTTTTTCATTAAATGGCACAATAATAAAAGTTGTGCCAGTTTAAATTCATTGTTACTTGCTTTTGGCAAGTAGTTTACTTCTCTGGGCAAATAGGAGGCATTGAGCTGATAATGAAAAAACTAGACTAATAGTGAGATTCTAAAATAGAAAATAGCTCCTTAACAACTACAGGGGTTATCTTATCAAAATTAATCAAATGAAATAAATTCATACCTTTGCCAGATCCTTTGAACTCGCCACAGGTGACTCTAAACACAAACATTGGTTCATGTACAGGGCCCTCATTTGCGATAAGATCGTATGATGGGGTATATCCGCGTTTAGTACAAAGCTCCTGCAAGAAGCTGATGGGTGTTTTACCAGGGGGTAACGCGGGACTGGCTGTTGTAACCACTGCAGAGGGAGCAGACCCAGGAATGGGTGCCATCATACCAGGCTGTTGGGGAGTAACCATCTGAAAACAAATGATTTATGAATAATAAACAAATATTAGAACATGGGTACATACAGTGGGTCATATCATTAACTTTATTATTATTTTATTCAGAACAGGAATTTCAAGACTTTTCAATATCTCCAAAGTGGCAAAGTACTAAGTAGTTCTAATGATCTAATACTATGCATATCTGAAATATAAAGTGATCAAACATACAACTAAAATAAACAGCAACAATTAGAACAAACTAAGAATATCAAATAACTTGTCAGTATGTTGGTTGTCCCAAAGAAAGAATTGCTTTTTGACAAGTATTTTCTGAGCAACTGACATTCCAAATTTTTGAAAATTCCTCTAAAGCAGCATCAGGGTATCATTGGCATTTTGTACAATTATGAAAGAAATCGTTATATATTATGTGAGAATTGACAAATTCAAAAAACACGTAAAAAATCTAATATCAGTCTAATCAGAGCCGCGCAGACAACTTCATAGCGTTTGTGATAGCATCTGTCAATTAGTTTTAGTTTCAAAAACAGCTTGTCTGTATGTCAGGTTTATTGATTTGCTTCATTGTTCTCCGTTTCCAAAATATGATATGTCCACAGTTTGAAGGAATAAACAATGGATTAATTTAAGTGATAAGTAATGAGGCTACTATTGAAAATCATGGTGAAATGTTTGAATGGAAAATGAACTTTAAAGGAATTAAGGACAAGAGCAAGAGCTGTGTTACTGTAAAAAGAATGTACTGTGTAGCAACATAAGGACAGAATAAATATGTCACAAGAGGCAATACTGATAAAAAACACACAAAACAAGGCATTAACATGTCAGAATGTCACCACCTGATGATAATATTATTAGTTTAAGCTTAAGTCAGATTTGAGTTTCTGACAACTCTGTATATGATTTTGAAAAAAATTGGTCAATTTGTAGCAAGTTGAAAAAAAGACCTTTTTGCCTTTTTTATCCCTGAGAAGATAAATGAGGGTGAAGGGTCTTTTCCATTGATATTGGATATTTAAGCATGGTGTTTTGAATTTGAGAATACTCGTATAATATTCTACATATCTCTTTCATATTTATAACACTTGTTAGTGATACTTTTACTCTATAGTTCCCTAATAGATATTTACAGAGAATTCGTCTCATCTATAACTGAGAAAATACTTGTCAAAAAGTGATCCACTTTTTGGGACACCCGATATATGGGATGGTATCATCATCAATATATAACAGATTAACATATGCAAAATCTAGGAATTTTTGGAAAAAGTACCAAATCTAAGTAAACCACTTAACAGTTCAGAAGTAAAACTACAATGTACCACGCGATGCAGACAGATCGCCTAAAATTACATTTGTATGATGCGAGACTCGACATTCACCAGGAAAGTAGAAACATTGACCATTGACCATTTTCTAAGCAGTAAAAAAATAATTTGTTTCATGGGTGACAAAATGTTTCTACTTTCCTGGTGAATGTCGAGTCTCGCATCATACGAATGTAATTTAAGGTGATCTGTTTGAATGGGGTGATGCACCTTGAGTCACTTAAATCAAATTTTGATAATATTTCGATATAATTTCATGCTAACATAAAGTCAAATGTTTCATGCAAATGAATAACATTATTTATTGAATGGACCTTATGTTACATTAAAATATAATCATATCCTTCAAGAAGGAGATGTCAGATGTCCCATACCTAATGTTATGCATACTTAAGTAAAGATTAGTGCCTTACTCTAAGTTACTCACAGCACATATATGCGTCTGACATGGTGACTCAAGCTTTATTGTATGCCTTGTCTTGGTCACCTTGCTTTCACTCATATTTACTTTACAACTGCTCAAACAAGCTATATATATAATATATATATAAAGACAATGGCTATATGTATATAACTTCTATGGGAATTCAAATATATTTTATCATTGTAAATATGGTCATATAATGAATAGTTCATTCATTGTTACAAGTGAAAAAATAAAATCTAGGCTTGCATTTAATCTATTTCCAGAATTTGATGACAGATATTCTGAGATACTGGCTGAATTTAGAGATCAGTACAGTATTATGTTCACATTGTACTCCAGAAAACAATTCACCCGTGATGAGTACATGTTCTCATATAATATTTAAAAGTATTTGTGAGAATGAGAGGAGAGAAAGCCCCAGAGCTTTAGAGATAACAGACATAATTATGACTCTTGCTTATGGTACCTCCATTTTTCAACTTTCAGTTTCGAAACTTCTAGTTTCATGCATCTTTTTGCGTATAGCAGTCGTTATAGGCTGTCCTTCGTTAAAAATAATATACGGGAATGAATCTAAGGAAACAAAGAACTCTAGGAACTACCAATTTTTAACAGTGGACGTGTCTTGAGGAAGAAATCGACTCTGGAGGTAATAATTTGGATGTGAAAATTGCCGGTTCTTGCATTTTAATCACTTCTTTACATATTCTTCAGATTTCTCAGCAACTAAAGTCCATTTCGTCAGTAGAACGGCAAAAATAAGAAATTGGGAGACCATTGTGCAATAATATATGGAAAAGTATATTCATAATGTACATGAATGACATTTGTATATCTTGGATTGCTTCTAGTTTGGCTTATAAAGTGTGTGGCCTCTTATATTTGGATGTTTCTCTGCCATGTTATTTTCAATAAGATTACCATGGCTGAAATTCTTCAAATTATTTTTGCCGTTCTACTGACGAAATGAAGCAGTGAAATGGACTCTAGTGGATGGACTGCTACCATTTTGGGTAACTTTGCTCTGTAGTGTTGTTTCAATCAGCATGTCGATTATTGAAAGAATTCCTTATGTTTTTACTGGATATATCTAACAATCATTTTCTACAAATTTCAGGAAGCATCAAAAACGACCCCCCTTATACTCTTAATAAGAAGTACACACTCATCGGAGGGCTTGCCCAACCTTCCAGACAAGCCCCTGTGGATAAAATATAAGAAAAAACACCAATTCGACCCCTCATTTATGGGGGTAAGTTTTATGTGATACGTCATATCTCGAATCACAATCACATCATCTGATGAACAAATGGTACTGCCTTATCCCGTTCCCGGACTATGGTCCTGTACTGAGCCCATACATTTGCCTGTACGATTACAACTTGGGAGAATTTTTTACTGATCTTACACTTCAGATACCTACTTCAATAGATTCCTTGGTAATTTAGCATTCTTTTCGTGTAGTTGAATCCACAATTGTCTGGGTTTATCGGCAGAACGAAGACATTTTCGTTTTTGATCGCAATATTTGCGTGTAACATTTAACTTATTTCAACCGTCAAATTCCTCCATATTGGTACTTCCGGGCTACATCCGGGACAGCCAAACGGGGGATTCCCCTTTTAAATCCAACCGCCATTTTGAAAAGTGATGGAATCTCTCTCGATGAAAAAGAGAAAATGTTCCCGTTCTGCCGATATACCCAGACAATCGGCGGTTCCAATATATTAGAAGTTACATCTTGAGTTCTATAATCACGGGATGTCATCGCCTGATTTGGTCAATGTTAGGGAGCAGGTCGTTTTTACAATAAATTTCAATATTTTCACACAAAATATTTTTTTACTGAAAAACTGCTCATTCGCAGAGAAAATGTACTAGCACATGCAATGACAATGTCAATCACGCTTCTGTACGAAATTCGGCGGAAGTCTTTTATAATCTAATACGAAGTTACTAAAAAAGGCGCGAACGCCCTACACTCAAAATGATCGTTTTTCCATTATAACTTTTTAACGTAATTTAACGAAGGCTTCTAATTATTATCCAAGATAGTCTAAATACCGATTAAAATATTTCTTACTTCAAACAGATACGCCGTCTTTTATTCAATTTTTTAAAAAATAATAAAAAATAACTCTTGTCAATGTTAGGGAGCAGTCAATGTTAGGGAGCAAAATGATTTTATCAGAATATTAAAAATGTAGCAAATGGCCATTTAAAATATGTATGGCATTTATAAACTAAACAATATTGTTTGAATGATTATTTTAAACCCCTTGCCTTAACAAAATTTAACAAAATCGATAAAAAAAATTGTTTTGCATTTTTTTCAAACATGTAAGATAGCGTAATAAATGCGCAGCTGCAGTTGCTAGCTAGCTCATGATCTAGTAGCATGAAATGTAATGTTTTGTTATTTTAAAAATTATGTCTCCCCTGAACTGTAAATTTCAAAAATATTCTCAATAATTCCATGATAATTCATTCATATAATTACTGTAGTACATTGGAAAGTGAAATAAGTAGCTTGCACGGTGGATATGGATGACGCAGTCCAGCCACGTACTGTATGTGTAATCCCAGGTTAATATATAGGGTGTCCCCAAGTCTGCAAGTGAGCCGCTTTTTGACAATTAAATTCATTCAAAACTTAAATAAAGTAGCCTTAAGCCCAGTATACACCAATGGGGCAAAATCCCACTTGCCCATCGAGTCCGATCTTGCCCTATCGAATCCGAACTTGCCCCAATGAGTCCAACGGAGTCCCATGGTTGATGACTTTGCCCCATCAAGTCCCAACGTGCCCCATCGAGCCCCATGGAGTCCCATCAAATCCCACCTTGCCCCATTGGTGTATGTTGGGCTTCACATAACATGTGACCTGATCGGAAATCCCACGATGCCCCATGGAAAGAATGAACATGTTCATTCTCGATGGGGCAAGATGGGACTCCGTGGGATTTTGCCCCATCCTGCCCCATCGAATCCCATCGAGTCCAACGTGGGACCTCATGGGACTCGATGGGGCAAGATTATATGCAAGTTGGGGCAAAATCCGACGGAGTCCCATTGATTCCCACGGACTTCATGGGGCAAAATCCCAAAAGGTCCCACTAGGTCCCACGCCATGTTAAGTCTATGGAGGTCCCAACTTGTCCCATTGGTATATACCGGGCTTTAGAGTATCATTAGCAAGTGGTACACATATAACAGAGATCGGTTATATACTGCATTGTCTGAGTATTGACAAATTGAAGTATACGTGTAAAAATCTACTATCATACATGTAACTGCGCAATGAGCCCTTCATAGCGTTTGTGCCAGCTATCAGGTGATACCCGGTCGTAAAGATAAGTGCGAGACTAACTCTCTTACTAGTAATACTAGGAAAATATCAAATCATAGAACTGAAGGATGTCGGAGATTTCTCAAGCCTATATATCAGTTCAGATAATTTATCATCCACAATTTAGGATTGTGAACTGATGACATCATCAAAAAGTGTATATAACGATACATCCATTCATTTACAGTTAGAGGTCAACGAATAAAGAAGGAATGGTTCGCATCTAAATATTTCTAAAACGAACGTAAACAGGATTTAGCTGAAAATAAAAAATGCAAAATAACCTTTTCAATGATTTTCTTACAATTTTAACGCTTTCCTCCCCAAAGGGTATCAAATAATCATACAAACAAAATTGTTCAGTTTATAAATGCCATACATATTTTAAATGGCCATTTGCTACATTTTTAATATTCTGATAAAATCATTTTGCTCCCTAACATTGACTGCTCCCTAACATTGACAAGAGTTATTTTTTATTATTTTTTAAAAAATTGAATAAAAGACGGCGTATCTGTTTGAAGTAAGAAATATTTTAATCGGTATTTAGACTATCTTGGATAATAATTAGAAGCCTTCGTTAAATTACGTTAAAAAGTTATAATGGAAAAACGATCATTTTGAGTGTAGGGCGTTCGCGCCTTTTTTAGTAACTTCGTATTAGATTATAAAAGACTTCCGCCGAATTTAGTACAGAAGCGTGATTGACATTGTCATTGCATGTGCTAGTACATTTTCTCTGCGAATGAGCAGTTTTTCAGTAAAAAAATATTTTGTGTGAAAATATTGAAATTTATTGTAAAAACGACCTGCTCCCTAACATTGACCAAATCAGGCGATGACATCCCGTGATAATGCATTGAGGTAGGTATCTTAAGTGTAAGGAGCGTAGATAATTCTCCTAAGTTGTAATCGTACAGGCAAATGAATGCGCTCAGTGCAGGACTATAGTCCGGGAACGGGATAAGTACCGCCAACTTCGGGCCTTCGTAAAAAGTACAATTTCAATTGTCAAATATTCAGATTGACTCAGTACTACTATATCTTCATATGAGTAATGCATCATTTTAAAGAAATTAAAACAAAGCTCTCTCCCAATGAGGTTTAAGTTCAAGTTTACTACAAATCATTATTTTCCAGATTTGGTCCTCCTCCATGTCTTCCATTCCGAATCCGAGCATTTTTCTGATTTTGGACAAAGCAAATCAGTGAAATTCAGGCACGAAATTCCGAAGAAATACAATGCGTAAATAGCTAAATCATACACCAAAGTATGCTTCAATCTTCATTGAAATGGTTTACAACAACAAGTATCATTCATCCCGAATATAAAACATACAATACCTTGTTTTTTGTTGAACTTTTTCGGTGAAACCTTGCCGCTTGGACCGGAAGTGAAAGACGAGCATGCGCAATGACCTTGAATGTGACCTACTTTCTTTCTTCACATTTCAGCACATTTAAAAATGAGATGTTGCATTTTCTTCGAAAATAAACGCCGAATGGTAGATTAAAAATACTCCATTAGTTGGGTGTTATCCTAAACATACTGTCCATCAATTAGGATGGGAAAAAGTAAAAAACACAAACGTGATAAATCGGATGAAGCAGGTAAGTCTAAAACAGCAATCTTTTTCAACAACTTTAGATTAGCAATGGACAACGAATAGATGGCGCGTTTTCGCGGGAAATTTTATTCACTAAAAAATTGACCCCGCTTTTATATGCAATTTTGGTCGCTCATTTTAACTATGTTAAAAGTCGAATTGCTGTTATTTCTTTATAAAATCTGTTTAAGGACAGGGTGCATGTTGGGAAATTTTCTGCATTCCTCAATTGAGTCACATGTTATTTTTCAAACATGAATAACTCCTTCCCCACATTGTCTACATCTTCCAAGTTTGCACAAAGAATGCACTTCTGTGCCTAGAAAAGCCTTGTGAGAAGGTTTGTTTTGTAAAATGTATAAAAAATGAGAAAATTCAGTGAAAAAAATTTCTGAAAATTTTCTGATTTTTTCACTGAATTTTCTTGTTTTTTATACACTTTATCAAAACATTCTTCTCACAAGTCTTTTCTAGGCACATAAGTGCACTCTTTGTGCAAAACTGGAAGATACAGACAATGAAGGGAAGGAGTGATTCTTGTTTGAAAAATAACATGTGACTCAATTGAGGAATGCAGAAAATTTCCAATCATGCACCCTGACCTTAATAATTGAATGAAGTCTTCGCGCATTCTGAAGAATAGAAGAAAATCGTTTTTGGCGAGGACGAACTTCACGAGGTAAAGTTTAAATCATTTAATTATACCCTCAATAATTTTTGGTCGCTTTGATTAAGCAGTTATTTGTAAAGTTTAAAGTCTTCAGATCGTAAAAAATTAAAACTTAGAGTCTACACTGATATATATGCGCAAATGTAGAAATTCAACTTTTAAAGTGGCTGGTGTAATCTTCCGATTCTCATGCAAGATGGCGGCCATATTTATCTTCCGGGGTCGCGTGTCTTGCGCAAAAATAAAATCGTTAATTTTGGTTAATCTGTGTTCAATTATGGTTGTTACTTCAAATAAATGTATATTTATGAAATCAAATATGCTATTGAAAACTTCTTCATACGATGTCCGTTGAATTTGGACTTATTAGACACAGATTAAAAGATTGTTATTGTCACGTGATTAGTTTGTTGTTGTTCTCGCGATCAAGCACGTGGATCGATGTGGATAGGTTGGTATGATTATTTGACAATTACCAATGCATAATTCAGTAATTACAGGTGCCCCAATCTATTATCATCGGATAATCACTTTGACTACTTGCAGTCTCACCTCCCTTGATGCCCCATACTGTAAAAGTTTATCATTGATGACCCATACTAATGATCACTTGATGTCACATACTATTGATCATTTGATACATGTATACCATACTATTGACCACTTGATGTCCCACACTATTGATCACTTGATGTCCCACACTGTTGATTCCTTTGATATACTATTGATCACTTGACGTCCCATACTGTTGATCACTTGATGTCCCATACTATTGATCATTTGATGTCCCATACTATTTAACACTTACTACCCCATACCATTGATCACTTGATTTCCCACACTGTTAATTATTTTATTCCCTAATACTTATTAATTACTATTGATTATTGATTGTCCAAGACTGTTGATTACTTGATATCCAGTACTGTTGATCACTTGATGTTCCATACTGTTGATCACTTGATGTCCCATACCATTGATCACTTGATGCCCCATACTATTGGTTAGTTGATGTCCCATACCACTAATCACTTGATGTCTCATACCATTGATCTCTAAATGCAGCATGCTTGTTTTAACGACTTGGAAAGTTTTATTTTGGTCTCTCTCAAGACTTTTGAAAACTATAATACATGTACATATGGACATATGTATATTATATATTATGGTAAACAATTTAGTGATATACATGTAGTGTCAGCTTATAGATACACTATTTGTATACATGGAAAGAATATTACTCAAGTAATAAAAAAATATTTGTACTAATGTTCTCCATTGATCCAAATGAAAGAGACATAGGAAATTGTACATTGCAAATGTTTATTTTAAAAAAAATACAAAAAACGCCCATGGGTGATACTCTGTGACTCTAATTTACGAAAATATGAACTTATATTAGACCTTCATTTTTTTTGTTTGGTTAAATAAAAGTTAGAGTTACAAGAAAATATAAGGTATGATAAGATAAACCTTATTGTTAATTTTTAATTAAATTTCAAAGTTGGGGTCAGTTTTTAGCAAAAACGATTTTTGGACCCCCTGAGGGTGACCTACTTTAAATGGGTGCCACGGCCAGTATGCATTTTCTAAAAATTTAGGTTATAGATTTTCTTTTTATTGAAACTCAAAGCTTTCAGAAAATATATAGTTTAATGGGGTTGGGTTAATTTAAAAAAATGGTTGTCCAATGCTATTTAGATTTGTGTTTGTGATCACAAAGTGAAAGAGACTTACTTCCTGCCAAAGCTATTGGATTTTGATATAATAGCTTTCCCACTGAGCATTTGGACAGCTCAATGATCGTGACCTTTGAAATCGAATTAAGTCGATTCGCGGCTTACTTTTGGTCTCTAACTGTGTCTTACATCAGTATCATCAATCCCTGTAAGTATCGGAGCGCTGGAGTACTTCTTTTTCGATCAAGACTTGTAATTGTTAGTCGAGTGAATCGTTTTACTGCCAAATTCCAATATGGCGGTTTCTGCTCGGACATTTTCGTAAATCTCCGGAGGTTGTCCGAACCTAACTAATTCTCAAAATTCATTTCGTTCGTTGCGTATCTCGCACCTAGCAAACCGCCATATTGGAAATAGGTCTAAAAAACTTTCACTCGATGAACAATTTACAAGTCTTGATCGAAAAAGAAGTACTCCAGCGCTCCAATACTTACACGGATTGATGATACTGATGTAAGACACAGTTAGAGACCAAAAGTAAGCCGAGGATCGCATTAAATCGATTTCAAAGGTCACTATTGATGAGCTGTTCACTTCTCCGTTTGAGAGCCATAAGTTTCAAAATCTAACATGGCTCTCGAAGTGAGTAAAAAGAGACCCTATCTGTTGCAAAACTAATGCCTGGCGTAACCGTCGCCATGTTATTCAGTGTTTTTAAGTAGCGCAAGGATCCTGCCATGACCGTGGTAATGTTATCGTGAAAGCCTGGTATGACCGCGACAATGCTGTATTATATTGCAATGCCTGCCATGACCGTTGACAATGTAATATAGTTCTGCAAGGCTTGGCATGACCGTGACAATGTAATATAGTACTGCAAGGCCTGGCATGACCATGACAATGTAATATACTGTAGTACTGCAAGGCCTGGCATGACCGTGGCAATGTAATATAGTATTGCAAGTTCTAGTATGAGAGTGGTAATGTAGAAATTTACGATTAGGACTGCTATAACTGTGACAATGTGTATTGCAAAGCCTGGCATGACCGTGGCAATGTAATATAGTACTGCAAGGCCTGGCATGGCCGTGACAATGTAATATAGTATTGCAAGGCTTGGTATGACCGCCGTGGCAATGTGATATAGTATTCCAAGTTTGGGTATGAGAGTGGTAATGTAGAAATTTATGATTGCTATAAGTGAACGTGACAATGTGTATTTCAAAACCTGGCATGACAGTGACAATGTATTATGGGATCGCAAAGCCTGGTATGACCATGACAATGTAATATAGTATTGCAAGGCCAGGTATGAGGGTGGTAATGTAGAAATTTAGGCTTAGGCCTACTATGACCGTTATAATGTATTGCAATGACTAGTAAATATGTATGACATTAATGCCAGGAATATCCTTTACAATTTTTAGTGATCGTCATTACAATTAAACAGTTTAATACTCAATCATGTCAAAATCAAAATTACTACTATACATTAATATTCACATTCGCTTATAAACCACAATAAAGCCTACGGTTGCGCCAGGCTTCCATGATAACACTTCCAGGGTCATGACAGGCCTTGCAATATAATACAGCATTGTCACGGTTATACCAGCCTGTCACGGTTATACCAGGCTTACACGATTACACTACCACGGTCATGGCAGGATCCTTGCGCTACTTAAAAACACTGATTAACATGGCGATGGTTGTGGCAGGCGTAAGTCTTGCAATAGTTAGCATGTGAAGTGAAATAGCAACCTAGTGATAAATCAGCACAGAGAGACTATTTGGTGACATAAAAGCACCATAATGATATCAACAACAACAAGTGTGATCACGGAGCCAGATCCAGCCCCTATTGGTAGTAGGCTCAAGGGATAAATGATAGACTATATCCTCTAGTCTGAAATTTTTTTGAAATTTGGAATGAAAATATTCAGACTATAGCCCCATATATGTTAAAACTTGGGATTGAAAATGATTTGTTTACTTAGGAAGTGCCATTCAAAATGGCCGACTGGGTAAATTAATTTGCATATTTGTTACTTCCCCTAGCTTTATTTCCATTTGACAATATGCTGTGTTACTTTTTATAGCATTTAATTGTACCTTACTATTTAATTGAATTGTTATAATGCTTAGTTTTGGGAAGTGAAGTTTCCTAAAATTGATAATTGTGTGCAGGAAATATCCTGTTTTTCCCACAGGAGGGACATAATGATCAATAGACTGAATTCTCAGGAAATTCAGTCGATTAGATATAGACTAGGATAAATGGGAAGACAAGACACAAGCCAAAAATGCTACATCAAAAAAATATGACCACCCAAATATATGACCCTCGTACTGACCTTTATTTTTTCCATCTGTCAGACATTGATTGATCAATTTTTACCCATTAATCACTTCTTTATGTATTGGTTTGAATGGTTGCATGATATAAACTATTGACGCTGTAAATCAAATTTTCCAGGAATATTTCTTTCAAATTTTCAGAGCGTAAAGATAATGGAGTGTTTCTGTAATTTCCGGCAATGTCCGATGTTGTTTGTCTCTCAAATTACGCCACATCGCAACAAACAGCCAATGAAAGTAAAGATTGTGTAGCCTAACAAACCGTTGTTATTGTTTCTACAGGATTTTAAAGATTCA